TGAAGTCATTCCGTGATCTTTGCTTGCTTGCTTCCCCTCCATCCTCCGAAAAGTCGGGGTTTTCTCTGCAATTCAGTCCAGAGTGGCGTCCAGTCAGCTAAGAGGACTCGATCCGTTTAGTCATCCTTTTCTCTCCTCTGCCACAGTATATTTTGGTTATTGTTACTACCTTTTTGAAAAGTGGGACTCAAATTGTGACCGTTTTCGAAATGGGTGACGTGGAAGTGCAGATGCAAGTGTCGACTTCTGCGACGGAGAAGAAGACCAAAAAAGTGAAGAAGACAACGACGAAAAAGTCGTCAAAACATGTCGACGGTGGGGTTGAGATTACTGAGCAGACGACCACGATCGAGGAGGTCGAGGGCAAGGAGAACCTCCCCCTGGAAGGCGAAACGTATAGACACACCCACATTTATTTATCCTCTCAATTCTCATAATTTTGCTTATCAATTTTTTTCACAAAAGTCCCATCCAATCCAATCTCACCAAAATTTAATTAGAAAATCAATTAGGATAAAAGTGTCGAAAAAGGTTTTTATAATCTGATCTCAAATCTCCGGCATATTTATTATCGTAACGTTTTACGGTTTGGCTGCCTGCATCACTCTCACTTTCACCCAAGACTCGCATTTTGGCAATTAAGTAAAGGTCGCGTTCATTAGTGCGATGAATGAACGCGGCGGAGAGAGAGAATAGTTGTTACATAACATGCGACGACGACAATGTGGCAGATAAACGGAGAACCGGCAGACAGGGTGACGCCAAGCAACTCTTACTTTCTTTTTTTGGTTCACTGAGCCCAAAGGTATTTTTAATGTCATTATAACTTTATTTATGAAGGACAAATCACTCTATTTCATTTCATGACGGAATAGCATGCACATCACTAATCAATTCTTTGTGCTATTCCCGTGGTGGTTTGGTCGGGAAACCTTGAGAAGAAGAACATGAGACCAAGTAAAAGTAAAAGTCAGGGCAAGGTTGGGACTCGAGGAAATCCATAAAATTGGAAAATGTCAAGAGGGGAAAATCCATCCCGGTTCGGTTTCATCATCGTCGGCATCCATTACATGAGAATAGCGTCATTATCATTATTTTTGGGCTCTCTATTACGTACGCATTGTTGGCCTAGGTTGGACTCGGATAATGAAGCCATTTTAGTTTTTTGGGGCTATTTTTGCTCCTCTGGGAAAGGAAAGTATTGGCTAAAATTTTGGAGATTGAGTTACAACTGCGTATTCATGGGGGTCGATTTGTACGGAGTTTTGGACCAGTGGCCGCGGAAGCTGTGGGGACATCTGGGGACATTAATATTGTAGGATAGGGGAGGGAGGGGTTTGCATAACATGGGGAGATGATGCGGACATCGAATAACCTTGGGGACACTGTCCCCTTCCGCGGCCACTGTTTTGGACAATGAGAGAAGGTCAAAATTTAACCCAGATTATAAATCTCTTGCTTCTCTATTTGTCCCAAAGGGCAAAAATAAATGCCAGCTCGGCATAAAATACATAAACCACGTCACACATACGTAGAAAAAAATAAATTCATTCCGTCAGACCTTATCCCACAGCAGCTCTAAAGTAGCGCTAATTTGTTACCTAATGAAGTGCTTAATTTCATTTTACTACAAAGTGAGACAGATCCGAGGGTCAGATAAGGTTGCAACTATAAAATTGTGACCATCCGTCGGGGGCTCGAGGGAGATTTCATTTCAATTTGATCTCTTGATTTCGATAGATAGCCATAATTGCGTCGACCATGGTGGAACTGCAAATTGAGACATTTTGCATTACATAACGTGCAAAAGGATTTTTTGCCCGTGCATATTTAGGTACATTGTTTAACTCCTTATTTCTCCGCCAGCTTGGATTTTATTGCTTTTTCATAATTAATGAGGGTCATCAATCCCTAATTAAATTATCTCTTTTATTATTAACTTATCAGATGTAGATGAGAGGAGGATAAGTAACAGGAGGTAGGCGGGCAGTAAGTCTGAGGTTATTTATGTATTTTGACTCACTGTCACAATTACACACCTGCTGACACCACTGCTTACTTGACCTGGTAATGATAAATGATGCCTTTTGCAACATTATTGTGCCTTCTTAATTAATTTAGATGAGTGGGAAGATGTGATTTATGCCGTTTATAAGATTTTTTTCCATTAGGGGTTTGATTTGATTGGGTTGGACTTTTGCTAAATATTTGATAAGTTGATTGTATGAGATTCGATGAGGGAGTGTCTCTACGTTTCGTGAAGGATGTTAATTCTGAGGTAATTTTTTTACAATTGTTGAAATGGTTACAAAAAGTGTTTTCATCAATGAGTCGATTTTTTAAGGAAAATTGTTTCTTCTAATTAACTGATGACGATTATTATTTGAGTACGACGAAAACTGCGTAATCAAAAATTAAAAATCCGGTTTGCCCAAGATTCTTAGACAAACTCCAGCCTAGAAATCTTGGGTTTGGCCAATATATCCGAAACTGAGTCACATTATGCAGATGTAGAAAAGTCGTAAATAGTAAAAAGGCGTGTCATCATGCGGTTTTCAGGCCGTTTACATCTTTCAGAGAATTAATCACATTACCGTTTACTAGTGTTCTCCTAAGGTTTAAAGAACATTAAGATAACATGTATGTAATAATGTGACTGCGTTACGTACTAATTTTGTAAGTTTTTTTTTCCACATTAAAATTTCAAAGGTGTTAATGTATTGTGTACCTCAAACGAAGACATTGGTTTTTAAGAGTCACTCCAACTTCTTGAATAATAATATTATTATGGAGAATCGGCTAGACGGCTGTTATTAGTGAGGGTGGGGCATCTTCTGCCCACTATTTACGGACCCATTACTATCCATTCATTTTCTTCTTGTGTCTATAACCTCGCACAAGACAATGTTATTGCTAAAATTACCACGATAAGATTCGCGAACTAATGAACTCATCAATTTTCTTGTTGTGCAGAGCATGTCTATTCTCGAACCACGACTATCTTTAGTGCTTCTTGTTCCGAATTATTTATTTAATTTGGATAATCGAACGCATCTAATCAACAGCACGATCATTTTCTTTCATTCCTTACGTCGCTTTCTTGGACAAATTGAGGTTTGTGTAATTGGAATGAAAATCGATGGGGATTGACTTCTTTGTTTTTGTGCGACTCATTCTATTAGGAAAATTGCGGAATTTCACCGAAAACCTTTCCTACATATTAGCCAGCATTAATATTTAGCACGCAATTTATTTCCAAGAAGAAGTCAACAAGCACCTGGCACTACAGAAGTTGGTCGTTTTTTTTGCAAATATTTAATAAAGGGAGATGAAAAGCCGCCCGTTCAAAAGGATGAATTGGCATTGAAATGGGTGTAAAGGAGTGATTTATTAATTTATTGCGATCCGTAATAAATAATTTACCAGATTAAAGACAACCAACAAGTCCAGTCCAGTCCAGTCACCTACACTTAAAAACCCACTAGAAGAAGACCTACCATCATATTCGAGATGAGATTGTCCATTAAAAAATTTACATTCAATTCTCTCCGTCTTATGGGGTTTTTGCGCGTGGGCGTCGGATTTGGAGTTGACATGCGGTGGTTGCTTTGCTCGTGGTGTTCTTTGTCTCAAAAGAAGAATGTCTCATCTCATCACACGAAATAGTCATGTCAGTGCGAATTTCGTTTGCGAATTGAATTTAAATGAGGTTTTGTTGAGTATTCCAAATCGGGATTACTTACCTGTGACATAATTGCTTCTTCCAGAGACGGGACGGGTGACGGACGGGTGACATTATCGCGTGTTGGTTTAAACGACGACGACGACGAATGTAAATTATTTTAAGATGTCAATTGTTTCATGTGCAGGGTTGAGCTTTAGAAATATTTTGGGAAAATTGGACTAGGAGTTTTTGTGTTTATGGGAAAATAATTTACATAATTCATATGAAAATCCCAACATTGCTATTTTTAATTTTTTTTATTAGGAACAATTTTCCCGTCAAAATTGGCTGAGTAGCTAAAAAAATGGCAGTTAGATGCAAAAACTTAGGATTAGATAAGAATATGACTCAAAAATTTTGAGTATATGTATTGAAATAAAGTTGGGAATGTTATGCAGTTCAAGCCATGTTCGGAAGAGGCAAGATGAGACGATGTCAATACTTTTTGATGAAATAGGAAAAGTGACAGTCGAAGGGCACGATATTGATGTGGTGGACGAGTGTCACATCCAAAACGATTCATCACACTTGTCGATGCCTCAGCTTTATTGTGACAGACGAGATGAGAATCTCTTTGCGATAAAAAAATGTAGATACTTCTTTTTCCATCCAATTTGATGATTATGTAAAAGAAGAAATAGAAGCTACTTATTGGTATCGATTTGTCCGTCCGTCCGTCCAACTGTCAGCATGATAACGTTCGAACGAATCAATTTTTTAGCTTACGAGGTTTGACGACCCCGTGACCGTACAAACGGGGTCAAAGGTCAAAAATGTAGAATCGCCAAAAAATGGCAAATTTTCGCGTTTTAAAGCACATAATGAACCTCAAAAATATCGGGGTATATTCAATACAGAACTTTCAGCACTTCGTTTTCGCTACTTAAGTATATCTGTTGCTGGAGTTTACTATAAAATGAAGATGACTATCGCTACATACTTCTTAAATGATCTCATAAACAATTGGGGAATTAATTGGTGTGTCTGTTTCTCGATGTACCTCCACCAGCTACATTATTGGTAGTGCTACATACTCCCAAGTCGTTGGGGTCATGTAGTATGACTCGAGATTTGCATATTTTGTTGCAACTGTTTAATGTGAATGATCTCAGGGTCGTCGTATGGATACATGTACATAGGCTTGCTTATGTATGTATCCTTTTAACGCGACAAATTCGTGTGCTAATTACGTATATGTAAATTAATGAAAGATGCTATTGTTTAAAGAATCTTTAGTAATTAATCAACTAATTTTCGAAATTTGTATTCCTTTCAGTTGATTTTCAGTGGGGAGTTTACCAAGGCGATGAACAAGGATTGGCATTCGACCCATTTCTGCTGTTGGCAGTGCGACGAGTCGCTAACTGGACAGGTAGACAATTATTAAATAATTGTTAAACAATAATTGTTAAATAATTAAATATTAATTATTAATTAATTTCTATTTACAGCGCTACGTTTTGCGCGAGGAGCATCCTTATTGCGTAAATTAATAAGAATATGAATTTACATATACATTACAATTTGCATACATACATGTTAAAATTACGGTAATTATTTCGATCCTCATTTACAGATCCGATGCTATGAGTCTGTCTTTGCCAACACTTGCGATGAATGTCAGCAGCTAATTGGAATTGACTCCAAAGTATGTTTTTTTATGCAAAAAATCTGTTAATTTTCTAATTTCTAACATATTTACCTAACTTTCTCCCTTGATAGGATTTAAGCTACAAAGAAAAACACTGGCATGAAACTTGGTACGTTTTTTTTTAATAAAAAATGCCGGATGTATGTATATATGTAAATGCTGATTTATTTCCATTTTTTCTATCCAGCTTCCTCTGCAGCAAGTGCAAGGTATCCCTGGTTGATAAGCAGTTTGGGTCTAAGGTATGCATGATTTTTGGTATTCATATACATAAATTGAGGATCTGCTGTATTATGGATTGTATATTTATTTATTTGTTCATGGTTTGATTGTTTGTATATAAAAATCCGTAGGCAGAGAAGATCTACTGCAGCAACTGTTACGACGCCCAGTTCGCCTCCAGATGTGATGGATGTGGCGAAGTGTTCCGTGCCGGTAAGATAACGCAACGTAACATGGCGATGATAACCAACTTGTTATGCATACAAGGCTTATCCAAGAAAGGGGAAAAAAGCACATGCAAAAAATATGGCTACATTCAAAACAACTGTTACATCGACGTCGTAACGTATGCATACATAATACAGGAAAAAGAATCAAATACCTCCCTCTCACGTGACTTGTTCTTATCCATTCACTCACGTTATAGGATAAGCTTGACTTTGAGGCATTTGCTGGAGAAAATCATCATGCATATTTTGAGGGAGGAGAGGAAGATAAATGTTACCGAGATTGAGATGGACAGATGCATAATTCACTAAATATCCCATTCATCCACCTCTAGACCAGATTTTCCATGAAGAAGGAGCTGCTGCATATTTTAGCACAATTTTGAAACACACGGCCGCGTGGGATAGATATTTTCCGCGTTCCTGTACAACAACTAGCGTGATTTATTATATGTCTCGCAAAGTCATGTAGTCTCGAATCTTCATCGTGTCTTGTTCTCTACTCCCTCCCACTAAAATTTCGTGAATATGTACACAGACGAACGACGACATTCCAACGAGGCTATTTTTAGGACACTTTGGTAATATTTCATGCATGCTTTATTACCACCATGGTTTGACTGGGCAAACTGAATGAATTACTTCAACTTGGTAATTTGGTTTAAAGTTAAGTAAGTAAGAAATTAGCGAGTAGTTCTAAATGTCAAGTCGGCTTCTCTCTGCTCAATTATTATTTTATTGTAATGCAAAAGTTTGCCTGTGCAAATAATCGTAAGAAGAATAACGAGGAGGGGAATTATGGCTGAAAATGCCACGTGAAATTGGAGTGGTCTCTCTTTTCATGCGAAGGTGGGCAAACATATCATAAAACTGGCTGAACTGAAATGTTTATGAGATTTCTATTATTATAATCCAATTTTGCTATTGTGGCTTCGTGGTCGGGTATATACAATTAAATTTTCAATTTGTACACAAAATCCATTAGCTCATGTGGGGTCTGGGAGTCAATAGGCACCTATTTATTTCAGTATTTGAGTGGGTAGATATCCTATGATAGCTTGGTACCAACTTGGCTAGGGATTAATTTCCATCGGATAGAATAGAATAATACGTAAAAGAATGAGTTTATTTTAGCCGGAGGAAATTTGTCTCAAGTTTCATCTGATGATTATGACGAATGGGAGAGTAAGTGAATGGGGCAGAACTCGTCAGGTGTGTTTTTGGACATGATTATTGTTGTAATACGACAACATATTTTTCTGTAAGGAGATCTTCTCGCAGTGATTTAAAAAAAATAAGGAAAAAATTCACTACCTCGTGTTATTTTGAAGGGGGAAAAAGGCACAAAATTTATTTTACAATTCCAATAAGTTCTCGACTTTTGGTCGAAGAATGTCTCCAATAATGTGCACCTGAAATCGGGCCAATTTTATCTCTGAGGATCTACATTTTTACGATGCAGTGCGCACCTGAGTCAGATAATTTAGCAAGAATTGTACCAAATGTGACAACTCTGAGCCAAAAGTGACATTTGACCATAAATAAAGTTCGAGAAGGGAATAATAAAAGTTCATTTGAAATCGCGAAAACTTTTCTTATTTTGCAAATTCCAAAAATTATTTATGACTGTGCAGTGCAACCAATACGGGAATTATTTATTGGTTGGTTGGTTAGTCGAAATGCTAATGAGAGAGAAGTGAGAAGCATGTATTTGTTTATTTATGGGAGTACATTACATTACATTACGTTTCTTATTATTGTGCTGCCTGGACAGAGAGGATATCATAATGCGCGATGAAACGACATGGTCACGAAGTGCAAACCCACATGATTGAATTTTGACCAAAAAAGTGATACGATGACCACCACGTACACCACCCAAACACTTTTTTAACACACAATCCATACTGCACTTTGGACAAACAACGTAGCAAAAGCACCATTCAAGTCAAGGCCAATTCCTCTAAATCTGTATAATTACAAGAGTAATGGTCATATTCCAGTATGTGGTGTGTGTGTGTACTTGGCAATTTTTATAATAATTTACATAATCACCTGCAAACTGGATGGAGAAATGAGCTCATCGTATGATGGATGGATGTACAACGCAACGGAATTATTTATTTTGTAGGATCCTAGTCGAAATTAAATTAAATGCATTGTTTATTGTTCCTGGGAAAAATCATTGTCTTTTTAATGTCAAAATGTCATGTCAGATTTCGGTCATGGTGAATTAAAACGCATATTATGTGTCACTTTAGTACATTCTACTACCCATTCCAGTAATTGAGTCGTCGTATGTATATATACTTACATGACGAAATTACTTGGTAAATAAACCCCTGGGTAAGTAAATACTGAGAAAATTCTATATATATTAGGGAAAATTTTGATAAAATTGGAAACCATCGAGTCCAAGGTTATGGTTGGTTAGATCGTTTTACAAAATGTGCAGGTTGGGTCTGCCTTGAGGCTTCAATTTCAATTTAACAAATGATAATATTCCATCAATTCTTCATGTGAGAGAGTGGTTGGAATCAGTGGCCGCGGAAGAAGCCGTGGGGACATGTGGGGACATTAACATTGTAGGATAGGGGAGGGACGGGTTTATTTAACATGGGGAGATGATGAGAACATTGAATAACCGTGGGGACATTGTCCTACCTTTCCGCGGCCACTGGTTGCTATCAGGTAGGCAAAAGTCAGTAAAGATTGGATAGATTTTTTTATTGCCAACTGTCTGCGAATATCCATGAATTAAGTCGCAATTTACCTTTTGTTATTGCATTTCTGCCCAATTAGGACTTATATTGTTAAGACCAGAGTAATGTAGAGGGAAATATTCTATCAGCATTAGCTTCATTTGATGATGACATGCTAAAAAATTTGAAGAGATGCGTTCTCGCAGCACGAGAAAGCCTTCGATTCGACGAGGAGTACAGAATTTAATTACATCTTTGATGTCACTTCTTGACCATAAATCAACATATCATCTCATCTCGCAGGAATGAGTTCAAGAGCAAAAGATTGATTTTTTTAAATGCTTTCTTTTCCTGAAATGATCATTTTCCTCATTTCATTTGATTTCATGGAAAACTTGCAAATCATTTCAATTTGAAAATCTTTAAATAATTCTCAACTTATTTTTTAAAGAAAACATAATTTCAAAAATTGAAATTTGATTTCAATTCATGTCTGAAATTTCAATTTCCGAGGATCACAGACTCGAGCGCACCTACGCTAAGAAATAAAACTACCAAAATTTGTGAGCCATCTTCATAAAATTAACAATTTTTTTTGTTCCCTCTTCGTTACATTTGAGAATTCATTGATCACTTGCACTGTCATTGCCCATAAAGCGAAATAATCAAGTAAGGATGTACTCACTTCCATAAAAGTATAATTGAATTAAGTATTTTTCCTTCCGACAAATTACAAATTGTCCAAATGCACCCATATTTTACGGCATGATTTGATGATACGTGGACACGATGACCATCCAACAATGGTGGTGGTGACTAGTCGCAGTTTTGTAGTGGTTTATAGTCCATTATACTTGAAGTGAGTTAGTTATGTGCTGTGCGGATGGAGCTAAACTCACGAGAAACCCTAGTCTCAGCACAAGGTACTTCAGGAGGCCGTAGGTTTAAGCTCCACCCGCACAGTACATAACTCGTTCACTTTATGTATAGTTTTAGAGAGATTTTTATGTATGCAGTGCCACAATTTATTTTGTCCGTCACCTTCTTATCACTGCGAGGCTTATGGCTTCCTTCCGTTTAGAGTAATGAGATTAATCGTTCCGTTGGTGGTGGTGGAGCTGGTGACGACGAACGAGGGTCACCAGGTCGGCCTTCCATTGTCACATTGCGTGACAAAGGGAGCAGTTTAGTTGACATCTTTGGCCAATCTGTTGTTCGTCAATTCATCAACTTTTAGACATATTGTGTGTGTACATACGTTTCTTTTATTTATTGGGTTCGTATGTGTGATGCGGTTTAATTGACCTCGTGGTCAATAAGTATTTTATGGGTATCATCTCATGTGGAAATTAAATCCAAGTAAGATCAGATCAATGGATCAATCAATCTCACACCTTAAAAATATTGTGAACAATTAGTCTCCGCCTTTCCTTCCTTCCTTCTTAACAACACTTTTTATGGATATTCATATAAGTAGAAGTAGCAAATACGGGGGATGCTGCGTGTCCAAAATTATTACTTGGATGTTTACTAATTTGACGACAATGCCGAAGGTTATAATTTGTTATAATCCATGAATCGAGTCCGGTGCCTAAATAGTATTTTTCTTGTCTTGCCCTTTGGAGAAATATCCAAATCTATCCGTTTACTTATTGCCGAAATGTGTGAGAGTTCACAGGTGTGTCGATATCCAGGTAAAAAATGTGTACTTATCCGCTGTGAGAATCAAGTTTTCGATTTTTTATGCATGAGAATTGTCACGGCTGATTTTAGTTGGCTAGCATTCCTTCGCTAAATCCGTTGTTTGTCCATGACCAATTCGCAAATTACGGGTTGAGTCCATCTTTAGGTGGAAATGTAAATACATTATCATGGAAAAAAAACAAGTCGGACAGAAAAGAACACCCGTTCATATCGTTGTCGTCACTGTATTACCGTGTACCTGGCACTCATCTCATTACCTTACCTGCGCAAATGTCCTTGTATTAATGGCGTCCTGCAGATTCGGAGTGTTTACATTGACAGTTACACCAGAGCGATAGACACCCACACGAAATGTGCAACATTTCTGGTGGGTGAAATTTCTGTACTTTTATTCGCCTAGATACATAGTTTCTCCCGGGTTTAAATGCACACACTAAAACAAGTAACATTTTATTGGAATGTAATAAAAGTCTCAAGCATACAGCTTGAATTCATGGTCTTTAATGTAAACCCCAGATGAGCCATAAAATGCGCCGTGTGGTTGGTTGGTGGGCAATATATTCGTACACTTTGGTCGTAACGTACGATCCATTTCCATTACCATGCTCGGATGGATCGCGGGTTTATTAGGAGCTAGAAAGTAAAAGTTTATTTGACCAAGACTCATTAAACCGAGTCATTTGTGATTGTTTTACAACAAATGGATGTAATTGGGAGTGCGCTGAATGTACGTGCATAGGTCATCCCATCACTATCTCATGAATTTTTGGTGTAGGTAGGTTGTCGTCGTGCATCCTGTCAAAGTAAAAAGTTGGTATACGAGACCATTCATCGAAGCGATTGTTTTATAGCCAGGAGTGAAAGAAAGATGGATACATAGGTTTGGCCATGGTCACCTTTTGAGAGTCGTCTCACCTGCCCTCCTCGTCCAAATCCAATCCCATGCATTTCATTATTCAGTAAGATGAGCCATGGGCAAATGTCTGTTGTGTCCACTAGCAAAACTACCTCACTTGTTACTTACATACCTTTTTCTTATTTGTACCTACATTCATTGGCTCGTCTCACGCTATGCATTCGGTGGATTGAATGGATTTCAGTTTAGTGCTGCCGGAGACTTTTTACGTGAAACATCTCGAAGCTTATCTTTACGAGGAGGACTGAGAATATATAGTCAATTGTGAAAGTATGTTTGGTGTGGGGTGGAAATGTTGGTGATATTTAAGAGTTGAAGAATTCGTACTTTGGGAAATTGAGACTGAATTTATAACTCATCTGAAATAAGAATGGGTGACTTGGCCGACGTCCTGGGGAGGAAGCTGACCCTTAAAAATGGTGGTGGTGGGTGTAATGGAAGTGGTGGTGGTGGTTTGAGTTTGAGTGGGGGTTTAAAGAATGGTGGTGGAGGTGGGGGGAAATTGATCACCAAGAAGGTCACACAGCCCATGAGGCGAAATGAGACGGAGGATGACATCGCCATCCTGTCGATGATCATGCCTGGAGAAAAGTTCAGATGTCATATGGCAGAAGACTGCGTGTTCGGAGATGTTTACCACAATTCCTTGGGTATTTTATTTTCAAATGCTTTTATGTAATCTGTTTTCGTAATGATATGACTCATTCGTGGTGAGACGATCCATCACTATTGAGAAAATTGGCTAGTTTTTTTTGCTCTCCAGATTGAGTTGAGACGTATTGAAATAGCAGAACCTTTACTTTACATTACAACCTTGACATATTCCCATTTTACAGAAAAATTCTAAAATACTTGGCATTTGGCACATTAGTCAAGTATTTCTCAGAGATATCGATATCTTTCTAGGAGAGGTTACATACATGTGCATCATGTAAATATGTTGGTTTATCTTGACTTAAATGTTTCAACTAGTCGAAAAAACACTAAATAAACAGAGAGTTGAAAGTATAAAAGTAAAAATTTAGTTGTATAAACCAAACGCTGAACTTATCATTTTTTGCAAACTTTTTTTGCAATGTTTACGTGAAAACGATACATATTTCCTTTATACTAATATGTTTAGCTCCAGAAATTAGAGCAGGATGATCTCATTACAATATTTGCTACGGATTTATTCCGTACGTATTTACTACATGACATACAATCATGTATCGAACCAAATTACTTTTTGCAATAATACACAGAGTGTGCAAAATCTTATAAATTTCCAACTTGTAATACTCTCTCTATACGGTTTGAATTAGTTTGATGCATTTGCACTTGGACGGAAATAAATGGAGTTGGTCCTTGAAAACAGATTTGGATTTAAAGTAACTTTGCGTAATTGCACCTGACTGAGGCAGAGAGAGAGACCAACCATTATTACAATCACTTAAGTCCCACACCAAGCAGATTGACCAGCACTATCATCAAACTAAACTAAACTAAATCCTCACGTAATAATTAATGCGGACTGGTTGACCATCCGTCTGCTGCGTACGGGATGCATTAATAATGCTCGTGTGCATTGTGATGATTATCGCAACAGTGAATGAATTGCTTCAATTGTGCCAAAAAAGGGTGAAGAAGTAAGCGTGGGCAACCCCATAGCCCTGAAGCTGGGGAAGAGGCTGCTGCTTTGCTGCTGCTACCATCCCATTTCTTGACTTTGGGTTACCTTAATTGATTTGACGGACTGTTCATGTGCATGATGGGATGATACTGTTGTCATTATTGTGACGAAATTCCAAGGGGTGGTTTAGCTCTCACTTTCAATTTATTATTCGTTACGAGACGAAAACAAGACGAAAATATTTATTATTCCCATCTCCTTTTGACCACTGCGTACTTCTGCTCCTACTGAATTGCAGCCCAAGGCGTCGTTATGCACTGACCGAGTAGAAGATTAATCTGATTTCGATAATGAGTAATAAATTATCCAAATAGAACTGCACGACTGCAAATATGACTTGGGTTCAACCCCCAAAAATGCAGTGCACCTTTTTTTATCCATCTTAATCATGCAATCTGTCTCAATCTAGATTAAGGTACATGTTTATTTGTTGATAAATTGGTGTTAGTATGTAAAATGCGCAAAAGTCAAGGTTATGGCTGAAATTATTTATTTATACTAATTTTCGTCATTTTTTTATTGCAGGTACCAAGAAAATGGAATATAAAACCCGACAATGGCACGAAAAATGCTTTGCTTGCTGTGTCTGCAAAAACTCTATTGGAACCAAGAGCTTCATTCCTCGGTGAGATTTAGATTTTTACCATTACTTACTTTCTTCATGATTATTGACTTTTAGCAATTTTATATCCTCCAGTGAACAAGAGATTTATTGTGCTGGATGTTATGAGGAAAAATTTGCGACGCGATGTGTCAAGTGCACCAAGATTATCACGTCAGGGGGTGTAACGTACAAGAATGACCCATGGTAATGATTTTGTTACGATGTACATCCTACAAGCCTATTAACTATATGAATCTATGCTTTCAGGCATCGTGAGTGTTTCACCTGTACGAATTGCAACAATCAGCTGCAGTAAGTTATGCATAATTTATTTGTAAAAAATTTCAAGTTACATATGAACATTTCTCTCAATTTTAAAATTATTTGTGCAGAGGCCAGCGATTCACATCCAAGGTATAAATAAATATTTAACTAATGTGTTATATATAAGATGTACATATGTAATTCAAAGATGCAAATGTAATTTGTTGTAATTGAAGGATGATAAGCCGTACTGCGCTGACTGTTATGGCGAGCTATTCGCCAAGAGGTGCTTTACATGCTCCAAGCCCATCACTGGTACGAAATATAAACCTTTCACCAGGTCATTTTCCATGCAAAAATTTGCATACGACTTTCTCCATTATAGGAATTGGCGGCACGCGTTTCATCTCGTTTGAAGAACGGTAAATTGACATATAAGTAATGTTTACCAATTGATTTGTAACTTATTTTTATGTTATAATTTGCTTTAGCCATTGGCACAACAATTGTTTCAACTGTGGATCGTGCAAGGCGTCGTTAGTCGGAAGGGGATTTATCACCGATGGCGACGACATCATTTGCCCCGACTGCGCCAAACAAAAGCTTATGTAAAGAGTTGCATGAAAGCAGCAAGAAAAAATAGTCGAATGGACTTTCTCTACCACCCAAAAACACTTAACTTCTCTTATCATCATAATAATATATTCATCGAACCTTTTTTGCCCATCATTATTTAATTATTATACATATAACACTTAAAATCACGTTATTATAAAAATCCCACTCAACTGAAATACTTAAACCACTCATGATGATGATATGATTATTATTATTATAAGTATTAATTACTAATTTCTTCACTTAAACCAACCAAACAACCAACATCGCGTACTTTTTATCTACTACACAACATGTACCAATAATAATGCAAAAGTGTACTTATTTAAAGAACCACAAGGAATCACAAGATTTGAAAAGACGACTTGAAAAGATCATTTAATCATCAAACTTCTGATCATAAACGGATGAATGTTTTCTTCGGAGGGTTTCTCGATCATTATTAACCAACCAACCAACCCACATTTGCCTGCCATTTTACTTAACTTACATAATTAAGGGGAAAAGTTGAAAATATTTAAAATATGTATAGACTAATTATCATCATCTTTCTCTACGTACTAATTGACGGTCATACATACATATTTCTATAAATATCTATATAAATGTATCTATTTTAGCAGAAAGACAAAGACTTTATTGTTGTCAGTCATTCATTCGAATCAAAAGGAAAGAATGTATGTAGCCCCAAGTGACTTATAAATATGCATTTCGTAATGAATGCTGTAAATATTTAACATGGAAAAAATATAGTCAGTCAGCTAATAACCTCTTTTTTGGAATTTTAAGCTAAAAAAGTGTGGTTAATTAATACTTTAAATTTCTTCAAGAAATACTAAAACCATCAACTTTGGTATGGAATTATAATAGTCATTGCAAATTTCGAAAGGTGCTTGAATCGCTATACTTACTGTATAAAGATTTACCAATTTTGTCTCGCAAAATGTGTGCATTCTTTACAAAAAAAATTGAATGAGGGTGTGTACCTGTTATAGAAAATAGTGTTTAAATTCTCTCCCGAAAAAATGTTTTATTGCTTTAATTTTTTTTGCCAAAGTCCATTTGCAATTTTCAAATACTTTAATTTTTATGATTTGACTGACTGAAAGAAGGACTCGAGTCAATTTGTGCTGCATAATACATAAATATACTTAAAAAAATATGTGTTGTCAAAATGTATGTCAAAATATTGTTGCATAATGTATCCTTTTTAAGTTGAGATTGAAAAATGTGGTTCGTCTTTTTGTTACCTTTTCAATTTTTCTTGATTTGATTGAATACTTAATGCAATTTCTGTTTTGTGGTGTGGTGTAAAACAATCAATGCTTAAGAAATGATGTTGAAGCGATACTCTGTAATCTCTGATGAAAGAAAATAATGTGTAAATCTCATAAAATCGCAGCCACAGAAAACTAATCATAATATCTTATCAATTTTTGATTGTCAAAAAAATAACATGTACCATTTATGATTATTATGAATTATATATATGAATGTGTACATATATACCACACAATTATGCATAAAATTAGAAATAATCCCTCATTATTAGCTACTCTAATTCTTGGTTAAGGAATTGTGTTGTGTTGCATCAATTGTGTATTTCTCGTGTAGTTCTTTGTGGTGCAGTAAAAATGTACTATTATATAAGTTACAAATCAAATTTAAAGGAGAATAATCCCATAAAAATGATAGAATAAAAAAAGTATAGAAAATGATACTTATTTAGTGTGATTGAAATGTATTTTATTTGTTGCTTGCTTGTACTACATACATATAAATCAAGTGAGCGTAAAAAAGCTGCATTCACAAAAATTAAGTAGTTTTAATACGTATATAATATCATTCTGCATTTGGTTATTAGGAGTTGCATTGCGTGGATTAATAGTCATTGGTCGTAAGAAATACTTGAATTATTTGAGTATGATGTGTCGCCACAAAAAGAGAACAACAATGAGTAGAAAAATCTATTACGAACAATGTGGCTGTGGAAAAGGTCACCTCTGGTTATTAAAATTGCAAAAATAACTCAGCAGCAGCACCGGTTACATGTTAACAATGGTAAAATATTTGTTAAAATTCATCAGCCTTATTTTTGGTTAGCTAAAGTGCGTGACGATAGATAAATTAATTGGTAATAAATTATTGTTAACTGGGAAGAAATACTATAGACTAGATGATAAGTTAAAAACATATAAATTTGGTATCATTATAGCTTAGCTAACATATTGGAAACTTCACAAGGCATCATCACAACAGCAAGACACGCGTCATAAATGTTACATTATAGTTCGACATGTGAACAGGGTTACTAATAATTTAGATTTCAAGGCTCCGGTGGTAAAGCCCAGAGATTAACGGTCTTATCGGCGGATGTTGAAATGAAAGTAAATTCTGATGGGTGCCACCGGGCACTGATGACTTTATCCGTGTGAGAAGCAACAACGACTGATGGGAGTGGGACTGAAAGGTCGCCTTGCAGGTCGCTCAGGGCGATTTTATTATCGTATCCTCCAGAAAGCAGGTAATAGGCGGCAGGAGAAAATCGAACAGATCGCACATCCGCCGAGTGGGCTTTCATGGATTGGATTTGACGTTGACCACGGATATCGTACAGAACCATGGCTGCATCCTCGTGACCACAAACCAAGAGTCTACCAGATGGTTCAACGCACACAGAAGCAACGGGAGATTTTGTTGATGCTGTGGATGTAAGTGGAGTGACAACGTCAACGCAACCACGGGTCCGGAGGTCCCAGAATCGAATTGTCTTGTCCTAATAAGAATTAATACAAGTTAAGACACTCAAGTTATTATGCATAAACATTGCCGCACGTGCGTTTGAAAAGCGTGAACTTTCACTTATTTACCTGACTTCCTGAGCAAAATATTTGACCTCCCCAATTGTATAGAGACAGAATTGCGCCAGTATGTCCAGAAAGTGCTTGGAATGGAGTGGCAGTTGCGCAATCGGTCACATAAATTTTGCAGTCGCCTGCGCCCCCACTGACCAAAAGTGAGGTCTTGTTACTAATTTCTTCCAAAAAACACACATCTCGGACAGTCCCGTCATGCATGGATAACTCTACTTCTTGAGATCCTGTCAACTCGCTACTATTAATGTCATCAAATCTGAGCAACTTTACAGTTTTGTCATTGCTCCCCGTCGCCAATAATGCACCATCAGGGGACCCTGGAAAATAAAATATGTATTTCAGATACATATATTAATTATTTGTGATAAATACCAAGCAATTGTTGACTTACAACCCATGCAATAAATTGATCCCTAGAAATAAAATTATTAAAATATTAACGACATCTCCAAAAACAAATCACACAACGTGTACATTTGTTTTTATATAAAAATACCTTATGGTGTTTAGTTCGTTTAAATAAAACTGTTGGTTGATATGGATGATGACTTTCAGACAGGTCTCCCAAATCAGGATAAGAACACACACGAAGAGTTTTCGAGTTTGAACCAATGGCGTAGACCTTTCCTATATTTCGAGGAAAAAATGTCTCTGATTACTATATCGACTTGCATTCGTGCAGTTATATTGTGTTAATAACCTTCCGGATGAAATTCAGCACATCGAATAGCTTGCACATCTTCAAGTACGGTAACCGAAATAAATTTGGCTTTTGAGTTTGCACTTGTTGAGCTGTTTGCTTCTTTTGTTGCCATTTGATCCTATTGTGCAAAGATGCAATTTTGTTAACTTGAAAAATTTTTCCCTTCATAAAGCCTACTCTTTACACAACTATATTTTAACATACTCTGGAATGGACCGTTTTCGAGTATGGATGGCCAGTAGTAGAAGACGGATTAATTCCAGGATGCGTATTGAAAGGTTTTAGGGGTTCGACTCGAACACCTTGCGCTGCTGAGGACGACTGGTGAATGGAATCTACAAAATCGCCGAGAAAAAGACGATCGACGGAAGTTGTCATTGTCTTCAAATCTGTGGCCTGTGGTTCGACGCTACTCAAATGGAAGCTGGTACTTGCCATACTCCTGAATACACACAATATAAATATTTCATTTCGTTTCTCACGCATTTGAAGTGCACCTTTTGCATGCAAAATATGATTCTTTTCATAAAATACCGAGATAAAAGATCTGATGCGCTATCCATTATGGAAATATTCATCAATGTCTTTTGGACTTTGGGCAGGGGTTCAATATCAACTCGCAGACTTCTTCGTTGGAAGGGGCATCCAAAAATATTATTGGGGATACTCCTCAACCATGAAATCAAGCTCAAATCTGAAACATAAATTTCATTATAATTATAGTCGTTGTTTTCTCTGTACTTTCCTGGCTGGCATTCTCTTCCTACATACCTGATTCTGAGAGTTGGTTGTCGTTCAGTAATTGAGAAAATCTAATTTGTGATTCTGACGCACTGGAAGCACTACTCCTTCCGCCGATTGCTGCTCCCTTGTCATTTGCCATTGCCTTATTTTGACAAAAATCGACACACGATTCATACAGAAGGCCCTGCGAAAAGTATGAGAGAATATTCATTCATAAATTCACATCATTCGTTAAACATTTGCATCTTCTCATTACTTTGATTAAGAGTTGAATGAGCCGGTCTGCCGTAGCGACAGGATGTGGTTTCATAGGCCCCTAAATCAAGAACATTTACCCATTTTTAGCATTTTCCGTGAAAATTTACAATTGCAGTTGTTTTTGCAAAAAATAGACCATAATCGTTCATCTTCATATACTTGCATACCTGTGGAGGGGGGATGAACTTTTGTACGAGGGGTCTAAGCAGACTGAAAATTGTATTATTATTAGGTGGCTTGTTTTAGGAATGTGGTGTTGTATTATATGAACCTGAAGCATGTTAATCTTGCAGTTGAAGAATTCCAATCTTTATACTCTTGGTGTTCAACCAAGCGCGTCGGTGAAGTAAGTAGCGAACATAACGACGAGTATTCTTCCTTTGACTCCACCAGGCCTTCCAACTCATTCAACACCTATTTACGCAAATCGGAAGAAAAAACAAACAATTGAATGAGCAAAAAATAATGTCATTCGCGTAAATTCCAATAATAACGGCCGTAACTGAACTATTCAGTGAGTTGCATTATGAAATTGTCTATTCGCAGATTCTGTTTATGACAACTTTACATAGTCCTCGTCAAAAGCCCACAACAAAGACTCTCGATGGGTACAATTATGTAAACTGTCAACTATTCAATTCTATTTCTTCGCACACTATAAAATAAATCTAAAAAACAGTATTATGAAAAGTTACAGGAACATTTCAGTGAAATTCCAATTTATGTTTCCTCTTATCATAAAACATAATTATTCAATAAATCCGACCTTTCGACCAAACAACCGGCCATTCATAACTATAATCGTAAAGATCACTCTTTGAGAAATAATTTTAAGAAATAAATGTAACGCGTGCCCAAAAGAGGAAAACCTGTATCTCTCGTTTCACGATGAGGCATTCACAAATTAACAGATTACAAACATTAAAGTCGAAAACTCCCTTATAAACGAACCGTTCTTAAGCGAACCATGACTTTGAGAAACTGTAACTGACATTCACACATCGCACATATAGATATACGCAGAAACTGTATTTTCATAAAACACGCACAGAATAATACCACACGTTAAGGACGAACAGATGATGAGTTCTGTTACGTTTCACAAAGTATGGGTCACAAAAGAACTGAACTTGAAATTGTTAAATAGCTCATGATTTAAAAAAAACTGCAAAACGAAGAAAATGTTTTATCTGATTCTAAAATTAGTGATATATATATATTGCATACTTAATGTACCTTTTATGATTGATTGCTACTATTTAAAGGTCACCTACCTTCACCAAGTCTTCAACAACGGCCGGTTTTGGTTCCTCCAATGAAGACGTTGCATTAGACACATGAAGGATAAGAATGTCCAGAAATCGATGTTTTAAAATCGTAGCTCGAACTCTCCGTCCAGGAAATCCTTTAAATGCATCTTCAAGGGGTTGAAGAAATTCAGTAACGTCATCCCAGCGTCCCTCAATGATTAATGATCTCAAAAATAGCAAATCTGGCGATGGAATCACGTCGTTGACTACTCCAGACTCTTTCTCCAGTTGAACCTAAACGACCCAAAGAGAGCAATGTATTGTTTTTCTGTACCATATACATATTCCTAAAAGTTATGATGATGTGTAATTAATTACCTGAGCAGATGTCAATCGTCTCGACGATAAAAATTCCAGAATTAGATGAACAACGTCTCGTTCACACATAAGCAGCCGCTCGGCCGCAGCATCTTCTGCTGTCGAATGCATTGAGGTCATCTTTATTCAAGCAAACCATCCACGTTCAAAAAATATCCAGACGACATATTCCAGAAGTAGTTGTCAATCGATCATGAATGCAATTGACTTTTAATACTAATTACAGATTTGCCCCATAACCCTCTAGCAGAAAGATAACCAAAATATATAATCCTTCTCCAGTAATTGGTCCAATTTATGGAGACAGACCGACTCCTGAAAAAAATCATAGTTGGTAAATACAGAAATTAATAAACAACTCTCAATGTTTACAATTAAATATTACATGCAAATGCGCAACTTTAATTTACAATTTTTTACACAATGTACTACAAACTTGGCGCAATTATTCTGTTATAAATACAGTAAATCGTGTAACCAGCAGATTTTAATAACGTTACCTTTAAAAATTGACATCTCGGCAGCACTTCCTTTCTTGCAGGGCGAGAGATTCAGACTGACTCATCTGCTGATCTCGAATCTCTTTTCTGCTATGTCCAATACCTACACGGCTAGACGAGTTTTGCTACACACAAAATACCCTCGATTTCAAAGAAAGAAAAGTGAGACAGAAAATCGGACTAGATATTGCGATACATCGAAGTCAACCGGATGGATTTGATTTGAATTTCGGCCCGCCTCCAGTGTTAATCAAATGGGCACGTGATTTTGGCGCGTAGAAATTTTGTCCGGTTGACTTCGATCCACCGCAATAACAAAAGTACTTCAAATTTCTACAAACATGCAAACTTCTAATGAACGGAAGCTAGAATATTAAGTGTTTCTGTAATATGCAGGAAAAATTACGAAGAACGCCGGTAATTTTTCCGCAAGAAATATCTGTAACTGAACTAAATTCATACGGCGTCATTTGCACCTTTTGTAAAGCTTTTAGGTTACATTTCTATAGGAGAGCTTATCATGTATGCGCAGCTTATATGTTTGGATCAAACAACTAAATATATACAAGTCCGATAAGGCCTTATCTAAATCACTGGTTGGTGGTTTTTCTTCCTGCATTTTTGTACAGTTCGAGAATTGTGAGATTTTGTTGAGCGCAATACAAAACAAACATTTTACTCAGCAGGTATTAGTCAAGTAAATAAGTCAAACTTTAATCATCACATCACACATATTTATACGCACTTGTCACTTGTGTTGTGAAATATCGATTGTGTTTAAGTAATGATGCCACCAGCTGCAAAATACAAACATTAACGAAATAAATTGAATGCTATATCTTTATGTAAACTTATAAAGACTTGTGTGATAAAAGAAACTACGTGTTTAATTTTGTCTGCTCAATCTTGTAGGTAGTGCCGTAGTTGTGAATTTCAAATATCTTTTAGACGATATATTGATTAATTTTTGTTTTACACGTCATTGGTTGATTATTAACATGTTGGGCAAGTCCGAGATTCGTGTCTTTAAAGTAATTGTTATTGGAGATTCCGGTGTGGGTATGGACTTTTTTGAAAAAATAGTCTTTGCGCTATTCTGGTGTAACAAAATCTAAATTATTTTTGCTCCGATTTATGTAGGCAAGACGTGTTTAACGTACAGATTCTGCTCTGGAAAATTTCCAGTCAATTCAGAAGTCACGATTGGGGTGGATTTCAGAGAAAAATGTGTCGATATTGAAGGAGAGGTTATAAAGGTTAGGATTTTGTGATGTAAATTTGTATTCAAATTGACAAGTTAAGTTAATACGATTTTGCGTAGATCAGTATTTGGGACACGGCCGGTCAAGAGCGATTCCGAAAATCGATGATAAGTCATTATTACCGCGGCGTTCATGCGCTCGTCTTTGTTTACGATGTCAACAGCCAAATCAGTTTTGAAGCGCTGCCCAATTGGATAGCGGAATGCGAAAGGTACAACCTGACCTCGTCTGTTCCGCGGATTCTAATCGGAAACAAGGTTGACACTGGAACTCAAACGGTGAATACAAATACTGCACAGAAATTTGCAGATTTACACAACATGCCTGTAAGTACAATATGTTAAACTACTCCCAATTTTCTCTAATAAAATAGCTGCGAAAACGTGGTAATATAGCCTTCTTTTAATAGTTGTTCGAAACGTCAGCGTTGGACGATAGCCTTTCGAATCATGTGGACTCGATATTTATGACGTTGGCTCATAAGCTCAAGGCGAGCAAGCCCATGATGGGTCCAGCACCTACGGACGCACCCCCATCGATTGTTCTCCATAGAGCAGACGTTAGCGGAATTGACCATTCGGAAGAGCAATCTTCATCATGTTTATGCTAATTTTAAGTATACGCTGGTGATAGGTTTTGAACAAATAAAGTAGTGATTAAATTTCGCATAATTTATATACAAAGCGTTGTTCAAGGAAAAGACTAACTGATCAAAATAATGTATTTTTAATTTTATATATTAAAACAATGCAGCAATCTGTCTGTTACATCTGTCTGTTAAGGAACTATGTATTGTAGAACACCGTATATACGTTCGGAGATGTTATGGATAAAGTAGATAACAATTTAATAATGTATGTTCAATATGACCATAAAATAAAAATGATGTGCAAATTACAAAACAACAAGTTGTATTATCTAGTCAAATCAAGAAAAATTGAAAATGTAATGGCACAGACGCCGTCTGTCAGACGGACCATATTTCTCAATTTATTTTCTGCCTGCACTCAATCAGTCATCCATCACTCATCGTCAGCTCTTCTTTCACTCGTCACTCTTCTTTCTCGCAGTCGCAGCTGCCCAAAAAATTCTGATTTTGTTGACCAATTTTTTTCAAAGAATTTCCAAAATATTTACAGACAGGTAAGTTTAATTGATTATTAAAATATTCCGGGAAGAAATGGTGTGATGAATTTAAAATGACAGCAGTAATTTAATGCGTACTGTGGAAAATCTAGACGTAAAAATCTTTCGATATTTAAAATTTTGAATTCACAAAAATTAATTTCCTGATTTGTAGTAATTTACTAATTGTTTAATCCTTGGCCGTTTCTCGATTATAATGCGTGTGATTTGCGTTTGATTTTGACCAATTCCTAAAGTTTTTCTATCTCGATATTTATTAGAGGTGCTAGTTTCGACGAACGACTTGAAAATGTCTAACCAAGCAGCTTCCGGAAAGAAAGACAAGGCCAACATGTTGCGGGAAAAGTTGACCAGATCGTTAGAAGAAGAGGAGGCAAAGGGTCGAGCCATTGCTGATCGTATTGCCGATAAGAAGATGCAGCTTTTAGAAAGGGACCGTGAAAAAGCTCACGTCGCAATTTTGGAGGAGAAGGTGAACGCTTATATGAAGAAAAAGGAGGAAAACAAGAAGAGATAGATCAGGTAATTATAAAAGTAAACTTTTTAAATTTTTTCCATCTTACTGAAATTTTATTTTCTATCCAGATGCGAGGAGGATAACCACAACATTTCATTAATTTTTATGTGTCATTTTTCTTATATCCTCATCCACGTTTGATATGCTGTAACTCTGTAGCGATTCTGCGGTTTTCCACTGCAAAAATGTATTAAACACTGTTGCATTTTCATAATATGCTAGTTTTCTACGTGTTTTATTAATTTTGCTTATATAGAGTACGTGCAAAATTCCACATTTGCATGAAAAGTTTGGAGATGCTTTCCCACAGCGTTTCATGTGCAGGGAAAGTAAACAGATAGACTATGAGTCATCCTCACTTCTCGTCATTCTGTGTCTACAAATGCACAGATTTGCGAATTGCGAGTGAAACATGTGGTAGAAAATCGAATTACGAATATATTAGCCTGTTTTTTGGCTTGGCTTATCACCTCGCTTTAAATGCATTCATTTTAATAGTATTTTTACAAGACAATCATGCATAATCCTCGTCCAACGAATATTAGTATTTTAATCTATAATGATCGGGCGAGTAATTTTATTACACTTATAATCTTAACAAGTTTTTTTACTTTTCCTTTTTTCCACACTGGAAACTGTGATAGTGCAAGTTCAAATTGGATAAGCAATAATTTGGGGGAGATTTCTTCCAGTAATTTACAATCTTCCTCGACAATCCCACCTGATAAAAGTAGTAATTTATCGAAACATCCTGTTCTTCTTGTAATTTCTTTTGACGGTTTTCGCCATGATTACTTTCACCGTGCCGCAACCCCATTTTTGGATCTGCTTAAAGAAGATGGGTCATCGGTTCCGTACATGAAAAACCAATTTGTGACTAAAACATTTCCAAATCATATGTCCATTGCTACAGGGTAAGGAAATGAAAGTGAAAGCGGTGAAAGAATTATAAATAAAATTATGTGTGATTTATTGCAGGTTGCACTGTGAAAGTCATGGAGTAGTTGATAACGACTTATTCGACCCATATTACAACATGTCACTGCCATCGGATTCCAATTTATTTTGGAATTATAATAATGAAACGGTTCCTCTTTGGGTGAGAAATGTGATTGCATGACCTAATAATGAATTTTCAGTGAATTTATGTCTTGATTTTTATAGACTTGGAACGAATTAGCAGGCGATGGTCGTAAAAGCGGTGTGATGATGTGGGTACGTAAGCAATACACAGTTAGTAGTAGTTTAGATGGGTGTAACTGATTAAAATTTGAGACTTTTTAACTGCATAATAGCCAGGGTCGGACCATCCATACGGCCTAAATCATTCAATGCAATTACCATCTCGAGTAGTAAAGTGGAATGAAACTTTTCCATATATTTGGCGCATCGACCGTGTTTTAGAATGGGTTAGTTTGGATAATAATTAGTAAAAATGTAATACGTTTACGTTAAGTAAAACCAATGCTTATTTTGTACAAGTACAAAATACAAGTTTGTATTAAGATAAAATAATACAGAATATTTTGAATCACGTAGATTACAAATGATCAAGAGCCCGTTAACCTAGTTTTCATGTATTTTGAAGAACCCGATGAATATGGTGAGTTTGAATTATTGTCACCTATAACTGTTATTCTGACAATTATGAATTATTAGCACACGCATTCGGCCCAGAATCGGATGAAGTAACTGACAAAATTGTGAAGCTTGATAACGCGACGGGATATCTTGTGAAACAATTAAAGTCAATGAACCTTTTTGACAGAGTCAATCTCATAATTTTAAGCGATCACGGATTTCAAGAAGTTAAAGCGAGTGATATGATTAATATTTCGAGCATTGTTGATCCGGATTTGTATGAACAATTTGGTTCGACACCGGTAGTTCAGCTTAAAGTTAAACCAGGTATGGATTCTAGTTAAAAAGCGTTACTACTATATATCAATATTAATGCTATTATTATTCTTGTTAGGAAATTTTGATGTGGTTTACAACAAATTGAAGAATGCCTCCAAGACTCAAAATTTCACCGTATATAGCAAAGAGGAAATTGCACAAGTGCCCAATTGGTTTTACTCGAAAAACAGAAGAATCTTGGACATTATTGTTGTCGCAAACTTGGGTTACGTATTCGAAGACTTTGCTGACAAAATAAAGTATTACGACTCTCACTTTAATAGAACACGTAAGTCTAGTCTAAAGTTTCTGAATTTACATTTGAAAATTGTGTTAAATCAAATAACTTGTAATTCCTTTATGTAGCAAGTCCAAATAATCGGTACGGCGTTCACGGCTACAGTAATGGTCTCCTGCCTATGCATCCCTTCTTTCTTGCACACGGACCATTATTTCGGTATGAAAATAATAATTGTTAAAATCATCTTAAAACCAAAAATCTTTCATTTGCTACAAATTGGATAAGAAATATGGGTTATTATGTTTATTAGGCACAAATATATTGCTCCTCCATTCGAAAATGTGGATTTATTTCCTCTCATCTGCAAAATTTTGGGCCTTGAGACTCGATCCAGTAATGGCACTTTTGAAAACGTAAAGAATCTGATTGTCACACAAGGTTTTGCTGTTGGGAGTCCTGTTGGGTGGGCGATTGGTAAATACATACTTACTAATTTTGTAGTTGTGCAATTATGGTTTATTAATCAGAAGAATTAAATAGGGGCCGGACTTGTTTTCGGCGTAATGATTTTACTCGGGATTATGTCCATCTTGGCGTCAACTAGTCGTGAAAGAGATCGAAGAGCTAGATCATCATATTCACAGAATGGCACAAGAGGATACAGGTACGGAGCCCTTCCTACCAATGAATAATTTGTTTTTAGTATTTTATGCTTGCCTTGTTAAGTAGTTTTATTATTTCGGGTATTTTTAATCTTCAGTTTTGAAATAAAGCAGCATGCATTTCGTGCATGTACCTATTTATGCATTGGTTTCGGGGCTATATTATTTTTGTTCATACATATGTTCTAATGCAGTAATCCTTATATAATAATGAACAATGTAGGTTTATTAATCGCCGGAATTCCTACGATTCAGCTGATGAAAATGAAAATGTAGAGGGGAACGTGGGGGGTGTGTCCTCAGTTCTCAATAATCTTGTTGACGATGATGATGATGATGATGAGCACAATGAAGAATGTCAACCAGGAAAAGAAGAATATCAAGCACTATTGAAGACAGAGGAAGTTTAGTGTGCATTCTTACTGAATGATTTGGTCTCATTCGGGAGATCGCGTTGCTGCCTTGGAGTCAAAATCATCATATGCACTGATAACAGGAATCTTTCTCAAGTACAATCTCAAACACTATGTAACGTAACTTATACGATCTCATAAAAGTATTTCCTTATTGATATTCCTTATTTCCATTCCATAAAATTATCTGTATAAGCACAACTAAAATTTCTGATTGATATTTCCGGAAAAAAGGTTGAGGTTGTGAGTGAACTCTTGTGATAAAAAATGTTAATTCCTTCTAGTCGTTATTGTAATCTAAAAACGGTCTATAAATGTTTTCATTAATGTATTCAAATTACAACAAAAAAATCGTAGTTTTTCATGAATGTATTTGTTTTTAATAAAGTCATAAAAATCATGGAATGAACAAAGTATTGCATTCTTTTTGGTTCTGTTTATTTATGACAATGAAAAGCGTTACTCATTTTACATGTCACTTATATATTTTGCAATATTTTATTTTAACCCATTATTTTTAGGCAAATAAAACTAGCGAGTACGTCAACATGCGGCGTAATAATAATGAAAATTATTAATCCTGAATTTACAAAATAAAGTTACATCATCGACATCACAATTGAATTTTACGATATTTTATAAGTGCCAGTAACATTATTGGCATGCTTGATTAATTGGCTGTCTGGCAATGACCGACACCGGAGCGGTCCACGTGGCGTTTCTTTCTAGTTAGTAAAATAATAGTTCACGGCGAATATCTTTCGTTCCTCCGCTGTTTTAGTCCGATAATTTCACAATATCTTCATACTACCCATAATTATCTAATTAATAATTATGAGTGTTTGGCTTAAACATTTACATCATTCGAGTCACAAAAATAAACGATTACAATTTTCATACAATTTTGGAAGAATTTTCAAAAGTTTTCGTGACATTACTAAATAATCATAGTCATTTCTCTTATAGTCCAGCCAGACTCACTCCAGCAACAAAATGGTAATTAATCTTTCATTGTAATTGTAAATATTCTTTGGAACGGAAACGAGGTCACAATAGTAATTTTCGATTGGCTTTTTGCATTTAGTGACAAAAACGGCACTTTGAGAGTAGTACGTCAAAAGTGCAGTTTACTTACGGAACACAGTCTTTCATAAAGTATTATTATGTTTATATATATATATAACTAGTTACTTATTAGCTTACATTACATAAGCACATTGCATGCTGCTGCGGACATAAGCGAGTGAGACACTTGGATATATTTATTATTACTAAAATATGTAGCAACGTTACTTGGTCGGTGATATATATAAATTACGTAAAAATAGGAACTTCTTTGCAACAATTACTTTTGAGACACGTCAATGGCATTTAAAAACCTCACATATGCATAATTGCTCAAATGCTCGTCTACAAAGTACTTACAGAAATATAGTATAGATAGATAGAGGCGAATATTATGAAAAACAACAATCTCCAAATGTAGTATATAATTTCAGTTTGAAATGTTTAAAAGATTGTCAGTAGTAGTGGAGATAATTGTACATACGTTACGTTATTACATGCTATATAATTTGCTGATAAAAGAAAACACACCAATTTGTTTGAACACAATGTTGCATTAGGTGATAAACGTTGAAATGGAGAAATCTTCAAAAATGCGAATATGTATGAGCAAATTATTTCCTATACACAAAAATTTTGCTTCCAGTTTGTCTTATATTATGTACGCATTATAAAAATAAATAATACAAAAATTATGCGATCGGAATGAATTCTCATGATTCGGTGAGTTCTCAATCATAATATCTCTCGTCTTCTTTTATGTATTTTTTTAGGTAATTGGATCCAGATGAAGAGGTGAGTCAATCATTGTAGACTTTGATAGTTTTCTGCTGCTAATTCTAGACTTGTTACCATTAAAGCCGTTATCAGAGGAGGTTGACGGTCCATTTTGATTCTTATTAGAAGATGTTAACCCACCTACACGATTATTATTAATAGAAGCTGATGTTGACGGTTGATTTTGAAATTTCTTGGAGGAAGAGGAGGAGCTGTTGTTGTTGGTAGGAATTTTACCATTAACACTCGTGTTCGCACTACTACTGCCAATACGATTGCGAGCTAGGATATCTTTTGACAATTGGTGTTGTGATTTGAGGGAGTGGACAGAAGAAGACGAGGATTTATTTTTTCTATTTCCAGACAAGTTGGAGATTGATGGCAGAGAAATAGCGGAATCGTCTCTTTGCCCATTATTTTTATCATGTCCTAGTCGGGAACGTTTAGAACGTGTGCTCAAATCTATTCTACGTAATCCTTGAGCAGAGATGGGATCATCGATATCTAGGCCTGATGCATCCGCACTAATGAACCCGTAACCGTAACGGAATGGCTGGTTTGTTGACGAGGAGGAGAATGATTGTTGAGAAGAGTTTAAGATAGTGGGGTCGTCAAAATAATCATCATTTGGTGTTGCTTGATACGAAGGTAGTAGGTTCGAAGGATTGGAGTCAACTCTGGTATTATGATTTTCTTGACTTAGATTTGACTCTGAACCAGAATCTGCACTTGTTGTGGCAGGATCTTCTTCAATCGAGTTGTACAAGTTTCTCATAGAACCTACATAAATGAATAATAAATAAAAGCACAATTAATATTTTGCTCATGAAATCACGCGTGGATCACATCACACATATAATTCTTCTTACCAACACTTATCTCTCCAAAATGAGTGCATTAAATAACAATATTACGTATTGTGATTAGAGACATATGTAACTACATAAGGTTTTGAGACACGGAAATGAGCAAGAGCCAACAATTAAGTATTAAAATCGGACTAGTCTGACTAAATGTGATGAATATAGTGTAATCAATCTACGGATAAAATTGTCAATTTTTACATGACCTACCTAAATACATACATATACACTTATTAACCTATTTGGACTTTACACAATTTTTTCGAGAGTTTGAAACTACTCCTTCCCCACTATTTGAGTGATCTAGCTTATCTATTGTGCATGTTTTATTATTACTGCTACTAGTACTATTACCGATTGTATTTTTCGTTGTGATGCTGTACCTTTGAACTTCAACCACTTTCACTGAAGGGATTTCCACAACGTTTCCGTTATTATTATTCATGCTCCCTCCACAATCGGATTGTGGTTTAATAAAATCCTTGCATTCTTTATCATCATCAGCTAGAAAAGATTTTGAGTTAGACTTTGAAGAGTTTGAAACGTTGCGAAGGCTAAGAAGACTCTTAGATTTTTCCTTTTCTTGACTACGATACGGGTAACTATTAAAATTGAAGAGCTTTTTCTGGGACGATGCAAGTTGGACACTATTATTCCTACTGACGAGAATAACACTGCGTCTCCGTTCTAAAAAGTCGCCTTGTGAATAGGGTCTTGTTTTGCCATGGCTAGATGAATTGGCGACAGTTCGTCGACACACGTATCGCCCTTGATGCTGATCTATTGGTTTATTGGTAGTTCCAGTAGAAAAAGTTTGAAGATTTTGAAAGTTTTCTTCCTTACCAGAATTCATATTGCTGAGAGACCTATTTGAGCTGTTACTCGTGTACAAAAGACCACTCCCACTGTCGGGCGAGTGACTGGTTAACGTAATCCCGTCAGCGACTTGCTTTGCTATGGGTGGCGGGGCTCCTGATGTCGAAATTTGATGATTTAATTGGGCGTGCATTTGCGGCTGTGATGTTGTTGCTGAAGTAAAAGTAGTAGGTTGTTGTTGTTGTTGGTTTTGACTTTTTGCGACCCCAGAACGATTAGAAGCTTCCACACACTACAATGAGAAATACATAATAATCATATAATAGAAAATTAATTATTTATTTGTGGTATTTTACCTGTGGTCCAGTTTTCATAGATGTTTGAATATGTAAACTGCTACGGTTGCAGATTGACGACGTAGGAACTCCTGTCGCATCATTTTTTCTCGGAAGTGATAACAAGAAATCGTCGGTAACTTTGCCTCGTGGGTCTAAAAATAAAATAAAATGCATAAATATATGCAAATCAATTATCCTTAATTATAGATAACGATATATGTACGTACCTATCAAACTGGGTTGTAAAGGTCCACAAAGGACGAAAGAACAATTTAGGAAAATATTTCCTCGAGAAAATGGATTTTTAATGGCCGACCTTCCAAATAGGCCTTTTATCTGCATAGAGGAAAGTGAACGAGTAATGAGAATTGCAGAGAATAAAATATACATACATTATACTAATTATTGATTGCCAACTTACATCCTCATTTGTAGTCTGTTCGACAGATATTAGGTATGTATGAAATCCGGCTAGACCTGAACATGCATATAAGAAGGATATGATATATGGTCAATAACTCAATATCCTACACAATTAATGATTGTTTACCCAAAACAGTCCACATGCCAAAGAAGCTTATGACAACCACAATGGCACTAGTTGGAGACTCCTTCAGAGCGTCTAGAAAATTTCCCCTTTCTTTTGAAACTGGAAAGGAAATGTTATTCATGATTTTATGACAATTTTGTCAGGGGCGTTTAAAATATCTGCACGCTTATTGTATCTATTCTTACCCAGTACAAGATGAGCCGTAGCACACGAGAGCACGAACACACAAAGAAAACTAAGCGAAAGAACGAATGCGTAGAAATGCCTATAATTTCTTTTCCCGATGCAGTTGCCCTACATAATATATAATATATGTATAACATATATATAATATATATATAATATATAAAACAAACCAGGAAGGGACAATGGTGGTCGAAACGATCTACACCTGTAATAAATCGTGTTTTTTAAGCAAAAAAACAAATTTGTGATAAAATTATTACAATTATTATTAAAATACTTCAAATCGAATGCACGAAAGAACTGTTAGTTAATTATCGGAACATTATAATTTAGTTTTATCAAATACATGAATTATTTACGATACGAGTTATAAAGGTTAGTTTAGTTATCATTTCTTAATCGACTCATGGAGTGGTACGCATGCCAAATATATTCGCCAAATACTTACAATTATCACATACGCCACAGTGTGAGGCTCTTGGAGGACGAAACATTTTGCAAGTAAAACAATACTTGACTTTAAGTGTTTGACCATTGACGATAACATCTTTGGTTCGAGGTGGTGGCCGTCCAACATTATTTGTGGCGTAACATCGTTCCATGTATTCCGCTTCTTGTTGCGACGCCCGAGGAATTATACCAGGATCACTAAATGTTGTTTTCAACATGCTGACAATTACAGTAAGGAACATGAAGATTCCCAATATTGGCACAGCAAGTGACCATCTGTCCGCCAGATACGGCCCACTAGAAATTAAAATGAATAAATATTTATGAAAATGTATAATTTTATTTATAAGATGAATGAGATGGAAATTAACTAAAAATAGAATGACGTACTCAAATATGATGAAAAGAGTGAACGTGACTACAATCAGGAGAAAACAGCACAGACAAAAACTAATATTTGGTGCCGCAATTAATCTCCCGTTACAAAAAAATCTATTCTTTCCAGGAAAATATCGCCATTTTCGATCGGCATCCTTTTTTATTGCTTCCTTCTTCTTGGTGGTACCATTTTCAACGTCGATAACTACGCTTTTGCCAGCCATGGGAGTAGAAGATAGTACATCGGGAGGGAATCCATTGTTATCTCCCCCTACGACGGGGGAGTTGGGAGATTCTACTTTAATTTCCCTCAATTCTGGTTCTTTCTTATTAGACGGACTGAATTCGATGTTGGTTAACTCCATCGTATTATTTTTTTGTACACAAAACGAGCAAGTTCCAATATCTCGACACACTGAACAATAAGCATTTGACGCTGATTTAGTAGTAGGTGGATTAGTCAAAGTTCTCACAGCTGAATAACTTTCATTACTAGGGTGTCCCAACTTTGTAAAAAAAATCGCTTTTTCCGCTCACGATTTTTTCGCTCTTTTTGTAAACCGCACTGCGCATGCGATTCCGATCTTTTTTCCGCTTTTTCTGCTCAAAAATAAAATCTACTTTAAGATGATTTTTTCGCTCTTTTTACTACTTTGAGTGAAAAATCAGTCTCTCAGAGACATGTTTAAGGGGACATCGCCCGATTTTGATGCCCTATGGAATATATTGCAATATCAGGTGAGTGTATGAAAAGTGAGGGAGGATTTTATTCCATTGCCCCACCTGCGCCCGCCACACCCCCTGAAAAGCATTGCAACCACTAAAACTACCGCATTCAAACCTTTGCCAAAAATCCTATTTTCATCCCATTTTGGTAATTTTTGGATTTACATGATCTTAGATAGTTGTTTTATCATATCCAACATGAAGCAAATTTAAATTTTAAAAGAAACTCGAAAGTTTCCTGACCACCCATTCTCTGCTCCCGAGTATTCAAGCGATAAAAAATCGGGACAGTCAAGTATTGAGCGAAAAAAGCGGATTTCAGATTTTTTAGCTTTTCGCTTTTTCAGATCTTTTTTACAAACTTGGGAGACCCTACTATGTACGATTTTCTTCTTGGTCTTGGAACCATGAACCATGTCCATTCCAATACCCGTTACAGCAGCAGAGAGGGTTTAATCAGTTTGGTAATATAGTCTTAGTTTTCCAAGAAAATTTCTTCGGTAACACGCAAATTATGGAAAGTAAGAGTGGCGTAGGATAGGAGAACTTCTCAGCAACAGACCGAACCTAAAATAACATATAAATATGCTGAGTTAAACGAATAATAGCAAGAATTGAAGAATAAATAAGAATGATTGCCTCCATCGATTCTTTCTTATTGATTTGTAAAGATACTATAATTTGATGCTCACCAGAAACTCACTTGTTGTGCGTTACATAAAATCAATCCAACGATATCCCAGCTGAGGCAGGTGCGTGTCGAAAATCAGTCACAAGTTAGGAAATAAATGTATTTTCTTTATACTCTCTTCTCATCAATTTCTTTTCTGGGTTTCTTGATTACAATTTGTCCGAGTCATCATTATTTGCTACTATATACATGTCGTCTATCTTTAACCTGCAAGATCAATAAAAAAACATTGTATATGACGATGACGAAGAATCGCCTCAATCTAAATACAACGAACTATACCAATTTAAATAATTATTTCTCACCTCCTACTTCACTCTCCAGAAATAGACCAACTCCCACTCACCACTCTCACACATTCACACCTCCAGCTATTTAATTTAATTAACACAATTGAGTAAGTATCAGTTCACGTTCCCAACTAATACCCAATAACTAGTCTTCTTTCCCTTTGTTTATTATTATACTCTGTGTGACAGGTCTCATTTAAAATCACGACACTTTGATTTCAAGCCTATTACACATCAGGGAGTGGGACAGGACAGGAAATAGTACTTTCTGGCGAGGGAGATGAAGTCAAAAGTGGGAAATGACATTTACATTTGACTTTATACATTCAATATATAGCACTTCACTTCACCATAACCTTTCAAAACAGGCGAATTCCTGCCTGTTCACTAATATTAGTCTCGATCTGACTTGTGCTTTTTGCAAGCCCTGCCGTGCAGAAGAATTCTTCTTCCATCATTCACTCAACTTTTGCTCTTTTGCCTTGCATTCGCCAATGCAATGCAAATTCATCGAATAAATGGAGATGGATACGGATGCCGTGATGTCGAGCGTGTTATGAATATCGAGCACGAATATGAGCAGTATAACCAATTTCTGCACATACTCCCATCCAAAGTGTGGATTTTGGCTCAATCCATCCAGCCCAGCAGCAGCAGAGCATTTCGCAAAACCAAGTCACACAAGTTTGCAATTTCTCTTATTTTCAAGTGCAAGTCTCTGATTTGCAAGTATTTTGAATGTCCCGCATTTTCTCATTGCCGTGTGACTACCCGGTCGCCAAATCATCACTTATTTATGTTTTTTGGCTCTACTGTCACGGTTCTGGGTTTGTTGATGTTAAAACATGTCGACGTCTTTGGCCCCCTCGTCGCCAACGACGCTAGGTCCGATGACACCACCGTTACCTGTATTACAGAGCAGTAAGCCATCCTTGGTACACTTGAATGTGAGAGAGGTCCTGGAAAAAGAGTCGGTCGACCATGCCAAAGAAATTTCAAAAAAGGTTAATCTGGAAATTGAAAAGAAAAAGGAAGAGTTAAGGATGTTGGTCGGGTAAGTTATTAGTTCAATATTGAGTGGTTGCAAATTATAAGTCAGATAGTTCATTATGTTTTACTGCAAATTTCGCAGAGAGCGGTATCGAGACTTGATTGATGCGGCGGACACTATCGGAACAATGAAGACGAGTTCTGTATCAGTTTTTGACCAATTGACTGTTCTTCGAGAAAAGTTTTCTAGCTTTCCTACTCAGCTTGTAAATATTAAAACGCCAAAGGAGTTTGAGAACAAAAAGTATTTCGAATATTAATGCGTTTATATGAATGTTGATGGAAATGGAGCATATGCTAATTCGTTAATAATTTGTTTTTGATTAGCCGGTTGAATGCTGAGGAATTTGAAATCGCATCCGAACTGAAACTCTCATTTGAAGTGCCTCGCCAACTAAATGTCTGTTTGGATAAGAAACAACTAGTTCCTGCCGTCCATTTGTATTTATTCTATGAAAAATATTTGTGTCAAAATTCCAAACCATACTCTTGGACATTCTTGAACAGTAATTCAGGCCAAACTGCACAAGAGACTTCAGAGAGCATGAAAATTTCAATTTTGACAGAATGTTCGGCTGTCTTTGAGAATGATGATGAGCAAATTGAGGTTAGCCAGAAACAGTGTTACAATTCAGATAATGTTTAATTAAAATTAACGAATAATGTTTCTGATTTACAGAAAATTGCTGAATCCATAATTGCTAAACAGGTCTTGTCCAAGTCAACATGTGAAGAAGTAATAAAAGAATTCTTAGCGCAAAGAATAAAAAATATTCAAAATTCGTTGGATGACCAAGACCCAAACTTTGTAAAAGATATCACTTCATCCCTTAAAGCTGTACACTCCATATTTATTGGTAATTTTAAAGCAACATGTCTAATATTACAAGCTTCTAATGTATCTAACAATTTCACGCAACGAATTTCGTAGAACCGCAGCTATACAACTTATCAGCAAAGAAAATGAAACGACCAAATCTGTTGACTGGTCAGTTTGGCTTTAAATTCACAACAAAGTCTTTGAGCACCTTTCACCAAGAAACTTTGAATATTGAAGAACCTCCTAGACCAACAATTTTGGCTGATCTAATCCTAAAGCAATTTATCGATCCTTTAAAAATTGTTTTGGAACAATGTTACTCTACACAAAAATTTCTACCAGATTCAGAACTGAAAAGCTTTGACGATTTGAGCAAATATCGTTCTCTGATTATGAATAGTTTAATAGCTAACAAAGAGGCTCAAGATTTACTTCGAATCGTCCTTGGGACCTCAAAGACGTTATGGACCGAAGCTTTCTATCCAGTTTTTACAGAAAAGTGTAACACAGTTTCAAGAAATTGGATGCACACAATTTTCACTTTTTTGGAGCACGATGCACTACCACGATTTCAAAAGTGAGCAGTTTTTAATTCACAATCTAAATTGGATATATTCAAATATCTAAAAATAGTAATGTTAAAAATAATATCTCTCTAATGACTATATTTTTTTTACTATTCAGAGTGGATGAACAATTAGATTTAGTCTCATTTGTCTGGAAACCACCAACATTAAACGTTAATGAATCATCAAACAAGTCATTGTACGACACTGACTTGGACTTAAAATTGAAATTAAATGGTTTATCCCCACCAGTTGCTAGTCTGTGTTCGGAGCTCGAAAACCAATTTCAAGAACTCTTGAAAGATTTTCAACACCTCGGAGACACGACTTTGAAAAATCACATCTCTTCAAGTCTTGTACAAGAGTTCGACCAATTCCTGAAATCAAAAGTCACATCCTGCCGGAATTTGTTCATTGGGAAATTGTGTACAGCTATTTCTGAATTGTGTACAACTTTGTGGAAACTGTTAAATCAAAATGTACATACTTGAATTTATTACAATTTATGGTGGATGCTTACTATTAATTAAACGTTTCTTTGATTTTGTTACAGGATAAACTTTTGTTGAGACAAATTTTACAGTCAAAATGTGAAGAATGCTGGTCAGCGTGGAGTGAAGAAGTCATTGATAAATTCAGATCAAACTTGGAAACCAAAATGTGTGACCTGCGACCTTTTACTGTAGCATCCTTCATGCCGGTAATTTATCCATATTTTTTCAAGAAAATTCCAACATTTTTCCACGATAATGGAATATGCAGTTTCTAATTACTTTACATCAGGTAGCCGAGGATTTCGTATCGTCATCAACTGATGGAGAAGTTGTCAAAGCATCTATTCGAGTCCCACTTCAATTATCACATCAAATCCACGCTTTGGTTTTCGGAATTTGCGTAGATCTGGCAAAAGTTGGTCCACAATCTATTCCTAAGATTGTGAGAGAAAATATTCGCCTCAGATTGGGATCCATCATTGCAAAAATTTACCACAATCTTATCGACCAATCATCCACAGCATCTTCGTCTGGCGAACCTGCTGATGGGGTTGAAGAGCAACGGCTTCTACCCCAAGTTGCAGTGCAGCTTATATTTGATTTGAAATTTTGTCAATGGTTCCATTCCACACTCTCCGAAAACGACACATATAAAACTCTTGTGGCTAACTTAACGGGAGTTATAGATCCTTTCGATTTAGACATTGTCGTTCCCAGAATGACGGTCAACCTGAAGAAATTTCTATTTGAGACACACGTAAGTATAATGATATAACCTATGCATATTCAATAGCTGTTTGAAACAATATATAATTAACGTCGCCCGTTCTTTCTTCTAGTTGACGTTGGGTCTCCTTTTCTCCGAAGAAAGTCACAGCTTCATTCACTTCTTCAAAACCAAACAAAACCCAATATCTCTTGTGAATCAAACGCTTTGCACTACACTTCCTTTACTTCCAATTTAATTATCAATTAATCATACGTTGGACGTTATATTGTGGGTCCAGGTTTATCAATTCACGACCTTCTGGGCAATTGTACTTTGTATCTAAACGAAAATAATAATAAAGTTAAATAATTATGCCTAACAATAATAATACAATACATAAATTTTTGTTACGATTTATCTGGTGGCATTTGGAACACACGGGTGGATGAGGAGGTACAGACATTATGCACCGGTGCAAAAACAATTGAATTTGTTCAATTATTTTGCAAATTGTTTAAAATGTGGAAGGGAGAAAAGTAAGCGAATGTGTTTGAATTGAGCGGGCTCAAACTCGATGATGGTTTTGGGGAAGAGATAACGAGAAAATCCACGCTCTAAACAAGTTGAAACTTGTTAGGAATGTGGCGTCCAGCAGCCAACGACATGGAAATGTGACCCATCATTCGGACTTTAGCACTCCAGAAGACAAGAAGCAACAAGAAGGTTCTCCAAAACTCTTTCAGCAGATTCAACATAAAAATCCAACTGTCCTTCTCAGGACAATCTGCACAAATCGTGACCATGTCAAACGATAAGTAGGTGCCTTACTATTTCCCTTTTATATAATTACTTGAAATATGTAACCTTGACCGGTCAAGACAATATTTGTTAGCACATGTTTGAGTATCTAAAGATAACCTTTGCACTAGTTTTTCAGATTTGGAAGATTCCAGCAATTCCGGGGACGTGGCACGATTCGATGACGAGGACGAAGAAGTTTTACAGATCTTGAAAAACCGAAAACGCAAAGCACGCGTCATTGACTCGGACTCGGAGGAATCTGAAGATGAGGACGAGGAAGAAGACGAAACGCTGGACCGGTCCACATCGGATTCGGGTTCATCGTCAAGCGAGGAGAACCAGGACTTCACTCAACGTAAATATGGAAAGGTAAATGTGTTTACTATTTCATTTGACTAATATGAATATAATGCATCTCACAATTAGTTCAATTTTTGTTTACATTTTAGTTGTCCAACAATTACCGACAACAAGTAAGTCGCGAGGAGTTGATTGACTGGTTGAAGGAAGTGGAGAAGGATCCATCAGCAGGTCGAGAAATCCTGGATGTAAGGCGAAAGGAGCTTGAAACGGCTGCACATTTGAGACAAGAAGATCGAGATCAAATGGATCTTCAGTTTGACGTTCGTATTCCTGGTAAGAATAAACAAATTCTTTCAAAAAATGTGCCTCTTTAAACATTTCTAATTTAACCGGTTAAATATTATTGTATTTGTTAAAAAGGTTCGTCAGTTAAAGGATTTTATGTCGTAAACGCAAGTGGTAAACGGAATCGGCTATCGTCGTATTATGCAGCTGTGATGAGATCAGGCGTTTCACAAGCTAAGACACACGCGTGCAGCCTACAGAGACCCGGAACATCCTCTACACCAACGGGTATTGGGTAGTAGGCATACATCCAACGAAAAAAGACCACCATTGGACATAATTTACGCTGCATCCTTGGTTCGACAAGACAAGATGGGCATTGATGTATTTGAAACTCTGAAATCACTGGAACCGGTTCCAAATGGAGCTGGGATGGAAGATTATATTGGATCATACTGCGGTCCCGGTCGTTCGTCAGTTAGACCCTCCCACTTTATCCCTGCAGAAACTGCAAGTCACTCACACATTTTCAAAAGAACTGTTGGAAGTGAAGACCCCGACTTCTGCGCCGAAAAGAAGATTGTTCTGTGCGACTCGACCTATACGAAAGAGATTGGAGAAGGATTTCTACTGGTAATTTGCATCCCATAGCTTTATCACTATATTAATTGTGAGACCGGTCTAAATTAACCTTGAATAATTCACTAAATCTAGGCCTATGCCCAGAAATATAATAGGATGCATGATACTCATCGTTACATCATCACGGAGACTGCGACTCCATCAGCTGAACTCATCCAAAAAGCCCAACAATACGTCATCGATGAAGTCCCAATGTTCCGCTATATTAAAGACGGAGACCGGTCTCATCCACCTCGTTGGGCTACTCTTGATCAAGTCACCACCCTCCCCTATACCGTATCCCCAAAGAACGTGATTCTCCGCTTCGATCCTGAGCATCCTGATGAAAAAAGATACTACAAAACTTTCAAGAATCTTGGACGACTGGTAGAAGAATTTGGAGATCCTCCTCCAAGTTATTTCGTCACCATGGACAATTCAAGAGAAAGATTCCGACTGGAGTTCGAACAACTTATTAGACAAGCCGGCAATCAGTATTAGTTTACGATTATAATTTGCTGGACCGGTCCAGCGTTATATCTCGTTTCCCAATTACAAAATGACATTGATTTCTTTTACTTATGTACTTAGTTAAGTTCCCTTTTGCTAAAAAAAATTGTCTTATTTATGAACTAATGTCTACTATGCCTTGTTCGATTTTTCCATAATAAACAAAATTTAAGCAATTGACAGTTAACATTAACTCTAGCGTCTCCTGCCCAAGTTAATTAATTTTATAAAGGCTCAGATGGTCGTCTCACCCAACTCACAACCACTGCTTGTTGCTTCATTGCTCAAAATTTCAAAACCAAACAAAACCAAAGTTTATCTCTTGTCAACCAAACGCTTTCTACTCCACTCCCATTACTCCCGATTTAATGATGCAGTTTTGGAAGGCCTTTTAAACTTGTGATAATGAAAATAGAGCGACAATTTTGACAATGTTTAGTAAGAATTCGAAATTCCAAAGTATTACATTTATTTATAGTCCAGCCAATTTTGAATTGTTACCTATAACTTATTGTACTGATGTTTATCAAAGTAATAAATTAAAGTTGACTAAAATTGCACAAATTCTGATCATAATTTTCATGCAAATTTCATTTCATGCAATTTTTTGTAAGAATCACAGATTTTTCATCCCGCGAATGTGAAATAGAAAGTTACAGGGACATACATGGAGTGATGGGTCGTTTCTCGCTTCCCATTGCCATCAACTTAAATAAATATTTACTTTTAATTGTATAATTCGCATTTTAACGTATTTTAAATTTACATTTTAATTAATCACAAGATTTTTACTTGGTGGCAACAAATTCACTGTGCAATTAATGAAGACAGCGATTGTGGGCGTGGGCGTGGAGATATAAATGATGGCCTCTTTAATTAGGACTTTTAGAAATTAAATAAATTGTAAATTATTAGTGTGATATTTAAAATCTTTCAAAATGAGTGTCCAAATAAACGAGATTTTACGAAACGCCGAATTAGCCAGGGAGCAAGCTTTGGTTGGCAATTATGAGGTATGGCTTTGATTAAGCAAATTTTAAAGCCTTTTGCTAAATATTAACCATCAAAACTACATCATACTCGAAACAAATCAATTATGTATTAAATTTCCTGCATTTGCTATTTGAATTTAAAACAGATGTCTACAGTCTATTATCAAGGCGTCGTCCAGCAGATTCATCGCTTGTTGGCTACAATTGTTGACCCCACGAGAAGAACGAGATGGCAAGAGGTGAACAATAAACTTGGTTAAATAATTAACACATAGTTTTATCAGCTACATAATATATTTCAACTTTATGCTAGATCCAACACCAGCTTGCCGTAGAGTACGAAAACGTCAAGGGGATCCAATCCCAATTAAATATGTTTCGTCACGATGGCGGAGGAGACAATCGAGGTCTTGGCCCCATGCCCGTGTTACGGATGCCTTCCTACGAGGAGCCCACGAGGGACGCCAACATGTGGGGTGGTACAAGTGGGGCGGGATTTGGTGGGCCTGGTGGCGATATGTGGGGTCAACCAAAGCGGGACCCAGACGTATGGCCGCCAGCGCCGGATAGGTAAACTATGCTACTTCCAAAATTTCTAATAAACGTTGGAGTGCCTAGCAGCCTATTATCGTTTAATTCCAAATAATTTATATATTAAATTTAGACCACCACCTGGTGTTGCACAACAACAGCCAAAACCAGTTCAACGACGTGGTGCTGGTGCCAAGGCAGCTACAGCTGGACCTGGTCGCGGTCATGGAAGAAATGCTGCCCCGGCAGGTAGAAATCAATCAAAAACCGCACCTACAACTGGCGGCCGTGGCGGTGGTGCTGCTAGTCGTGGGGGTGCTGCCCCCGGCGGAAGGACCACGTACGGGAATGTTACCAAAGATGATCAAAGCGTCAATAAAGATGGGAGCAAGCCAGCTGATGGAAGCAATAAAGAGGGTGAACATGGAGAAGATGACAGAAAATTTGAAGCAGATTGTCACATGGATGCAGATTTAGTGGACATGTTGGAACGCGATATTCTACAAAAACATCTAAGCGTTCATTGGGACGATGTAATAATAATTCATAGATTTCTAGTCTACCCAATAAGCCATACAGTGCAGATTTTATGTAGTCCGAGTCGGTCAGTTTTTTTAGATGTATTACTCGGCATTACGTCCCATTAGTTAATATTTTGAAAAAAATGGACAGTAAATGACAACTATATAAAGTCGGTGCTGTATGTTTGGTGCTTAAATGGAATAAAATTAACACTGTTTCTTAAACTTTATAGATAGCTGATCTGGCGGAAGCAAAACAGGTAACAAACAAGTTAATATTTGGACATTTTTCCTAGTTATAATTAGCAAATACCAAAGGGAACCGAAGAGAAAGTCAATTATATGTATATAATTTTTTAACGTTCTTATTTTCAGTTGTTGCAAGAAGCTGTAGTGTTGCCCATGTTGATGCCCCAGTTCTTTACCGTACTAATAATTTATAAAACTCTCATTAGTATAATTACAAAAAACTTTTAAATATATTGTATGATGCTTAATCACAGGGAATTAGGAGACCTTGGAAGGGAGTTCTGATGGTGGGTCCACCGGTATGCATAAATAACTTAATATCATGTCTATAAGGGACTATAGCTAGCAGGTGATTAATAAATTATTATTTTTCTAATTAGGGCACTGGGAAAACACTGCTGGCCAAGGCTGTTGCAACAGAATGTGGAACAACATTTTTCAACGTGTCCTCGTCAACCCTGACATCGAAATATCGTGGAGAATCCGAAAAATTAGTCCGACTTTTATTCGAAATGGCCAGATTTTATGCTCCATCGACCATCTTCATTGATGAAATTGATTCTCTCTGCTCTCGACGTGGATCAGAAAATGAGCATGAAGCTAGTCGGCGAGTCAAGTCCGAATTGCTAGTGCAAATGGATGGAATCAATTCTGTCGGAAATGGAGAAGAGCTTAAAATGGTCATGGTGCTTGCGGCAACAAATTTTCCGTGGGATATCGACGAGGCACTGAGACGTAGATTAGAGAAACGAATTTATATCCCATTGCCGACAAGTACGCAATTTTATAATTCATTTATATAATTTTTAGTTGAGATTATTGCAACATTTTATACTTCCATAGATGAGGGTCGACTAAAACTGCTGGATATAAATCTTCGAGAAGTTCAATTAGGTGAGGACGTCAATCTACGGACAATTGCTCGTAAATTGGATGGGTATTCTGGGGCAGATATCACTAACGTTTGCAGGTATTTAGCAATCTAATTATATTTCTATATCGCCACATTGTATAAGACATAATTGATCCATTTCATTTCTTTAAATAGGGACGCATCAATGATGGTAAGAAAAGTATAAACAATGAAAATAAGGTGCAAAATAACTATTTTTCATAAATGCAGGCAATGCGACGTCGGGTAGCTGGCTTAAAACCGGAGGTTATACATAATTTAACTACTTAAATTTTCACAAGTCCCCAAAATAACTTGGCAAAGTCATTTACTTTTTACTCTTTTCTAGGAGATTCGCACCCTTCCTAAAGAAGAATTGGACCTTCCTGTTACTCAGCAAGATTTTGACGAAGCGTTAAAGAAGACCAACAAAAGCGTTAGTCAGGATGATTTGGAAAAATACGAAAAATGGATGGCTGAATTCGGATCATCCTAATAATCAATAACGATAATCAACATTCCAATAAGAAGAATCATTCCTCCACACACACAATTTTTAATATTTTTAATAACACTTGAAATGCAATTCCATGGATGTTTAATCTCTCCGTCCATTAGTCCAGCTACGCATGGAATGGATCACCAACTAATCAATAATTAACAGCAAAATAATAATTCTCAGCTAAAATATGTATGTAATTTTTCTGTGATAATGACGTTTTAAACTTTATATGTAACTAATATTTTAACCATTTTAACCTGTAACTATTTTAATCTTGCACGTTCAAAACGCATAACATTTTTTAACTCTCATTGTTTTTAAATTAATGTTTTACACCTAATGTCAAATTTAAAAGTGTGAAATTCACGAATCACTATATTTTGTCTAAAACTCTTTATTTGTTTGATTAAATAAATAAACCGTCGCAAACGCGCATACGGAAGTAGCTTCAGACGTACTTCACCCCAAACGGTCCCACCACAACTCGGGAACACTTAATTTCACTCTATTTCACCTATAGATTAATTTTTTGTAAAAATCTCATTTTGCCCCGACCACACCCCCTGGCGACGAGGGGGTGTGGAACAGCTCGGGAACACTTAATTTCACTCTATTTCATCTATAGATTAATTTTTTATAAAAATCTCATTTTGCCCCAACCACACCCCTGGCGCCTAGGGGGTGTGGCACAACTCCGGAACACATAATTTTACTCTATTTCACCTATAGATTAAATTGCACTAAAAATCTCATTTTGCCCCAACCACACCCGCTGGCGCCGAAGGGGTGCGGCAAAATCGGGGAAACACTCAATTTCACTTAATTTCACTTAATTTCATTTAATTTCACTCAATTTCACTTAATTTTACCCATAGAATAAATTGCACTAAAAATCTCATTTTGCCCCAACCACACCCCCTGGGGCCGAGGGGGTGTGGGACAATCGGGGAAGCACTTAATTTCACTTAATTTCACTTAATTTCATTTAATTTCACTCAATTTCACCTAATTTTACCCATAGATTAAATTGCACTAAAAATCTCATTTTGCCCCAACCACACCCCCTGGCGCCGAGGGGGTGTGGCACAACTCCGGAACACATAATTTTACTCTATTTCACCTATAGATTAAATTGCACTAAAAATCTCATTTTGCCCCGACCACACCCCCTGTCGCCAAAGGGGGTGTGGTCCGGTTGCCCCCAAAAGTTGATAGGATCCTCCCCCTGGGGTATTATGTATGATGGCGAAAACCGATTTCGATTATCTCGATCCGTTCTCCTGATATCCTGCTGACAGACAGACGGACAGACAGACAGACAGACAGACAGACAGACAGACAGACAGACAGACAAAGTCTTCACATAAAGTAGCTGAAGCTACTTAATAATTGAGACACAATTATAATTATATTTGTATTCATCTAGCTTTACCTACATAGGTGAACTTGAGTAGTAATTTGCAACATGACATATATTTTCCACCCTGCAATTTCCTCACGCATGGTATTTTACTAAACTTTATGCAAAGTTGAAAACATACTTATCGATCCCACAAAGTATTGTATGGAAGGAATGTTATGAAATCGTCGTATCATGGAGACACCGACTGTAGGATTCCTCTTCGTTTTATGGATAGCGCACGCATGCATCGAACCATTAGCATTGCTGGGCTGTCCATTTGGTCAAAAACTATCATAAAATAGTTTTGGTTTGGTCACATCCCAACGATTCTGTGGTATGAATCCTAGTGCATAATTTTTTTAGGATTTATACACAAAAACTACGAAATAAATCCAACTGTTTACTCATTTTACGTAACACCTTGAAATTTCATTACTGAAGATACTAAAAAATAACAATTCACACATTTGTGCATCCTCCAATAGTTTGGATACATTATTAATTTACAATCCATGAAATTGATCGGGTCGATTCCCTACCGTCCTTTGTGGGAAAAAGTGTACTACCTTTACTTCACTTTCTACCTCGACCACTATACACGGCATTCCTCTACCCCTAGTCCGACCACATTTCATTTCAATTAAAACCTACTCCCGATATCCGGGTGTGAGTAAAAGTAGTGAAAGCACCTCAGTAAACCTCATTACCAAAAATATCGACAATCGACAACCAGTCAATTAGTTAGAAGGTAGCAAAAGAACAAAATCTCACTTTTCTCGCAAATATCCTCCCAGTCTCATCGTCACGTCATAACATCATCATCTCAAAAGTGTGAAATAAATTGTGCCCAAGATGCATAACTTTTTAAGCGATTCTTTTAAGAGAAACTCTCATTTTGTGCATAATGAGCTTGAGTGATTTTGATGATCTGCCCCACGTTTTGAGGTTTACTTCTTCTTATACTTTTGGTTTTTCTCGAATACTTATTACTTTAAAGTACTCCTACATTTAAAATCTGCTGTCTTCTCCTCTGTGACAATATTTACTTTGCATTTTATTTAATCGTTCATGGTCGATGGGCAACGGGGCAAGTAAGTCTTTGTTTCATTTTTTTCGACATTCTCCCCTCATTGTTATTGTTATTGAAGTGCGTTTTGTCTTTTCACTGCTGCGATTAATAAGATCTTTTGTCTTGATCTTGTTTCAAGTATGTAAATTTTTTGTTCAAAATAATTATCAAGGTGCAGTGAGCATGGATCGTCGCTCGGCATTCATTGCAGTACGACGTGACAACTCGCAGATGCCGGAGGAAGGGTCGGAGTACGAGTGTGAGATAAGTTACCCACCACCGCAACCTTTGACCCATCCGACCTTATCGTCCCTGCAGCCACACCCGGAAGACCCACAATTCCATAATCATCATCAGCAGCAGCCACGCCACATCCATCCCTCATATTGGTATTGGTTCAATGCATACTCACACCTTTTGGAGCAGCAGGCCGTGACGGAATAGTGAGTCAATATTAATTCTTTAATTTTGTAGTAGCACTATAATTTAGTTGGACAGGGGAGTTGGTATTATAAGTAATTTTGCAAAAGGAGGAGTCGAACTCGAAAGTATCGGAAAATTAAGAAAATTATGAGTATGACTCATGAGAGGCATGAATCATGAACTTGCTCGGCGTACATAAGAAGTTTTCTCAAGAAATGGAGTGCATAATGTATGTACATAATTGGAGGCAAGTTGAGACAGTTGAGACTAATAATCGAATTTTTCTCATTTTTCGAAATATTACTCGTCTTACATTTATATTTCATGGTCATACTCATAATCTCAATACCTCTTATTACATGGTCACTACATACTTGGATGACAAATAGTCAATAATAATTGCATTCAATATATTTATGAGCATATTTGTGTAAGGTCTCTCTTGAATTTGGAGTTATTCACGTCAATAACAACTCGAGAAAAAAATAATATTTTTCGTGAGTGCTCACCCTGGAGAAATTCGTATGAAATGCATAAATACTTGACAAAACACAATTTCTTTTTTGTACACAAACATTACTACATGCACAATACATCCCCACAATAAATTATATATTACACGTATTTAGAAGGCTGTCATATCATTTCATATCAATCCTCGAAAAATTGCATTCGGGCAAAGAAGTTACAAAGAACGACACGCAAGCAACGTCGAAAAAGGGATAATCCTGTACATACGTATTTAGCATGTGGTGTGGCTTCTGTATTGGTGGAATTTGATGGTAGAAGAGAAAGTAGGAAGTGCTTTCACCCGCACTGGTCTGGTTTGCTACACGTATATATTTTCGTATCGACGACCACATTACATTACTTGGTCTCCAGGTATATACGTAAATACCTTAGGATTAGCTGAGCTCAGGTCAACACACTCTGATTCAATAATCGTTACAGTTGAGACGTATGGCAACGTGCACACCTGCCCAAAAGAAACCCATTGTCGTGAATAATGCGTCTCTTAAATGAAGCTAGGTTAAAGCCAATATCGCCATTTCTTTAGATATCCTCCAGCCCAGAGGGAGGCAGCAGACGGAGAAAGTTTTTGTCATTCGAATACCATCACAGATAGTAAGGTATAGAGATAGATAGATATGAAAATAGGCTGGAAATAGTTCCAATGTGTCAAATCATTATCATAAGTGAAAGAGTTTAACCTACTTTCTCTTCCTAGTAGACTTGTTAAATCGTTATTGTTCCGTATAAAATTTTATACATGGCTCGTCAAGAGAAGAACAAACAACTACTTGAAACATATTGATTTATAGTGGACAAGTATTTCTTCAAAGTATTCCACCAGTCGCCACACCACATTTGTTTCAAAAACGTTTTGTGCAACTTGAAAATTGAGGAAATAGTGACCGCAAATAGTATATACACATAATTGGTGAACAAATAATATCAGGATGAATTTTTTCGGCTCAATTATTCGTGAATTTATGAGCGACCCATTTTTCGCGTAAGTATTTATTTATTCACTTTCTTTTAAATTACTACTTATTGGAAATATTTTTACATTTGAGGTAGGTATGTATTTAAGTACATGGGTTTATTTTAAAATACGATTTTATGAAGAGTTAGATTGACCCACTATTCAAGTACGTATTCAAATATCCTTGAGACTTTTGATTGGCAGTGATTTTGAGGGAAAGGTCTCTCGAGAAAGTTTCTGACTGGCCTTCCATGCCGAATTTACATTCTGAATATGCTGGATAGACTTGCATGACTTTCTCTCGCAATAAGTTATGTGAATAAGCACTCAATACTGGTCTATCGACATGAATAAAACGAAAGTTGGGTCGATACTGTGTGGAGAAAGGATATTATTATTTAGGTATTATTATTACGCGAGTTATCTGAAAGTCGTATGAAATTAGTGAACATTTACATACAAAAAAGAACTTTTACTCATTTTCTCTCAGGTTCATGTTACACACGCACTTTTACCCGTGTCTATCTACTTTGGCAGTGATTTTTGCAATTACGATGATAATCATATCCACTCGACATAGATAATTGCATACGCACGATGAGGCAAAATTGCATGAAATGTGTCTCACCTACCCATAAAAATTATGTAATTTGTCAATGTCAAACCCACGAGTACAGTGGAACAATTAAGGATACGCAGATTCGTGAAATTCCATTCGTTAGGTCGTCAACCCATCTAAAGCCCATTTTTTAGCAGTACCTAAAAAGCCATTGGACTGGATCAGTCAATCAACTTCAACAAGTATGCGAATAGAATTTGTTGAATAATCCATTGCGAAAAGAACTATTAATATTTGGAAATACACATGTAGTTCTTTGACGCTCTCACACCTACGTCCAACGTCACGGGAAATGTCCCATTGTGATAAAGAGGGTAGAAAGACATCAGAATATACATACATAGGCATACAAGTTTAGTCGATATCATCGTCAACCGTACACACCTGACTTTCTTTCCGACTTGACTTGACTCGTCTCAATATTGCTTCCTCAATTTTCCATGGGGAAAAATCGTCTGAACTTTCAGTTTCATTAGTCTTTCATCATGTCCTGTGGAGTGCAAAGAACGAGTAAAAGCAACGGATGTACAGAAGTGAGTGGTGAAAGTAGTAAAAGAAAGTCATTTGTACGGAGGAAATATCAAAGTATCAGTAGCACCATTCTCATTTACAAAACCGGATGTTGGTTGTAAATGATTTAATGAGCCGCACTTCCCACTTCCGGGATATCAAACTTTCATCTTGCTTTCTTTCGACGAAAAGTTAAATAGAAGCTAATTTAATTTTATACATGCCGGTTAGTTAGGTTAGTTTGGACGGGATTATCTGAAATCCATGCTTACAAGTCATGCACCCATGTTCTCGCTTTTAGTATGAGCATGATAAATAACGAAATAACATTTATTGCGCACCTAGTAAACACAACTTTCCTACATAAATTAATCAATACATCGAATGTTTGACAACCCAATTGTCGAGAAAGTTGTGGCAAATTGGCAACGGGTCCCAGAACAGAATCATGTACATACATACATGCTGTAGAACTGTCGTGATCGCTGATGGTAGCAGGAGGTGGAACAGGTTGACCTAGTTTCGTGCCCACGTCCATAGTCAACTAACCTAACTACCCGGTATTGGTACGGGTATTGGTGGTGGTGGTCACCCGGGTCGTTGTCGTTAGTTAAGTTTACTTATCTTCTCCAAACAGCAGTGCGCTTCGGACCTCTGTCTCATCACCTGCACAATCTGCACACTTCCAGTTCCACTTTCTCCGGCACTTACTTGCGGGTCTAAAAACCATGCATATTTGTGTTTGACTTCTGTACAGCCATGCAAAAAATTGGCACGGATTTTTCTATTTTTTGCGACACAACTGATAAAAGAGTGAATTTAGCAAGTGAAAGTAGTGATAATAAATAATGGGGAAGGGTTATCGTGGAATTTGTGCCTTGTTCAGCAAACGTGTGGAGAAAGCAGTCGATTTTGGTCATCATTTCCGCTCAAGATCCGCATCCCCGTGTAATAACAACGATGGTGGTGGTAAATTTCACACAAAACCGGCAAAGAAAAGGTCGTCCGTCTTGTTCGTCAAGTCAGTTTACAAGATTTTTAAAATATACTAACTCACAATTGACTTAATTTACATACCGACCAATTGCATATGCATTTTAATAAGATTAACTAATCCGAAAAGAGTGATTAAGTTCATAATAATTTTAAAAAATATATGAAAGAGCAGATATAACACCTTTAAAAATGAAACTTCGTCTTCCATCAATTTTTTCCTGGTTGGTAATTTTTACAGTGTTTCTGGTAGTTTGAAAAGTAGAGAGAAATATATGTAGTAATTTGTTTCCTACGGTATAGGTGAAAGCTTTCACACATTATTTATATTAATTATTTTGGAAAATTTCAAAAATAATTGTCCTCGGTCTAAACCTTGGCTAACAAATACTTGAGGCCATATCATCTTATAAATAATTGGCCCAAGTTCATATTATCATGTAAAATATTTAATAAAAAATAGGTCTGATTTCATGGTCAGTGAATTTGAATGTCGACTGTCCAGTAGAATTGGACATGGGTTGATTTTACGTAAATTCCTCAATGTTCACTCATATACATAACTTAATTGAGTGAATGGCAATGAAATTGAAATTGAGACTGTCAGCCAAGTTATAGATTATGGCGTTATTGATACTGACCCAATTCTCGTCAGTTTCGGTGAAACGACGATGCATACATATAACTTTCCCGAATTGAGGGCATTCTCATCATATTCGTTCACAGCCAGAGTCATACATAATAACAGAGTCAAGGAGAGCCTCGACTTTCGCCTTCAAGTCTCATTAAACTTTCACCATTACACCCGTGACACAGGATAGCGGAAACTGTGTCAAAGTCAGTTTCTCAATGTCTATGTCTCACCAATTTATTATTATTATTGCTCAGAAAATTTGATCGAGTAAGTCGTTGCTAATATTTTTCGATTGGTCTATGACTTTCTCCTTGGAAAAAGTTTGCTTTTTCTGCCCGGATTCCAAGTTTTGTGCAATTTACGTGGAAAGAATTTGATAAAATTTGCTGTAGGTTAGGTCAAGATGGTAATAAAACGGGAAGTTTTGAGAGAAAGTTCGTACAACCCCGAGCTACCGTGTAGTTTGATATAGTGAAAGTATAGCGTACCTCAAATATTCTTCGTGTAGGAATGAATCATGTATATTCGAAATATTAATAATAAGCTTCTTACTAGCTCGACTACTCCATCGAGATTTTGTGGGGTCGAGTAATGATTTATTGACATGCTGCACGCTGGTTCGTAACGTGGTCTTAATGACAGAGAGAACTTTCACCCCCAACTTTCTCCACGATTCTCCGTCAGTCATGCACACGCTACACGAAAATCATGGCAATAACATGTCCAATACTTATTTCTTCGTCTACCTTTGTTAGCAAAATAAATAAAAATTCGATCGTTTCCGGTAAGCCAAATTTCTCTCCGTATGCATTTCAGTCCTCCCCAGTCCCTCGAGCCTCGCCAACCATACGGGCAAATGGCTCGGATGATGGACACCCTGATTCTCGACCCATTCGTTCCAAATCCTATGGGAATGGCGAAAATGAGTGGGATGTCGAAATCCGTCAATCACTTGAGCAGTGCTGGCGGTGGTCATCGAACTAATCGTCCCATTGGACCGGTACGTCCGAGACAAAATCTCAACTCGCTACACCAACGTCCTCCCAGAACCCCGTTTCATCAGAACAATAACAACAATGGTGTCGGAGGTGGGGACGATTTCATTCCGAGCAATCCAAACACGGCGGGAGGAGGGATGCGTAACGGAGGGGGTGGAGAATGGCGGTCGGAAACGCAGCGATGTGAGGAGTCGTGGAAGGCATCCTTGAGAAAAAGGGATCCCGATATTCAGCCAACTCTGCCCAACATACCGGCAAGGTAAGGTCCTGATTTGATTACTCTTAAATTTTACAACCCCGCAGCAATTATCCAGATTTCGCAAGTTTGGTTCGTTAATTTAGGTCCAACTCACAAAATAATGCTCCACCCGGTTCCAGTGGAAGTAACGACTCGGGCGGAAGTGCCAGCGATAATGGCAGCAGACTTGCCAGTAAATCCAAATCCGTGGAACGTATTCCTCGTCTTCCAGACGCAGCTATTAACAAGAAGGAAAATAATGGGACCGCGACGGCAAGGACGCGAGCTACTTGGCGTGTTCCTAATGGGGGTCGAAGAGCTTCGGACAATTTGATGCGCTCATTTCCCAGGGGGACGAAAGGCGAGCAGCAACAAAGGACGACCAGGACCAGGTCGGATGGCGAAGTTGATGTAAGAAAAAGTTTGCATGATATTTGTATAGTTTGAAAGTTTCATGGTTTTGGTGGAACGAAAAATTATGTAATTGGTGGAACGAAAAATTATGTAATTTTTGCTGCTAAATGCCTTATCGACCGACAGTTATCGGACGAAACGGACAGAGAAGATCGACCAGTATTTCACGCCGTAGGATGGGAATCTCATCTTGTTGATATCCTGGAAAGGGACGTCCTTTCCCGAAATCTTCACGTTCCTTGGAGTTCAATCGCGGGACTCCACGAGGGTAAATACGTTTACGTTATCGTGTCTAGTGATTAATTGTATTGTATTATGTTTACAAAGGAATTTATCCATTTCAGCGAAAGCTCTGTTACAAGAAGCTGTCGTTTTACCTCTTCTCATGCCAGAGTTTTTCAGGGTACTTTTTTACAAAACATAATTTAAAAGTGAAAGCACACTCCTCTTGAATGATTCACATTTTTCTATGTAACGCAGGGTATACGTCGACCTTGGAAGGGGGTCCTAATGTTTGGACCACCAGTATGAAGAACTATTTTAATAAATATATATACGTCGATAAGCGACTAGTTATCTATGGAGTGCATGCTTAATTAATTGTTAATCATTAGGGCACTGGAAAAACACTGTTGGCCAAGGCGGTTGCAACAGAATGTGGGACGACATTTTTCAACGTATCCTCGTCAACCCTTACGTCGAAATATCGTGGAGAATCTGAAAAATTAGTCCGACTTTTATTCGAAATGGCCAGATTTTATGCTCCCACGACTATTTTCATTGACGAAATCGACTCTTTATGTTCCATGCGGGGGACAGATTCTGAGCATGAAGCTTCACGACGGTATGTACAAATGTGCATACTTTGATGATATTTGGTCATACGTTTCAAGACTACTTTTGATTTTTGGCAGATTTAAGGCAGAATTACTCATCCAAATGGACGGGCTTGGATCAAATCATGATGAAAAGCCTGTTATGGTACTTTCCGCTACGAATCATCCTTGGGACATTGATGAAGCGTTCAGACGCCGTTTTGAAAAACGGATCTATATCCCATTGCCGAACTGTATTATGTTTACTAATAAAAATTAAAACACGGATATAAATGATATAATATGTTAACAAGTTTTTATTTGAATGCAGTGGAAGCCAGAGAATCACTCCTCGAATTGAATTTGAAAGATGTAGCGCTTGATGGGGAAGTGAAAGTTAAAGAGATTGGGAGAAAGTTGAATGGATATTCGGTCAGGAAATCAGCTTATTCATTTATTTCTCTTAATTTGTGTTATATAAAATCACGAATTAAAACTATTTTGTGTTTTTTTCAGGGTGCTGATATCACAAGCGTTTGCAGGTAGTTTAGTCTATATTTTTATTAATTAACCCATTAAATTAATGAAATCATGGCCTACTAGGGATGCTGCGATGATGACGATGCGTCGAAAAATTAGTGGATTAACACCCGACGAGATAAAAAATATGAAAAAGGAAGATATCGAATTGCCAATAACAGCAAAAGATTTTGAAGAAGCGGTCGGGCGGTGCAAACGGTCAGTTTCGGAAACCGATGTTAAACGTTACGAAAAGTGGTTGAAACAGTACGGTTCACAGTAATTAAGCCGTAATACCGCAATTACTTTGGCTTTTCTATGCATACATACATATGTATGCAATCCAAATTAACCTAAAATCAGGAGAAGTGACTACAAAGAAAGGGTGACTGTTTGAAAATAGCTGTGAGACTGATCATGTCCGTTTTAAATTTTTTATGTGGTTGATACAAATCTTATCGAACTGTTTTTAGTATAGCCAACCTTTTAGCCTTCTTGTTATGTAATAATAATTCCGAATAATTATCAATTTAGACAAATTTACAAAGAGACGCTGAACAAAATAAAAGAATGAATCGCTATATCGTACTCGATCTATGTATTGAATGATTATCCGTGAAGTAACATGAATAATTTATTTCCAACTTTTTTTAACGGTGGTCATTAAACACTTGAAATCACAAACAACAATGACAATGTGAGTGAACAACAACAACAATGCGAACCCTTAATTAAAAAAGAAGAAGAATATAACCCATAACACATTTAACAATTGTACAATAAGCTACACTATTTAAAGTTAAGCTCTGACAAGTGCGTACTTGACTTGTGTGTAAAATTTACGTATATTCTCATCTAACGATTGTCCAACCTTTAAATGCTTTATTGGTGATATTCTTTCAGGTTCTTGTTTCCCATTGTCGAAATTTTGTTTCCTTTTCCAAGCAGGAGTATAAGTAAGGTCACAACATGCAACAATATCAGAAGAGGAATTATCAAGATCATTGAGATAAGTTAAATATATAACCATCACCAAAGACATTGGGCTGGCTTACACAATTAATTATGCCTGCTTAAATAATCATAATTCTTATCCATTAAGTAAGTTGAGTGATCCATGTAACCCATTAATAACAATGCGGATGGGTTGTTACTTGTTTGGCGTTGACACGATTAATGATTGTTTGTGAGGCAAGGCATTAAATCACTTAATTAAATACCATGCATAATCATAGTAGTGTTACTTTCAGAACGACAGTGTTATACAGTGAAGGCTTATTTTCTCTTTAAATAAATTGCCAGTAGTCAAACTTTCACTGGCAGTGTTGAAATGGAATTGAATAAGTTGGTTTTGGTGAACCATATAGAACAATAATTGAAATTTCTAATAATATATTTTTTGAAGAAAAAGAAGAGAAAATTAAGGGAGAGGATAACTTATCAGTATATCATTCTAAAAGACAGGACAAGGATTGGGAAACAATAAAAGTGGTGTGTACGTAATGATATGGTTTCTTCGTTATAGTTCATCTCGTCTTGACATCTTCAACATTATATTATTATCATTGTTATAATTTAATGAGCTGTGCGGTGTGCGGGATTCCACAATTCCGTATATCATCAGATTCCGTATGTATGTATATCCTGACTTTTTCGATCAAGTTGTTTTCTTTAGTCTCCAAGCGCTGACCAGTTTTGACGAGAAGAAAATTGATGCCCCATGAACTTGAAGTGCCACCACGAGAAATGCATACCACAGGATGGCGTACGGATACCCCTGCAAAACAAAAATGTGAATTTTTACCGATCAGTAGGACGCCTATTGATACGCGCATTGATTCGTCTATTAACTAACCATCCAAGTCTGAATTCCTTTTGTAGAGCGAGTGTCGATATATTTGTAGACATCACCAAAGTAGTAGTAGAGAGCGTAGAGGACGGGGATGAGTCCATTCGCAGTAATTCCCCCGAGGTAGATTTGCAACGACTGAACATTGTTCTTTCGGATGGACGAGAGCCCCACAAATGCGACCGGGAGGCTCACACACCACCAATATTCCCATTTCAGAGGCTAAAACAAAGTCACATTTACATTAAAACAAAACTAATTTACAACTAAAAATTATCATTAGTTTAAAACCTTTGGTATTTCCAGCTCCTCCACTTCCATTACAAAGATATCAACTCGGTCCAGAATATCTGGCAGCAATTTGAACAGCATCACCAAGAAGAGGACGATGTGGACAAATATGCATGTTTTTAGGCGAGATTTGTTCACTGAGCTGTAAAATAAATAAGACTATTTATACAATAAGCGTTATCTGCGTTCCAGTCTTAATCTTTTGTTATTACAGTTCTCGAGTGAAAGTGAAAGCGCTTTCACTCCCGACTTGCTTCTGCCTTTATAGTTATATTTCTCCCACTTTTCCCCCTCACTCACCTGAGCTGATACTGTGTGGCGACCTTTTGGCGGTGGAGAAAGTCGTTCCCATCCGTCCCACTAACAGTAGGTCCATTTCGCGATGCCATTGTTCTGGAGAAAGTGGAACAGATTGTTGAGCAGGAGAGAAAACTCCTCAAAAACATGGGACGACACGTCGCTCAAGCTATCGCGCCAGCCCAGACTCGTCGTCTCATCCTCCGCCTCCGACGACGGTATGGAATCCACGGTTATGCAATTTCTCGAAATCCCAAAAATTTCCAAAATTTCACTCCTTTTCTCAAAAAATTGATGTTTTGATGGTCAAGTTGTAGGGTAAGTTATAATTGCTTTAACACCAATTTCTTGGAATCCCTGCAGATACCTAAATTTCAGTCGTTTTTTCCCAAAAATTGATGTTCTGATGGTCAAATTATAAGGAAAATTTTTAATTGTTTAAATACTCAAGTGCGTTATTTTAATTTTATGTAGTCTAACATATGCAGCAGCTATTTTGCTCCTTTGTTCGCACTGCTTTGTGTAGCGTGGTGATGGTTTGGTTTGGCAAAAGCTATATGTTGTTTGTTAGTTAGAGCAGTGTGGAATTGTGGATCGCTTTAGCTTCCTTGTTCATCGATTACACAAAAAATCCAATTCTTCGATTTTTATAACACTACTTACTTTGTTTGTATGAGAGTTATAAGAAGAATTGCACCCGCAGAAATGAAGGACGCCCTTGTCTCATGAATGACTAAATCCAAGTTTTAAATGGACTTCTTTCTTATACGTAAGTAAAAATCGAGAGATGGATTAAATTCGCAAAAATTTTGACTGAAAAATATGACTCTAAAAAAAAGTGGCATTAATGCAATATGTGCAGATACGAACTGAGGATAACTGAGAACCCTGAGAAAATTGAGATTGGATTTATTATTATGTAAATTTTTATATCTGTCTCATCTCTATCCTCCCGTACTTGTAACATGTAATGGTGTGCAAACGAAGGCGCTTTGTATGCCTTCCGACATTATTATCTCGTTCCGTATTTAATAGCAAACAGCATGATGCGAGTATGAAGCTGGTGAGTTATGAAAAAGTCATTACCATGCAGTACGGATGTGTGTCTAATATAACGTAATGTAAGCAAAATGATAATGAACTTTGTCTGTGTCAACAAATGCTAATCAGTTATTCTGGTTGCTATTTTATGCAAGGACTTTCCCCGGTGGCAAAATAATTTAGCGCAAAACGGTGCCATTTCCTGCTGGAATTTTGCACATGCACATACGAGTTATACCCCAATTGTTATAAATAAGTAGATAGGACAAAAATAGAAAAGTGCATTTTTTTCCACCAATAATTTTTTTTCCGACCAAAATGCGTCATTCGTTTTCTTTCATTGATAAGATTTTTGCCCATTGATTTGCACAAGTAAAAAAAAGCATGTCTGATTTCTCCAGTTACTTGTGTATTATTAGCCCTCATAAAAATAATTACTGTGAGCATCCACTTTCATCCATTCCATTCCATATTCCAATCACCGTCTCGAGTAACTTTCTCGTTATTCGAGATCCTAGAATTGATAGGATTAAGTTAAACGAGCAAAAAATTATGGCAGACCGAAAAGACCAAAATCCGGCATACTGTTCAACAAGTGAAGGTCTACTAAATGCATAAAGTTGGAGCAAAGCTAAAGCAGCCGTCTATCTCCGTGCATTTAGCTTTGGGGCTGATTAGGTTGATCATCAACAATTCATGCGAATCTTAATTTGCAAAACCTAGTCCAGCCAGACTTGATCCGCTCTCACACACACTATTATTTCGCGATACCAAGGTATCCATCCATCCCAGTCGAATAATAATAATGATACACACATGCACGTAACACAATGCTATCATCAATCTGTGTTCCTTCACTGCCAACGTGGATAAAATGGTTCAACGCAGTATAAAAATGAGACAGATGAGAAATGTGAGATGATGTGGAGAGAGAATCCATCCATCCGAATAGCCAAGCCTCAAATTGCAGCGTACAAAAGTGCCATTTTCATACTTGGCTGTAAAGGAACAAATCAACCATCAATTTCAAACCCTTCTTCTTATCTCAATTTGATTCCATCACTCATGATGTAAAGAAATTCACACATGCAACACAATGCACACACCCAACGACGACGACGACGTATAACTTGGCTCACATTTAGATTAAGCATGCATAGGATTCCTTCTTGGAAATATTTCTTCGCATACCTGTTGTTGTTTCGTACCCGCAACGCATTAGAATGAATTGGATACCTTGAAACTTCAAGGGAATAAGAAACAGAGAGGTAAGAAAAACTTAGCCAGCCAACTCGACCAACAGGTATGCACACATATATCCATAATAATAATAACGTCATGATGATCATGCCGTCGGTGGGTCGTGCTTGGTAAAAGGTTGAACATTTTCAAAGCATACGTACATATGCTCATTTATTAGTGGCAGAGAGTTTTTAGAGTGGTTCTTGTACTATGTGGCTTGGCTTTTTGGAGAGACAGGTAAGTCAAGCAAAGGTAACTCCTCAGTCATTTCTTCCACAAAAAGTTAAGAGGCAAGTTAAGATTTAAGATTCCTCTTCTTCTCTAATACGATGCCCATGTTGTGGAGATGCAATGTTCATCTCTTCTCTTTCTTTACGGGGAGCTTATAAGTAACGCTGTTAGCTTATTCTCTCTTTGGTTGGTTAGTTAAAACATTTTCTATGCCATCATCATGCTATCCTGACGCTAAGTTATTCAACGCCCTTCTTCTTCTTCTTATTTACCTCGAGCTTATTCCATCCTACGGCCAAGAAGTTAAGTCTTTTAAGCAGGAGAGGAATAGCTCCTAGCACACAAACCATCATCATCATCCAAAGTTTAGTCTCACGTTAAGTTAAAGTTGAAATCTTTTCGACTTGCTTAAAGAAGACGAAGTTACCTCTTCTTCTATGGCGTGCCTCCTGGTATGCATGCATGTCGTTGGTTTGTACGTACTATTGCTTTTATTTTATTACTCTGGCTTCAGATTACTCAGTGTTGTGTAGTCTACACAACACAATTCGAAATACATGAGAGTATGCTAACTGACGAGTCTCTCAGCTTACGGCTTAGTCATCATTTACTGCTTGACTTTTTCAATTCTTCTTATATTTCTTTCTCAGCGTTTTACTTTACAAGCCAAGCTGGTTGGTTGGCCACATAGATACGAAATATATGGTACACAACAAGTTACGAGAAGACGACTGACTTGCCATTTACATTATTATCTGTCTTCGTTAAGTCGGAGTTGAAACTTGACTGCAAATCTGACTTGAAGAGCTGAGACAAACAACTTTTAACTTGAGCTGGTTGCGTTTGCTTTACTCTGCACAATTCCAATATATGTACAACGTTACATACAAGTATCGTTGGTGGGTATCTCATCCCAAAATGCGAATGTGATGATGTGGTGCTGTTGATTATGGCATGCATGCTGATAATTTTTATTATCGAGTTTATTTAAACCTTAATGGCAAAGTCAGTTAGCATGACTTATAGTTATCTGCTATGAATTCAGATTACTTTTACACTATCCTCCCGTCGTACATGCATAATGGTTAGTGGAGGGAGAGTAAAAGCCACGTAAAATGAAATGCATACATGTGCATATGCACAATCATATTGAAGTTTGTTTTAATTTTGTTTGATAAGTTGAAAATGGATAAGACCCATCAGTTATGGGTGTATTTTGAAGGGCGGAAAGACCCTTTTTGCTCGTATGAAATCTGCATGGTTTGGGTCTATTACGCAGGAAAGGTAAGGAAAAAAGGGTCTTTTGAAACCTTGGGTTGAAAAGGAAAAAGGGCTCGAAAAGTTTGGACCCTTCCCAAACTGGAGGACTAACTCGTTTATAGTACTAGTGAAAATGCCTGAGATGAGTGATCCCGAATTATTTATGCAAACGAATAAGTTTTAAATACAATTTATGATATATAATAACGATATTGTTAAACTCCGTTTAATAATTTTGGCGTAAAAATCATACGAAATTGAATAATTTAAACGCCAAAATAAAAATACTGGTATCAAATAATAAAATAATTCAACCCAGGTTTGGGGTAAGTTAAGTCAATCTGGGCAATGTGAAATCTCTAGCCAAGTTCAAACGCCAATTTCAACACATAAACATATCACTACCCTGCCCATTTCGTCCTCTGTGAAAAGTAACAATTAATTAATTGTTTCAATTCAAAAAAAAAAAAAACGTGGGATCAATCTATCTAAGCTTACGGTCCGCGGTGGGTGTGCAACATTGAGGTTTACCAAGATCTTCTTCAGCAGGTAAGTAAAAGGGCTCGATTATATTTATGTGTCGTAGCCTAGAATAGAGGGAGTTAGGAATCAATCGAAATACTAATAAACTCAATGGAAAATACCATTGGGCACACCAAGGATTTAAACGTGACCGTCGCTGCCGAAATAGACCTACGTGTAGTTTCTCCCTTTTATTATGAATAGACCTACGTGTAGTTTCTCCCTTTTATTGTGACCTACGTGTAGTTTCTCCCTTTTATTGTGACCTACGTATAGTTTCTCCCTTTTATTAGGTAGGTTGCGAGTTAGCGGAAGTTCACGTAAACGCTAACGTAAACGTAAAATTTTGCTTCCCGCCACTGTTCGGCGGCGCCCATTTAAGGTTTACGTGAATTTTCTTTACGTTCACGTTATTTTGGACGTTAAATAAGCCCATTTAGCGTTCGTTTAACGTAACCACCCACGATTTACGCAAAGTTTTTTCACCATGCAAATTTAAGCAAAATGAACAACAGGCATGTATTTTTTGCGTTAATTATTGAATATATGCTTATAATTAATTGAAGTGATATATAACTAATTGTGAAGCATTAAAACAAAAAGTAAACTGATAATTTCTATGAAAGGATTAAAAAATGACGAGGCTTTAAGTTAAACTAACTAAATAAATCTTCTGTTGCTTTTGTAGCAGTTTGCAAATTAAGAAATTAATTAGTAATTATGTAATTTATTATAGTATTATTTATTAAAACAACGTCATGCTTCGATGGAGGAAAGGAAGTATGGAAAGTGAATGATATTACACAAAATGAAGAGCTGAAATAACAAAAGCATTATTTGAATTAATTAGAAACAAGTAAATTTATTGTTTATACAATACAGAAATTAAGCCTTAGTACATGGCATCTAGATTTTCTTATACACACAATTTCATGGAAAATATAAATAATGCTCAAGATCTGGCATTGCTTCACAAAAGTTATCCGAAGTTTGGCTGCCGTGATGAAAAATCCGTGACTGCAATGAGTAGGAGGAAAAAGTTACATCAAGTCGACGTATCTGTGAATGAAATAATTAACTGATTTAGTGAATTGACTTGCTCTAGATTAATAAAATATGGTCCCCTTACCTGTTGGAATATGCAATCCTTAGAGTAATGCACAAAGGGTCTCCGCCGACAAGCAATCGCGCCCCGAAGTTTAAGGGCGCATTTAGGTTTCAAACTTATTTTGCTTAAGCGAAAGTTAAGGAAAACGAACTCGTTCATAATTGAGTTTAATTTAAAAATTTTAATTCTTTTAATTGATTACTTTTAATTATTTGAAGGAAGAATGTCCTCTATTTCGAAGTCGGTCAATTCAGAGAGTAAATTTACTATTTGTTTTGAAAACACTGGCATTTCAAGCTAGTTTATAATAAGATAAATTAAATAATTACAATAAGCAAAATATTGCATGAAGAATGTAAACAAACCATTGAAATGAAATTCAAATTCAGCGCACACGTTTACGTTCACGTTAATTCGCACACGCAAAAATTCGTACACCCCGTAAACGTAAACGTTAACGCCAAATTTTACGTTTACGTTAGCGTTTACGTGAACTCCCGCTAACTCGCAACCTACCTATTATGAATAGACCTACGTGTAGTTTCTCCCTTTTATTATGACGTGCTATATACTTAGTAGACTAGTATTAGTAGTTGACAAGTAATGTGGTCCAAAAACTTCAAGTGCTAAACTTAAATTTTTTGGGAAAATGAAACTGAATTCCAACAGCTACCCTTGCATTTTATATTTGTTGGATCAGTCACATTTTGTTGAAGCTGTTCATGTCTTTCTGGTGATTTTGAAAGAACTTTTGACTGTGACGATCCACAACCTGGAAAAAAAGTGCTGCTGCGTTCAAAGCTCATCTAGTCCATTCTTTCCCCACCAATTACACCGGTCTTTTCCCGCCCTCATCAGCTGCACTTTGACATGTGCATGTTCATTTTGGACCCTGCGAAAATGTCCCCCAACCTTCCTTTGGGGTAGAAGGTTTCAGGTCACCATTTTTAAGGATAAATGAACCATTGTCCAATTACATTACTCAACATTCAACGCACTCTACATACCCTGCACAACAACGCTGCTGCTAGTACGACTCTACTCGTTTCATACGAGAGCGAAGCAGCCTGCTTAATACACGCCTCATGTAAAAAGCTGCTGTGCTGCATGAACTAATGCTCGCAATTCACAAACATCTATCTCGAAATACTCCATTTAGCTATGGGGGAATCCATAAATAATGTCTGTAACTTTGGTCCATAATTTCATACCGATTCAGGATGAGGAACTTTTGATATAGCACTTATTTAAATGCTAGGTTATTGCGATTTGTAATCTTAGGGGCTGAGTTAAAAAATATTGCACTCAAAATGTGAAAACAATTTGCGGAAAAAGACAATCAATTTAACTCAACGACATACAAGTGCACAGCATCTTTACGGTCCGATTTTCCCGGCCCGCAAACAGTTACTTTACTAGAGAGTTTAATACAAAGGTCAAGGCGACATAGACCCTTTGAATCCCATACCATCCCAAACACATGTTGTTCACTCGTAAACGATACATTGTTAAAGTAAACAATTGGTAACACTTAACTGAAGTCCAATATCAGTAACTTCGCTCTGCCCCTACTTAATGTGTTTAAATGTACCTGAATTTCATGAGTTTCATGAGTTAATTCTAAAAATTAAAAAATTAACTTCATATGTACACGTACAAATATTAAAACTTGCCACACTAATTAAATTGATCCCATTATTGAATAAGGGTAGAGTGAGATTAAAAATCTATGACCAAGTTATTCCACCTTAATGGACCTGCACAAGCAAATCGGGCCCGGAAAATAATCTAATCCGACATTTAATCATCCCTAATATTTAATCTTTAGTTAGATATTTTATATTTTATGTAATAATACGTCTACTGTTTTTTTTAAATATCTACTTTTTATTAGCAATTTTCATACAACTTAAAGACACAAAATTCATACCACAAACTTGATGCGCAACCTCTATCCCTCCTGGCACGATATTTTCAAAGAGCATCGAGCATCGCAGAGTGGATTTGGTAAATGTGAGATTGGTTCACGAGCGGAGGAGTACACCGAGCCGAGTTAGTTGGTAGGTTTGCTATTGTGTGTTATCATCATCATGAGCAGCAGTAGAGTTGGTTGGAGTTGAATATAATATTCTTATGGGGCCGAGAGGAGACTGTGTAACTGTGAGAGTGCAAACAGAGGTGGCTTCCTTCGTCAGACACACAGCCACAAAAATCAAACTGAATCACTCTACCACCAAATAATCAAGTAGTGAAGCAACCAACACCACCAACCAACTCTGAAATACAAAATAGAAATTACCTTATTTATAAATACACAAGAGTTAAAACATCTATTTATTATTACCAACAAACTTAACCTTTATTATTAAGTACAGCCAGCCAGCAGCAGCAGCAAGAGAATAATACAATAGTGGTTGGTTAGGATTTAATAAGAAGACTTTATAGTAATAATATAATGTATTGACACTACTTTTGACTCTACTACTGCAAAATAATAAAATCAACATCATCCACCTTCCACTAACTATAACAGCAGATTTTTTTAATCTCTGTCAATTCCTTATTTAAGGAATAACCACGATTAATAAACAAAAGGAAGGAACAAATTATTAAAGGGAATCATAATTTCTCAGAGTTTTGTACATATTTCGTCCTTCATATTACAAAGTACTACTGGTGGTAATCAAAAGAAAGCAGTTTTTCGAATTTTTTCTAACTTGGCTAATTAAGCAGTATGAAATGAATTGGATTTCTGACAAGAATATTTTACTTGATTTATGACGACAAGCACAAAATACGAGAGGTGGCTCATTTATTTTTGTAGCAGTTTTAAACCTGACCTCTGACTTTGAGAGAAATACGACGGCTACTAAAGCAAGAAGACTAAAGGAATGATGGCGATTTTACGTGAATCATTTCATTATTATTTGGCCTGGATTGTGGTTTAAATATGTGCAGTGATGTGAGGTCAAAAGGTCACAATATTGTACGGATTGAAAGTCAGGAAGGAGGATCCAGTGGTAGAAGAAAGAAAGAGTGAAAACACGGTTCCGAGCTGGTAGTACAAGTTGGATCGAATCTTCATTTCATGGAGAAGTTGTTGGTGAATAGTGCTGGAAGAAGTTAGTCCGATCCCGAAGAGCTTGCTGGAGAGAAATATTATACAAAAAGAAATTACTTCGGCACTGCTATTTTATAAAGTTCCTTTCTCTCTCCGTTCAGTTTCTGCAAAATTGTGTTTGTGACAAGATAGGAAAAAAATAGGGCGAAAAAATAGGAATATGTAATACTACTACGCAACTATGCGGATAAGTTTACGACTACGACGGCGGAGAAAGTGATGGGGGATGTGGGTTGTGGTGGTATTATAGTTTTCTTGATGATTTTGATTTCGTCGTCTTCTTCTTCTTCATGGGATGGGAGTGACGAAAGACAACAGGGAGTAAATTTTCCAACATAGTGCATCTCGCAAGAAATGGCCACGGTTGGTCAGGCGGAGACGCCGACGAATAACACAAATAGTAAAGTGAATAATTGTGATAGCAGTGGCATCAATAATAGTAGTGGTAGTAGTGGGTCAAAATTGGTGAATGGGTCGGCAAACGACCCGGACTTTTCTTCACCAGAGAACAACAATGCCATGAAAGAGGGGTATCGGTACAACCACGCTCCCCCCGGACCCTACGACCACCATAATAGATTAAATCAAAACAGTCACCATCCCGATCAGCAGCAAAAAGGGGTTGTAGGTGGAGGGATGGACGGTCAGCAGCAGCAACAAGAATATCCCCCACCGCCGCCACACCAGCAACAGTATCAGCAGTATCCGCCTTACAGGGCGCAGCAAAGTTACGACCAACAACCTCCACCCCATCATAATAATGGTCCTGAGAGTTATCAACAGCACCAGCAGCAACAGCAACAACATCCAGGGTACCCTCAACCCATGCGGTATCCCGGTAAGCCTAACAAAGTCACTCGAAGCGATAAAACCAAATAAGGGTAGATTGAGAAATTGTGAAAGCAGTGAAAGTTCAGAGTCAATATTAATGACTGAAAAAATATTGTTATGCATCATCTCTGGCTAACAAATTACTTACATGATTCACAACTTACAGGTAAACCTATGCCCGGTCCAGGAGGAGCACCTGGACCAAATGTGTCTGGTCTACCCCAACCTCACGGTTATCCACCCGGACCTGGGGGTATGAGACCAAACTACCCTGGTGGGGGAGGAATGGGTGGCGGTGTTCCAGGTCAACAAAGCATATCGCAGCAGCCGAGTGGGCAAACCCCCACTTTAAATCAACTCCTTCAGTCGCCTGGCGGTGCTAATGCTGGTGCTAGTGGTTCTACTGGAGGTCACAGATATCCACCCCCTCCAGCAGGCTATGAACACGGCAGTTATCCTCAAAACCCTCCCAATCATGCAAAGGCTGACTACTCTCAACAAGGACCAACGGGCTGGCCCCCCGCAAATAGACCGCCCCCTAATTCTTATGCTCATCCGCCACCCCCACCCTTTCAACAACAACCCCAACAACCTATGTATAGACAGGTAAGAACATTACAAATAATACATTATACAGTATTATACACACATATAACACACTTGTCCCATAAATAAATTCCATTGGGAACACTGGAGAAATGTGATACCTAAATATAATTCATGCCCCGATATATAATAATTCTGCTGTCATCACTTTCTTTTTCGAGCAACAAGTTGTCCATCGGCAGTCCTTGTGCTATATCCTTTTATGTAATCTGTCATTTCATTTTGGCATTTGCTTTTGAAACGGGCGAGTTGAAGGTTAATTGAAGTGTTTGCCCAACTCTTGGAAAGAATTCGGTTGAGGAAGATCCAGCCCATGTGCTCCGCTATATGTGCATACATACTTTGTTTTGTGTACGCAGCAACAGACCCACATACTTGCTATCAGCACCGTGAAAAGTTTTCACACTTTTTACGATCACTGTTTTGACTGGTCTTTGTATGTACATACACTACCACCAACCAAGCCACGCCAAATCATAAGAAGGGTAAATACAAATATAGAAAGATAAACGAATTTCCATTACTCTTTCAACGGGGTCGATGAGATTGAGCACGTGTGGCTATAAATTATCCGTTTTATTGTAATCGCTCTGTGTACGTGAAATTTGCTTATAATGTCAGTGTCAGTCATGGCCAAGATAAGAATCAGCATAAGGAAAAAAGTGATCTCATTGAACATAAAGAAAAAAAAATGTGTCCACGTTGAAAAGTGTTGGTTAGTATGTTTTTGTAGAAAAACAGCTTTTGCCTTCATCAAATGAGACTCAAAGATATCTTCATTTATTTATTTATCAGACCAACCATAATATAAGACGACGAATACGACTGCACGGAATAAAGGATTTAATCGAATTTGGTGGCGATTGATGAATGACGACCGTGATGATGGTTGTGATGATGAGTCATTCATTTTATTTATTTCAGGATTCCCTATATAACGCAGGGTATGAAATGAAAGTATAAGTAGTACTATAAGTATAAAGTAGTAATAATGTTGATGAGTTGCGTGTAGTGTATGGTGTGGCATAATTGCCACTAATCTTGTTTATAATTCAGTCTTGTGTCATTGTGACAGCCAACGCAATCGACACCATCGTATCTAAAAGTCTGAACCGCAATAATAAATACTGTGTGAGAATCATCGTGAAGTGAAGTGAACTATGTATTTGCATATACCGGCTTAAGTAGAAGTGTGTATGTATATGTCTGCCAATTATTGTTGTGCTGTTAGTTTTGCAAACTGTCAAACACAAAAGACTTTTGATTTCGGTACTTGTATGTAACAAGTAATAATGACTAACAAAACAAGTATTGAGTGGCAAATTAAAAGGGCAAAAATTTGCATACCATGAGGCGTGTACAATGTGTTGTGGTAAAGGTACTGCGTTAATACTAAAATTATTTTATCACTTTGAAACTATCAAACATTAAATGTGGAGAAACAAAACCTTGAATATAAATGAATGTCAGAGTAGTGTAGCTTGTGCTTGTTGTAGGAAAAATTGGCCCGTTTTATATGGTTTTGCTTTAAAAAAAAATTGAATTTATTGATTTGAATCATGCTATCATATCTTTGAATCTGTCAGACTAACTGACTACCTTTTGCATTTTTCATAAATGGAACTAGCCGACTTTGCTCATGAACAGCAATATGCATACACGCAAACATATCATGTCGTCTCGTATCGTAAATATTAGTGCAAAAAAAGTTTATTCAATCTCGATCTTGTTACGATTTGATTTAATCTACTAAACTAATGGTTTATTCACCAATTCCAAATATTTAGAAAATTTAAATAATAAACCTATTTAAAATAGTGTAGGTGATTTAAAAACGTTATGTTTACCAGTTTCGTCCAAAGTTCATCATGTTGCAATGTTTCCGATGCAATTTGATTTTATTCAATTTCCTGTACGATCCTAGTTTAGTCAAAGAAGCGTACAAGGATAATACATATTTCCGATTTTTATAAAAAAAAACACACTTAAGCACTTAATTGAATCAAAAAGTTTTAGTTAGTTATCTATTTATTTTACAAAGGAAAAAAAGTCTTGTCAGTTTTCCGGGCAAGTTCCAAAGTTTGAATACAGAGATTGAGTCTGTCGGAATGAGACCGGAAGTGAATGTAAAGTAAAGTGAAAGACACGTGGGAATTTGCCGGTTGTGTCTCCTCGACTTTCCTTTTCACGATATATAATATAACTTCTTGTGCAAAAGTAATATATACGGAGAAAGGACTACATATTACCTTCTACTAGAGCGAGGAGACTAACCCTTTTACCCGTTTACAACTATATCTTCTAGCAGAATAAACACGCAGTAAAAGGACGACGATGTTGGTGACGGTGGTGGTTCTGGTTCTCATAGTCAAAGTTAGAACTTGTCAAACTTTATAAAATAAAATATCCGTCCCGACACCATATACAAGTAGAAAAGCAGAGCACCACCACCACGTCAAACTTTTGGTCCCCGATTTTACCCGTCGTCTTCTTTCTTTATGTTTTCATTGCAAATTTTAACCTAAACTCTCTCGTTCGTAGAGAGTAAATACACTAGACGACATAGTAGACTTATAGTGGCAAAAGACCGAAAAATGTTTACTCTTCCTCCTTTTCACTTTCATTCAAGAAAGTTGTTTTCAACTGAGAATTGAATTTCTATCTGATCACATCTTTCTTGTACAGTTTAGGCATGTTATATCATCTCCAGTCAGTCAGTACGTAGTACTACTTGACATTCCCTTTGCATTTCATTCTGGGCGGACATGCACCATGTTTGTCTTTTATTTCTTCATACATTCTCAAAAGAATTCTTAAGCGGATTAGAATTATGTGGTCAAATTGCACACGAAGGAGGGTATCAATAATAGGTCAAATGGCTTGTTGTACCCACCACGTGTATGTAGTAGTAGTATCGTAGGGTGGTTGGAAAGTTGGTTGCATATGGTTAGTCGTCAGTTCTCTTCATCCAAGAATGATTTAATGACCACTGGAGAAGGTCGTCGTTCTATTCCACCAACTAATGCGAAGCAGCTTTTGATTGCATTCATTCATGTTAGTTTGTAGTCAGTGGAGTATCGCATACTAACCCTTTGGGCAATTGCCTACTACTAATAAGAGTATAGTAAGTATAGCTTCTACTACTACTACTACTACTACATAAGCTGATAATAATACCTCACCAAATTCAATTACACAAGGAACATAAATGGTTTTCTACATTGGTATTTGGCTCAAGTTTGTGGATGGATACAAAATATATACATACATGTGCGTATGTATATAGGTAGGTAGTCGTCATGCACACGAGCATAATAGTGATTATAGTTTCATGTTTTGGTTGGTGTGATGTGATGTGATACGATGTATGTTCAGAACGAATGTACTGCAACTGACCTACCTCACTTATACTTTCATTTTACTTGGCTGAAGTTAGTCTTTCTGTTTTTGTGCCGGTTGTTGGCATGTCATTCTTCCCCCTAGTCTCGCAGTTTTATGTGGTTAGTAAGAAGATTTATGTGTAGACTAGTGGAGAGAGGATGGATACACACATTTTTATTTACGTTTTGTGGGTAAAGAATGTCTCACATTTTTTGCTGACGTGTGCTCGATTTTGGTAAACATTTTACACATGGAAAAACATGAAGTCTGATTAGGTTCTAAGAAGGAATAATTAACAAAACTTTTATTCTCGTAGGTGGTCGAGGGATGTAAATTAGGAAAAGTTGCGTTAAAATGTAACAGCTAATAATGTAGTGTAGTGGCAGTCAGTAATTCATCAGCATGTGAGGTAAAAGTACCACGGAGCCGAGAAACCGCGTCAAAGTACTCCATCAAAGCAGTCTCGCTTTTAAATTAAAGGAGAGAAAGGAAAATGGGATATTACGCCCTTTGGTAACACAACAAGCATCATCATCGCACCGACCACTACTGACTGACTCTCACAAAGTTGAATTCATCCATTACAAAGAACAGAGTAGCCAATGAGGTACAAAAGTGCAGCCAACTAACTACCAGTTGGCTGGAGAAAGCAATTTAGCATTTCCCTTGATAAATTTCAGAAAGAGGAAGAAAGTTTGCATCGTTTTGGTTTGATATGATGCAGACCGGTCGGTAGACTAATATGTACGTGTTTGCATGAATGTGTGTTTGTTTGTGAGGAGAAGGTGGTACACGTAAATCGCGGTAAATTTAACCATAGACGCGGTATTAAATTTAATAAAAATTGTGTGCAAAACTCTCAGTTATGTACTTCTTACACGGGGACGGAATGAAAGTGCGAAGAAAACTGTACTTTTTATGAGAGGATTGGTTGGCTTGGAGGGAGGGAGGGAGAGAAAGTCCACGTCTCGTCTTGGTTGCTGAGCAGTGCTTGCTTTCAATCCAAATCCTGATCCAACCAACATCTACGCAAAAAAGACGACGTCGTTATGAGTGGGAGAGAAGAGAAGAGTGAAGGAAGTAAAAGCAAAGTAAGTGGAATGCTGGTGGCAGGCAGGAGTTAAAGTAGTGAGAAAGGAGGGAAAGCAGCAAAGTAAAGTAAAGTAAAGTACGTCTCGCACAACTCGAGGAGGTTTTCTTGATTTTGGTGAAGAAACTGCTGGGTGAAGCATTTTGCTTGGCTGGTCTTCGTGTTGGTTGGTAGGAGAGAGAAAGAGGATGTGATGTGATGTAGAAAGTAGAATTTCAGAGTCTAGAATCTGTGCTGCAGACCAGATAGGACGACGACGAGGGCGAAGAGAAAAGGAGAGAGGATTGGGAGAATGGAAGTCGTCTCTACGTCTCATCTCATCTATTTCATCTCTTTCCTCCTCTCTCCCAGACTTTCCTCTCTCTACAGAATTTCTCTCTCTCTCTCCGCAGTACGGCTCAACTCTTCCTCGTTTCGTGTGCATGTGTAGCTACGTAGTCAAGTCAGTGAGTGGAAAGGGCCAAGTTTCCCAACAGAGATAGAGGAGAAAGAGAGTAATGTCGAAATGCTTGCTGCTGGGAGTTGGAATTGGATGGAGAGTGAGGTTGCCTGGTTGAGTTGGATGGATGAATTCTCAGAGAATTGGATCGATACTTTCCCTCTCTCTTTCTCTCTCTCTCTCTCCTGTTATTACGTATCACACAGAATATCCAGAGCGGAGAGAGAGAGTTTCCACTCCTACCAACGAAACGAAGCACTGCTGCTGCTGCTAGAATATTGAGAGGAGAATGTCGTGCCAACCAAACCAACAAGCTTTACTTTTACTTTGCTGTGCTGCTACTGCTGTCGACTTTCCCTGCATTGCTCCAACTACTACGAAGTTTGATATCCTATATTCCCTCCACTACTCTTCCGCTTGCCTTCTTTGAATGCGAGGAGGCTTGAGTTGGAAATGTTGAAATAGAATAACAAGGTTGCCTTGGTTCGTTCAGAGTACGTGCTACTGCTGCTCCTCAGACTGGTTGCTGGGATAAAGGCAGGCAGCACCGGACGAGCTGCCTGACTGATATTACTTTGCTAGTTTGCTTTCCTTTGGTTCGACTGCTGCTGGGGGAGTTTTTGTTCCATCGTAGTGATGTTTTCTCCTCGAGTTCAGTACGTTATAAAATGAACGAAATGAGACTTTCTTCTGTTCCATACCCCTCTTACATTACTCCTCTCTCTCCTCATCCGGCGGCACAGTGGTGGTAGTCGGTCGACAGTCACTCAGTAAAAAGAGAAATGAAGGTAAAATAAAACGAGGCGAGCTAGGCGACCGAGGGAGGGAGGAGGCGGAGGGTGAAAGAAAAGTTGCCTTTCTTTATTTTATGTCTTCCGTTTTCGCCAGACTTTCCCCACTTTACTTGCTCAGCTGTACATAAATAGTGGAATGGATGTAATGCACAGTGGAAAGAAGGAGAGGAAAGATGTAAACTAAAGGCTTCTTAGTTCGTAATGAATGAATAATGCTAGCTCGGATGGAGGAAAATCACCAATTTCATTTTTACTTCGAGTGTAAAAAGGGTATATAAACAAATTTTTACTTTTCTTTGGGGTTACTTGATATTGATTCGGGTTGAGTGCAGTTTTTTGTTGACTTTATGCGCACACACACACATTTTTTAATGAGGTATAAGGAAGGAGAGAGACTCCACTTACTTATTGCCTTTTACCTTACGTACGGGTTCTTTTGTACAACTATCCGTTGACATTATTACTTTTGACTTTGCTTAGAAAATCGTCTTGAATACAATGGGGTTGTAATGCAACGAGGAGTAAAAGAGTTGAATGGTGGTGAAAGGTCGGTCATGACAATGGCTGGAGAATTGGGCTATTCTAAAGTAAACAAAAGTTTAGTCTTGTGTACAGAGTAAAGTGGAGTGAGATCCTGATCACATGGCAGTCAGTCTGGATTTGTTGGATGGACTCGATGGACTGCTGCTGAACTTTGAGATAGACACGTAAATGTTGGATTTTATGGATTCTCACAAGTCTTCCCTTGTGATATTATGACGATGGGATTAAACGAGGGTTTTGGCAATAGGCCAAAAGCAAATCAAAATCACGAAACCGGATGGGATTTTGATAAAATGTGCAGATCATCACATGCTGCCCTGTATTTTCGCTTTTTCTTGATCCTTAATTGAGCTCGGCTTATTTAGGTTGATTTAGCTCAATGTGTTGAAGGAAAATCAAGCATTTCATTGTACAATTATTATTATTAAGAAAAAAGGGGTGATTGAGGAGAGGCAAAAAATTACATGATCATCATCACGTATCGCAAATTTTCAAGTGCGGCACACGTGCCATGAAGCATGAATCGTAAGCTGCATTGCGTAAATAAATGAAGCACTTATTATTGGTCCTGTTCTGTTGGACGAGATAAAAAGCCGAATGAGACAGAATTTGCAAGAAGATGAGAAGAAGCGTGAAATTTTGATGGGTTGGCGTCGTCGTTCGTTTCGTTGTGTAGTTTATATTTGTTGGAAAGGTGAAATGAAATGAAAGACTCGTCAATTAATACCGTTGATGGATGGGTGGGTAGCAGTGGTTGGTTTTCCTTGATTGTGATTGAGTTGATGGGTTCCTCGGATGAGGTTGGTTTGTAGTTTGTTATGTTGTTGTTTGTTGGGTTTCATTTCATTTCATTTCATGGATTGTTTCTGCCGTGTCTCGTGGTAAAGCAGAAAATGAAACCATAATAATATCCCAATACCACAGTATTATACCTGCCAAAGAACAAGCAAGTTTAGTTTTTGTTGACTAAAAACTTTGTTTTGAATGTTTTGTTTTTCAATGATAAAATTGTATTTTCATTTTTGTGGTGAAGCGCAAAATCTGAAATGATCATTAAGAGGTTGCAATCGGACATTGCGATTCCTTTATTGTGGGTTTCTTCATGTGAAAAAGTACCATGAAACTAGAATAATAATGAATGAAACTTTGTATAATGAGTCAGAGACGAGAGTTCTTTGACTCACAATCAGAGTACGAGAGACAGAAATGCAGTTTATGTGCAAGTGAAATTAAATTATTATAATTTCCTGCCCAGCAAATTTTGTCACTTTGTCTCTCAAACGAGACAGTCTTCCCTCATTTCATTTAGCCCTCATCGTCTGTCTTGGCTTCTGTGATGGTTCATTTAGTAACTGAAGCATGTTTGCTAATTTGATTAAGTCGTGTTGACACTGGTTGGACACAGCCTCCTCACAGAAAGTGTAAACAAATGAATGATTAGATAATATGGATGAGCGAATGACTAGAGGAAAAGATGAAAATAGAAGGAGATAAATGTATACGATCTGTCGAATTGGCTGAACAAATAGTATAATATAATCATAGTAAAGTGAGTAAGTCGTAGTAGGCAGGCCAAAGTTGGTAGTACGAACGAGTAGTTGATGTGTATGTAGTGATAAAAGAGGGTCAATGTCAAGGCTTTCGTTCGTCTTTCCTGAATCCTCAATTGGATGTGGTCGTGGTATGGTGATGGTGGATGGAAAAGCAGATGATATTCCCTTTCTCCTACTACTTACTTGGTGGACTGGTTGTGAGGATGTGACCTATTTATCTCAAACTAAACTTGAGTAAAAAGGGAAAAACGTATATATGTATATATATCGAGAAAAAAGGGAGTCGAGAGAGAGAGGGACTTTTTCTTTCTTTTCTTCAACCTCAAAGACCACCACGTGCTTATTCCTCTCTGACGGCTTCTCTCGCCTGTATATATATCTGGTTGCTCTTTCTTCTTCCCTTTCGTATGAGTTCGATGTGATGTGATGTTCACCATTTTAACGAGAAAGCGGCCGAGAGAGTACAAGTTTGAGGTTGTGTGAAGAAAGTAAAGTATTAAGCACTTTCACTTCACTTTCTCTCTTCTTCTTGCGCTTGGTATGCTTGCATCTTTCTTGGTCGCATTGTATTGCAGCAGGATTGCACTATCATCATCACCAAGAAGTGATGTTATATGGAAGTATGTAGTCGTAGTAGTAGAAGTGTGTGAAAGTGAATGAATGTTATAAAACTTTTATTCCATTCTACACACTACGACTACGACCATGTTCGTTCGTAATAGTTTGTATGCTTCTCTAAACTGGCTGGACGCCTAGTCATTTTGTGTTCTTATCATGACTTACATCTTTTAGGAAGTCTTGTAATTTTTGTAAGAGGGAAAGTAACTTTTCTCCGACTTTTAATATTTGCTCTAGTTTTTTTCTTGTTCTTCGCTTGTTTTAGAGGTTATTAGGTGGAAGGTTGTAATGATGTGTGTATTCGTACACGAGAGTTGTTAATTTTATTATTCTGTATGTATAACTCATTTATGGAAACATTTATGTGGAGAGAGGGACTGTTGCATTGCGTGACAAAGTATAGAACCACGAAAGAAACGAAACGTATGGCAGAAAAACAATAGCTAAAATTGAATAAACTCGGCAATTCACTTCATTATTACTACTGATTGATTGATCATATCGTCGCAACATCGTGACATGTGCATTAAGCAGTGAGTATAAACACCTGGTATATTTTCAAAAATGATAAAAATCATTTAATTTCCACCCTCGTCCATGCATGACTTTAATATTTTTGGTATTTTTCCAAATTACAGAATGCTCCAGGTGCGGGAAGTAGAGGCGGTGGGCCACCCCAACAACCTGTCTCTGGACCTCCTCCCCAGCAGCAGCAGCAGCAACAACATCAAAACTATTACCAACAACAGCAGCAGCAGGGTCCTCACCATCCCGGCTACCCACCTCCTCCCCCTCAGTCCCCCCACTACCCGCCTCCTCCTCACTCGCAGCAGCGTTATCCTAGCCCAGGCCCGGGGATGAGACCGCCCGATAATCAACCTCACTACCCTCCTCAACACGCCCCCGTAAGTACTCTTTTTTTCCATACTTGAGAAAAGTGCTGTGTTTACTTTCACCCGCTTCCTTCCGTCCGTCCTTGCTCTTTTCACTTTCGACATGCAAATAGAAACACGACATCACGAATGAATGATTTTATTATTGTTAATGAGCCGGTCGGTAGTAGACACAAGGACATGTTAAAAATGTTTCCATTGTGGTTGTGAATGATGACAATGATAATGACAGTTGGTTGAAAGGGCATATGCTCTGCATGCTCGTACAACTCGCATGTTTTCATTGTAGTCGAGGAACCAAATCTCATTTATTATTGTCTACTGAAGAGATTGGCTCGAGGGTATTTTGAATAATGAGGTGTGTTTGTGTCAAGTACCGTTTTTTTTTCCTTCTTTTATGACATGTCATGTCATGTACGATTTTATCCGATTTATTTTTAAGCCACCGCTTTTGACACAAAAGTGAATAAGTAAGTAAAGGAATCTTTGTTTATATTGCGACCAACTTTTAATTTGAAATTCGGTTATAAAATCTCAAAAGTTTGAAAGAAAAAAGTTTTGCTAGTCGAAAGTTATTATGTAAGCATTCTTTTTTTCTCCCAAATCCGGACTTTATTCAAAGTTTTGTTTATCTTAAGAATTGGGTTCTGCTTGAGAAGGAAAATTGCAAAAGCCATGTGGTAGTAAAAGTATGGATGTATGTATGTACTTGGTCATGAATGCATCGCAAGTCTCTCGCATGCATTGTAAATATGGTTATATGCACGAAGAATGAGGATGTTTTGTTATCAAACTTGTTGAAAGTAGGCCACTCGATCTCTTCTTGCGTGCACTTTTTGCCCATACATGGAGGAAAGGATGCAGTGCAGCACAGCACAGCACAGCTGGTGTCCTATTAAACCGGAAGGAGATAAGATATTTATGTGTGTGTGGTTGGTATTCCTGGAAATTTTTCCATTCTGGAAAATCTCTAGAGATTCATTGCCCTTTTTTTCATTTGGTTTGGCAAACAATATAGTTGGGTTGGGTTGGATGGAAAATGGCATGAAATGCACGTACGTAATCGTATGCACCACAGATTCATTGATTTTGAATCTTCTTTTGTCAAAAGCGATGAGGTTTAGAGTTTGCTCCCTTTGTTTCTTTCTTTCCCTGACTCTGCAGATACTCGAAAGTCTCGAACGAAGTATTGACTTTGTTGGTTGTAATGCCTATGTCTCTGCGTATGCACTTTATTTTTCCGCAGCAGCAGCAGCAACCACTACTTTACGATTCATTCCCAATTTCTTTCTACTTGGCTGGTTTCATTCATAAAATTAGAGTAGAAAAGAGATCCAATCATAAAAGCGAGGTTTGCACCACCACCACCAACTAAATCGTCTTTTTGACATTGATTCGTATAAATTCCAAAAGTTGCAAATTTACGTTTGAATGCCGCCTTTCCTATGCTGCATTGATTTTGATTGCATGCAATTACATAAGTTTTGATTGATGGATTACTTTGCAATAGTCTCATTTCATACACGAGTCGTGTCATACATACGTAACAGACGAGAGATACTTCTGTTACGTGTTTTCTTGTGTGAAAGGTAAAGCTCAAAAAGAGCTGATTGATCGAAATGGTATAGCCACGAGCAACTTTCTATACGATATGTCTTCTTTTGTGTCGGTTTACGGTGCACATGTATTTTTTGAATTTATTATTTTGCACACATTACACACATTTTCTATACATAAAAGTTTCAAGATCCTACGGATTTGCGTTACATTACGATTTATTTGATCCTGTTACAATGATGGAAAGGCGAGTTATCAAAGTGAGGTACACAGATACCAGGAGACTATATCTGTATCTATCTATGTTATATATAAAGCTTTATTATTGAGATTGACCCCATTATTATTATGCGAACCGATACGAAAACGCAGATAAAGTGGAGCATTTTATTAGCATGTTCTGCTTTTAGTCCGTGGTGGGTTATGATGGTGTGTGCCGGCAAAAGCGTGTGTTAACCATGTATTAGTACATTACACATACTGCAATTTGTTATCTCACTACCACTCGCACTTGAGCTCTTTATCTTTTTATCTTTACAATTCACCACAAAACACGTGCTCTGATTATAACACCAAATGCTAGTACATACGTCCTGCTATACAGTAATCATTTTATAATAATATGGCAAATTGGCGGCTATGCAGTTGGACAAAGTCATTTCCTATTTTGCGTTTTATCAATCTTCTTGCCGTGCTACTTCCTTCCGGTTCTCGGGCAGCAGTCAAGTTAAGTTAGGTCATGTTAGATAAAGATATAGAGAATTTGATGGTCTTTCTCTCTGGCACAGGTTTATTTTATACTACTTTACACGAACGAACGAACGGTGGTAGGAAATAATGGACTGGTCCATTCATTCAGAAATTGAGACTACACAGACAGAGCACAACTAATAATAAGAGAGAAAGGAAAGGAAGTCCAACTTCCAGTTCCACCAACATCAGCTCAACTTTATCTCCATGTATATCTATAAATAAGTGAGTGAGTAAGCAAAGTAAATGGACGACGATATATGTTTTGGTCCGTAGATAGTAAAACGAAATAACTTGAATGTCTCGTCGTCCTGATGGTTAAAGTTGGCTGGTTGGTGGTAGGTAAGTGCGGTGGTAATAGTAAATGAGGGTTGTTATTTTGTTTCCTTCCCTTCTATACACTTATTTTCTTCATGTTCACGTCTCATTGTAGGAGCAGTTTAGTTGGTAAATTGAATTTGAGGAGAGACTTTTGTTCATCCGCACGGAACGACTAAGCCAACGCAAAAGTCATTAGGGTAGCAAAGTAACGAGAGATGAGGAAGAAGGACACATCTCATTGATGACGAGATGAGATAGTTGAGCAGAGCTGTGTGACTTTTACTTTTATTCTATCCGAGACTTTTTTTACTAGGGCATTATAATGCCCTGAACTGTATACAGTTCAGTTAGTGGATGGATGGATGGATGGATTGTTGTCTTGTATGAGTGATTTCCAATAATAATAATACTCAACGGTATGATTGAGACGAGATGGGCTTATATATTTAGTGATTCTCCTTCTTCTTGGAAGTAGATTATTTGGGTTTGCTTGCTGTGTCTCTTATCTGTCTAGCTTGTGGCCGTGACTGAATTAAATTAGTGTCATTCAAAGATGATACGTTTATAATAGCAGTCGAGCACTTATGGAATAACCATCATGCTTTTATATCTCTTCTTCTTCTTTGATCTTTTAAAATGTTAAAGTAATGGAGCGGTGAGATACTTAAATATCGGTAATGCCGTATACCGTATCTCTTTTTAATGTTTATGTATAAAAGGAAGGGATTTCTTCTTGCTGCCAGGCCAGACGGTTATTGCATAAAATTGTCTGTGACCTATAATAATTTATGTATCGATTTCACATTACATACGTCTTTACCATACACCGAGATTCAGACCTAAATGTGTGCAGGATACGTGAAACTACTGTACCGGCTAAAAGATTGATTGTGCATTAAAAGCTGTGTGAGTGAGGTATGTAATCTTGGTGAAAAAAAGTGAATGAAATCCTTCCCTACGTACAAATTAAGTATTTTATTATTATTTGTAGGAGTGAGTGTGATTGGACTTGGTTTTATTTCAATGTCAGTCTTGCCACTATTTATTTTGCTTTTGTTTATATCGGTCAATGACTATGTAGAGCCTTCCTGGTACATAAATACACATGTGTGTGTATATGTACATACATATTTCAGTGCTTAATGTCTATTAAAAGATTGTCTACCAGATATCGGATACACAATGGCATGAGTAGCCAAACTTTCGTTCATTCATTTAATTAAATCATTATATGTAGTCATCCTCATTCTCTTTCACGAAATAACAAGTGTTATATAAGAGCACCTTCGCTTTCATTTCTGTGAATGAGGGTTACGTGTTATTAAATGTTGAGTAATAATAATAATAACAGAGTCCTGTAAGTAAACTTGATATTAATGCGGCTGGAAATCATGTCACGTTTGTTTTTTCAAGTTGATGAACCATGATGATGGATAATTTCTAGGTAATTTATTAATCAGAGGAGTTGCATAGTTTGCATAAATTGTTAAATGGAAATAATTATGGGTTGTAATGTAATTTATTAATTTAGTCCATTCACCAATCTTAAATTTTGCCTTAATATCGCGGAATGGGAAGAATATATGAATATTTAATAAGAGATTATGTATGGCATGTTGCAATTTATTTGGTGGTCATTTGGATCGTTTTGTGCTTAATGAGTTGAAAAAAAACGAGTATTGGAGGAAGAGTTCAGATTAAAGTTTACCACGTAATCTGAAGTTGAGAAAGGTCATTTTTGTTAGTGTTATGTGCACATGTGTAATTAGAGTTTTTCATTTCAAGTGGTGGTAACTAACTTGAAAAAGATTATAGTAATACTACGTTTGGCTCTGGGTTATAATTAGTGTATTCGCTCGACTCGCTCGTTGATGACTGTGGAAAGTTGCATGTTTTTGTGTGAGTTTTTATGGAATCGTCATTAAAGATGCGTTATCGAGATCAATGACATATGATGAGATTAATGTTGATGGTTGATTTTTGATACGTAGTAATTTATATGGGGGAATGTTATATATCTTGCTAATTGTGTTTTAAATAATTTTTGCAGGGTATGGCGCCTCCTGATGCAGGCAATGGAGGCTCGGAACCACCAAAGTCAACACCCCCTCCCCCTCCGTCGCCATCACTTGCCAATCATGGTCAGAATCCTCCATCGCCTCAACAATCACCTCGCCCAACGCCACATCCGCCACCCGTTTCGTCCTCTAATTCCAATAGTTTACCACCTCCTAATTCTCCGTCACATCGACCTCAGGGCTCAAGTCCTTCCAATAGTTATCCTGCTCCTGATGTCGGGGTAAGTGCCCAACAAATAAGCTACACGATCGTCCGCCCGTGTGTCCACCCCAAAAATCTAACCGTAACTCCGAGATCAAAAGTATTTAAAGTTATACGTATTACGTTGGTTAATGAGGTTAATATAAATTTTGGTCTTGTTATTTTGCCGTGTGTCTGTGTATAGATTGATATTTCTAAATATTCGGACCAAAAATAATACGACGTATGCTGTATTTTATGTTAACAAGTTTCAACGTTGGTGAAAGCAGTCAAGGATTGTTCAACAGATGTATCTTCTGTTTTATAAGTGGAGTGGTGCGTTTTGTGTAAGTTGATGTCTTTATACATAAATATTAAATTAAGCGTGTGCGAGGAAAGTGTTTTCACTCTAGTTTGTTTACGCTGTACCACGACGACTACTGGAGCATGAAGAAACAAGAAACAATCAAAACGTGAATGAATAATAACAAAACATCAACAAATTGGAAAACCATGATGAACGTGTATAAAAGCGACGACCATGAATTTGGAGATTAAATTAACAAGCTCGAAAAGAATAGAAAGAAAAAACCAGTTCAACTCTCCACTTAATCCACGTCAACCACTTTTCGATTGGATGGATGGATGCGAAAAAGAAAGGAAAACGGAAATGGAATCCAAAAAAATTTGTTCGTCTAGAAGAGTGCCTGCCTCCGATTGAGAATCTCTGGTGACATCACATGAATTGAATGAAATCGAAGCGTTTTATTTTACTTTACTGACATTTTATGCCTTCTCAAATTGTAGATTATTTGTTCACAAGCTGGTGGTGTTGGTTGGCTTTTGCCAATATATCGGGACTTTCTTCTTCTTTTTGGATTGAAGTTTTTGGCATTACAAAGATCTGCTGCTAAAAGCGAAGACGACTCGGTAACCAAGTCTTGTTGGTTGTTGTAAAAGAAGACGAAGAAGGAAAGCAAAGGCGGATCAGAAAATGGAATAGGTAGTTGCATTAGTAACAGAACAACGGAAGACAACATGGGAATGGGATCTATTATGGAATAGTAGACTCTGGATGGAATGGAACCTACCGACCGAACGAACCAACAACACAAGCAGAACTTATTACATACAGAATAGAGGCAAACCAAAGAGCAACGTTTTAGTTAGGCAATGCTCTGCGAATAGTAGTAGTAGTGCACAAGTTTCCAACATGATGCTACTTGAAAATAAGTGAAGTTAAACCCAACATGCCCATGATGCCACACAGCCGAAGCAATATACTGTGGCACCACTGGCACCGCAGCAGCAGCGTTACATACTCGTTCAGCAGTTCAGTGTTCTTGGTAACTTGGTTGTTGGGCTTCCCTAGCTTCAAGTTGGAATTGGTTGATCGACCACTTTCGCCCTTCACGTCACGGCCCGCCGCTAGCATTGCAGATGAATATTTGGCGACATAATTCGAAAATTGGAGAAAAATTATTAAAAAAGAAAGATTTGGCCAGGAGATAAAAGTGACAACGGATAAAGAAAGTATTGACTGATGGTTGGAATTGAAAGTGGATGAAAAGTTGGCTTGAGAAGAATGTTCATTCGAGTTGCTCGACCCATAGCGCCCCAACTTTCCTCCAAACTTGGGTCGATAGTAGTCGAGCTACGAGCGAGTTGTTATGTTGGTAGAGTTGGAATTCAATGTATAATGGACGAACAAGCAGCAGCAGCAGGCAACGAGAGGAATATGTTGTAACCAAGCTTTTGGTTCGGTTGGCTCCAGAATAGAACATTTCTTTCCCTTCTTCCTTCATCATCATCATCATCCCCACCAGCAAAACATCCAGTTCTCTACCACTCTTGCACTAAAAACTGCTCCCATAAGAGAGCTACGCCAACATCGTCGTCGTCGACGACGACGACGAACCCAAGGATATTCTTCTCTCTTTTACTCCCAGTCGGTACTTTGCTGCCTGTTTTTCGTTAGCTCTCTCTGGCTCCAACTAGTAACCATCATCATGATAAAGCCTTTCCCATTTTCGTCGTACCTTTCTACGTTAAGCTAAAAGTGAAGGAAAGCCAGGTTTTTTCACCAGTTCTCTCTCATCCCATCCTCTTGTCAGTTGTTCCAAATGCAATGTGATGTTGGATGTTCAAAATGTTCCACGGATGGAGTGCATTAGATATTAGATTTACTTTACTTCTTCCTTCGTCGACGTCGACTTAACCGCCTGTGTTCTGTTTCATGCCATGCATTCTCTCTCTTTTTCTAACTCCTTCTCATCCTTTCTTTCTTACGTAAGTATGTATGTATTTGTATGCAATGTTCATAAGGGTGGATGTACCATCAGACCAGCAACCGCGTGACAGGCAAATGTAAGAGCTACATATTATTACACTAATACGAGTTACACGGAAAATTTTACTCTCCTCTGCTTCGAATTGAATTGACATAGTTGGGCTATGATGTAACTAACATAACATAACATCATGGCATGATGATGACTAGGAATAATACCTAACAACTGTGCCTTTGAGAAAACGGGCATGGTTTCGTTGGTGTGTAAAAAGCAAAGAGTAATAGATGAAGTTGGTGGATGGTTGGTTTTGCTTGGCATCTCTTTTCTGTGGTATATTCAGCAGCAGGCACATCATCCTCCATCCTTTGAAACCCCTTCTGCACTCTTCGGATCTCTCCTTTAATGCAATATTCTGCCTGGCTGGCAAAGCTTTTCAGTTGTTGTTCACATGAGACGAGCTGACAGGAATGAACTATCCATCCATCCTACTCTCTTTCTGTACATACATACGTACCCAACAACCAACAAGGAAAAATTTCAACCCTTTCTCACTCCTCGTTCCTTTTTATTCAGCGCTTTGGAACTTGAATTTAGCTTGCGTCCGCAAAAGCTCCATGTGTGAAGAAAAATAAGCCGTGTAGGTTTGAGATCATCATGCAGTGTAACAAGAGAGAGAGAATGCTGAATTTATAAAAATGATGGTTTGGTGATCTAACCCCACCGAAAGGGTTGGTTGGTGGTTTGCTTAGCGATAGATAGAGGCATGCACAAAATAAAATGTATAACTCCACTCTGGATTGTTTAGATGGATATGGATGGTGTTTTTTAAAGTCTTCTTCTTCTACTAAAGACCAAACCAAGGCCAACGCACATTCTTTTTTACATTTCACATTCACATTTATGTATATTCATTTGAATCTAAAGAAGCAACGTTCAGCATGGCCATGTATGTAGTGCATATATACGGCTCGTTTATGTGGCTCCGGCTTTTGAAAAGATAAGTTTTATTCTTTTGCAATGCCACTTCACCAAGAAGAGTGAGACATGGTTAGTTTAGCTCACATCACATTTCTTCCTTTGTGTCTCTCAGTCACTTTAAGTATGGTACTTTTATTTATGCAACCCTCTCGTAGAAAACAACTCAATTTATGATGCATCACTTTCGCATCGCATCCCATTTTGATGCTTCTTTTTTCTGCAATAATGTGCTCATCTCTTGAATTTTCCCCTTTTACGTGCATGCGTAAAATATTTATTACTCGGTAAAAGAAAAAATAGGATTGGCGAAAATTTGCGTCACAAGAAATGATGTTAATTCATTGCTGATTATTTGCAATTATCGCGTCCAAGACTGTCTTCATTAATAACGGGAAATGATTTATAAATGAGACAGATGGTGCATTGCATTCTGTGTCATTCAGAGTATTTCTGCAATCTTATTGCATAGATAGCCGTCGGCTTGAAGAAATGGTTAAATAATGACAATACATAATATAAGATCATTTTTTTCTACTCTCTTTAACATTGTCTTTATATATATATTGTGTGTGTGTGTAGTTGGTGGTGGTGGTGATTTGAAAAAGAATGTCATTCATTCATTCACAAAACTCATTACTTACTAAACTGTAAGGTTAGGTCGGAAAAAGGAAACGATTTACTATGACTATGCTCCCTATGAACGTGTCTATATGCCTATAGAATTTGTGACTTTTTACTATACGGCGGCCGTTATCTACTCTCCATATCGTGCAGCTTTTGTGTCGAGGTTTCGTAATAGGAAGGTCAACTTTATTTTTGTAGAGCTAGTAAAGTTTTATGTCCGCACATGCACAAAATTCATTGGGATTCCTGGTGAGAGACGATAGAAAAATGGGGAGAGACGACGACGAGAGACTTGCTTTTTCTGTAATTGCATCAATCACTCCCATTATGTACGTACGTACATAGTTCCTTTCCTACTACTGCTTCTTCTATTTATTTCTCTCTACAAATGGGACACTGCACGATTTTGTGCATTATGCCAATTTCTTTAAGAGATTTTTTATTCCGTTGGACAGAATGGATTAGCAGGATATTTATGTATGCACACATTCTCTTGCAATTTGATCTTTTCTGATCATCAGAGAGACTAGACTGATGGTCTGGACGTAGATTAACTATGGACAGATAAGAATCGAGAGTGACGTGACATTCAATAGTGAAATTAGGCGTGCAGTATGTATTAGAGATTGTGACTCATTGTTTTAATTCCACCTTGATTGCACTTTTCATATTGCACTTCCTGATGTATTTATGTACATATGCACATGCACCAAATAAATAGGCAGGTCGTGAAAAAAATCAGTGTTACGTTACGCAGCAGTAGAGATGCATAATGGGTTTATCTCAATCGGTTGCAACATTCTTGTTGATGTTTTTGTTGAACGGGGCTATTAAATCAATTATCTGTTATCATACATTTCATTTCGTACCACAAATCAACGTATCTCTCTTTCTCTCTAATTATGTCTTAATTCATTCATCAATTTATTAAATCCAGACAGAATAATACTCATGTCGATAAATGAAGCGTTTAATTATGCGAATTAAATTAGGGAAATTTTTTCATTACTAACTAGAAGGGAAATGCTTTACAATTATTGAATAATGATACCGATCACGCAACGAGGTTATTACAACCCATAATTTAAAATCAATGTTGTTGAACGTTTAAAAGTCTCAAAAGCTTGTCGGGTTTCCTCGAATATGCATGACGTTAAAGAGTGGGTGTTATGACAGGAGGACATGCTTTCCTTCCGTTAATAGACCTGTCTTAATATATGAATGATGTAAGGATTAGCATTTGTTGATATGTGAACCTAATATGTTTCAAGTTATTGTAGTATTTGTACTCCTGCCAAGAATCAAGGTCAATTTCTCGTAATACATTGCATTACATAATATACATACGCACACGAATAATTATTCGTGAGCCATGAATGAAAACAAATAGATTCAACTTGAACTTGAACTCTGTTATGTTTTTCTCGATTAAATTCAATTGCATGGTCATGAATGTGTGGTGGTCTATAGGTTCGAGTTCATTAAAATATTTGGTGCAGCAGCGACGAGACTCGTTCAAGTATTGCGAATGTGATTAATAACGTGTAATAAAGAACTTGTGTCGTATATATTTATAGCACAGTAGTACGTACGGATTTAGTGTTTTCTATTGCTCGTAATTAACTGAAAGTGTAAGTTTATTTACATGGAAAGTATACATAAGCCTGTAGTAATATATGTAAATAGATTGAGTTGAATTTTTGAGTGGTTTTACATATTCCACATAGTTTGGGTACATTTGTTGTTAAACAGGCAGGCAGACAGACAATAATGCAACCGTTAACGAAGGTCGGCGTTGTGTTGGCCTAATGAATCGTAAAATTGTCTCAGTAGTGGTAGATAGACAATTTAATTGCGTGATATACCCTTTTTACTTTAATTATTCAGTTGTGCAGTTTGTTTTGTATACTTGCTACACAACAAGTAGTATTGGCCTTTATCTGGTCTAGTATACATGTAAATATCCATCAGGTGAGGAAATTGTAATGAGTTTTGTGGTTTTGTGCATGGTTGTTTATGTGGGACAGTTTTTGAGTCATGAGAAAATCGTGATGTTCAAATTACAACCGAGACAAGAGACTAATTCAAAGCATGATTTTTTTATCCCACTACTTTACTTGTTGTTGAACCTTCTCTTCTCGAAATAATGTTATGCATGCCTGCATATTGGATGAGATGATGGTTGCTGGAGCAAAATTGTAATGAAAAAGGCAAGTTGTTATGTAATATGTATGCTGAATGGATGGGAAGAAGAGTAGTCGAGAAGAGTGGACTAGGTTATGGATGATGTTACGACGAAGGGTAGTGGATTCAAAAACTTTCAAAGGAGACGTGCGTTGACTGCAAATGTCAATAATCATAATGCATGTAAATTTATATTGAAGACACCGGTTGGAAACGACTGGAATCAATAAATGGTTTCCCGCAAATACGTATCCTCGACTTTCCATGTGTGTATTTTAATATGTAAATATGAACGTCTTGTAAAACTTGCCCTTTTTTAGTGGTCATGTTATGGTTAGTTTGGAGTTGGAGTGTGGCGGATGAACGGTTTGAGCTCAAATTCACGTTAAAATATGTTGCAATTTTGCTGATATCCAATCATCAGTACACGTGTTGAATTAATGTGAACTTTTTTGTTTTGTAGGAAGTCACAGGTTGTAATAGCAATGATAGTGTTGGTGGGATGAACCAACAGCAACCCTGCGGACCAAGACCTTCTCCGTCTCCAACCGGATCGGCCGGATCTCGTTCTATGTCACCGGCTGTGGGTAAGGAAAAAAAGATGCAAATTTTATACGGAGTGTATTGTGTGTGTACTTTGATATGTATATTCCTCATCGGTTGTAAATCGGCAATAATACGAATCCCCATATATCCGAATCCATTTAGCTTTGGGTGAAATGGAAAGGGAACGAAAGAGCGAGCAAGCAAAGTAGACTTCTCGGGACTAGGACCGATATTAGCTCATCGACTACTTGCAACTAATCCTTTCTGCTACGATTGACTGAACTTCCTTTATCGATGTGACCTTCTTCTTACTTTGAGTTTGGGTTGAGCCCGGGTTTTGACAAGGAAGTGATACCTTTTACAATAATAGATTGCATTATGTTGTATATTCACTATTTTACTCGTATCCTATGCTTGTAAGAAATGTGATTGAGCAAATAGAATGATTTCCCTTCCTTTTAAGGTTGAAATTCACTTTCGTTTTCTTCAGACTTGTCCCAGACGGGGACCGAGACCAACAATCCTTACGTAACCGTGGAATATATCTCTTGGCGACCCCGGAGGCTTATGTATGCCACGGCTTCTTACCGTGTTGTGTGCAATAATGATGCGTCTTAATTTGGACTGGAATTTAGTGTCTTGATAACATGAGGCGTATACGTACAAATGTCACTACTGCTGAGAATTGTCATTTCATGTATTCATAATGCTGCATTTTGTCTCACTTTGAAACAAACTGTTAAACGCCCAACTAATTGTCAAATTTTTGTTGATTGGAAGGAGAGAGTTAATTGAGATAAATAAACTTGGAATAGCATAATGACATCATAGATAATTAAATATTGACTAGGTTTCAAATTACCCTATGTACGTATTGGTATCATGAATAATTAAATACTTAAAAGTAGCAGGAGTCAATGCGAGGAAAAGGTCTTGGTCTTTTAAACCCATTGGGAATTGGTATAGCCAGAAAAACATTAGTGTATTGTGCCTGGTGAGGAGTATATATTTTATCCGAGGATGAAAATAAGGTGACTGGCCGGGTGGTGCAGTTTTATGATCACACTTTATTTCTAACTTTCCCCTTTTTGCGGAATGGAATGAACTCCGAGTCCCAGGAGATGAATGAATCGGCCAATCTAGGTCATAGCTTGTGATTGTGAAGGACACCAGAAAAGAGTTTTGTTTCATTCATCAAGTCCATTTGTTATCTAACTCGCACCCCATGCGCACCCACTCGCCATTTATTTTACTGTTTTTTTTGTAAAAATTTCGCAATTTGTATATCCAAATTAAGACTGAATTGAGTAGAATTAACTTGATTCTACTCAATTGAATTAAGAGATTATTCAGAATGTAGTAGAATTTATTATTTTAATAGCAGCAACATTTTTTGTACTTTGAAAAGTCAAAAGAAGGATTTCACAGAAACTGCAATGTTGTTGACGAGTTTGATCTCGGGTCATGTTTTTATGCGACTTGATCTCTCCGTCCGTGGTGAAAAGAACATAAATTACTTAACTAATGGGTTCTGTTGACAGCGTCAGCAGCTTTTCTTTCTTTCTTCGTGCATTTCCTATTCACTCCTTTCCGCTTATATAGCCCTATATATCATCATGACCACGACCCTGCAAACATTGGCTTTCATGTCGTTTCATGAATCCCTTTTGAAAACGAGCAAGGCCAAATTTCTGAACTTGGAATTTGAATGTTCATTCATTCATAAATGGGGATTATGTAGACGAGTGCTGGTGATTAAGAAGAGTATCAAGTCTGCAGAAAAGTCTATAGATGTTGGTTTACCATTTCTCGTCGGTATAATCATTAGTGCAGGTCAGTATTGAATTGTAATTGGTATAGGAGCACAAGGGGTTAGGTTAGGATTGTTTTTGTAAGAGGACCAATAATCCACAAGAATAAAAGTATCTATAAGAGTATGAAATCCATACGGCATTGTGTTAATAAATAGCGTACGCCGTGGACTCATCAAATATTTAGTTGTGTGCGACACAAGAACAAAAGAATTGAATAAAAGGTACTCGTTATTGGCACATCCATTCTTGCATAGTGGTGGTGATTGACATTTTTATGCACTTTTTATTTTGGGACGTATGTACACTATTGACATTGACAGGTTGCTTGGTTGTTGACATAAAATAATGAAAAGAGGTTACATCACTGACTGTGTGAAGTAGTGAGTTGAGTTCAACGAATGATAAGAAACAGCTGTTCCGTCCACCCATTATTTTTTGACATCATCCAAATTCGACCTTCTTTCTGGTTTGGTTTAATAGTCTCTCTCTCGCTATAATAAATAAATATACGGCTTAAGTAAATGTTCAATCCACCACGTGCGTTTTTGTGCAATGAGTAATTGCAATACTACTACTACTACTCATTTATATGAGATATCAGATTATAGATTATTATCGAGTGGTTTTATACGTTTATATATTTATTTATGTACTCCCCTAATAAATAATGTTTTATTTACGTGTTGTTGCAGGAAATCAAAACATTCCGATGCCACCAAGACCTTCTAGTAGTCAATCAGACGGTACAAGGATGAGTCAATCACCGATGCCAGGCAGTAATAATACTTTACGATCTAAATTTTTCTTATTAGTACTTGTGATAATGGTAATTCTAATATTTATACCTGTTTCACTAGGTGGTTCCTATCCTGGTCAAGCAATGGCACCTCCGCCGCATCATATGCCGTACCAAAGTGGTGGAAAACTTGCGCATCAAGCTGGAATGGTTCCTCCCCCTTCGCAAGGAGGAGGAGCAGGACATTACCCCCATCAACAACCTAATCCTCAACAACAGCATTGGCAACATCAACAGCAACAAGGCCAGCAAGGGCCAGGAGGAGGTTACGGGCCCCGTGGCCCACCACCACCTCAGCAACATGGAGGTCACGTAGGAGGAATGATGAGTCCGTACCCTCCACCTGTTCAACAACCCATGCAAGCTAATAATTACGGTGGTCCGAGACATCCAATGCCAAACCATGTGGGAGGAGGACCTCCGCCACCACAGCAACAGGGTCCAGGAGGAGGGAATCAATATAATAGTCCATACCCTCCTCATTACCCTTCACAACCACCCCCACAAGGATGGCCAGGTGCAGTAGCAGGTTCAAACCCACTAGGAACACCCCCTCCTCCCAGATCTCAGTTGCATCTCAAGCAACAGTTACAACATAAACTTGGCTACCCTACTCACGGCTATCCCATGGGACCCCCAGGACCATCTTCACCTTCGCAAACCCCACCACCACCACATTCTCATCACCCAGGAATTATGCCGGGTGATTCTCAAGATGGTGGAATCAGCAATCCACCAAATCTTGTGTCGGTTGGGCCTGATGGAGCTAATGTGGATGAAGTATCTCAACAATCTACACTGTCCAATGCATCAGGAGGTGAGTCAATAATGGTCAACTTGCTTGTGATCGCGCCCGTATAATATAAATAAATAAACAATCTCAGACATAGTTCAATTAATAATTGTGGATTTTTGTGCAGCATCCGGCGGCGACGATGGACCTCCAATGCCAAGTAAGTTATAAATTAAAATATATATATATTCTTTCATACAAAACGATCATACAATCTTCAGCAATGGGGTAGTATTGAACGGGTTGGAGTTGCTTTAAATAGCATAGCTGGACAGGATTGTTTTAAAATCGTCATTAACAAACAATTAAAATCAGTTTTTGGTGAACTAGATATCTCAACTCGTAATTATTTTGATTTCGATTGCAATAAACTAGGGGCACAGTCAGTCATAAAAAACTTGCCAAATTCCCAAAATTCTCGCAAGCCAAAACCAAAAATTTCAATTTTTATTTGTTCGCATTGCAATAAAAAATTCAATGTTAAAAAGACTTTAGAGCACCATTTACTAATCAAACACAAAGGATTAAAAAAGTATTACTGCAGTCTCTGCAAGTGTTCAGAAAACCATAAGGTTATATTCGACGCACATGTTCTTCTACATACTACTGGAGTCCATTGCGAAATCTGCAACAAGCCCTTCGTTCACATTAGGTCCCTCACGCATCATACTAAAACTATAAAATGTGTTCCTATGTCAAACTGATTACACAGAACTAAGGCCAGAAGGACCAAGACCTCATCAAAATTATCCAAGTCATCCAACGACACCGCAAAATAACGCAGTTCCTTCTCCTGGTGCTGCCAGTATGAATTCAGTTCACGAAGAATATGGGGAAATGAATAGTCCTGGTTGGCCACGAACTCCTGCGAGTCCTGTAAGTGTATACATCCATCTAAATGCTTTCTTGTTCAGTTTGTTGACAAAATTATTACGTAATTTGTTTGTACCAAAAAGAAGTATGAAAAGATTATTCCAAAAAAAATACTTTAATGTTCTATGTATGTGTTTCGCCAATTTATTTTTACGTTCTTTTACTTTTTTTTATGAAACACATTTATCTCAAATTCTCTCTCTATGAACTTTATAAGTGTCTCGTGTTGTGTGTTTCTTTTAATATTCTTATTAATTCGTTTTATTATCGCGTTCCTTATAATTTCATTAATGTGATGCACTCATTCAATTGCACTTTGATGTTGTTAAAGGGTTTAAATAGTCACCCTCCACCTCCAAGTGAGCACTTTAAAGGAAAGAATAAGGTAATCATGAACACCATCGATGTTTTATGTTACTGAGCTTTTTGTGTGTAAATATGAATAGTGGCAGTTGTATAATAATATGATGACATGTTAATATTTTGTCAAGTACTAACTATTGTTTACTTTTTGTGCAGAAGGCGGATAGTCTCAACAAATTATACGACATGGATGAGAATCCAGATCGAAGACTTTTTCTAGATAAGTTGATACACTTCATGGAGGAGAACAATACACCAATTGCTTCGTGTCCAACCATCTCCAAGAACCCACGTAAGTTTTTCTTAAATCAAAAGATTCAAAAGATGTCCGGGGGGAATCTTTACCCACACTGGAAATAATATTATTGTGTAACTAATTGACATCTCTTATCTACAGTGGATCTCTTCAGACTTTATTTATTTGTTAAAGAGAGGGGTGGATTTCTCGAGGTTCATATAATAATAATTTATTGCATTTGAAAAGTTTCACATGGTTATGGTTGCTAATGATTTTATTTTTGGAAAAAGGTCTCTAAAAATAAGACTTGGAAGGACATTGCCGGTTCTTTAGGAATAGGAGCGTCGTCTAGTGCAGGTATTATTATTGGCTAGGTTTAATTTAGTGATCGATTTTATATGAGTAATCTAATTTACGCCCGTTACTTACACATTTGCAGCCTACACTTTAAGGAAACATTATACCAAACACTTGTTCCCTTTCGAGTGCAAGTTTGACAGGGGTGGAATTGATCCTCAGCCTTTGATTAATCAAGTTGAAACCTCTACAAAGAAAAAGGGAAAGACAACTGCTCCAGTTCCTTCGCCCGGATCTTCCAATTCTCAAGGTTCATTCTAAAATTAATTCAATTTTTCAATTATTTCAATTCAATTATTTCAAAATTCTCAAGATTCATTCCCTGGAATAAATAATAACAATACAAATTCGTCGTCAATGGATGGGTTCAATTCTCCACCTTCTTCCAACTATCCCACATATGGACAACCCCCTTCCGGCGGAGAATATGGTGGCGCTCCTGGAAGTTCTGGTCCTACACCAAGCCCACTTGCACGACCACCTGGTCCTCCTGGTCAGAATTCGCAACAACCTCCTCAGCATCCAGGTATGACATCGTTTACTTTTAACGCACTTGTAAAAAAATCTTTAGCTTCATTTAAGAAGACAAACCTTTGGTTGGTGCTCGTTTGAAATTGCGGAAATTTTCGGTTAAAACCAAGCACTAATTGAATGATTTGAATGTATTATCAGCGCTTTAATACCGAAATATTTCTCGCTTGTGTGATTGTCATTGGCCGCCGAGTTAAATGAAAGTAATAACGATAAAGTTGTAGTTGCTGAACGATTCCATTATTATTATTACTGAATAAGTCAGTACTTTTGATTGACGCTTCCAACTTTAGCCATCTTATAATTAACGCTTTATTTAATACCTTTACTAACTCTTGATTTATTATTCGCCACTGAAAATCGGGCTTTTCTGTAAATAACAAATGTACTTGTAGCTCTCGTACTCTGATTTACATATACCTGCTTTCACGGGGTACTATTATTACTATTACATATTATTGCTATTTTATTCAACTGAATTGAGATTAAGATTAGACGTTTAGTAGAATTTTTTTATTCAATTAAAAAATCTGCCACAAAAACCATCACTAGAAAATCAACAACGTGTTATGTAGGTCAAGGGTTACAAATTAGTACCTTATAGTTAGTAAAGATCTTTTGTGCCGTTATTATTATTATACTAAAAGCTACTAAAAAGTTGTTTTTTAATAACTTTGGTCCGGGGAATCTTTTCTGCACAAACAAAGGAAAGAGAAAGAGAGAAAGAAAGATACCATAAAATACACAAGTTTTGTCGTTCAAGAACTACATACTAAATATCACGTTTGATTATGATGAGAGAATGATTGGAGAATTAAAAGTAAACTTCAGTTTGAGTTGATAGAAGAAAAATATAGTTTGATTGTTAATAAGGGTTGAACTTGATTGTTAGATCGTGATAAGAGTCAAGTCAGTGTGTCAAATCCATTTGATGACCAATATCCTCAGCATTATCAACAACAATCTAGGCCCAATTATTATCCTCCGTATTCATCTCAACCACCTTCTGGTACGTACTATATAAACTCACCGTTTTCACGATCTGTTGTTCCTCCACTATAACTTTTTTTTTACTTATTGTTCTTATATAATAACTGCGACTATGTATTACACTACCAGGAACTTTTCCGCTTAAAATAGAGACAAAAACGATATCTTTTACTAATTGCTGCATGCGAATTCTTTCGTCTTTACGAGTACCTATTTGTACTACTATTACTGCACACCCTTCTTGCCTTTTTAAAACATCCATCACAGCATAAAATGAGCCGCCCAATTATACAGTACAGCATTCTTAAGTTCACTACATGCATGCGCTCTGACTTATCGATAAATCTTTCGATACTTATAATAATAATAGCGTGCTGTATTATATGCTGTTTACGTCCCAGTAATTCAAAATATTGTATATCTTTATATCTGAATGGAAAGAGTATCATGCTTTATTTTGTGCTAATATTTTTCATAAATGTAAACAGGGTACCAAGGTGGACCTCCAGGAAATTATCCCCCTTACCCATCCCCAGTAGAGCAGCAGTACCCTGGTCGCCCTCCTGGTCCACTCGTAGATGGATATTCTGGGGGTGTCCAACCACAAGGTGGGTACGGACGCTCAATGTATCCTCCTTACGGTGGCGGCGAAGGGTCAGGCCCTACTCCTCAAGGTCCAGGTGGTTATAGTGGTCAGCCACCTCTTCCACCCCAGTCCGGGTCGCAAGGGCAACATCCTCCTAACTCTCAGAATTCAACCAGTGGAAGTGAAGATAGATACAATATGGCTCCACCCTCTTCAACGCAAGGTGGTGGTGGTGGTAGCGGTCCTCCCCAAGGTTATCCTCCAAGGGGTCCGTATCCTCCTTCGTCGAGTGCAAGTCAACAAGGTCCGCCAGGATCCTCTCCTGTTGGACAACAGCCAGGTGGACCTCATCCTCCACCTCCTCCTAATGGTTATCCGAGTCAACAAGACTATTACAATTCCCAATCACAGACTGAACAGGTATAAAATAATCGCCTACTAAAATTAACCTAGTAATTTATTAAGTCGAGTCAGTATAGTTAATAAAATTATTCATGTAATAATTGCAGGGTTATCCACCTGGAGGAAAACATATGCCTCCACCACATCCAAATCAAGGAATGCGATATCCTCCGGGGAAAGAGGGGGGTGCTCAGGCTCAGCAGTATCCTGGTTACCCGTCACCCGCTCAAGGTCCTCAGCAAAGAGTTCCGCCCTACGGTAAGATTAGAATGATAGCACAAGCTGTATGCATATATGTATGCCTAATAAATATATAGGAATTTAATTGGATGGCCGGATTTCGGTCCATTGTATATGTTTAATGTATGTATGTGTAAATGTGTAAATAAGTAATGCATTCGCTGGTTGTATTTATAATTCGATGGAGTAGACGGTCAGCCAGGGTCTAACAGCAGGGTTGGTTTTACACCACCCCCGCCACGTTCATCCCCTTCCCCATCCCCCAACGTTCCTCCTGCACCATCACCCACCGCACCTGCACAAAAGCCCTGGAACGCTCCCGAAGGTTAGATTAGGTTATAAAATAATAGAAATCTATTATTTCATAAAATAAGCATGGCACGGTTTACAATAAATTTAGTTTTGGATGGAAAACTCAGACATCACGTTATAATAGATATAATATTATAATATATTGGAAAATAATAAGTCGACATAGGTTTGTTAAATAATTTTCAAGTCAATATAATTTTCAAGTCAATATAGTTTATTGAATGGTTCAAAAGTTTGTAAAAAAATACAAATCATAAATTCATCAATTGTATTATACAAAAAGTATTAAAAAAACACAATTTCTACCAACAATCATAACAATAATCAATCCAGGGTCGATAAAAAAACAGTTACAATTAATTCTTCCTGTTAAGAGAACCGGACAAAGTATGGGGGTCATACTCATAATTTCCACAAACTAGCTTATAATACGATTCGCATCTGTTCCTGCATCTATCGGTTGGAAAATTTCCATCGAGAATGGTGAACCTCATATCATTTTGGTTGTGCACATATCTAAAATGTACGAACGGATCCTGTAGCAAATCGTCCTCGTCATCTTCTTCACCATTCAGACGTCTCGTAACTGTTTCCTCCAGTTCTGGTGGTGGGTACCGTTCTCGTAGCGTTTGATCGCATACCTGTTGTCTATGTTGTCTGAATCGAAAGTGGATATTGTGAGTGGCCTGATAAAAATAGTTAACACGTTATACATATATATGTTTAAAATAAATTTAGATTAGTACAAATACTTACCAAATTAGAATTCCCGATATATGTACTCCAGTTTCCATTAATTATGCAGGCCGCACAATGTATCATATAAACTACGTTATTAGATTCGCAAGTAAATCTTTTGCGAAGGGGCAAGTTATGATGCGGCTGTGGTCCCCATTGAAGCGAGTTAGTCCCAGAGATATTAGGTCCAGTGACCAAGCAATGTCCCTCTCTGCATCGAAAAGTGCCAGGTTCAGTATGTCCTCTCGCTGCGTTGTGGTTTACTTCGAGGAGCAAATCTGTTTGGGAAGAAAACTTAAAACATACGCTGCATAAAAATGTAAAACATTACCTGGAACAGTTTTTGGATTAGAGTCGTCCTTGGTCGTTTTTAGAGATCCTTCTCCATACACGCCGTCAAATGGTAGTAGTGGTTGAGTTGTCTTCTTTATGATGATGTCGTTTTTGTGTTCAACAACTCGAATTTTTTTGATGTCAGACTTCAGGAGAGCCCCCAACATTTTACGTTTCATATTTCCTGAGCATGTTACTCGAAATTCCTCTGAATTACTTTCCAATCCATCTCTTAGCTGTTGTTTCGTAAGTGAACCGGGAACATATCGCGACCAAGCTAAATAAAATATTGATATAAAAAAGGAAAAGAATATTTGTAATGCCCTTATACATAAAAATTGCAAAAGTAGATAAAAAATAATACTTACGTCTATCTGGATTTCCAAAGATCGGTAGACCTGTTTTGGTGTCCCATTCCCAAATGTGGGCTAGCTCAGGTATGGGTAAAGGGGGAGCAGCCAGTATTATTATTCCGAAATTGTCGTAGTTTTGCAATTGTTGATAAATCTCAGCATTATCCATGTTTTCTTAGTACTGGGGCAGTGTGACAAAGACAGGAAAAAAGTCGTGTACTTGCAGGACGGTGTTCAGGCGACAAATGAATCGAATGAGAAAAGCAATGCATCAGACTTGTGGCGTGGGCACGCTTCAACCCAAGCCTATCTTTTGACACGCATCGAGATTTTTGTTGGGCATTTTTTCTCCGCGGGCTTAGATAAGGAAAGTTATTTTTGCAACAAATCATAATCCTAAATTATTTCTAACTGAGGAGAAATAAACTAGATTTATTGTAAACCATGCCATGCTTATTTTATGAAATAATAAATTTATATTAAACGCTCCGAAGGTATCATGACACCCGACACGAGAGTCCATTCCACTAAAACTTGCATCCATCCATGCATGTGCTATGCTCCTCTTATTCGTACTGTAAAACATTCCTGTGATCATTTTAGTACTGTGTTATTATTAGTTGTCAAAAATTTGTAGCATTGTGTTTGTTACCCTGTTAAGCACAATGGAATGAATCCTTTTAATTTGCGACGTATTGTTGTGAATGCTCGGGTCTTTTGTTTATGATATTTTCATTCAACAATGGGCAATATACATATATTTGTTATGCATGCAAGAATATTATTGTCCTCTTGTTATTACTTTCTTTCGACTTCCTGGATGCATGGATTTTCTCTAGTCTGATTTTATAGCTTGAATATATTGAATATCAAACTGTAGTTTTGTTTCTTATCACTACATTTCAGTTCGATAATTCATTTCAATTTAAAGTTTGTAATATCTCTTTTATCACTGAATTACTACAATGTACTTGAATCTTGATTCGCGGATGTTGAAATATCCGCATTATTATGCTGCCAGAATGCACGAAAACTCACTTTATTGTATGTTTCTTTATTCTAGAGTAGTTTAGTAGTGCCTATCTGTACATATCTTGTTCAATTTTTCACTCATCATTTTCATGTCACTTTTATATGAAATGTAAACTAAAACTTTATTATTATTTGCACTCTTCCAGGTTGGCCAAACAGTGGAGGTCACTACCCAGGGCAACAACGAGGTTACCCTCCTCCTCCTCCTGGCCCTCAGGGCGCGTCTCCATCTCCACACACTCCCCCACAAGGAGCAACTCCAGTCCCTGCTCAAAGTCCCGGTTCAACTCCACCACAACAACCCATTTCACCACAACCTTGGGCTGGATCCTCTGCTGGAGGGCCTGGAGGAAGACCTGGTCCTCCAAATTCAAATGCTCAACAAGGACCCCCTCCACCTCCTCAAGGAGCAACATGGCCGCAACAACAAGACCCAAGATATTCCTCATCCTCTGCTACTGGAAGCAGTATTATGTCTCCGCCAGTTTCCGGTTCCAGTTCTCATAGTCACTCCTCTCAACCCTCACCTTGGCCAACTTCGAGCGCATCAGGCCCATCCCGCTCATCGGGAGGTGGTCGATCACCATTCCCTTCGTCAGGAGGAAAACCTGGACCAGAAATGTTTAATAGAGGATACGGTCCGTCACCATCGTCTGGCCTTCAACCGTCTCCCTCCGCTGGACCTTCAAAAGGACCAATGGGACCTCCTGGCATGAGTCCACAACAGCAGCAGCAGCAGCAACAACAACAGTTAGGGGGACATCCTGGACAAGGATATCCACCTCATTCAGTCCCAATGCTTCCTGGTGGTCAAGTAAAACGGGAGATTATTTTCCCTCCTGAAAGTGTTGAAGCAGGTAAGGAAACAATTAGTGTTAATGATTTTATTATTATAATTTAACTTTCAACTAATACACTTGCAATTTTTTTATCTAGTGACTCCAGTGCTTAGTAGGAGAAGGAAATTGCACAAGAGTGATGTGTCTCCAGTTGAGGCTTGGAGAATAATGATGAGTTTAAAATCGGGACTTTTAGCAGAAGTAACGTGGGCTCTTGATGTGCTCAATGTTCTACTTTACGATGACCAGTCAGTATCATACTTTTCCCTGACGTACTTGCCGGGATTGTTGGATATTTTATTGGAACACTTACGACGAGCCCTCATCCTTCTATTTGGACAAAGTGTTGGAATTGATTTAACTGCTGATAAGTTTGAAGAAGATGTAGGAAAGCCAATTGTAAGAGTTTATTTTACTTTTATTTCACTTTAGTTGATTGATTAATTATTTATTGTGTGTCTCGCCTATTTTACAGAAACAACTTCAGTGGTATGAAAGAGACGACAAAGTTGTTGAGGAAGAACCAGATCTTGGAACTCCCATTAAATCGTTTCCTCGTGATAGCCATCGCACTTTATTACTTCAAGGCTCAGTCAACTACACCATGGTTAGCCGATTTAAGGGAAAGAAAGTGAGAATCCTGTCACGGGACGATGAACCCTTCATTATTCCTGGTGAGTAGAAAATTTATTTCTTGCCAGATTGCAGTGCGTATCTAAAATGTACTCGTGTTGACCAATAACCTTTATATTCCAGGACCAAGAGATTGGGATGTTGACGAAAAGATGCGAAACGATCCCGATATAGAACAACTTAATGGAACTATGGACGTTTCCAAACATATAGTCACCTATTTCAACACCACGCTTCCAACTCCGCTCTCAATAGTTCGCGATATAAAAGCTGAAGACAGAAGAAAAGAAAAGTGCAACAATGAATCCAACAATTTATCATCTAATGGCGGTAAATTGCCAGAAGTGGGATTAGAATTTTACCGTTGTGAAACTAAAATGCCAACTTTAGTTACGCCTGTATCGACATCCACTTCAACACCATCGTCGTCATCACCTTCAAATGAGACGTCGTCGTCATTGACTGTGACCAATAATAGTTCATCCAGTTCTAATCATCCTGTTGTAACACCCATTAATTCATCAACTACTAGTAATACAAAGAAAATTATCCAGGAAAATGGACCTCTCAACTCTGAGAACGCTTTGGATATGACTATGGAAAAGAAAAATAATTGTCAACTTTTTTCCACTCCAACTTCAAATTTATTACCAAATTCGAAGATCAATAGTATCGTCCACCAGAAGAAGAAACGACTTGATGATGTTTTAGGACGTATTAGGAAAGAACAAACTGAGGATGACAATGCTCTAAGTGAATCACCAATAATTCCATCGGCAGCAGTAGCAGACACTGAAAACGCTGAAACTGTTGTCGTGAAGAAAGAACGTCATCACGATCATATCGACGATGAACTTGCTGTTGTTAATAATAATAATAGTGCTACAGTTGTCGAGAAACGCCTACCAGTGCTGGAAAATGGTTTGAGTGATAGTAACAACCTCATCATGATGGGAGGAGGTAGTGACAACTCCAACTTGTCGGCAGCTAATTCAGAAAATACCTGTGATAGTAGTAAACATTTTAAGCATGTGGTGGACGTGAAAATAGGTGACATTACTATAAGAGATCCTGGCGCCGCATTGAAAAGGAAGCGGGTTGAAGATTACGAAGACGAGTGTTATTCCAGAGATGAATCCAGTTTGTATCTCGTGACGGAATCGCAAGATTCGTTATCCAGACGATGCCTATCCATCTGTAACATTATTAGAAATTTAACTTTTGTTCCTGGAAATGAAGTAGAGTTTGGAAAATGCACATCATTCCTCAGCCTTGTTGGGAAATTAATTCTCCTCCAACATGAGCATCCTGTAAAGAAAGCGAAACCTAGTTCACCTTCTTCTTCCAAGCCGTCGTCGAAAACATCTACTGAAACCGATGAGGTAGAAAAAGAATCTTCTGAGCATCAAGAAAAACAGCCAAAGGAGAAAAAGGACGAAGACAACAACAAGGAGGACGAGAAGATTGTTACGAAAGAGCCAACATCCGAATCTGCAGAGGATGAATCTTCTGAACCTAAATCTACCACGAATAACGAAGAGACGGCGGACGAGCAAATGCAAGTTGATGAACAACATGACAAGGAAGAGGCAGAGGAGAAGAAGAAGGTGGAGAAAGCGAAAGAAAAAGACGACCAAGTTGAGGAGGTGGAGGAGGACGAAGAGGAGGAAGCATTGTTCGCAGAAGAAGAAGAACCAGAACCTTCTGGGTCCGCTGCAGTGATTGAAATTGAAGCTGATTCTTGCACCAGTCTTACGAACGATGATGAGTGGTGGTGGGACTATGTTCATCACATACGAGAACATGTACTTGTTATGATTTCAAACATCTCTGGACAAATGGACCTCAGTCAATTTTCCGAAGAAGTCAGTAGGCCCATACTTGACGGACTTTTACACTGGGCAGTGTGTCCAGCAGGTAAATTCACAGAATATTTAAATAGCGTAATCAATGATTTGACAAAATTCACCAACGGTTATTAATCTTATTTTTTGCAGCGTATGGTCAAGACCCTTTCCCAACACTTAGTCCTGGCGCATATCTCTCGCCACAACGCCTTGCCATCGAAGCCCTCGTAAAGTTGAGTGTCATTCAAGGAAATGTGGATTTATTACTGGCTACACCACCTTATTCAAGAATAGAAAGACTGTGCCAACTCCTTTGTCGCTCTCTATGTCGAACAGAAGAGCAAGTTATGAGGGAGTTTGCTCTGAATCTCCTGTATTATTTGTCTGCGGCGGATTCTGGCGTAGCTAGAACAATTGCTTTGCAAAATCCATGTATATCCTTACTCATATCATTCATTGAACAGGTAATTTATCCTAACCCCATTTTACTGCTAATTAATATATTATTTTGGCAATATTAAAATAAATAATTACAAATCTGTATCATTCTCCAGGCTGAGCACAACGCTATGAATATCGCAAACAACCATGGATTTTCTGGTAAGTATTTGAACATTATACTGAGACATTGTCATGTTTGTTAATATTTTTTGTGCAAGTTTTTAATGCAATTGATGGATAATTTATGCGTAGTGCTCCGCGAGAATCCGGAAGCAATGGGAACTTCCCTGGACATGTTGCGACGTGCGGCGATGACTCTTTTAAATCTGGCTCGACATCCAGACAACCGTCCTCTCTTTGTTCAGGTACTCATCTTCTAAATATTTGCTGATTTACTGAGTATTTTAATTTAATTTAATTTAATTTAATTAATAATTTTCTCTTTCAGCATGAACCACGCCTCCTTCAACTCGTAATGAGTCAAATTTTAGAGCAAAAAGTAGCTGCAATGGTCGCCCAAGTTCTCTACCAGTGTTCAACCCCCGATGCTACCTGCTCTCAAAAATACCTCTATGCTTCAAATATGGATACTTTCTACACTCCCTTATTGTAAGTAAATTTTGGTCAATTTTCATACACAGATCTTTATGGCTTTAAAATTCTAACATTGTGTTTACACTTTACAGTTCTCGTTCAAAACCGACTTACTAATCCCCTTGTTAATCATTGACTACAAAGTGGACCTAACCTCTGTTCATTTCAATAATCGTTGGATGCATCGTCGCAGTCTATCTAAACTGATCAGAGTAAGAAGAATCAAGGAACAGAAATCCTCCACCCATTCCCATGGTTGGTTAGGTTGGCCTGCGGACCGTGGTTTAAATTATGTTCTTTTTATTTGTACGACAATTCAACCAAAAAATTAATAATTAATATTACTTTTTCTAAGAGGTCTTTTCTCCTCTTTTTTGCATTTCAATCGAGCTGTTGGCTATTTTCAATACAAAATTGTTTTTGTAATTCCCATAAAACATAAATATTATATTCTGGTTGGTCGGTCACCATTGTTCAAAGTAAACTATATAAACATTAAAGGTTTATAATAAGTATAGAATTATATTTAAGTTGTAGCCAAACTCTTTAGTAATCATGAGGACAAAGCTTAGTTTGTAGTAAAAACAAGAATTTATACTGTTGAAAGGTACTTTTGGTACTTATTACTATAATTAAGTAACAAAACGACTTAATTTTTGATGAAATGATCATGTGAAAAATGTCTGTGAATTTTTGAAGAACTGCTTTTCTATTTATTATAACAAATTTACCATAAAGTTTTATGCTTGTACTGTACATACATATAATGATAGTAATAATGATAATAGACTTAACCAAGTTAACTATGCTGCTGCTGCGTTTTATATCTTGAAAAATTATAAAGGTTCTCAGATATACAAATACTTCCGTAAGTTATTTTCGTCACTATAAAACTACTCTATCATGTAAAAAAGAAACACTAGAGTTTAATTTCTAATTTTAGCTAAATTATTATGCGCTTCCTACAAAGTGCAAGTAATTGTTAAGATTTTTACTATGATATCTTTTAGGATGGCATGATGATAATGGGTAACGGAATTTATATATAGTTTGTTTATAACTTTTAACGTAAGTTTTTAGTACCATTTGTGACACTACTATTACATTTACTACTAGTATATGCATATGTTAATAGAATTTAGTTCAATTAACGTTAATCAGTGTATGCTATGGAGTAACCCGAGTCAGTTATATGATACTGTAATAGTTTTTCGAATATATAATGACAATTAACTGATGCTGCTGGGTGGTAAACGTCACATGTATATGTTTGCGTACAATCTGCAAATCAATGACGTTATATCATTCATTTTAGTGATACATAAATGTTAAAACTATAATGAACCGAGCAAGAAATAAAGAAAGAAAACGTAAAAGTTACACACACAAGCAGTGAAAATGAAGGGATGGATAGTCACGTTATATAAGTTTTAAAAAATCTCCAAGTCTCAACATCTGTTTATTACTTGTACAGTTTAGGAATATTGATAATATATATCTGCGCTCATTATATTATTGAACAGAAGAAATCTATTGACTTGATTAAAACTTATATAAATAGATTAAATTTTGAAATGCAATTAAACTTGTGAAATTTTGCAGAGTAAAAGTAAAAACTTTAAACAATAGTTATTTTCTTGTAGATATTATTATTACTACCATTATAACTCTATTATTATCATGTTGTATACACATAAAACATACACTTTGTCGTATTACTAAAATCTACATGCAAACTTATTCCTGATATAAATAAGGTGTGTGTTTACTTGTGGTACTTTAGTTAAAACTCCGTGTACATGCAAAATTTATTAAGAAGTGGCCCTCGAAAGGTCATTGATAATTAAATTGAAATGAAGTATTTAGGATGGTTGTTAATTGTGCTTGCTTACATATTCAAATGCATCTGTCATATATTCAATTCATTCCTCCTGTGAGGCAAGGATGACGGACAGTGAAGAGTTTCTATTTTTGGATGGATTACTACTATACTCCAACTATTTTAGGATTTCGCATTGTATTTCGCATTGTATTCTGATTAGAATCACAATTTACTACGGGTCACAATGACAGAGGTTATTGCATCAAGGGTCTCATTGCACATATATATTCTGCATAATTGGCCAGTTGCATTTTAGCTTTCGACTTCAATTCTGATTGATTATTGAGATAAGGCAAAGAAGAGAAAGGCCACTGTCACTTTAGTTTCTTGTATGGCATATAATTTCTATACTGAAGCTGAAGGATTTTAGTCCTTGTTTAGCAATTTGACAATATTTTCGTCATATAAACAACAGAAGGACGTACATATGTATTTTATTTACGATGACCATGCGACGACGACGCACATCTGCATTTACTACGTATTACTCATGATGATCGAATTTTAGTTTTGTCTTGAGAGCAATTATTTGAAATCATTTGCAACATTTGTTTGTGTGATGCATCTCGATTAAGGAATGACTTTTGGATAATAACATATATTCTATGTATTAGTTACTGCCCATTACATTTTCATGATATTTATACTACATACATATTTGATGGCACATATAACAATCGACGCCACCTGAAGTTCTTACATTTCCTTATAAGATGACACATCCACCAAACCACCAATGATGACCTTATATTTGTTGAGTTGTCTCGTTATGGTCGAGTCATCCTAACTTATTTAGACTTGATTTTGGTCCATCTTACCGAAAATGGTTACATCATAGCGACGACGACCATGTAGGCTTACTTGGATTGTTATGTAGGTAAAAGGGCATCTTTGAGGACGGATGGTCAGTTCAGTTGACTTTGATTTCACATTTTCAAAAAAAAATGATGCCATTATACAGCGGAACTGATAAAATAAAAACTCTATTGTAAGAATGCACAAAAGATTTAGGGAGAAAATTTACTGGTAAAATCAGGTTGGTCAGCACGAAGAAAAGTGCACATTTAAGTTATTCAGCGAAGGATGAGATCATCCCTATTTTGTGGCCGACCGACAGACAACACTCCTTAGAATAAACTTTTCTTTTAGACTCAACGGATTAGAGGATCTCGTCGTGTCCAGAATTTAATCTTTTTTCCACAGTGTCCGGTTCAGTTTGGTACTTTTTGTCAGTTTCAGGATGCAAAAATAAATTAGAAACGTGACGCCCAGACAATGCAGTTTTTAATGCAAATCTGCATCTCTAATGTGTAAAATCTGCACATCTTTTCAGCAGATTCGTCATTTTTCTTAGACAGAGATGCCCCAGAGGCTTGGCTGGCTTGCTAATCTGGAATCTAGATCGAATTTGAGCCTCTTTAGTGATAATCTCGTTAGGGTGACCATATAAAATAGAGTGACATTCCATTTACGGAGAGTTCACCCAGTTGTCTCTCAATTTCCCCATCTCAAGTTTCAGCTAACCAAGACAAATTCACTGTACACAATTTACTGTACTGTATTGTACAGCATAATTCCGTCAATAAATTCGTTGTACGTGTGTGGCTAATTTGGCCAATTTTACTTCATTTAATTTGGCTTCCATTCGTCCCCAACCGTAATAAAAGCTCGCTGACCAAATAACACGAATTCCAAGTGCAGCAATGCATACAAGAATTTTGCCATAATTTCGCGACAACCCAAAATCCGATTGCCAAGATCAAATATACTTGTTTTAAGATGAAATAAAACGTAATTAACAATTCTGCTTGTATTTAACAACCTTAATTTAATCCTCGCTCAAGAATTTCAATCATATTTAATTTAAATCCATAGCATGACGAACTTATGAATTTGATTCAAATTAAAATGCAAATTTAATACCAAACAGTTCACCCAACCTTCAACATTGAGTGAGTAAGCCGCAAACAATAAAATAATCCCAACCGATGATGAATTCTTCATCTATGTATCCGTTGCATGAATTAAACAATGAAATGCAATTCAAACCCAAGAAGAATCATGAGACGAACGACGAGGACGTGAATTTATATCCATTCCAGTCCATTTTACGTACGTACATACATACATTAAGCCCACCCTCATTAGAATAATTCCCTGTGCACAAATTTATCGGCAACGTACGTATACCCAACTAATTTAACTTATGACTTGCAACGTGTGCTAAATGCTAGCCGAAAAATTAATCGTTGTATCCTTCCCGTGGTGAAGTTTTGCTCTTAACTTTACATCCCAAAGCAACATATTATTCGCATCGTGCAAGTTTCACACTCGTGAGACAGACTTTGACTAGAACGCTTATCCCATCTCTCCCTTCCAAATTAGTATCATTTTTGTACCATCAAGATAACCTCTTATCGCGTCACTCACCTTTATCTAAAGTGCCATTATTAATTTACTTTTGACACCGAGTGCAATTTACCAGACGAGATAAAAAAAATTCATTGCTATCCTATTTACACACCTGTGGATTCATCTAAATCGTCTCAATTTACTTGAAAAAATTCACTAATTCTCTCGAAAAAATGGCTACTTCTCGTGCTACCAAGTCTGGATTTGCTGCCGAAGCCCAAGCCAAGGTTGGTGGTTTTAGTTATCTTGAATTGTATGGGATTTCAATTTCATGCGGAACATTCCTTCACCATTCATTGAGGACACTGACTTGCAAAATCTTCTTCTTTTGTGGCCTTTATTAAGCATTTCTCTTAAAACCACTTACTTTACTTACATATTTGCTGGAGGGGACGGTTAGATTTTGAGAGACAAAAGTAAAGTGTTGAACTCTCGACGACTTCATAGGCGTGTTACGTGTAATTCTTGGTTCTTGGACTAAACGAGACAATTTAATGCTCATCTTATTTCTTTCTCATTCACCCCTCTCCTGACTTTGCATAATAACTTCTTCTTGCCCTCTTTGAAGTGAGACTAGGCTCAAAGAGATGTTTTATTTTCCTTGGTGTTTGTGGGTGACGGGTTGATTGCATATTTCGAAATCATTACCTCGTAAATGTATGTGTTCTCCCATTTCATCGTATTTTTGTAACTTGTGGTACATTAATTTAACATAGCATATTGTCACCCCTTTCAAAATTTGAAGAATGTGACCTTCGCCCTGGCCTTTATAAATGCATAGCTGAGTCTTTCCCATTTATGCATATCTTATTACCCGACCCATAACAATCAGTATAAAAAACTGTTATTTTGTACTTTGAAGAAATTCATGGGCTAGTACTTGACTAATACGCCTTAAAAAGACGATAAGAATAATGAATATATGTCAATCGCAACTCCTACGAGAAAACTGGTTTCAAAAACCGTCCAACCACTGTGACAGATATGCATTAATCAATTTATAATCTATGCCTTGGTCTATGATTTCACTTCATAAATATGAAAATTTTCCATAAAATTGCCAATAATAAAAATTATTATGTATGTTATTAGTCCGGAAAGGAGGTTTTCTGCACGTACAAATATAAATATGCATGCGTACGATGAGTTCATCACCAAGTTTGGAGAGCAAATTAAAGTGTTGTAATCAAATTCCATGAAAAGTCCATTGTCAATTTGTCAAATGGCATTCACTTTTAAAGTAAGTCAACAAGAAGGCGTCGTGTATGCTGACTGACATTGAACTCTTTACGATATCGCTTTCATGGCAGGCACGTAAAAAAATATGTCATTCAGTGTTTTGTATTATGTCATCTTTCTGAAACCAAAGGCTGACCAACTTCCTGCGCCGCATTATAAACACGTTCAACAAATATATCTAATCTTTCCGGTATAAGTAGACCGTGCAAAATTCGCATTCTTATGTATTTGGCATGCATTATGTACGTACGTACATCCAGCAAATTTTTTGTGCAGATTTTCCAGACCAGCAGCAGCACCAGCTGCAAATACATAAATCCACTTCCTCTCGTAATAATATAATAATTTCCCTTCTTTTTTTCATAGAATACAAAATGTCATGTCATACATAATGGCAAGTCGAATCCGTAAAAGACATGAAGCAGATGGCTTTCAGTTTAGGTCTTATCCTGGATGAAATCGAATCATCATCATTTGCTGACATCATGTTCATCATTAAATTGAGTATGTGTACTTATGTATACCTTTGGTTATGAGAAAAAGTCACAACACAACATTAACTGCCACTTTTTCTGCACATGTTTTCCTTTAACCACAATAAATACGTGGTACATACATCGTGTAATAATTTGTTGCATATGAGCTACAGTTGGTTGGGGGTGATGTCATGTCTTTCCAGTAACCGTTTAGTAGGTACAAATTTTCCAGATTATGACAAGGATAAAGTAAAACTCTTTCTTTGCTTGTACACCATTAAATTAGAAAACTACTCACATGCACCCACACCTCCATTAATAGTGACACTTTAAATGTGTTAGTCAGCATGTATTTATACAACCAAACCACTGGTTAATTGGTGAACAATTCCATTTCATTTTGACATAAGTGGGTTCACTGGAGAATTAAAATAGTTTTTTATGAGTATTATTATGCGATGCTAATTTTATTTATTATAGTTTGCATAGACATATAAATCTATGTAATTGTAGGTGTGCAGTAATAAACGATGCAAATAAAAATGTCTATGTACGTATGTATTTTTTGCCCCATGCAAAAATAGTATGCAACTTGCAACGATTTATGACTTTCACTTCACATTGTTGAAATTCCATTGACGTAAAGTATAAGTATTTTTAAAATTGCAGATCATGAGCAAGTATAATGAACAACATGCCCACGAAGTTTTGGAGTGGATCGCCGAAATAATTAACAAGCCATTGAACACGAATGGAGAAATGGACAATTTCTACGATGTTTTGAAGGATGGTACCATTCTTTGCGAGTAAATTAGCTGTTTTCATACTTCACAGGTGTAAATCTAATGAATTGGCAATCGTAATTAATGGTGAATGACTTATCATGCAGACTTGTCAACGAAATCAAGGCTGGTTCCGTGAAGAAGATCAACACTAGCACGATGGCTTTTAAGTGCATGGAGAACATTAACAACTTTCTCGCGTCCGCGACCACGCTCGGAGTTCCGTCCCAAGAACAATTCCAAACGGTACAAAATGCATGGAATAACCTGCATAAATTGACTTGAATATCTAATCATGGCGTATTTTTTTAATATGTAGGTTGACTTGTGGGAAAGACAGGTTCGTAATTTAGCTGTCATGCTAAAACCAAATAGTTCAATCTGTAATTAAAATGCAAATTTAAATTATTTTGCGCAGAACCTCAATTCTGTCGTTATCTGTCTTCAATCTCTTGGACGGAAAGCATCCAACTTTGGCAAGCCTGGAATTGGACCCAAAGAATCGACGAAAAATGTCCGCAATTTTTCAGAAGAACAACTGAAGGTTAATAAATAATTAATTTAAATTTGTAGTTAATTAAATTGGATGTAAGATTTAACTTACTAAATTATTTTAATCACTTGAAGGCTTCCGACTCTGTCATCTCTCTCCAGTACGGATCCAACAAAGGAGCCAATCAGTCTGGGATCAATTTTGGAAATACGAGACACATGTAAAACGAGGTGCTCCAACTTTTACATCGAAAATATGTGACCATGACCATTCTTTCCTAAATTCAGTTTTGTACCAATTTACAGTAAAGTAAAAATTGCATAATGCGTCAATTGAAAATTACTATTACAGTAATAATATTATTTTGTTAACAAAATTGTACATGTATTTCGGAAGGTTTAACAACTAACAAAATTTAAGTACCAAGCTAATTCTTACTTCTATACATAAATTCTGTTGTGGTGTTGTTAACTGCATTTGGTATTTCAGAACAATTATCGAAATCAATAAAATAAATTATTTATACTCTTGACTATTATGTATGTAGCTATTATTTTTAATAATAGTGGAATCATAATTATTTTCATAAATGTAGTAATTACTGAACAATGCATAAGGGCAGGCAGGGAGGAAGGTAATGTATCTATAGGAAGACTAAAACATAACATGGCGAATACTAAATGCAGTCAATTTGTAATGAATTGATCTCTGTTGACACGTGAATAAAGGATTAACAACAACAACAACAACAACTAAATCCAGTCGATGAGGAATCACGAATGAGTATCCACAAAGAACATTTTCAAACCACAGATCGAATGAGATTTTAGTAATAAGTTTTAAAATAGTATTTTTCATAAACACGGCAAATTATTTAAATACACAATTTATATGCATTTATGTGCATACTAGCACTAGGTTTCTTTCGACATATCAAGACTATATGGTAAACGGCATAATAAGACACCTTTTTAAATGTTATATCACGTTTCATTTGTTGCAAAATGATTAGAAGCACAATACATGCATGAAGTAGCGGTCGGCGAGTTATGTAAGTAAATAGCGGAATAACTGACTAATCGACTTTATCGAAAGTACTTGCAAGGCCATTGCCATTTTTAAAAGTTTCTGCATCTTTGATTTCTTTAGCCAAGTCCCGATTCTTTCTTTTGATTCTTGCATAGGGTCCAATCTCTGGATCCATAACGAAATCGTAAAGAACTTGAACCCAAGAATCGTGATGTGGTAGAGTATCATAGTAATCTTTAGCTATTTCCCTCAGCTATACAAATCAAATTGAAGAAAGATGTGAAATATTTTTTATAATGAAAATTTTCAACAAATTCATACCTTAGGCAAATTGCAACCCGGTACGGCTGGAAAGTCGTGGTGTTCATTGTGATAGCCAACGTTAAAAGTTACACAGTTTAGAATCCCATAGTACGAGTAGGTTTCATATCCTGAAAATTATTCAACACGTTAGATCGCCTTTGTGAAATTTATGTTTTATTACAATCAATGAATTTAGTACACTGACAATGGAGGCGCAAACCATGTTCAGCCCAGATAATTTTTTGACCTTATTAGTTTGAAAGAGCAAGTCTTTACAAACAACATTTGGTTCAGCACTTGGGCAGATGCGCAAATTTCAGCACGTTATGGGCGCCGTAAGTTCACAAAAACGCATGGTTTTTCGGGCAATGCCCAGCGCGAGCTCAACTTCGTGCGTTTTTGCGAACTTGCGGCGCCCATAACATGCTGAAATTTGCGCATCTGCCCAAGTGCCGAACCAAATGTTGTTTGTAAAGACTTGCTCTTTCAAACTAATAAGGTCAAAAAATTATCTGGGCTGAACATGGTTTGCGCCTCCATTGTGAGAATAAAATGTAAGCAAATTGCTACTGGGCGGTGTCTATATATGACCTCACCGGTTTGGTAGCGATTTTCTACGAAACTTTAGTAAATTTGCTACCACATTTTGACTAACCGTAACAGCGGGGTAAGGAAATGCTACAAGATGGTAGCAAATTTACTACAATTCTGTAGCAAATCGCTACCAAACCGGTGAGGTCATATATAGACACCGCCCAGTAGCAATTTGCTTACATTTTATTCTGAGTGTACCTTTGTGAAACATGTAGTGTTCTGCAACAAAATGCCCAGCAACTGGATGAAGACCCAAGGCTAATAGCGTTCCCAGAAAGAGGTAGAGTAGGGATTTGCCTCCAAAAAAGTGAAACACGGCAAAGTCGAAAGATAGCTGAATGATGGCATTGATAATTTCCAAATTAGATGGTGGCTTTGGATACACTAGTAAAGGTCTCAAGGCATAAAACAGAGGTTGTAACAGCAGCCAGAAGAATTTTCCAACAGTTGTGCAGAACAGTTTTGCCTCAAAATACGTTGGAATGTCTGTGTCAAACACCTCATCGCCTTGATACTGAAATGGTAAAACAAGATATAAGAATTTTTACCAAAATTACAACATGCAAATTGAGTCTTACGCGATGATGCTCAAGGTGATACTTTTTGAAAGAGATTGACATAGGAATGGCAATAGGCAGGTTTGCAAACATCCCAAGCATTCGATTCGCCATAGGTCGTGAGTGGCCAAATGCAAGGTTGTGAGCAATTTCATGAACAGCTAAAAAATACAGGAATATATTAACCTTCATTTATGACACACCCTTCAAAGGCGTTAATATATATTTCCATTAGACTTTGGACGTATGTACCTAAGGTAAGAGCGTGGTTAATTACACCACCAAAGCAGTAGGCAAGTAGGATAATGTAAGTCCATGACATTTCTGAGACGGCAGCAATCATGACAAATTGAATGAATACGAGTAGTGTAACTTTCCATTTCATATTTTCGTCTGGTTTAAAAAGCTCCCGAATTTGTGGGTATTTTTCTGAAAACAAAAATTTAAAGTTGTTAATCAAATTAATTTCGAATGCACATTTTCAAAAAGCTACTACTTTTTTTGTGAAACATCATCCATAACATTCACGTTATACAATTATTTACACTTCATGACATCGTGATCGTGAGAATCATGACACCATGTAAGGTTTATTGTTTCTAAACATTTACTCTACAGATAAGCACTTCAATCAGCAGATACTGCTTGATAAGCTCTGGATACATGAACTATGTTGTCATTTGTGACGTAATGACAAGGGCCGCGAAATGGAGACAATCACGTTATACATCCACTAGACAGTTATGTAATCTGCCTCTTTCTGAGAACAATGCACTAATCAGCTCACGTAATCATCATTCCATGATTGCACAGGATTCCTTGCTAACTGGGCTGTATCTAATAACTTAACCGTTAGAATGACATGCATCGACTACTACATGATTATTTTCAAAATTCTCATGAAATTCACAAAATCATATTACTTACTCAAAATATCCGTGCGTCTGACAGCATGAGGCTCGAGCGACTCTGTCCATTCGAAATCCGTTCTAGATACGTGTTGTCCCATTTTTATCCTGGGTGTGTCGTCAACTTGATACACCTTTAAATAAAACAAATATAAAATAATACAGCTTCTCATTTTGTTTAATTTCTGCATTTAAATCTAAAACCGAAATACCTTCAACCTTCTCGATTATGTTTCTATTTCTTGGAACGACAAATTATAGGTTATCTAACGTCATTGACCGGCTAATTTTCTTTCACACTTCTACCAGGTTACAAGAGTTATATTTTCGTCAAACTGAAATACATATATGACAAAAAATTAAATATAAATTACAAACAAAATTGCAATGTTCAAACTTCAAACGTGAAATGAATAAAATAAAAACACATACCAAACCTACTAGTCACGTATTCCAGAAGCTTGTGAATAATGACTTATCTTGATAATTTTCTTTAAAATTGCTTGTTAAATTTAATCCGCCGGAAAATATTACTAATTTAAATTAATGACTAATTTAATTTACTGCTCAGCTCAGAGTTCACAATTATTCTGCTGCCGGCTCCTCGAGTTTCACTTTGCCCAATCATCTGCGATCCATCCTTTTTCAAATTGCAACTTTCACTTGACTGACACATAAACGTTGTCATCTGCTCGATTTTTGTAGTTTACTTACTGATTTTGCACTAACTTTCTTCGCAATTAGTTTGACTTAATTATTTGTAGAACAGTTTAATTTCCTAATTATCATGGTGGACGAGGCAACTCGTAAATCCCTCAGTGGCATTCCACTCCTAAAGACAAAAGCAGGCCCGAAAGATGACCCCAAGCTGTGGCTTCAGCGATTGAAGGAAGAGTACACGGCGTTGATTAAGGTATTATTTGGTTATTTATACAGCATTGTTAATTGGTTAGACTAGACTGTTTGAATGTCAAAATGTAATTGTGCATTGTTTTTATCAATTTGAAGTACGTGGAAAACAATAAGGCCGCTGGGAACGATTGGTTTCGCCTGGAATCAAATAAAGAAGGGACGAGATGGTTTGGAAAATGTTGGCATGTTCAGGTATTTGATATAAAAGGCTGATCAATTTTCGAGTCTGAATTTGTATAATAGAAGTTAATTCTTTCTTTCTTTCTTTCAGGACATGTTGAAGTATGAGTTTGACGTAGAATTTGATGTGAGTATGTGAGTAAGATAATGTAAGTTACAGTTAATTAATGATATGGTGCATTTTCATAAAGATTCCTGTAACGTATCCCGTTACAGCGCCGGAACTTGCACTTCCCGAGCTTGATGGAAAGACGGCCAAGATGTATCGTGGTGGAAAAATTTGTTTGACAGATCATTTTAAACCATTGTGGGCAAAAAATGTTCCAAAGTTTGGAATTGCACATGCTATGGCTCTAGGAGTAAGTTTTAAGTTTGATGAATACAAATTATTAAAGACCATGTGTCGAATTAACGATTAATTTGCGACTTTCACTTTCAGTTGGGGCCTTGGTTAGCGGTTGAAATTCCAGAAATGATTGAGAAAGGTGCCGTAGTATATAAAGAAGGCGAAGATAAGAAATGATGACGTTTTCCTTTAGTTCGTACAATCCTGTTTAAATTGGTGCATGCAGATTTCACTGTTTATATTTCTTTTTTAAAAATGTTACAAAAATTTGATTTCATGAGATCAATTTTTGAACGCGTCTTTCATTTCTAATTAGGTTGTCAAATTCATTTAAAAAACATTGAATTCTTATACTTGTGAAACACTCCAATTACTCGTTCCAAATTACAATAAAATATAAAAACATAGGTCACATTAAAGTTCAACGAATTTAATATTCAAAACCAATTGCAAGAACGAATAAGCATCGACGTACTCCTCAATCTGTGGAGAAGATTAAATACTTATGACATGATACATTCTCCTGCAATTAATTTCAAACGTACCTGCTTCCACGTTGGCTTCCCCGACCCATGCCCAGCTTTCTCTTCTACTCGAATCATGAGTGGTTGCGTCTTTAAATACATAGAAATTATTTATAGACAATTATTACTTGTAATTAATTTCAATAATTTTACCTGAGCTTTAAAATTTCCAACGACATGCTGTAGTTGTGACGTATACTTGAATGAATGACTGGGCACCACCCTGTCATCAGTGTCGGCAGTTTGTACCAAAACGGCAGGATATGTAGTATTAGCCTTTATATTATGTAGTGGAGAGTACTTAATCAAATTATGGAAGTGATCCTTGTCTTCTGAGCAGCCATACTCGCCGCACCAAAAACTTCCCACAGTGAAATGTTGGAATCTCAACATATCCATCACACTGCACAAGCACAATTTTTTATGATGACATACATATTTTAAGAAATTTGTGTAATTATTTGGTACTTGCCCAACTTCCGCAACAACAGCCCCATAAAGATCGGGCCGCTGATTTGCACACGCTGCCACAAGTAGGCCCCCATTTGACCCTCCTTGAATAGCAAGTTTCGGCGTGGACGTGTAATTTGCCTTTATCAAGTATTCTGCAGCATAGGAAAAGTCATCGAAAACATTCTGCTTCTTGAAGAGTCGACCATCGTCCCACCATTTCGTGCCGTATTCTCTACAGAAAATTTTTCCAAACTCGAATTAACTAAGCTTTAGCCACTAACTAAATGCAAATCTGATATGTACTCACCCTCCTCCTCGAATATTCGGAAAAGCAAGGATGCCATCAAACATGCTGACAAAGGAGAGAAACGCCACGGAAAAGAATGGTTCCATACTGCTTTGGAACCCACCATAGCCGTACATTAAGGCAGGTGCGGTTCCATCGAGGACCAAATCCTAAGTACATGTCAAAATACATATATGCCCCATTACATAATTTTGATAAAAGAAACACAATTTTCAATATCTACCACAACTTTTGTATACCTTTCTCTTCACAATGAACATTGGAACACTTGTGCCATCCTTGCTGGTATAAAAGACCTGATTTGTCTCAAACTTTGAAGTATCCAACCCTTTGAAAGCGGTGCGTCTGTAGACCTCCAGATTTCTCGGGATTGACCCATCCTCTCCGAAAATAAGTCTGTACGAGACTCCAGGATTGGAGAAAGTTGCGAGTGAAAAGTAAAATGTGCGATCCTCTCGGCGACCCTCGGTCGACTGAATGGATCCAGCTTCCAGTGAATATTCCAAAATTAGCGTCCCATTTCTCAAGTTTCGAAGCTCCAAGGTACTCTTTACGTCACGATTGTAGGATACTAATAATTTGTCACTGTTTTGAAATAGGAAAGTTATTAAACTCGATAATTATTTGAATAAAATTAAAAATAGCTTACTTTGCAATTGCTACAGCCCAACTTAGAACGTCTTTCTCGTGCTCGGGGATCAAAGTTGACCAATGTGCAATGCCTGGAAGATTTATGTCCATCCCTACAAATCGATAATTGGGGGCACCCGCGTTCGTGATGAAGTAGAAAATGTTGGCGTCGTTTGCAATGAACTGCGGAAATACATATTAATTTTATAGCTCGTAAAACCTGGGGAAAAACACGACTAATTTTCTATCCTTACTGAATACGATGCCGGCGTGGTGGTAAGAGGAATGAGGACTAACTCTTTTTTAAGACCGGCTTTAATGGCGTCCGTCAATTTCGTGTAGAACAAGGTCTCCTCGTTAATAACTTTGTAAATTGAGACGAGCATATATTCCCCTTCGTCAGAGAGTTCCATAGAACTGGACAAAATGGATTGCATGTCATTTTTCATAGTGTCTCATCCAAATAATCAATAATTTACACATACAGTGACCAGTCTGGCTTGTCTGGAAATTGGACCATCAATGTATCATTGTCCTGCGACGTGCCAACCCGATGATAGTAAATTTTCGAATCATTTGTAGCCTTGATTAACTTATCCTCTTCCTTGGGTTTCGGATATCTCTACAATTTTCATGGCAGAAATGCTTTCACATTTTTTTTCTCTCGGAAATGCGAGAACTTAAAACTTTCACTCACCGTATAGAAAAATCCTAAATGATCATGAGTCCATGAGATGGATGGAAATTTGATGAAATGTAAAACCTCCTCGAAATCTTTTCCAGTTGAAATATTTTTTATATGAATCTTGGTCCAATCCGATCCTGACGTGGATAGTGCGTACACTAACAACTCGCCGTTTTTAGAGTATGAAACCTTCTTCAAGGCGACGGTGCCGTCGGTGGAAAAGTCGTTGGGATTAAGAAATATTTCAGCTTCATCTTTATACAGAGATTCCACTGTCTTTCCTTTGTATAAAATCCTAAAATTTGGTGATTAATTAATATCCCCCCGTCAGTCCGGTTCAAATATTATTTAAATTCGCATATGTACCATTGATTTTGAATGCCAGAATTTTTATTCAGAAAGTAATTATTCCCCCTCTTCTTGGGCAACCCTTCCTTCGGATACGTCCATAACTTTGTGAGCGTCTCTCTAATTTGAGATCGTGCCGGTGCTGTGTCAATGTACGCGTGAGTGACGGCATTCTGATCCTTGACGAATTGCTTAGTCTCGACCGCGTTTAAATCTTCCAGCCATCGGTATGGATCTGCTACCTGTCAAATTACGAAATTATTGTCAATTACGAAATTTTATGCAGAAAACGTTTCCAGAATTTTCACCTTTGTCCCAAAATAATCGTCAATAACGGACTCGTTTCTACGAACTTTGGGATACTTGAATCCGCCACTTTCCCCGCAAGAAACCAGTACTGCTACAAAAATGCAGATCAACTTTGCCACCATTTTAAATGGCTTTGGCCTAAAATTAGCAACTTGAATCACCTTGAAGTCAAATTAAACGACGAGCAGAATTACTACGCAACCTCCAGTCTCTACTTGGAAATATACTGGACTGGATAAAATGAAAAGGATGAATCACTTTATGTACAAAGACCAGCAACGCGCCTGCCATGGCCGTTTTATGTACTTTTACATGATGACATTCCTCTCTCCACTCAAATATTAGATACGTTTTTACTTCAACAACAAGGGAATGATGATGGGATAAAAAACCTGTTTTGCATCTGAATAAAATAAAATATGTGTAAAACTCACTTAGCGAGAGCACTTAAAAATGAGAGAATTTTAATGAAAGCATACTAAAGAGAGAAGAAAAAGATAAGGTAACTTGCTTTTAATGTGTGCCTCAACTTCTGTGAGGTTGATGAACAATAAACCAAGTAATGAATGCAATGATGTATTTCATAAAGAATTTCTTTACAGACAGATAAAGATAATAAATATGCAAATTAATTACTTTATGGATTTAAGAATTGTTTGTTACTTAAGTGTTTTTTATATAATCTTGTATTAAGTCATCGTAATGATAATATTTACGGGCGGTGATAAGCGCCATGTATTCTTCTTAATCTTCTTCTCAATTCTGTGAGACTTTTCCTCAAATTAAACTTTAATTGCGTTATTGTCACACGAGAATTGCGTGATGCAGACGTAGACATGTAAATGTGAACGGATGTTCCACCTTGTTGAAGTGCTTAATAATGGTTTGTTGGCGTTTGACATTTTACTCATGTTTTTTTTATTTTGTGAGGAAAAATATACATTTTTGCAATTGTGCATGTTCATGAAGGTCAGAAGTCAGAATTTGTGCAGTCATGAGAAATAATTATGTACAAAAGTTGACATGACTATTGAGCAGTACAAATGCCGATGCGAGTATAAAACTCGTTTGTATCCCGAATTTTGGACATGCATGACGAGGACCAAGTTGATCTCATCTCCCAACTTTTCTCCGACTTTCCCATCATGATGATGCTGACTTGCGCTTGCTTCGCACTTTCACCCACTTTCTCTCCCTTCTCTGCTACATAGCTAAAAATATGTATATCCAGAAGAGATCTGGCTCCTGTTAGACGTGTCTTGTTGTTGTGATCTCTCGCCTAACTGGAAAACAAAGGCCAACTGTTTTTCAAATTTCTAAGCTTTCACTTTGAAAAATAGCAATAAAATCGAGTCTCAAAATGCACACGGCAAAAAAACTGCAGCTATGCATTTCCTTTTATATACTTGTTCGATACTCCGTCCAATCGGCATACTTGGACAATGGTAAGAATTTCTAAATATTTATTTAAAAATATGTTCCTGTCAACTGTTTACTGCTTTCAGTCCCCCGTTGCATGCCCCTCGTCCAATCCAATGAGCACGAAAAAAACGGGACATTCTCATCCAACGACTACCCTTCCCACTATCCGGCCAAGACGCATTGTCGATTCGACTTTATTGGAAATCCTAAAGAGCGGGTTAAAATAGTTTTCACCGATTTCAACCTCTACCATCCAGACGGGGCGTATTCTCAGGGGGACAGGTTGTCAAATAAGGGCGGTGGACACAGCGTCAGTCAGAACCAGCGAGAACGTGACGAGGAACGAAGGAAGGAAAGGGAGAAAGAGTGAGATTTATGCACATCCGTGTAATTTTGTGCATGCAATGACTTCAGTAAAAAAAAAAGTGCATGTGTTACAAAACCCAATTACATGCTGCTACACGTACGTCCTACCTGCAATTTTGTGGAGGACACACCCAAAAAACTATCACTCTCTCAAGCGTGTAGCAGAATAATGACATTTTGTACGGCATCACGCCAAAGTTTATTAGTAGTTAGTGACCAATGTATGTACATAATTAATTACTATTTGTATACAGTTGCTCTGGGGAAGATGTGGACGTTTTGTCCGCCTTCGTGTATGATGCTGACGACAATCTGGATCGAATCGATGACTACTGCGGATCCGCCCCACCCCTCTCAATTATGTCCAGTAGCAATAAGCTCACCCTGGAATTCCGTTCGTCCACATCATCCCAATATGTGAGAGGCTTCTCTGCACTTTACAGCTTCGTTGAAGGTATTTAGTAATAGTGACTGACTAAACTAATTAAAATGGTTGGATGATTTGAGTTGGCATGATTTTTTTAAGATTTTGGGATAATGACGGGTCAGCAGGCTAGCGGATATCCGTGCAGATTCATCTTCAACTCGACGGAAACTAGTAATGGGACTATTGCATCTCCAAACTATCCAGGTATGCAGAATCATGCAAATTTCCATGAGTGAGAGTGCAAAATTCGTGTCTATTTATCATGCATTTTGCATTGCAGGACTCTACCCACGAAACACGGAATGTCACTACTTCTTTAATGGCAAGGATAACGAGCATGTAGAGCTGCATTTCACATATTTTCATATTGATGGAGTTCAGCCGTAAGTTGAATGTTTGAGTAAAATATCTGAGATGCATCAAGGGTAATAAAACTTGTACATTTTTCATTCCAGGTGCGATGATGACACATATTCTGACTATGTCGAGTTATCCAACTACATTCCAATCGATAGAAAATATGATCGTAAATGTGGCACGATGGAATCTGGGTTTAAAGTTAAATCTGATAGAAAGTTCTTTCGGTAATGAATACTCATGAAAGACTCATGAAATCTGATTTTATGTAAAATCTGACCAACTAAATAATTTTTCTGCTTTATAGGGTCAATTTCAAATCGAATGATCGCTACGACGCTACAGGGTTCGAAGCTACGTACCAATTTACCGACAAAGCAAACCACCTCACAATTCGAAACATTAGAAATCATGGTCAAATCCCTACATTTTGGATGACACCGCATGTTTCCATCCTCATCCTATATGCAAACATGCTTGTTCTTATGTAAATGTACATAAATTGGGCATCAATAAAAATATTTATTGGCACTATTTCGGCATCAATTTTTGCATTTTTTTCCATCGTTGCCTGCCCAACGGATTTTCCACCGTCGTGAAAAAAATTAATACCCGAATCCAATTTTGAAATCGGGGTAAAATTTTTAGTTGGGCGGAAAAAAAATTCTTCTTTCCAGTAAATAAAGCTTATCATCGACTACTCCCACTTTCAAAAACTTTCTTGGCGTACGTGACACCGTGTGTGACTACGTGATCAAAATGCCTGACGTAATATTTATGTTCATCATGTTTTGTTGTGTTTCCCCCAAAAAAAATAAAATTAAAAATTTCCCCAGGTCATTCTTCAAAGCTCTGACAATGAGAACTTTACCGTGAGTCTGGAAGTGGCCAAGATGTCGGCGACGGTGAAGACCTTGCTCGAAGATCTTGGTTACGCCGAGGACAAGCCGGATACAATTCCCTTACCGAACGTTCGGGGTGAGATTCTACGACTTGTGGTCAACTGGTGCAATCAGCACAAGGTAAAAATGTCTACTTACCTTTTAATCCGACTTTCATGAAAAATGTAAACAAACTTCGACAAACTCTGATACATATATCCTTTTTTGCTTTTCAGAACGACACCCCTTTGCCCGAGGATGACGAGGGTCGTGAAAAACGGACCGACGACATTTCTCCATGGGACCAGGAGTTTCTTCGGGTGGAGCAACCCATCCTGTTCGATCTGATTTTGGTACAGCTAATGATAAGACCTTATCCATTCAAACTTGGAAATAATAACAATTGAATTGTCCTCTTTTAAGGCTGCCAACTACCTCGATATCAAAGGGCTTTTGGACGTCTGCTGCAAAACCGTGGCCAACATGATCAAAGGCAAGACTCCTGAAGAGATCCGAAAAACCTTCAACATCAAGAATGACTTTTCTCCAGCGGAAGAAGAGCAAATTCGCAAGGAAAATGAGTGGTGTGAGGAAAAGTGAATGAATCAAATTTTTAGTTTCTAGCAGTCTCCAAAGTTTTCAGTGACATCCAAAGTATTCGAAAAATATCGAAATATGAGTTAAAGTTAAATTCAAAATATTATGTCATAGATAGTCCTGTAACTCGGCATGATTAATGATTTCATCAACCCAAATGTAGGAAATTAATCTATATAAATATACTTCTGTACATATACAATGGTTTTGGAGTCAAATTATTTTTATTTTAAAATTTCACTATACAAAAATATATACAAAAACATTTTATATTTCCAATTTCTTTCCAATTGTAAAGACAACAGTCAATCAGCCCCGTGAATCAGCCCCGTTTCCTGTACAAAATTTGTAAAATTAGTCAATATTTAATTATTAATTATAAATTCTTCACTTACCTTTACTTTCTCCTGGAGAAAATTACTTTCCCCACCCCCACCCCCAACCCCATCCCTTGCGTCCAGCCTCAGTCTGAGACATCTGAGCCAACCACGCCAAGGCAAAGATTGCAAGGGCTGCAGCCTTTCGGGCAACCGAAGTTTGGTTTCGTCCAACTTGGGAAGTCATTTTTGTCAAAGTTTTTGGAAAAACTTGCTAGTTTTCAGAGATTTGTATTGGTAGTAAAGTAGTTGCCGATGATTTGATGGTAAATCCCCGTTAATCTCAGCCTTTTATACCAAACTTGAACCATTTGGCAAGAAGAATATGCACAAGTTATGAAAAAAAAATTACGGCCATTTCTTCACTCCACCTTCAAAACTTACGTCTCAAAGTCTGGGGCGACGATGTCGAAAAAATAGATTTGAAGGTGGTATGTCCCATTTTTTGAGGGAGATCCAACATTTGTGGTATTTCTAGAGCCGTGTAGCAATACAAAAGGTGAGATATTATATCATCGATTGACGACGACGACAAAATTGTCATGAGAGGTTTAAAAACGCGTGACGAGTTTTTTGTGTGCAATGCAAGCAAACCCCACGTAAAACAAGTATGAAGCGACTTACTCACGCATCCTATTTGTCGAATGGCACTTGAACAATTTTTCAATACGAGGACGAACTAAAATGTGAATTAGTCACAAGGGTAAAATTCTTACGAGAATTTTTGTTGCCGTAAGTTAAAGGACTACTTGGTCCTAATTTTGTATGGCACAAGAAAACCCAACCATGACGGGATCATAGGTATGCACATAGCGAAGTCGTCCACCTTTTCATGACTTCATAATGTGCAACAACTGCAATTTTGCAGTTTTACGTTCTAATCATGATGACATTTCAGAAAACGAAAAGTGCAAAATTTTCGAAAATAAAATCTGAAACACAACTCAAAATGTGATTACTGCATTCTCGAACCAACGAAGCGAGATGTTGAGCTACTATTTCTTGCATTGTCATGTTTAAATTGATTAAATCCGTCGTCGTTGTGTGTTCAATAGGTTTGCCTAGTTGAAATTTGTGTTTTTCGGTTTATTGAACACGGCAAGAAATAAAATGGTATATTTATTTGACGATTTGGGATATATATTCAAACAAAGAGGAATTATTCAAGCAAAAAAATCCTGTTGCACATTTTTTTATTAAGTAAACGATTGTGGAAATTGCGAAAGAGTCAAGTCCTAAAATTAGTAAGTGAGCTGTCTGGTCTTTTATTACGAAAAGGGCAATTTGTGGTGGTGTACATGTCGAAAACTTTGTAGACCTTAAGATTAGTTGGGCAGTCAATCATGTGCTAAAATATGCATCGTTATAATTTATTTAGCAAACATAGATAAATAATTTTTATTAAAAATGTAGATTTTGTTTTTGAAATTGGAGAACTTCAAAGTTTTCGAGTTTATGGCAAATCGTGAGAAACCGAATTTTATATTCAATTAGTTCTGTTATAATTTGTGGTCACCTTTCCCTTGCCTCGAATTCAAAATAAGTGAGATGGAAAGTTATCTAGTAAATTTTGTCTAGTCAATCTTTGAATCAGGAATTGACACGTGTTATACACACAATCAATATAGGAAATAGAAACAGGTTTCATTCAAAGATCGGCTTAATTTGGTGGTACCATGTTCAACGCAATATTTTCAATTAGTTATAGACTCTCAACCACATCAAATTCCGTGAGGAAGTGCCGCACGGTGGAAAATGTAAAATTAATTTTAGTTTAGCAGATTGAAATTTTATTCGCATAAAATCGAGCGGTCAGCAGAAAGGAGTTTTTTATGTCGAACTTGTAAAAATAATAAATAACATTTCGCAATATTTCATAACTGTCCACGGACAATAAATGTTGAGCAATGCAGAGCGGATAGATTAGATCGACCTTGGCAAATCTATTAGCACATACATTCTGTAAATAAAATGTGATTCTATTTACAACAATGGGAACACTAAATAAAACGATGATGCACTACACAAATTGGGAAATAAATAGTGTAGCATTTTATTTTTGCATGTGCAGGTCAAAGATGCAATTTGTGGTAAAAGACCGCACTCTTCTTCCAATTCGTTCCTACATCATGACCGCAAGTTTCTAAATGACGCGTTTATAAATATTATTAATTTGCTTGAAGAACTCTTTCAAAATTGTTACGTTTACACGAAAGTTTGGTTAAAATCATGTCCGATTGATTATGCATATGTGATCGATTGTTTCCTCTTCCTTTGCAATTTCCTAAAAAAAAGCCGTTTGAAAATAAACAATTTAGAATGCGCAGATAAGTGATAGCCTTTGTCACCTGATAATTAATTATGTTTAACCTTGACTATTATTTTGATAGTGTCATCACGATGGAACAATGATTGGCATATTTTGACAGTCGCATAATCTACCGTATAACCTTTTCACCTTGAAACAGCAGAAAATAATAATATTATTTTATACCAATGTTTTTTTTGCTGATGATGAGATTTGCGATTTTGCATTATTAGAAATTTCTGCAGGGATGCAATTTTATAAAAAGAAATGGAAAGTAGTAGTAGTGAACTGGATTTCAGACATGTCAGAAATGATTGATAGGGAAAATATGTAATGGTGCACCAATTGTTACCATTATTTTGGACGAGGTTTAATTTTTCCTTAAAAATGTAAATTAGCAAAACGAGGTTTTCACGGCGTGTTAAGGCAAACTTTTTGGTGGATGTTCGCACAAGAAGAAGAAAAAAAGTGTGACAATAGAATTAGTCTGAGAAATTGGTGTGACTTGTTGAGAGTTGAGCTGTCTGCGCTACCAAAATTACAATTACAATTTTATATAATAGTAATGATCGCACCTCCTTCTTTGTGTTACAAAATCATAAGAAGAGCTATTTTGGGAAGAATCAGTGGCCGCGGAAGGGTGGGGACAAAAGAGGGACAATGTCCCCACGGTTGTTCAATGTCCCCATCATCTCCCATCTTATACAAACCCCTCCCTCCCCCATCCTACAATGTTAATGTCCCCAGATGTTCCCACGGCTTCCGCGGCCACTGATAACGACATGGCATTATGATGATACAGAGATGTACTTGTAAAAGATGGGCGGTACTTAATTTATCGAGCTGCAATGTTATCGTTCATTTCATATTATGCTCAATTATTTGGCAAAGCGTTCCACTTTTGTTTGTCCTGAAATGCTGGGGATGGATGGGGATGAGATGGAGATGACTTATTTACTAATCCTAAGATATATGTAACTTTTGGTAAATAGATGGATACATTTTTCTGATTTAGTTTACCTCGCGATCTTCTCTGTCATCATTTGAACCATCCAAATCAACAGTTTTTTGGCCCAATTCAAACCTCGAGTTGGAAAATCTTACAGTATCAGAGCACTTATCTTCTTTAGTGTGGAAGATGACGCGACAGGGACAAGGCTGCAAATAATTGCAAGATTGATACAAGTTTTTGTGACAGGGATTAATAATCAGTTGTGCAAATAGATACTTTGGTGAAAATTGATAAAATTACTCGAAATGTGACATTTGACGAAGTTGAAGAGTATTTTATAACAGTTTTTTTACGTGGGTAAAACAAGGTTTTTGGAAAACCATGAAATTATACCTCTCAAGAGTTTATAATTACAAAAGCCGTTTGTGTAATTACGTAAGTGAATTAAGTGGTTTTCAAAAAATTTTCTAAGTGAAACATGAAATTGTACATTTGGAGATGGACAGACAGCACAAATTCGGTGCATTTGTGGCTTCTTTTGTTACAAATTACGACTTTTTCTTCTTCTTCTTCTGTCAGTGCCAATATTTTTAGTCATGAGCATAACGCCTTTAATAAGACGGGTAAGTACATATACAAAATTATGATAAGTTCCTATGCATAAATATATTGTTAATCAGGTTAAACAACTTTTGTCACTTTTGAAAATTGAAGCATTTACAAATTTTTGCATAATCATGGTTCAGCCTGAATCGCTTGTCACGAGGCGTAAGTCAAAGACTCGTCGAATTATGTAGACGGATGTCACAATTCATGCGTAAAGTACGCTAGCTTAAAATCAATTCAACCCAATCCAAAGTTTTGGTAAAGTGTGGGTAAGGTGATCGATCAGCCATGACACGTGTCAAAATATGCTAAATTCACACAAAATAGAACACCAAAATTCTAAATGGTTCAATTCTAAGAATATCTAAGTTTGGTTCAGGTTAAATACATAAAAGCGAAAGTGTTATTGCGTATCTTAAACGTAATAATTTTGCATAATCAGAAAATAGCTATTTATGTAAAGCTTTAGTATTTAACAAAATTTGATGAAACTGAATGAAATTATTACACTTTAGATGACCCTCCTCCCGAATTTTCCCCCGCGAGACGAGGCCCCCAAGGAGGTCCTGACCCCGACGAAACTTTAGAATCTTTAGCATCTTACAGAAACGTTTTACAATTTCCGTTAAGAAATTTTACCAAAGTTGCCACAATCAGGTACACAAATGAGGATACCAAACCCAGCGAGGATTATAATGATAAGCACAATAACGACCATAACACAAGATCTAGCAATAGTGGCAATAATGGCAATAAATACAAACCAGCCCTAGTTCTCACCCTTAGTCTCAAAAAACCCCCCGCGTTTACAAAGATTGGAATAAATACATCCACCGAGGAGCCACACCCACTCGAACTAATAGAGCAGGCAACGACGGCTCTTATCACGCAGGAAATTCAGAACTCTGTAAATCAAAGTCTGGGAAATAGTGTCAATTCGCAAGAAATCAAACCATTCAATATTCTCGACCGGTTGCGAAACCTTTCGAAACAAAGGGCTCGAAATGCATCGACCGGACCGGGGCTGCATTTTGGGATTAAGAATTATGGACAAAATTCTCAGGAAAGATTAGACGGAGGAGGAGGGGATAAGAGCAGCAGCCAAATAAAACATCCAGGTAACTAACTACAAAAAATTGGGGTTATCTTGATTAATTGCGACACGACGACGTCTGGAATAAATGGGGTTTTTGTTGTTAGCAGGGCCAAATGTCAACGTAAAAGTCACGACCGTTTCTACAAAAGTTGTGGCGTCCACACCCACTCGAAATGGTGACTATGTATCCTCTGAGGAAGAGGAGGAGGAGGAATTTAAGTCATCACTCCCAACCTCGACCATCCACCCGTACAATTTCATAGCCAGTTCGAGTCCATCCTCTTCTCTAAAAATACCCAGACTGCCACCAATTTCTTCCATCATATCGCCCAAACCAGCCGCACCAGCACCATTATCTCCCAATTTTTATTCTACCACACCAATTGTTCTCAAAGTGGGGAAACTATCTCAAAATTTAGAACAAACCACTCTTTCTCCCCCCAAGTCTGCAGACGATAGGATAAACACTGGCGAAACGAGAGTAGCCATCACAGCCGACCAGGTATCGAGTGGTAACCGACCTACGAGTAGACCTTTTCATTTCACAACGCCACCACCCACGCCTCCTCCGCCCTCGACCACGGTGAGAGAACCGTCTCGCATAAATCACTATCATCGCCAACACTCTCCGCACAATCATATCTTTGCCCCCACGAGAGATCCGGTGTCTGATGTGGATAGTGACGACGATCTTAGCGTGGAAGGTAGAAGAAACTAATTTAAATATATCGTGAATTTTCTCATAGTAGAAGAATCTAATTTTTTTATATTTCTTTCAAGATTTCCGAGACATTCGCGTCGCCAATGCGCTATTTGGGTCAAAGGTCGGGACGGATGTGAGCACACCGGGTCCAATACAAAATCAAATCCAAGTCACTACAAATATTAAAAGTGGTAGGAATAAGGTTTCTGGGGGAAGAACTGCTTTCTCCCCTCCAGCAGCACCTCCACCACCACCCACGACGACAACGACGACGACAACGACCACGCTAAGACCCCCATCGTTCTCACCATCAAGGAATGATAGGCACAGACATCAGCATCTTGATAATAATGATGACGATGAAGACGAAGATGATGACCCTGATCCAGAAGAATACTTAAATCCGTTAGAAAAGGTAAATGCATTATATTTTTAAAATAAAATTTTACCATTTTACAGAGAAATACGTTACCTTATTGGATTATTTTGCATTACAGAACTTTAAGAATCGCCCCTCCGTTAAAATCGTCACCCCAGCTCCGACGCAACCACCAACAACGCGACCCCCGCAGATCATTCCTCAACGAAAATTTACCCCGACAAAAACCAACAATTTCTTCTCTAAGAGTAAAGAGAAGGAATACGTCCCTCCAAGTCCGATCCCCTCTCCAACAACGTTACCCGCCCCACACTCTGCCTCCTCGGGAGTGAAGAGTTCCCACGCGGCCGTGAATGACAACCTCCCCTTTTACAAAGAACCAGGTGGGATATTCAAGGAACATGCAAACAGCAATGACAAGTATGACGATGACGACTCTTCCCTCGCTGATAACGAGCTGGACCAAGATCCCGAAGACGATTTAAATCCAAACTTAAATTTGAACCAGGTTGCCCACAATTCTAACAAGTCTCCCAACGTAAAGTATTCACCGCACGATGGAAGACAACATTTTCAACAACAAAATGTCCCCCAAGCCGTTTATCCGACCACGAATCCCAACCCATTTCAATTCGTCCAACAACAACAGCAACCCGTCGGAATTGGATTTATACAGCCGCATCAACCTCAAAATATTTATTTCCAACCGGTCGCCCCCACTCCGTATTATCAACCACAGGGACAAATTTACCCCACGCAAGGGGCACCGGCTTTCGTGCCTATTCAGCAAATTCAGGGCTATCAACATCATCAACAACAACAACCGTTAGCAGCCCCACCAATTTATCATCATCAGCAACAGCAGCAACAACAGCCCCCACCTCGACGAAAATCTTCCCGTGACCGTGACCACTACGCCGCACAGCCAATTGCTCCTAAACCAATTAATCGTGATAATTTTCCATCTCCAGATGACCCAGATTCTGACACCTTTTACGGTGATCCTAGACCAAACACCGCAAAATCAAATAATAATAAGAACAATCCACAACCCCCACCACAACGGAACAGTGTTCCACCTCCAGTCCCACCAAATAATAGGAATAATAATAATAGAAATCAGCAGCAGAGCAAAAACAGTAAGAACAATAATACCAACAATAAGAGGAGACAAGATCCACCCCCGAATTCGGACAGGAGAAGAGGCCCAGACGAAGAAACGGAGGAGAATGACGAAGAGGAGGAGGAGGAAGAGGAGGAGGAACCCGTCCGAGCTAAACCACCACCACCTCAGCCACCAAGACGACAACCACCTCCACAAAACCAAGTGCAACACCGAAATTCAAAACCCAATAAAAACGATAGAAGCGACGATTATGATACAGACTACATCGATGAAGGAGAAGGCGACCGCAGACCGAATAACAACAACAATCAGCGAAATCGTGGAAATAATGACAACAGAAGAGATTATGATGGCGACTTTAACAATCAACGTCCCATTTATGACCAACCATCTCATCAAGGCGGTCGAAACCGAGGCGGTGGCGGTGGCGGCGGTGGTCCAGGCCATTTTCGTGCCTCTCCTGTCGATCGCGGTCCAATTCGCCCATCTAATCACGACTTCAACTCCCCCAATTTTGACCATCCCAATATTCAATATCCAAATAAAGAACGTGGAAGTAGTGTCCCACACAATAACCAACCATTGTTCAATCGCGGCCCAGAGTATGATCCGCGAGGATTTGGCGTCGGTTTTGGACCAGCCCCACGAGCCAATATTCTACTCGACCCAATCTACACGAGAACCATAAAACAGTACGATGAGGAAAATAAGAAGCCCCCACAACAGCAGCAGAGGCCAGCCCAACCGATAAGAAATAATAATAACAGGTAAGTAGGTTATCTTTCGCCCTAAAAAAATCATCCATTTTATCTCCAATTTTCTTCTCATGTTTTTATTTTTCTTACAGAGATCGCCAGCAGAATGACGAAAGACATGACCCAGACGAAGACGATGACGACCAAGATCGTGGTCACGATGACCGTGAAAAGGAACCACCAGCGCGACGTCGTCCTCAAAAAGAGCAAGAGGAGGAGGAGGCGGAGGAGGAGGAAGAACCGGAAGAAGAGGAAAAACCGGCGCCAGCCGCAGAAAACGAGGACGACGAAGACTCGCCATCCCCACCCCCTCGAAAGGCAGAAAAGGAACAAGAAGAGGAGGAGGAAGAGGAAGAACCGGAAGAAGAAGAAAAACCGAAACCAAAACCGGCCGAAGAAGAGGAAGAAGCAGAAGAGGAGGAGGAAGAGGAGGAAGAAGAAGAACCAGAGAAAAGAAAACCACTTGGTAAAATTAATATTCGCTTTCTCTTCTCCCTAAAAATTTGATAAGTCCTTATCATTCATGGCAATCTTAATGTTTAGGAAACCGTCAAAGGAAGGGTGGAGATGGACAACAAGGTAAAAAAGTGGAAACTTCAAAGAAACCCCCACCAAATGAAAAATCGGGTGATTTAGAAGACGACATTAGAGGAATTGAAAAGGAGTTTGGAGGAATATTTGGTGATTTCAAAGAATTTTAAATAAAATCTTTTCTCTTTCCTCCAATTTATTATTTAACAAAAAATAAATGCATAAATTATCAATTAACATATTTAAATACTAACTTATTTAACTTAATAGTTTTTGAACAAAATGGAGCACTTTTTAATTGCCCCGTTTTTCATGTGATTATCAATTTAAATATGCAATTATAATAATTTATGCTTTATATTTACAGCAGGATAATCAGTGATGGCTGCTAAAAATCAGAAAACTGGAGAAAGCAGCCTTGTTGTTTAATCAAATATGACACAAAATTATCCTCCTATGTAATCGTTGTCGGTTATCAATTAAATTATAACAAATGAAGAAAGTTTACTTATCCAAGAATTTTTTAATTAGGGTTCTCATAAAATCTCATATTCCCCAGAAATCCCAATCCTCATTTTATTTAATAGTCTCATATTTCCAATTCTTATTTTTGTCTCAATTTCCTAATTCTCAATTCCCAATCAGACAAACATGAAAACAAACTCAAACCGCTCCAATGCACTTCACCGCGGAGAGCATTGAGAAACTTAAATTGCAGCACGAAATCGTGTTACATGAGTAAAAATAATGGATTTGTAGTTAAAAATTAATTAGTTAGTAGTGCATTAAATTAAAATTGCAATTACCTCTGGCCGGAGGTAGTTGTGGTCATAAACTTCACCCTAATAAACTTTGATGAAGGTAAGGTTGACTTGCTAATTTGATTCTTTAAAGTTTGCTGTAAACTGTGCAAACTTTAAAGAATCAATCAATCAAGACACAGTTTTATCACTGTGAAACGAAACAGTTCACAGTTGTATTGTATTACTATTTACTTTTGTTATATATTTCCTATTTGCACAGACAAGTTAGCATCCTCGGGTCGAAGTAGGTCAGATTTGGCGAAACATGCCTCCAATTTCGCCCAAAAGGATAAAACGAGAACCACTTGCTACGACATATTCACCAGCAAAGGAATCATCATCATCTGCTGTCGCTGGAACTTCGTCCAGAAGTTCTCTTCCTCCTCAGCCTAATGGAAAACCGATTGTTAAACCTGAACCGGTTTCGGACAAAGATGAGGAGAACGACGAAGAACTTCCAGCACCCGACCCGAATAATCCAAAAAAATTTAGAAGAATTCGTTCTCCAGACTCCGATGATGATGACGAATACGTTCCACTTGTTTCAAGACCAGGTGAGTTAATGGTGCAATTTACTTAAGTACTACGGTGCTAAGTCAAGTTCTAACTTCCTAGTCTTTCTAATGCGCTTCTGTGAAGTGTATTACATTTATTCGTTATGTAAGATTACAGGCGGATTAAATTTACCAAAAACGCAGAGTGAGGGGAGCTGAAATTGGTAGATGATAAGTGGTACGCCGTATTCTATATGTAAATTCGACGAGTGGGCAAGGTGAGTAGACTTTAATCCACAATTAATTGTCCACTGGCGAATTTATTATAGAATACGGCGTCGGGTGTACTACTTACTTTCCACTAATTTTAGCTCGTTTCTCACTCCTGCGTTGTTTGTAGTTTAATCCGCAGGTAGTCTTACATAAATCCACTGTATAATTAATCTTTATTATTTGTGTATCTTATTTATTTAGTGCCAGACAGCTCCGACGAAGAGACAGAGAGCTCGTCAGCAGAGTCAGAAGAATCACCTAAAGCTAAATTTCAGAGAGAATCACCAAAAAGAAGGGGGGTCAGAACTCGTCGTCAAAGAGCTAAGGAAAAACACGAGTCAGACGAAGTAGAGAGTGAATCTTCTGAAACTAAATCCCTTGACGGATTTATAGTCGGTGACGATGAAGATCCCAGCGATCCTGAAGATGAAGAATGTGAATCTATTAAGAAAAAAAAGTCAAAAAAGAAATCCAAGATGCGATCAAAAAAGTTAAACAGGAGGAGACGACCAAGAAGAAAACGTGCTACCTCCCCATCAAGCTCCGATACGGAGGATGAATCTTTCAATAATGGGATGAAATCTAAATCACAATCTCCGAGATCACCAAAAAAACGATTTACAAAGACTAGACGCAAATCGGAATCTTCATCCACGGAATCGTCATCCGCATCTCCTCGTCGACGCGACCTGGGAAATGATGTAATTTCGGAGTTGCGTAGTATTATCCCAACGTGTACAGGGGTTACGACTAAACGAAGAAAACGAAACCGTTCTAGTGGTGCATACGTTCATGGGGATGAATCTCATGATGAAACTAAAGATGCAGGAGGGTCAGACGACAGTTTCATTGATGACAACATTAAATATGCTCCTGGGATTTTAGAGTCTTCCGGTACCTCTGATGAAGACGCTGTCGAGGAACATCCGTCAATTTTAGATGAACCAGGATCATCGTCATGCCTTGAAGTTCCTACTTCCTCTTCGTCCCCAGAGGACGAAGACGATGCCAGATCTGAAAAGAGTGAAAGCAGCAGTGGAGATGATCGTCGTCGCAAAGCTTTTGACAACATATTAAAGAAAGCCAAAGAAGAAATATGTGACCTTTGCAAATCTCTGGGCGATGCTGACTTCAGACGTCGGAATGGTTATGTTGATGCCGATAAATGGTAAGTACATTACAATTTATACATTACATTTAAATAATATACTTCTCATTGATTAAACTGATGTAAAACTGTGCCGTTTTTACCTTGCAGGTGCCAATGTGGCCTGTGCAAAGTAGTCAGTCCTAAAATGAGTAACTACGACCGAGTTTGTTGCAAAGAACCTTCCAATATTAAAGAATTCTTCGTGAAGGAAAAAATGGGAGGTCGTGGTAAATGTATCACTGATCATCCCAGGTTCAACATGAAGGTTTTGCAGTGCGAAGCCCTTCTCAAACATTCAAATAGAAAGGGTGAAAAGGAGAAATTACGGGAAGAATTTCGTCATTGCACAGACAAACAAAAAGTGTCAAAATGCAAGGATGCCTTCCTTCAGTGGATATTCGAACATGTTAAAGAAGGCAATTCAAACCTTGTTCCTGCCTGCGTGGGTGCAAAAATTAGACAAAGGTGCGTCCCAAATGCTGGGCCTTTATACTTTGAGACTTTCAAGGTTAACAAAATTTGCCAATATGGGAAACATTGCACAAATGCGAAAATGCATGTCTAGAAAAATACGAAGTAGCACTGTCAAGTCGACAGTGTCGATCATATTTTATTATATTGAACCTAATAGTAGACTGAAAATATTTATAAATCAAGTAATCTCAGGGTACGATTGCTGAGCATCATACAAATATTTTTATATAAAAAATGTTGTCATTATATTAATTTAGTTTGTGTTGTGATATGTAACTTTCATAATTGACGCACGTATACTATCGAATCGATGAAATATTTAGATAAAATATGTCATTTAAAATATTTAATTAACTATGATAACATTTAACATTATGTATGTTGTAAACCGTTACAGGAATTTAGTTTAGTTTATACACACCGAGATAATGATACGCTACGTTATCATTAATAAACGCTTTCTAGCAATCATGTCAATTGAATTGGTTTGCTGCCCGTGTTCGGTTTCCAGATTCGTAGGCCCGTTCTGCATTTCCTTGTTTCCACTCTAGGAACTTTTTTTCACCTAATGCAACACCACCAACTACGCCACAGATAATCGCAATCGTGTCCATGAGACTTGACTTGGAATCAATCTGCAAAACAGGCCCATCATTATTCGAAACACGCATAAGAATTGAAATCATACGTCTCGTACTAACCTGATGACAAAAAGCATCTCCATATCGGCAACTGGTCGCGAAAAATTCGCAATTGTCACTCAAAAGTCCGTACGGAGTTTCATGTCCGACGTAACTTTTCGCATTGGCCACGACCACTTCGGGTGGTAAGGCCTGCAGTCCCTTCTTCTTAGCTTCATTTGCATGATTATTGATCCTACACTTGTCCCCACCACACACTTTTAGTAAGCGTTCCTCCTTGATCTCGGCCGAATTTCCTAGTCCCTTACATTCCAAGAAGACGTGAATGACGCTCCCGTTACCGATGTAGACTGCCCAGTGCGCGTAACCCAGTCTGGAGAATTCGATGAGGTCACCGGGTCGCGCGATGGCGGCGATGGATTCCGCCGTCCCCCAAGCACTCAGGTCAGATGATGATGACATGACGGACAACAATCGTAATTTCTACGATACCAGTTAATTAAAGTGAGAAAATGTTGCTTATTGATTGACAAACTGGTGTAGAAAGAAGGATTCACTTTCAACCTAGCCCATTACATTTTTCCTCCAACCGAAAAATTTTTCAATAAAAATAAACTTGTGTGAACAAAAGTAACAAGATATTACAAAATATTGTAGTTGACTGAGTTACTGTTGAACTGAACGAATAATATTGACTAATGTACACTCTGCACAAAATTTGTCTTAACGCAAAATGCGTTCAACAGCTTGAATATGGGATTTGATGGTGCAGCTATTTCGCATTTAGCAGTAGAGATCATAATAATAACTCGTGGGCGTAGTTTCAGTTCCAGTTCCAGTAGTGCAACTGATGTTTATGCAATTGCGTACTTTATCATGTTAAATATTGTTATTTTATCTGGCCTGGTTTATTATCATCACTCTTCTGAACGGACACAATTCCTCCTGTTTCTTGACGGTTTGAAGCGTAGCATTTCCATGACCTCTGTGAATCCTAGCTTATTGTCGTCACCTCTCGTGATGATATCACTGATTTTATTGTCCTCACTCTCCTCCGGCATTGGACACTGACATCGAAATTCTCCCAAGCTTTTGTATTCCCAACAGCGACTAATTCCTGCACAGCTGGACAGGTCAAAAAGGTCGAGGTCACAGCGTCCACCCACCAAAGAGACGCACTTCCCACGATCCATGTCCCAAAACATTTCTCGAGGCCGAGCACATTCGTAGACTCCTTTAGAATTATACATATGCAATGTTCTAGTAAATTCAAACTACAATTAATTAGTTGCATTGCTTAATTACCTTGAATGCATGTCAGTTTCTGTTGTTTTAATTGATCCCTGAGTCGATTATTTTGTGGAAAAAATTTCCCACAGACTTCTTCATGAAAACGGGAAGTGCACCGAAACTGATCTTTTTTAGCTCCTCCCTTATTAATGAGCCCTTGCAGCTCAAAGCCATCCCTGCATTTTGGACGGTAATTAATCTTATTTGCATATTCTGCATGTTAAAAATAATGGTTAAGTCAAAAACGACACTCACCTGCATTTGCACATTGGAAGTTCCAACCTAGTTTCGCAGTACGCCGTGGGGCCGTGACAATCCTGATCGTCCGTGCAGGGCGAATTTATCGGGGAGATGCAGAACGTGCTGAGCGGATGGGATGTTGGAAATCGGAATTGTCTCGAACCTGGGGGACAGTTACAAGTTCCACCGTCACAAATTAGTTGTGGGGTCCAGGCTGATAAGCAATTTCGGGATACGGTGCAATGATCTCCGACAGAGACGGGAGCCGTACATGCATTTTTGTTCATACGTTTGTGACGGATCTGATTTGTTCCGTTTCCCTGAAGTTCTGCTAACTGTTTAGATATGTATAAACTTTCAAAATCGATTTCTATAAAAATTATGATATTTTTACCTTATCGAAACAACTACATTCCAACCTTGCCTCGACCCATTTCGCTGTAGGTCTAAAATTCTTAAATTGACCCAACGCACATTCCACACATGTCGCATTGTGACACAGTTGACCTCTCTGGACCATGCAATCTAAATGATCTCGACACTCTTTGCCCCCTGCTTTTACCACTTTTGGCGTGCACACTGCCCCCCTCAATTCAAATAAAGGGCCACACTCACAAATCCCGGAAACTTGACCACACTCCGAATTACGAGGACATTTCCGCCTCACGTACACCGGGGAACGAGGATCCCTCTTGGAAATGGGCAGTTCCCTGCAATCATCCCCCAGTTTAACTTGCACTTTACACTTGAAGTCATCCGTGACATCGGGACGCCCGAATTTGCACGCACATCTGCCATCCCGACATACGTAACCTGTTCTTTCATCACACTGTCTATCGTAAGTGCACGGATTCGTGTAAAAGTTGGATTCAGAATTTGCCAAATCATTTGAAAAATACGAATCTGCAGAAGAAAATGAGATCCAAAACGCTAACAGCACTAAACTCAACACAGTTACTAAACTTGACATTTCTGGTTGAATGTACTGATCTCTTTATTGCAAAAAAAAATAATCACTCCTCTTGGAATTGCTGTAAACTAAAGCATCTTGTCTTCTTACCTGATGCTACAGAGACACTGAAAATGACACTGCAAACAACAACAACAACATTCTACAGATATATGAGAATGGAATGAAAGTGTGTAAGTTGAGCCTTTTAATTTGTCATGGTCATGGTCGTTGCTAACTCGTTGGTGGTCTGGTCAGACCTTCCAAACCAAACCACAAGGGAACGAGCAGAAGTGCTAATCTAGGTTTTTGACGCGATATAATTATGATCAGCATGTGAAGAACTTTACATATTATTATTATTATTTGTACTACGAATACGTATGCATATATACATTCTGACCATTTAATGACGTCGTAACAAAAACATGAGTAAAGAGATCTCGTATTGATATTGATTGTATACAAGGCATTGCGTATGCACATGTAAAGTTACACATTCTTCTTACCTGACTTGAATGGACAAGGTCATAGAGAGCACGAGCCATAAATTACATATTTATGGCTACTTAGGCAGGGATTCTTTGTAAATAATAACAAGGAATTGCCACACATATATAGCTTTGTTGTCAGCAGTCTCATTTTATTCGAATGTTACGTCAGATTTTAAAATGTGTATGTTTTCTTCAGAATCTATTACTACTCATTCTACCAACTCTTGCTGCTCATCCGTGTCGTCTTGCATCATTTCTTGCGTGTCTAACGCTGTAACGACTGCGGAAGAATTGTACAAAATTTCAAAGGGAAACGAATCCCAGAATGCGAGACGTTCTGAAAATGGTTCGATGAGTTTGGGAACATCGTCCAAATTATACCAGACCGTTCCGTTCCCAGCAGAGTCAACTTTCGGCCATGCGGTACCATTTGTGTCAGGATTTACGGGAGCTCTGAAAAGGAAAATTAGCAGGGTTTTTGTCATAATTATAATCACCTCAAAGCAATTAGTTTAGTGTAATTATTTACCCCGTGTCTGCAAATGAGACGAGATATTTGACAAACATTTTAGAAAACTCGGCCCACGGCGAGTCGAGAGGGATGTAGGGGTAGCGTGGTCTTGAAAATACGTATTGGACTTCGTCAGCGTGTGACACACCTGCAATTATTTCCCAATTTCTTAATAAGTCGCTGACAAATGACGACTAAATATTACCGTATGGTGGGTCAAAATATGGGAGAACGGACGCCGCAAAGCTTACATTGGCCTCTTTTGTGAGATAGTACCAATATACGTCGCTGGTTTGAGAATGCTTTAATCCCGACGTTTTTGTAGGATGGTAGTAAAATCTTTAAAAAATAAGAAATATTATGTACCATGAAAATAACTATAAATTATTTATAAATTAATTAACCTGTCTGATATCAAATTGGTCAAATTAAACCTCGTCTCAGAACCTTTGCTGATTGTTTTGTTTCCAAAATAAAACTCTCGCACTTTGTGGACGATATCTTTAACTTCGCTGTCATTAACTTCCTCTTGCCACTCCTCGAGTCCCAATAAGTCGGCAGCGACGACGTCAAAATTATTGTTGAGCTCGGTGACGGCATTTTCATTTAGTAAAAGTGCTGTGATAAAGGCAAAGTTATGATTTATCTTAGCCGGAAGACCATAATTTTTTATGTGTATACGATAAACTCACTGTAAGACTGGAGAATCGCCTCGGCGCTATTAACGCCAACCAACCATGGGACCGCATTGGCTTTTCCTTGCATTAAAAGGTTGTTTGGACTGTCGGGAAAGAAAACGTTGGTGAGGTCACCGTCCTCCGGAATGGTTTCAATGGAGGGACCAAAGTCTGGTTGGAACATGGCAATGTCGTGATAAGATACGTTTCGCAGGCAGGAAACCAACTCTTCTGAATCATCGACATTTGTGCAGTTTAGAGCTTCTCCCAAATCTACTGCAGTGTCGCGAGGTTGAAGGTTAAATGATTGACCACCCGGCATTAGCATTGTTCCACTGAACGAAATCACGCCAGACATCAGACCTAAGGTTCCAATTGGAAAGTTTATTGGTCAAAATGCCATGTATTTTTAGATGTAAAAGTACAGTACCGTTGGACATTGGGGAAAGTAAGTGAGCATGAGCGCACATGGCTCCAGAAGAAGATCCAAAAGCGACCACTTTGGCTGGATCTCCGCCAAAATCAGCTATATTGTCTTTCACCTAAAGAGACAAATTAATTAGTGAGTGAGGTAGCTCTCGAGGTAAGGATGATGAACTTCAAATATGCACCCATTTCAGAGCTTGAGCTTGATCTTTCAGCCCCATGTTGCCAGTTACGGTTAAATCTCCAGTATTTAAGAATCCTGAAATGTAAATTTAAAGAGTTGGAGAAAGTTGTTAAACGAATCACATCAGTTGATTTAATGTACCCAATGCCCCCACACGAGACTCAACAATAACCAATACGACATCTTCATCCATGAAGTAGTCCACGTTGAAGTCATTCGCCGTTCCGTGCATGAAACCTCCTCCAAAGAAGTAAGCAATCACGGGATATTTTACTCGACTAAATAATCGTGGAATCTATAAAATAATATTTAGTAAATATGTATGCCTTTAAATACTAGTCCAGTTTTTGCGGTGGGAGGCAAACCTTGGGGGTAAAAATATTAGTGTGTAGACAATCTTCAGTCCCTTCTACGTCAACGTCTGGATTGTAACGACTTCTTTGGACGCACATTGTCCCCTTAACTGTCGCGTCTCGAGTTCCTGTCCACGACAGGGCTGGTTGTGGGGGCTAAATACATACACAAATGAATCGTGTCAATTTTGCTGTAGCAGGAGATGCAAACAAAATATTGCATTTTGTATTCACCTTAAATCGAAGGTCACCAGTTGGTGGCTGTCCGTACGGGACGTTATAAAATCCAAAGTATTCCCGTCCTCCCCTTGAAGTAAAATTCGTCCCTTTCAATCTCCCCAAACTGGTTCGTACCGTGGGAGCAGAGGAGCGTCCCCTTCTGAAAATGTCAAAAATTCCTCCTCGACCGGTTGTCGTAGTTGGTTCGGGAGTAGTTTCCTCGTCCTCCTCAATCAGTCCGGTGTCATCAGTGGCATCAGGAACTGGTGGATCTTCCCGTGGTGGGGGCGGATCTGCGGGTGACTCCACTCCACTCACTTCTGGTACTTCTGCTGGTGGATTTCCCGTCTCATCTGCCACCCCTGCACCATTGTCCGCATTCTCGACGGCATCACCACCAGCAGGGGCAGCTTGTCGAAGTACAGTGACCTCCTGGCTAGTCGACGTCGACACGGTGATAACAGCATACACACAAATTCCAGCAACCAGGCAAAACGCACCCACGCCAGCGATCCAATTTTTGTTTATTCTGACGTTGAGACCCCATGGACCACGAGTATAGGGATCTGGCCTTTTATGCGATAAAATTGCGTCCTTCTCAGTGAATTCTGACTCCATTTTTTATGGAGATTTGTTGTTTCACATGCAAATTAAAATTTATGCTAATCGTACCAAAGCAAAATTGAATTTTAGTCAGGATATATGAACACGCAGGTAATTGATCTCTTTGATTGAAAGACTCACGCAGTCACAAGGTGTGGGAATTATTTTTTTTTACGGATATCATTCTCATATAAACATGATATATGCGCTTATCTGTGACAGATAACATTGTTCAACTACACAAGTGTGGTGCAGTATTAAAATTTACTTTTTTGTGGTAAACATCACAGTATCCTCATTCTCACATGACCACATCGCATCATGAATTGTAAGTTTATAATGCCGATTAGAGATTATTGTTTACTACTACTGGGCATTTAAATAATTAATTGAGATTTTGTTTTTAATGGGCTTCATGAGACAAAAGAAATTTCATTTAATTTTTACATACATGAAGTGGTCAAGTGGTCAAAATATTTCACACCTTCTTAGCAATTTCACACATCAGCGAAAAAAAGCATTTCTCAAATTATTTCCAACCTGAATGGATTTATGGGTTTTAAATACATACTCAGAAAAGTCATGTACTGCACATATTTACATGTTTAAAAGTAGTATGTACATATGTCCGAGGTGCCTGTAACTAATGGACTGTGTGACATCCATCCACTTAAAGAAAGACTTTCAGTCTCAGCAAGAAGGGACATTTCCTTATACACACCACTCCATTCTGGAATTGGCTTTTCGGCTCAAGTGGATTAGCAGTTATGAAACATTACTATTGAGAATAAATGGTGCATGCTTGGTTGGAGGTGTATTAAGGCGTAAAGCTACTAAAACAGCTTATTATATTGTTATGAAGAGGTAAATCACACTGAAAGGACGGACGCACTCACTGCAGTAGAGACCCTACAACTCCCAAAGGTATTTATGTCGAGAGATTTAGTGAGCATTATGTCTCATAAATGTCCTCGCTGAGATGAATGCAGGTTCATAAAAAGGACTCAAAATTAGAGGGTTCCTTCCTACGATTGGATTCATGCAGACTAAAAATTTTGCTTTAGAACCTACTTGACTTATGCATTTCATGGCACGTTATTGTCTCCTCTTCTCTGTTATGATATGACTTATTACCACCATCGCTGCATGCTCGGTTTGCTTTATGAAAGTAAAATGCATACGCTTACATATTGCCAAAGTATAAGGAAAGGTAAGTATACACCTTTTCTCCACCAAATCAAGTGCACCTCTGAACAACTTTTTTATGACAGAGTTCACGGTAGATCAAGCCCGCAGGGAAATCACCCACAACCACCAAAGCCAAAATCTACCTTATACTTATTTTACTGCACCACTGCTTCAGACTATCACCAGACTGCAATTATGCTATTACACCTTAATTCAAGTGCATCCAAGCGTTCTGTGAGGGGAGAGTGTCGCTATTTTGATACATGATTAAGTTTTATGGGTCAAAATTTCCAGATTATCGGGATTTTGAATCGTTTCATGAAAAAGTTCCATTTTGCGGAGAGTATGAAATTAATGAAAAATCGGTGTGCATGACGCCCACCCAGTTTACAAGGAGGATCCGTCTTCTCATTCTTTATCATATCTTGGAGAGATCCTCCTGATCAGACCATAATCAGGAACCGGACGAGACAGGTACACGAAAAAATGTAACAGTAGATCGATTCAGTCCTCCTTTCAACCGTGGAAAGAAAACATAAGTCGTCAGTCATACCTAAATTTCATCTCTTCATTTACAAAATTTTAACCCGAAACGATATAAAGTTCTGAGAAAAGAATGAACCTTCTTCCTCCTGTGTGGCCCCTGTTTCATTAATTGGAGCAGCAGATTTACATAAATATTTACATAAAAAACATCGAATTTGTACACAAATGATGGGGCGCAGCAGCACGCCAGAGTCGTCCATGGCTCTGGGTGGGAGTAAAGAGCATTTGAGCAGTGGGAGCGGTGTGCACAATAATTTGAACCACAACCACAACCACTCCCACCATAAATATCACTCGCATCAGGTGAAACACAAACAGCAGAGTCAGCAGCCCAGTCCGGGATGCAGTAGTGGGAGCGTGGTTGGTGGCGGTGGAGGTGGTCACTCCAACAACGCGTTCGTCCAAGGGTTGCAATTTCTTCCGCCGGCGTATAACAACAGAGGTAAGGATTTAGTCTAAATTCCTGGATATTTTGCTTCAAAATCGATAAAACAATTGTTTCCTTTCTTATAGTAAATGTTGTGGAGGCGCTGCAAGAATTTTGGACTAATAAACTGGTCAAGGACGGACAAGAACCTTCCACGGAGGCGTGTGTCATTTATGAATCCGTTCCATCCCAAAATCCACCTTATACGTAATGCGACATAAGTAAATATGTGACTAAATACAATTACGAATTTATCAATTTATTTTTAGCTGTTACGTCACACTTCCCGGGGGCAGTTGTTTCGGAACATTTCAGGTATTTATTCTAATAAGCATCGAAATTGCGTACGGAAATGTTTTCCAGAATTAATTTTTTTTGAAATATTTAATTTCAGAAATGTATGACCAAAGCGGACGCACGGAGATCCGCGTGCAAACTCGCCTTGATGAATTCCCTCTACAACGAGCATCATCCTGCCCGTTGCATAACGGATTCCTTCATCTCGCAAGCCATCCAGGATGCGAAACAATCCTCCGGGGGCGGCGAGGACGAAGGCATCGCGGCATTTCGACTCATGCTCGAAACCTCGAAGGGAAAGTCGATGCTGCACTTTCAAGAAATGATGACCGTGTTTCAACTCCTCCATTGGAACGGAAGTTTGAGAGCGATGCGAGAAAGGAATTGTTCCAGACAGGAAGTTATCGAGCATTATTCCTCCAGAAAAATTGACGATACGATGAGACGCCAAATGAGTTTGGATTGGGTGGCGAGGGAACAACTTCAACCGGGAACGACGCGTATGAAATACATAATTTCTAACAATTTTACTTAGGAAATTAAAAAAAAAACTGAAATATTTTATGAAAATTTATATTTTTTCCAGTTCTCGAGCTGTCCGAGGCGGAACGGGAGCTCGACGAGTGTCGAAGTATGGGAAGAGAGCTAAGATTTCTCAAAGAAAAGCGAGACATTCTTCTCCTAGCTCAAAATCAGTTACATTCTGGTGCTTAATAAAAGTAGATAACTACTTATCGTTCGTACTAATTTTATAGATGGGAATATATTATTACATTACTTATTAAAATTACGGATTCAATCCGTAATTATTAAAATTAAGTTACGGATTCAATCAGTATTTTTAATTTTATGGAAAAGTAGACCTTGTATAAAAGAAAGAGCTTATTTATCATGCATCAGTACTAAATATCGGGCTTTTTTATGGGTAGCTACATAGCAGCTAATATTGCGATGTTTTTGATAACTTTTAATATTTTGTACCTTCTATTGTTTTTTTTTGTAGAACGAATAATAAAACTGATATGCGGATAAAAAGAACTACTTATTGAAAAAAACGAAGCTGGGAAAAATAATTTCAAACACAAACTTTCAAACCATAATTATTACCGTGCAGTATAAAATGACAATGCAAAAAATTGTTGCTTCCTCCAAGCAGGAAAAAACTTTATTTACTTACGTATATACTCGTATATATCACAATGTCTTTGAAAACTTTTTTTCAAAAATACATAAAATTGTAGTAGGATTACGAAATAACGCTTGAAATGACGCATTCATAATAAATATTTACATAAACATAATTACATCTTATGTTCCGCAAGTTTTTTAGTACTTTCCTTAATATTGTTGGGACTTGGGGTGAAAAGTTGTTGATCTTCGCCCGAGGAAGAATTCGTCAAGGGCGGCTTTCCTTTAGGACCTTTGTTACCATTACTGACTTCATTCTTCTTGATGTATCTCGGTCTTCTCATTTGCATTTGTCCGATCATCGGAGACCCGTTCGAGTACGGTTTCTTGTCAAAGCTGTCGTGTTGATGGGGCAGATTGCCGATGGATTTTTGCAACTTGGTCGGCGACATGATACCCATTAGTCCGCCGATCGTGTTTTGAAACGCGTGTCCATTTCCTTTGGGAAGTGATCCGCTATGAAAGGGTAAAAAAAATCGTGAGATAAATAATCGTGAAATCATGAAACTGGGACAAAATTCAGTTTACAAAAATATGTACCCTCTATTTAGAAAAGTAATTAAATTGAAATATGTACGTACTAAAATATGCAAATGCTATATAAAAAATGTACCACATTTCAATTTAAGTTTGAAAATAAAATGGATGGATAAATAAATGTCATATCTTTAAAATCAACCCTGTTCTACCCTCTCATTCATCCACAATGTTATTAAAGTTTGTTGTATATTTGCATTCAGTTCAATTGGTTCCAATTTCTGTGAAGGGTAGTAATTATCGGGCTTCAACAAAAGTGTAAATCGATATACCTGATTTTTCACCCTGAAAAGCTACGTATAACCTACATTACGTATATGAATACTCGTATATGTAACGCTAAAGTGCATTTTTTGTATCAATTTTTGGGCAAATTGTAATCTTAAGGTGCGCATTTTAATCTTCATGTTTGTTTAGTAATGTACATAAAAATATTGCGTTTCTCGATTCCGAACATTTTTCTTCAGGTGCTCACCCACCACATGAATTTGTAGCACATGCACGCAAATTATTAGTGCGAGAAGGACGCTTAAAGGATACGTTGCGTATATGTCTCCTCACACAATCAAATGTCCGATTGGTTTATGCACATATTTTAGGACGACTGACTGCCTGTTCATTACGAGGAGTGAGAGTAGGACTACTGCTGGCTGTGTAATGGGCAATAAGGTGGTTTTGACGGAAATCGATTTGATGGGAAAGTGATCAATTATGCAAAGTTTGTATGTGCTGTCTTCTTCCTTCATATGTACAATTTTGCCACCACACACCACACACGCAGAGTCCACCTCAAAGCAAAACTATATGAACAACTATTTGATTATTGTTCGAAAAGTGTTTGGCAATTCTAGATATCTCATTTTGCGGGAGGACATATCTATCCGAGTGGATTGGTTTGTTCATTTCGTGAGAAAATGAATCATGTGTCTCGTGATTCATCCGAAAATAAGTAAGTATGTCGCAGATATCGATACATACGTGGTTTGGAAAGTCGGAAAGTCGGATGGTGTCGATGGGAAAAGGTTCAAAAGTTTTAATTAAAATGTCCAAAATTTGGTCAGGATAACGAACGATTCTTGTCAAAATTGCTGTTATTATTAAGCACATATGAGCTGATTTAGTTTTGAAATTATATTTTCATTCGGAATAAGAAAGTTTAATTTGTGTATGTATCTTTATCTGTATTTCTGTAACCTTTGATCAAGGTGTCGTGTCATTGTCATGTGCCACTAGGATTCATGGCCAAGTTATTGTCACTTAATTGGTCGAGATAATGAGAAAATTGCATTAATGTTAAATCAAGAGGGAACGCGATACATTACATGTTTGCATAATTACTTTGTATTGATACGAAGGAGGGCATACCTATTTATTTATTCACCAATTTCTGGAAGTGCCTGAATTGAAATGGTTAATTTCGAATGAAGAAACTTGTAAATTTTGAAACAATTTACGGAGAACGTATTTACGATTGTATGAGTGAAACTAGAGATAAAAATTTGCTCAAAATTTCATGAATTCTGATGAAATGTGATGAATACATACATAAAATTCGGTCCATCTCCACCCATATTTATTACCACTGGAGGTTTTTACGCTCATAATTATGGTCCGATTACATCACTACACAATACGTACACGCATCTTCAATTTGCCCGATTAATGCGACATCCACATTATTATGTATGCAGCCGAAGCAATTAAGAGATTCATCGCCGACCTACATCCATAATTATTGCCGTGTTTATGATCTCATTAATTAATTGAGTTATCCGGTCTGCGTCAAGTCAGCCTCACACGAGGAATGAATATGCAAACACACCTACAAGTCAACATGCAATTAATTCCCCATTTATTTTGGGGATAATTTGTGCAAATATTTGGACGATAGGAGCATGAATAATTCTGCCCTAATGTACATACCGAATCGACTTATGTATTTCCTTTGTCTGTCATTTAATGGGGGTTGGTAGGCGATTGCATAATGCACATGATACGTAAACACGCTAAAGTGGTATAACCGAACCACGATACCTATTCTCATCTGAATAATTTACTTTACAGATATCCCTACTCATTTCCTAGACCTTGAAGTTAAGGGGAAAATGAATACGTCATTCTCATTTGGCAGAAGAAAGTATCACCTATTTTAGTAAATACACTGATTATTATTGTGCTGCGGACTTTCTATCGAGAACTCGTCCTGCATGTGGACAATCACCACGGGACGAGTTGACGGGGCCGATTAGCCTGCTCAATCGGAGCACAATTAAATAATCGATATGTTACTATTGAAAAGGAATATTTAGAAGAATATACATTTCTCGATACAGTAATGTAAAACTGTCCTGTTGCAAATGAAGCTATGCAGTGACGGCGGAAGGTGGGGGACATGGGGGTCATTAGCCAGGGGGAGGAGGGCGTTATTAATATGGGCAAAATATTAGATATTTTGCTGAATTTCTGGGGGAACAATGTCCCCATGTCCCCCTGCTTCCGCCGCCAATGTATGGATGGATGGATGGAAAACCTGTAAAATAACTTTCACCACTTCATCATCCTTTAGTATCCCTCCCTGTCCCCGTTTGACATGTCAAATCGCAAATCGGGTAATTAAACCGCAATCAATCCGACCTTCATTTTTCCTAATCAGAAAACTTGATAAGTATGAAATAGTAAATTCCAGAAATTTAATTACGACACGCACAAAATTCACAGAAACTGGGACCAAAAAGTGAATTGAAAGCAAATTAGTGTACCCGATTCTCATATTTATGTACAAATACCTACCTAGAGACCGACATTCTTTTCTTTTGCCCGTTTGTAACGTATGTATTATATCATGTGATGTTATGTGATGTTATGTATGTGCGGACAAACAAGTGCTTTCAATAACTGGGGGAATATGTGGGGAAGTATCTGGTGAATTAAATTTTAATGACCCCTTTCCAAACTCGAATCGATAAAATCTTTACCAATTTGGAGCATTCTTCTTTTCTATTCTATTTTCGCTTTCCTGTATGCCCACCACCAACTCAAACTCGAACTAAAACCAACAATTATAATCTATTCAGCAGACTATTGTATTGTGTATTTGATAAAACTTGTCCAATTCGACAACTTTATCTGAAAGACGGCCTAGATTGAAGTTTCATACATTCGGTAAAAATTAAACCGAGTATAATGCGAGGAGTGGATTTGATGATACTCTTATGAGAAACTTTTATGTATGTACAATAGCCAGGAAATTGTCAACTCCTTCAAACCAAACATGACAATAGGATGGATGGAGAAGGATTTTCTTATGGATTTTTCTCTTCAGATTAAGAATAAGGTCATAGGTTAAAGTATTTACGGTAAAAAAAATGTGCAAAAAGTTAACAAAATAAAATGCTTGGAAGATTGAAAATACAATGGAGCGTATGCCCCCCGATTTTTACTAAATTAGTGACAATCCATCAAAAATTCAATTAACATTAAATTAGTGAAAGACACGATCTACCAATGCGCACGTTTGGCAAAGATATTTGCATCCGAGGAGGAGAAAGCGCGCAGTAAATTTGGATAGTGCGAAATTTGTAAACTTTTAGGCCCGCTTTCTCTTTTTTTGATGCAAATATCTCCGAAAAACGTACCCATTGGGAAATCGCGTCTTTTGCAAACATTAAAATAAATTTGTGATCAATTGATACTAATTTAATCAAAATTTAAGAGCATACGCTGTGAGATTTCCATTTTACATAAGTACAGATAAATCTTACTTCATGTAAGGTCCTTCCCCTCCCCCAACATCACCATTCATCTTCTTTACACCATTATTATTACTGATTTGCTTGTCTTTTTTCATATTATTCCACTTTTTATTTCTCACTTTCTTCGCACTTTTCCCAGTTGCACTACTACTCGCCAAAGAGGTCTCATCCTTGTCTAAAAGTTTGAGCTGAGACGTCGACTTGTTGACAACCATGGCTCGATTTGCCTTACTACAATTGACACATTTTAACAAGAGGAATAAAATGAAGGCGGAAATAGCCGCGATAGCGCAGGGGATAAGAATTGCGATAAAAAGGTGATACTTTTCGAGATCATGGTTATAATAAGGGACCAAAATGGTGTCATTTCGTGCACTGTAGTAACACCCAAACTCCGTCCCGATGGTGCCATATTGGTGGTAAAATTCGCTACAGTTTACACTCGGTGGGTAGCCACACCCGTTTATGTTGATGTAAAGCGTTCCATCTGAAGTAGGAAAAAAATCATTAATTAAAAACGCATTAACTGAATTGGGTGAAAGCAGGGATGAAATTACGATTAGCTTACTTTTTGTGACCAAAATTGTACTAGAGTTGAACGCACTGTTGTTGTCATTACTATTCGTATTTTCACTATTTGTGTCACTCGTGGAGGTATTAATTTGTTCGATGCTTCTACCATTTATAAGTGGAGGAGGAGGAGGAAATGTGGAAGAAGAAGAGGAAAGAATGAGCTGTGAGTCAACATAGTATGAATATTGCACGTCGATAAAGGTACAAAGGAAAAGGTCAGCCGTACACCCGGCACGACACGATGGAAGCGAACATTCCACTGGACCTACGCCTTTGCGTAGATTCGTTGTTCTGCAAGATAAATAGTTAGACATTAAATTATGAAAATGCACTCTTAGAAAACTGAAGAAAACTCTAGAAAACTATAATAATCTTATTATTATTAAATACTCTAAGCCAGAAATCATTAGTAACCGGAGTGCATACATGACTGGTAATAACGGACATTACCGTTTAGGATTATTCCTTACTGGTAATGACAAATCTACTACTCACTAGTCAGAGACAAACTATTTACTACCAATCCGTTAAGAAGTTATTACCAAATCAGCACCAGTACGAAGTATGTATGTCACTCTACCAGATTTTTAACCGTGCAATGTCAAGTTACTTTCTCCAGGAGAAAGTTTCCAAAGGATGAAGTATAACTGAAAATTAAGCCTTAAACTCACATGCAATTAACCGGATGAAGTGAAAACTCTGCCTCCAGTCCGTACAAGATAGGATCCACGACGAGAGGAAAGACAAAGAGAAGGGAAGAGATAGAAAGGACGAAAATTGTGCCTAAAAAGACGATCGTGACCGCCTTGAATCTCAAAAAGTAGTTTAAACACTCTGTACCACAACCCCCCTCCGACCCTCCAGTCCCCCCACCACCACCCTCCCCACCAGAGTTTTCTCCATCAGTCAAACTGTTGGAAGAAGGAGTCCTCCTCTTCCCAAAGTGGCGACCCACACCGGAATTCAAATACTTATCTGGCGACGACGACTTATCCTCACTTTCACCTTCGTCGACACGTTGTAAACTTAGCTTATCGAGACTATTTGAATTATTGTAATCACCTGTAGAAGTTTGGGGTTTGTCGTCATTATTTTTATGTATAATAAAGGTCGTCGTGTCCTCGTAGACAGGAACCATTCCGGGTTCTATGCTGTAAGGTTTCGTTATTGATTTTGACGTTGAAGGTGTCGATGAATTATTTCTAGACCGTTGCGAACTTAGTCTTTCTCTCAGAGATGAAGATGAACATGGTACGTTTTCAATATCTTCGACCGCATTGAAGTCACTATTACTTACGAAATTTGTAGTATTATTTTTACTGGATTTATTTACATCACTTTTGTTCCAAGCACCAAAACTTGCACTTCCATCCAATTTCATGTACTCCTTTTTGGAAGAGACTTCATCAAACAGTGTAACATTTTGGGAGTGAGATGATGACGCTATTTTAGAAGAAGAAGGATCATGATGATGGTGAAAGTTCTTGACGTTCGTCTCATTTTCGTCACTCGTCGTGGCGGACGAACATGACGACAGGGACGTTGAAGGTCCCAAGTCTTCGTAGTCCACCAAGTCCAAATCCTCCGTGGAGGCCAAACTCAACTTATTATTTCCGTGACCTTTTTTAGAGGAGGGTGCCATCGTGGACGAGGCGGCTGAAATGATGGGTTCAGGTTCACCCTCATTATTATTGCTGTTATTACGGTTCAGAATTTTAGGCGTTGGTGTCGTCGGAAACTTATTTTTACCCCGTTGTTTTGAAATCTTATTACTCTCGTGATTCTTGCTAAGCACACTTTTCACTCTGGCGGAAGGACTAAACCCGTTTGTAATTAGGTGAGTGTCGCTTAATAAACTTTGACCTCCTGTGTCACCACCGTTCGGAACATTGGAATTGGAACGGTTTTCTAGCTTTGGCCTCCAATCTCGCCTCCCCTTTTTCCTTGCCTTCCTATTTTGATAGTGGTGGTGCTGCTTTTTCGTGCCTGCCGAACTCGGTGGAGACGAACTGTTAGAACTTTGCGAAATATCGTTGGATCCGGATGACGTCGTGGATCCTGATTCTGACCCTGAGTTGTTCTCATCATCATCTTTCTCACCGACTTGGGACCTGGGATGGTCGAAGGGACGCATGTCGGTCAAAATCACGGGTGACGAGTCACATCACAGAATCGTTTTCACTCGAAGATCTTGATGTTACGCAAGAATACCAAGAATAATTTGGTGGATGACCTGCTCTCTCGTTCTATTTCCCCAACAATGTCTCTTTATACACAGCCTGTCTAGTTGTATTATTTTAAACATGTCAGTGCATTTTCTCCCCTATATTTTGCGAAATAAGTACTGGTTTTACCACTATTTTGGAACAAATCAAAGCCGTCGCAAATGTTTAGTATCAAGTGGACCTAGTCGTATAATTTTGCCAGATGCGAAGCGCGATAAGATGGAGGAAAGTATGGATGATAACAACGCAGGAGAAAGCAGCAGCAGAGAAAGGGAAGGGACATTTTATGGCGACCACACCACCGACATTACGCCTGGATAAATATGTATGGATGGATGGCTGTGCAGGAACTGGGATGGAATTCTGACAGGGACCGAAGCACTAGAAGAAGACGAAGGATAGGTACAAATAAGCGGTAAGGCAATGCTTCCACTTTTTGTGGGTCGGGTACTGGAGACGAATATGGGACAATTGACTCCGACAAGGAATGCAAAATGGACGGACGGATGGATAATAAAATACCTAAAGTGAGGTATAAATGCCAGTCCGGAAATTCGGGTCGTAACTTGTCGGAGTTTACAATTTGCGTTTAGATACTTTCCCCAACAAAAATTGGGTAAAGTTACGTTAGTGGAATAGCGACAGGACAGTTATTTAGCTAGTTGGATGGCTGGGTATGTATGTAAATGTGGTTAAAGTTGCTTTGCTGCCATGCACAATTCTTCTGGTATGTAACACTTGCCAGCAAAACCAATAATTCTTATTCACCCACTTTACCTTCAAACTTATTCGTCTCATCGTCAGTTAAAGAAATCGAGGAGAGGTTTCTTCTCTTAGAAAAAGAGCGACAAAACTGTTAAAAAATTAGGCATTACAAATCTTCAAATATTTATGGAGGTATTATTGAACTTGAAAAACGATATTTTTAAATACAACATTGGAGAAAGCGGAGAGTGGAGAAAGTTCCACTTTTCTTGCGACTTCCTTAAGCTTTATCGCATTGAGGTTAAAGCGGGTGCAGCATTATCGCAAACTACTGACTTTGACATCCTTCTTCACTATATTTAATTATAAATTCGCTCCGTTTGTATGTCATGGTCGTTATTGCATCCTGTATTTTTTAAAGGTGACCCATTTTGCATAATTATAAGCATTATTGTCTACTTCTACTTACCCCCAACAAATGGTGGCTCGTACACACGCATTATCATCACGAAAGGGGTGAAAATGAGACAAAATATGTAGTTTTGTTCGTTTTATTTGTATTGGTGTGTATCATAATTATTACTTGATCGACTTTCTCCACTACTTTCTCGGGTAAAAAAAACCGAAAAACTTTACACATGCCGATTCATTCGTGGTTTTAGTGTGGCTAAAATATGGCGTGTTGCTTGAGGGAATTGAATCATGAATTTTTCTGCGAGGAAACATGTAACTTCGTATTTACCAAGTTATTCATCATTTTGTCGGCAACTATGCATTTAACAAACTATTCTCGTTCGTTAGTTGGTACACGTAACATCCAACTTGTAGGCTACAAGTTGTAGCATAGTTCATTTAAAAGAAGTGTTTACGACAAATATGCTTTTTATTGCGGTACATGCCTGCATATAAATATGCATGTGCTCCAAACCCATGTATGTATGTAGTTGAATAATGAAGACACGCAATGCTTTTTGCGGTTTCTGCGTAATTTCCTAGGGAAAAGTTTATGGTAGGAAATAAGCATGAAAGTCATTCATTCATTCCAACCTCTAATTGTTGAGAGTACGGTGAAAACGGTGGAAAACAGGCCATTCCAGCCAGCCTCGCCTTTTGCGATGTGATGTACTTAACGGAATTTTGTAATTAAATAAAAATCTCAATTTTATTATTTTACAATGACGTACGTACTTAAATATGTAATTGTTTAAAACGTAACATGATCATCACTCCAGATAAAAACAACAATAGCAAAGCAACAACAACCTTCATCACTTATTTTTTAACTCCCCTGTTCCACTTTTGTTCCGAACCTGAGGCGAATAACGAGTAGAAAATGACATCGACCACATAAATTCCAGCCGCAATGAAGAAAACATACTGCCAGTTTTGCAACGAGGGCTGTAAATAAGTCAAACTCGTTGACACTTGACCATCAAAATGCGGCTTTAATGTGGCTGCTTAATTTTCTTACGTCGTTATTGATCATCAAACCGCACAACCAAGGCGCCCCGAAGCCGGTCAGGTTCGCGAAGGTGTTTGTGATTCCCATCAAAATTCCGGCATGTCGTGGTGCCAGATCCACGTGGTTGCAGACATAACCTGATGATAAGCAAGGATACATAAATCAATCATTTAATGACCTCATGAAAAGTGACATGGGGATCGGAATCAATGCCCGAGACTTACATGTAATTAGTGCATGCAAATGTCTCCACATTTAGATTAAAGATGGTCATTAAATACATGCCGTGACCCAATAACTAACCTGCATATATGGCACCATTGATTCCGACAGCCACCGTTAAAAAGGCCACCGTTGCAACTCGATCACAACCAGAGTAACTGGCTGCAATTAACATTAATGCTGATCCCAAGTGAGCTACATGAAATATAGAATTATATCAATTATTAATGCAGAATGCATGGAACCTGATTGCGTCAGAGGAGTTTTTACACGAATTTATCTTGTAATTTTTATGTCCGACTCGTGTAAAGTCTGACATTGATTGTGCCGTAAAAAATCACGTAAAGATCACGACTTCTTACTTACCAATACTTTGACAACTTTTTCTTACAACTACGGTTCTCAGGATCTTTTTAGATATAAAGTAATCTGCAATTTGTGGAACCATCATGGACACGAACCACATGGTGAGATATGGGAGAGCTGATAACCAAGAGTTCTGTTGCATAACAATGGAAATGAGGGTGACAATTTTGCTTATTTAAATAAAAATGATGAGTATTACGTACATCTTTAATATCGAATTGGAGGACGGTACTGAGATAGGTTGGAAGCTCGGTGAGCAGCGTGTACAGACCCCATGCGTGACCAACGTGTCCGATTATAATTGCCCAGACTGGTAGCGATGTGAAGATTTCGAACCAAGGAGTTGCAGCATTTTCCTGAATTGCAGATTTTTATGAATATATTTATTCAGTTATTTTTTTAAATGGTTTTGTATCTGACCTCATGAGCGGATTGGTCACCAATGCTCTTTTCAATATAGTTGAGTTCCTCTTTTGAGATCCTGGGATGTTCTGTTGGCTTATTGTAGATGAACATTGTCCAAAATACGAACCAGACGAGAGAAATTCCTCCCATTACGTAGAAAACGGAAGGCCAGCCTCCCATTACTCCGCCATGGATTAGATACCCACTGACCACCATGGTTGCCGCTGTACCGAATTGAGCACCTGAATCGGTAAGGAAATGAGAAAAATGTATGGAAGTCATTAACTTCAAGGTATCAATTTAAGGGAAATTCAACACCAAAAAACTTGACCAACTAACCTGCGTAAACTATCCCAGCGAGTTGACTTCTTTCTTCTGGGGGCGCCCAATGAGCTAAAATGTCATGCATGGCAGGTGTCGTTAGTCCCTAAAAAATTCGTTATTGTTTGTAGCACAACTTAAAATCACTGAAAAATTTGAATCTACGTAAGAACGCACCTCCCCCAATCCTTGCATCACTCTACAAAACATGAGAAGATAAGTATGCGTCCTTGCGCAAATTGGAGAGAGAATTGCGAATATGGCCGTAATAAAGAGTCCCAATCCTAACGGCCACTTCCCCCCGTACTTGTCAGATAAAATCCCCCCTGGAAGCTGCGTAATGACATACCCCCAGAAGAAACTTCCTAGAATTAAACCTTGTTCGGCTTCCGTCCAATGATGAAATTCTCCCAGCGTTGCTTCAGCTGAATGGATGTCATCAAGTTTCATGGAGTTATTCGCCGTGTAGACGCAGGCTGATGAGGATTTGTGCGTTTCGTGACCCTGACCATGACCATGACCCGGTTTTGACCCCACCATCGCTACGATGGCGATGGACAAATTGAATCGCATCGCGTAGGAGACGGCAAAGCCCAAAAATCCGAGAAAGGCCATCGTATGTCGGGCACCCCATCCTAAAAACGTGGCAAAATAGGCGTTAACAAAGCATTTTCAGTTAAGAATTATGTATGTCTATCTACCTACCTGAAGGTTTAACTGGTTTAGGGTTCACGGTCTGGTTCAACTCTAATTGAAAATTATTCATTGTTTTGTTCGTCATTGTTCTGCTTGTATGTTGTTGTTCGAGAGTCTGAAACCCAATGAAATGACAAAATATTATGTGTTGTGTGTTAAGTTTCGAAAGTTTAAATGTCCATCAAGTAAATGTAACAAGATGCAAATATTAAAATCAAAATATTATGGATACGTCACACATGCATTCATACGTATGCATTTAGGTCTTGGTTCAAATTATTTAAACGAGACAGAATTAGTTAGTCATGCTGATATTATGTACGACGATCAATTATTATGTGGCATTCCACGGATGGGTTACGTGTGCGTATGCAACCAATTCTCTAAGGATAAGTGTGTTATTGTCCTTATTCATGTACATAAATAATCATTTACCAGTGTTTTCTAGTGTTTGCATACACCGCAGTAATAAGTGCCTTAGTCCTGATTATTCATGCAATAATTGCTACTTTATAAGAACAATGAACTTTAATTATCTGTAGGTAGGTGACATGCATACAAGAGAGGACAAGTAAAATATTATGCAAATATTTACTCCACTTACTACTTTCTTCCAGTTAGAAACCTGTGTTTTTTCGTTTCTTCTTAACTGAATACGATTTTTTTTTGTTAAATACTTAATACTTGGGTTTCCTACTTTTCTGGTGTCTTGAGTCTTCTGGTTCGTGGTCCTCGACAGACTAAAATGCTATTTCTGGCCAAAACCAACCACAAGAAAGTGTGACCTGCACTTATTCACTTGAAACCTTTTTTCCCTTTGCTTGGATGCCTGCCTGTCGTACGATGAGCATCGATCCAGTTCACTTCAATAACTGAATAGGATTTATTAGTGACGAGGGTGACGACGGGTTTCATTTCGTGTAGATCATGCTGGACAAAGAGGAGACAAGAAAATGAATGAATAGAAAGAAATCTACTTTAAATTGGATCGAATGATGTGTGTCGAGATGATTAGAAGAACCATTTTTCATCATCTCATCATCCTAGTTTTTTAGTGGAGTGAAGTTTCACTTATGCAGTAATTATGATCAGGCCAGTTTAAAGTGGTTGTAAAACAGGGTAAAATTGACGGTGATGCGATTAAGTAACCACCAACCACTTCTCAATTATGGGAAGATTGCCACATAAAGATTTTAAAAGCTGGTTAATTAAAGATGCATGGATATAATTTATGCAGATGCGTATTAAGAATTTGAAGTATATGTAATGTATGTAGAAATAAGTCGAAAAATGAAATCATGCTAAGATTTAAAGAAGTAAACTATCTATGAATTAAATTGTGAAATCGAAATTGAGACTTTTATTTAGATACTTTACAAACAACTTTTGCTTGGATTTATAAGTAAAATTTCTGTCATTTTGTTTTGTAGATTTCGTTCAATTAATTAAATTGAATTGACATTCAAATTAACTTTTGTAGACATACTGACCAATTAGAGCTCTGTCACTTACTATTAATTTTGACCCATTAAAAATTAAGTGAAAATCATGAATGAAGTATTTGCATGTGTATATTTAGTATGTACTTATGTAAGTAAACTTAATTTGACTAAAAAAAACGATCTACTATAAAACATAACATTTTATTTTCCATTTTACACAATCTTCGTGCTTATCTCATTTTATGCAATTATCGGATAAAGCATTATAATTCTGCTTGACTTTTTGCATCCCAATTTATAACTTTAGAACTACTATGAACACGTGTTACAACATGTTTTGCATACCAAACTAAATATATAAATCTTTATAAATTATTTACACATACTTAAGTACAATTAAAATATTAATTCTTGTAAATTAATACACATTTACAGAAATTGCACTTGAAAAGTTTGACGTCGTAAATGAAAATCATGGAGCATCTTGAAGCATAAAGCATGCGTCTCATCTTTTTTTTGCAGGTTCTGAACTCTGAACGTCAGAAGAATTCATCATCTTATTTCAATTTACTCTTCTGTCTGTGTGTTCCAAATTGGAACTTCCAATTTAATTGTTGTTATAATTATTGTTATTGTAGACAAGTTAAATTAAAATTGTTTCGCCTGGTGCTACTTTCTTAGCAATTCGGAAAGTATGGATTCGAAAAGAAAGATTGATGTTGGGATATCTTCGGTAAGGAAAAACAGCATTCATTTAACTAGCACACACTTAATAATTCTTAATTTGTGTTTACAATTTATTATTAATTATGCTTTCCAGTCTCTGGTAGACCTGAAGGCTGAATTACTCAAGAAACATGGCGAACTACAATCTTCAAGGAATAAACAAGGTCCCGTCCCCTCGGGTGGGATTAGAGGTGTCCCCAAATCCGTTCGAAAGTCTGTCCTTCTCGAAGCAAAAAATCCTTATGCCTCCAAAAATAAAGGGATCGAACAGCGCTCAAGGAGAGACCTGGAGGAAGTCAAAAATGAAGAAAGAACAATTGAGAAAGCGAAGTGAGTCGATAATAATAATTAATTTTTTATTGGTATTTTATGAGGACTTTTTTTATATTATAATTATAAATATATATCGTAATTAATAATTTATTAACCAGGTCCATCCTAGAGCAGAAAGCAAAGCTTTACGAAAGGATGACATCCGAAGCTCTCGATCACGATGAACAAGAACATCCCGTCTTATCTCGAGCCCTAGTCAATTTTACGCAAAAAGCAATCGACAATATTAAAGAAGCGAATGATAAAGGTCCCCAACAACCACAACGGATTGAGGACGTCGTGGACGACGACGACGACGACGAGGCTGATATCGACAAAGGCTTTGTGGAAGACGAGGAGGAGTGGACAGAATTTAAAGATGGTTTTGGACGAACTCGTCGTTGTCTAAAATCTGACCTGCCTTCGTTTATGTCACGTGACGACACACTTTCCAGACCAATAACAAATCCTGAAATGACATCATCAGTCCCACCCCTTGGAGTAGATCCAATGATTGAAATTAAGCGACAAAAGTGGGAGAAAGATCAGGAAGAGGTGACCAGAAAGGATTCAGTTCATTATCAAGACGTACTTTATGACGGTAATAATCACAGGTTTAATTGTTTGTCATCTATGAGTTAATGTCTTGAATAATTAATTTCAATTAATATTCTTACTTGCAGAGGTTCGCACTCACGGAGTTGGATTCTACGGATTTTCTAAAGATGAAGCTACACGTGCCGAACAGTTAAAAGATCTCAAGAAAATGAGCGAAGAAACTTTAGCCACAAGAGAAAAAGTTTTAAAATCCAGATCGGCCAAAGACTCTGCTTTAGAAGAAAGGCTAAAGAAAGTCCGAGCCAAAAAACGTGCCCAGCTAGGTCTTCCTCCAGAAGAAGAAGAAAAGAAAGAAGTACAGGCCGAATCGTCAAATATCGCCGGTGACAAAGATCAAGAAGATGGACCATCATCCTCCAAAAAAGCAAATGTAGAAACGGAAGAAGTACCTAAAGAAAAAATAATGCGTCCATGGGATTTCGGAAAACCTGGAGTATTCGGACCACAACCAGAGACGTTTGATGAGCTAGACGCTAAATGGTTGAAAGATCGACGAGCTGACCGGCTTAGTGAATTCGCCCCACCGAAATCATACAATTAAAATCGTTGAGTTTTGTTTAAATATTTTAAAATTTAGAGTACAAATACTTTATTTTTATATTTCCAACTTTAGTTTGTATGCTCTTCCAGAGCCTCGCGTGTTAAAAGAAAACAAATAAATTAACAATTTGATCACGATCGATCACTCGTGAATAATTTGTTAAACAAGAAAGTGCACTTTTTATTATCATTTTGGCATTTTTGCTGCATAAAATCATCTGCCAGTTAATTATTAAGTAAACGAATATATTAGCGTTATAAAAATATAATCGTATATTTTTACACAAAAAAGTGGAGAAAATCTGCCTCAAAGGAAGGAAGTCGACAAGATTTGCATGATCTTGAAAAAAAAATTCAATAAACCGGAAGTTCCTCGATCAAAATGTACACACGTATAATGTATATTTCAAATCAACAGCTCTTCACAATAGGTGTAATTTGTGAGCATTATTATTACTGATAATTAAACCAGCTTACAACTCAAGCAAACCCCAGCAATCAAATACCTTGGTTCGTCCATAGACACACTTTGACTCAAATTTTGCCATTTTATTGCAAATATTTTGCACATACGATCTCTTTGAATTCACCCATCATCAAAATTGAAACTGGTTCCTCTCAATTGTATATTGTACGTACAAGCAATTATAGATTTTATACGCAAACTACTACAATACAGTTCGTTTATACAAAATCATGGCCTGGCATTTTGCATGCAGATGCACTTCAATTTTGATACAGCGACGACAAATTGATAAATTGAATAAATTGCAAGTGCCAACAACTCGTGGTTCGTTGTGTCATGCTTTCCCACAAGACATGAGGTTTCATGAGGTTTTCCTTGTTTTGACTTTTCTTAATAAAAGAGATCAGTAAATCACAACCCCCAAGCAAACGCGCTTACAAGGCGTCTACTACCCCCACTTACACGATTTGTAGTATTTTAAACGCTGTCATTCACTCACAGACATGGAAAACCACTATGACTAAATAATCAGTCAAAATCATAGAACAAGAGATCCATCCAAACTGGATTTGCTTCTTCCGATTTTTTTGCTCTTTTATTTTATTGCACTTCAACCTGTTATGTGCGAATGAATGATGACGATGCCAAGATCAAATTAAGCAAGGTAAACTAAAACTACATAATAATATATAAAATTGATGATAATTTGCATCGACTGTAGGTTGGAATTCAAAAATAGCAAAAAATGTAAGTAAAATTACTAAACAAACCAAACCACTCTCTCTCTCGCGTCTATAAGTCGCCAATCCATCCAATATTATTACCTGTTATACATACGTACGTACCCCTTTATCATGCATCCCCTTTAATGGTATTATCAGAAAATAATTTTACTAGATTATGATAAACTAATTCTCTAATCATGCAGCGGCGAATTGTGTGGAGGGTGGATTACGTCGATCTACTATGTAATAGCATTTAGTAAAGTGGATTCTAAAAAATGGTGACCACAAGATTTTGAAGGGACCTTTTATCACTTCAGTTACAGTTTGCAGGCTGGCTCGTGTCGTCGCAAGTGGTGGTCAGTTATTTATTTTGCTGATCAGATTTCAAATTATTTTGACCAAGAGCTTTAGTAACGAATAAATAAAAATGGGGTTGAAGAGGTCACAAGTACATTTGGCAGGATTATTGCTTGTTGTGGGACTTGCTCAGGCTCAATTAGATCGCCCTGGACCGCCTTATCCAGATGCACATCACAATAATGCGATACACCAAGAGTCGTCTGCAAACCAATGGAGGAATCAGGGAGGAGGACGCTATCCGCCAAGAAATCAAGAAAGGCTGCCCTCGCTGAGCCCAAATATTCTGAAAACTTTGTACCGAGCGTTGGGACCCGGTGTTCCAGTTGAATCTCCGACCGAAAGTGCATTTAGAAACCAGAACAATTTTCACAGTTATTATTTACAAAGTCCCCACCAACCAGAGCATAACGTTGAGAAGCAACCTTATCAAGAACCTCCACCCCAACGCTACAATGCTGTTGAACAATCTGGGGTTCAAACGGCTCATGTGTACATACCTTACAGTAATAAAGACTATACGCAAAGACCCATGCCAAATGTCCTTGTTAAGTATCATGCTCAAGGGAAAACGCATGAAAACTATGTTCAACAATATTCACAACCTGACCCTGTAGTTCAAGTACCACAGTACCCACAATCAGACCCTAATACTGCGATGGTCCAAGCAGTGCAGGTTCACCAGTATTCACACACGCAACCAGAAATACAACAGCAACAATATTCGCAACATCAACCGATTGTGCAACAATACCCATCAGTCGTTCAGCAACAGCAAAAGGCACCTCTAGTAAAACAAGAATCTCAAACGGCAAGTCCATCCCATTTTGCGATAAATTTTCAATTGCCCCCAAAGAAACATAGGTCTAAGAAACGACCACATCACCATCATGTCAAAAGCTACACGTACAAGATAAAGTCCAAGGGGAAACATATTCAGGTAAGTAATGGAAAAAATGTGTTTAGAAAAAAAAAATAAAATAAAGATTTTTGTACATTTCTTTCAGGCATTTCCAATCTTTACAACGTTAGGTAAAGGGCTGGACGGCTTGAACGCTGTACGACGCGGAGTAAAGAAAGGAACAGGGCAAGTTGTCGCCACAGGGGTTAAACTTGGAGGAAAATTGGCATATGTGGGGGCTGGAGTGGTAGCAAAAGTTATTAAGGTTGCTTCATCAATTTAAATGATTTACAATGATATGAAAAATATGTTAAAGTTACCCGTGTTGTCTTCATTGTTATTTCTTTGATAAGATTATTTTTATATATTAAAATGAAAAATTTTTACACGCATTTCCAGATTTATACAAGTTACATGTTACGTTATTCTTACATCCTTGCTCCGATATCAAGAAAGAGTTTTTATAGTCGAAATTAGAACCGATGAGTCTGAGGTGGAAAAGTGGAATGGAAATCTCGTGGCGATGCCGTTACTACCTACTTGCGATAAATAATAACGGTAGTAAGGCGAGAAATACGATGTTCTTTTGTATCTTCGGCCAGCATAGTTGGGAGGATATGGCATTGATTATTAATTAAAACCGATGGAATAAATACATATTGTTCTTCAGTGGGATGAGATGACTTGAATCATGATAATGATTAAACTGTCTCGAGGAAATGTAGGAATGTCGTTGAAATAATTTAAATTGCTAGACCAAACACAGAGACGATACAGTACAAAGTCTTGTTCTCCCATCTGACAGTGCAACATCCGTCCGTCGCATTGTCCCAGTAGCACGAACTCGCTGTGTGTAAACCAGCTCCGGACTTCTGCATGATGGTACAGTTTACTAAACAGGAAAAAAATATACAGTTTATAAACTGCGATATCTTCATATTTATACGTAAAGTCAGTGTCTTCTTATCTTACCAATATACTTAAACGGTTTCTGGAGCGCTGTCAAACCAAGGAGACATCCTTCAACGACTGACGATGTCCAAGTACTCACTTTGCTGTTGCAGTAAACTTGTCCCCCGATCACGTTCTCGATCGTTTCCTTCACGATTCCACTTACTTCGTCGGCCACAAATTGGGTCTGAAATTAATTAGATTAAGTTTAAAGTAATTGGTCGTTCCTCATGGTCGCGTCGTAGTTCTCGAAACCTTACCTCTTCATTGAAATCTTCCATTTCAAATATGAAACGTCTCTAAACTACTCGGTAATTTTAATCTGAAAAAATAAAACAATTTTAAAAAGTTACCTTAAGGCAATTATAAAACGACAGGTGACGTGACAATGACAATTTTGTGAGACTTGGAGTTGCGAAACAAGGTCAAAGTCAAAAGTCTTACCAAAAAAGCCACATAAATTTTGAATTTTGAATGCGATTTTTGATGAGCAGTGTGCTCTAATTAAAATTTTAACTAAAATTTAATTTTGACGCAAAATTTTTGGGAAGAACTGGAATTTTATTATTTTTGTTTTTGTTGTCTCGTTCTTTACAAAACTGTCAAACTGCTGATTGGGGCGGAATGTGACTCACGTTTTTACCACAATTCTCAAAGTCAAAGTCAAGGCGAGTTGCGTTGCACGTACCAATTTGCAAGTAATTAATTTTCTCCACTCCTTCAATCCGGTAAGTGCTTATCGTTTCTATCTTGAATAAAGAGGGTCATCTTCGTCTATATATTATGCATTGGCGGTGTGGTGGAATGTTGTCGAATTACATGTTTACATTTGATTTTGTTGTCGTGGTTCTAGCCTGAGCACAACAAAGCAAATCGATCAATTTCGATCCGAAAAGGTACCAAATCACCGAAAACCCGAACCTTGTTTGAAATCCGGGATGTCTAAATTACTTCAAATTGGGACAACCTTAAAACGAATTGCTGTGGGTGGTCAGGCGAGATTTTCTGTATCCAGTGTCGTCAATTCTTCTAATACTGCAGCAAGTGTAACTGGAGAGCCGTGGATTCCACCATATGAACAGGTATTAATAATTATTGATGATTTGATTATAGATAATTGTAGCAAGTTAAGAAGATCTAGATATAAATTTGATGTACATATTATTATTTAGCGCATTGGCGAACCTACTGAAACTATCAGGGCTCGTCTCTTATACCAGAGCCGGAAACGGGGCATGTTAGAGAACGGAATCCTGCTTTCGACATTTGCTGCAAAGTATTTGGATCGTATGACCGAATTGGAACTGAAGGAGTACGATCGTCTCATTAATTTGCCATCGAACGATTGGGATATCTATTACTGGGCGACTGGCGTTAAACCAATTCCTTCCGAGTTTGACACACCCATTCTGCACAAGTTTGCTGGACACGTTAGAAATACGGAGAAAGAACAGCGGTTCAAACAGCCAGATTTGTGAGTGCAGAATGAATAATATATATTAATTATTTTTTAATGTATTGTAAAACGAATAATGGTTTTTCTGTACACTGTAGGAACTGAGTCGTACTACCACCGCAACATAATTATCACCTTATTACCTGACTCTCTCGCAATTAGTCTCTCTTATCAACGAAATTATAGAACATAATAGATAATCAAATTATATATTGAACGAACCCTTCCGTTAGTTTTTTCAATCTGTTTTTGAGATCTAAGTAGACTTTTAAACAGTTTCGCCTAAAATATTTTATCTTCTTCGTCTTTAAATACACCTATTTCAATTATGACGAGTCAGCATCAAAACCTATCAAAAGTTAAGATGGCAAAGTCCGCGACAGACCAGCCTCAGTATTTTACAAAAGTCGCTAGTAGTATTGGTCAAAGTTATACAGCTTTAAATAGAAACAGACCATCAACTATTGGTGGTAGCAGTGGTCGATTAAATTTCAGTAACAATCGAAGCAATCTTCTGGAATATTCACATGTTCCTCTTCCTGACGAACCTGCGGGCTTATACGACACACTCATCACAGATTCAGATATGGCTTTAATGAAGAAAAAATTTGTCAAAGTATCCTCCTCGGGAGAAGTCGAGGTAAGTTATTATGCTGTGCTTAGTTTAATAAGCAAGATTAACAATAAAATATCTAATCTACCCACGTAGATGGACCCAGACATTGTCGAATTTTGTGTCAAGATTACCACCAGCAAAAAAGATGCAGCGCATGCCAAAGAAAGTGTAAAGAAACGAAAAGACTTTGTTTTGACAGTTTTAAAAAAGTATGGAATACCGGATGATGGTGTTCTCGTCTCTACGATTGTCAAACGAATGCCTCGCGGAATAGATGACCTAGACGATCTTTACTTGCAAGAAGCTCAGGAGGAGGCTCATGTGTTGAGGAGAGATCGACTCGCAAAACAAGAAAACGAAGGAGTAGTTGAAGATAACGCAGAGAACAATAATAACCCCACAGCCAAAGATGACATAGCAAAAAAGTTTTTGGTTTATTTCGAAGAAATCTGCGTACGATGCAACAGCCTTGTCCAGTATTTGAAAGTCTTTTCAATCTGCAATGAGAAATTAGATCGACATGTCGAAGTATCTCGTCCGGTAGTAAAATTCTCATCCAATCGTCGCCAGTTATACACGTACGTAATAGTTTAACAGAAAATAACTCGCAATGTATTCATAACGAAGCCTTTAATAAATTACAATGTTTTTAAATTGTAGGCAAAAAGCAGTCCGTCAAGCTATGGCTCATGGAATTCAAAAAGCAAATGAAATGATATCAAGTTCTAAACCACGCGCATCTTTGGGTCGTCTCTACTACTCGGTTGAAGACTCGTTGGAAATTGAACCTGTTCAAGATTACGACTCGATTGATTCTTTCGAGACGTTTACATGGAAGCGTTTGAACAAGTTGGTAAGATGCAACTTGACTTCTGTTTTCGAGTTGGAGCACCACAAAGTTCGCAAACTCATTTGAAAGAAGTAAGAAGACTACCACTGATTTACTGAATCCCCTGAACCATGAATGACGCTAGTCTTACTTGACCTAGACATATAGACAAAGGTTATGTCATATCTAATTATTTTGTAACAACCAAAATTGTTTTGTGATTTTCATTGAATGCATGTAAACCAATTTTGCAACTTTCAGACAATACTAGATAGTGTCAACTGTAGGACAAACCTTGGAAAGTTGCATTATTGAATAAACGCTCTAGCACTTCTAAACTCTATAAATTCATTACTCACAATCAGATTAATTTATTTCTCGGATTAATAACATTTGTACAGAAATGGTGACTCATGCATAACACCTCGGCTAATTGCAAACTTTCACTCACATGCAATTGTCTCGAGAAATACGTCGAAAATAGGAAAACATGTTTTTATATAAAAATTTGACAACTTTCTCATATATGCATGCAGTATTTAAATTTTAGAAAAGAATGATAAACCATTTCACAAAAGAGTTTCATTGCATTAACAAATATTCATATATAGATCATGCAACTAAAAAAAGCTGTATCTGGATTTACTGGTCTACATAAAAGGCACATGCGCTGTATGCAAATATTATCCCGGGTTGCATCATCAACGTTCTTTGTCTCTTTCTCTTGCACATGTATATACATATATGGATAGAATTGAACTATATAAAATCACGTCAACTCACGGAAACGTTTCATTAGTTATTGAGACATCAAACGTGAAGGGTGTGTGAATATTATCCAGTTATAAAAGTTCTTTGGTCACATCAATTATTAGTAAGTTCATTCAGAAAACCTCTAAATCTAAACTATATAAAGCAGGCGAGTGTATCGCTGCTGGCTGGGTCGGTGGCTTAGTTGAGAAGTTAACCTCTCCTTTTCTCTCTCCACTCTGCAGAGAGAACAGGAGAGGCTAACTTCACTAATGTTGGGGTAACGGGCTTATCGACGGGCCTATTTTGCACGTCAATTGACGGGCTTCTACACTAACATAAATTCTAATTTATATTCATTTGCAGGGACGATGGAACTTGACAAGCATGCGCACCAATCAAAATATCAGCTTTATTCCGGAAATGTCATAAAAAGTTTGACAGTTAACAATTTGGGAAAATTATACCCACATCAAATAAAGGCGCTATTGGCAGTGAAGGCATATTTCGACAGCAGTCCGAACATTCCAGAACATCCAGCATTGGTCGTTGCCCCAACAGGCGCCGGAAAATCAGGGATAATTTCTTTGTTGCCGTATGTGTTGGGATCAGCGAAAGCTTTTGTCTTGTCACCTTCCTTGTGCATCACCGATCAATTGGAGAAAACGTTCGGGCTAAAAAATGAAAACGTAAAGGATAGCTTTGTCTTTGAAATTGGACTGGTGAAAGAGGAGGATTTGAATGGATTTTTAGAACGTGGTCTGGTGATTAGAAATGCAACTGCACCGGTGAACATGAAATGGTCAAACTTGGTTATAGTTAACGCACAAAAATTTAGCACAAGAAGTAGCTGTAGACTTGCAATGCCCACGGCTCTCCAAGAAGATTGTGACGAGGAAATACGTGACATGAAAGCTGTTATTAAAAAAATCCAAGAGAATTTCATGTCGTTCACCACCCTTATTGTTGACGAAGCTCACCATTATCCAGCCTCAACCTGGGATTTAATTGTTAAGGAATTTAAAGGCAAACAAATTGTGTTCCTTACTGCTACTCCGTATCGAGGATCGGGCAAGGATCCATTATGGAAAGGTCAAGAAATTACGCACAAAATCAACCAGCAAACACTGATCGATAATAATACTCTCCGTCCCATTGAATTTCGAGAAGTAAAGAACAGTGAAATACCATGGAGCACTAATTTTGGCGAATCTGACTGGCAGCTTAAAAAGTTGGAACGTATTATTCTTGAAATTATCAACGACCATGATCGACAAGTGCCTGGTGTGCAGCATAAAGCTATGGTTCTGGTGAACACCATTGCAGAAGCCGAAGATGGGTCAGCAGCCATGGACAGATCTACATATTACACTTCACAAGATGGGACACAAAATCTTCGAGCGTTTGAAAATGGCTTGTACCGAATTTTGTTTGTATGTGGCAGACTTTTAGAAGGATATGATAATAGCGAAATTAGCGTTTGTGTAATCTTACGGAATGTAGGAAGTCCAGGTATTTTCACCCAATTTGTGGGAAGATGCATTCGAACTAATCCTAAAGATGGATCAGACACTGTAACTGCCGTCGTACTTTCACCCGAAGTTTACAAGCAGCAGAAGAACTTTAATGAGTATAAGAACTATAATGGACTTATCTAGAAAAATTTGTCTCTAGTAATACGCTTATAGCAATATGACTGATAAAAGGAGTTTTATATTTGTAATGCATAATCTTTATAAGTTCATAAGTTTTTAATTTTTGACTATCATTCCTTTGAGTTTTTATTATTTTAAAAGAGCTGGACCTAAATGTGTACTACTCTTAAATTCTCATTATTTGACTTCAACCCCATTGTATCTTCGATTATGTCACATTTTTCATCTCAGATATAAATATGCGTTTATATGTATAATGTACAACTTCAGTTATTAGTGTTAATTCAATACATACTTTTGTAATGCATAATATAAAGTTTTTGCTGTTTAATATTTATTGATTTTGTAATAAAAGTTTTTTAATTGCTCTGCATAGACTGTTTTTATTATTATGTAGTAACTTGATTACAAACGAGAATAATCAAGATGACACCCACCCAAGAAAATACGACCTCAGTCCAATTATTTTGCAACAACCAAAATTGTATTTTTCAATGTATGTGTGCATAATGTAAACCAATTTTGCAACTTTCAGACAATATTATCAACTTTAGAACAAACCTTTGAAATTGAATAAACGCCCAATATCTTGAGCACTTCCAAAGTCTATAAATTCATTGTTCACAATCATATTTATTTATTTCTCGTAACATGTTTTACAGACATGGTAAAAGTATACTTTCCAAATCTTCCTTTTTACTCTCTTCATCTACTGCATTTAGATAATCAATTGATACAATTAGCACCTACATACAATTATTTTATTAACAAAATAAATAACAACCAATTAGGTACAAAAATTGACAATGCATATTTTTAATTAATTACTACATCATAACTACTATATCACAATAAGCGCGTTTTGTCCTAAAATATTCATGTGTCGATTAGTTATACATACATAACATTATACAAGTACTATTTACATCATTTTATTCATCATAACTCAGTCATTGTATATTTTCCAATTAATTTTAATTCTCGACTTTAATCCCAGGAGCGTCTGCATTATGTTATTTTTGGAAAGTTAATTATGCATTGGTTTGCATTGCATGCATTAAATTTTATATTTGAGCATGAATTACATTAAAGGTAAGTACAGCAAACCATTGAAGAACATTTAAAGATTATTACGGGATAAAACCTCACCAGAAAAAGAGTAAACTAAAATTATGAGTAAATGTCAATTGCAGTTAATTACACAAATATTATGCATTTAGTTAAGTTAGTTAGTACTTATAGTTAATATTTGGTAGGAGAACGAATACTTGTGATACATACGTATTTATGCACGCGATAGATAAAAGAAATACCTAAAATTTTGACTCGTTTCATATTTATGTAGCTCTTTTAATGTATTTATGTATGAAACTATTTTCATCCTTGGGCCGTAGCATTTTTGGAAAATTCGCCCAAAACTTTGAGGAACTGGAAACTTTGTGACAGATATTTGTTGAAGTGGTACTTTGATTCTGATCCAGCACAGTCCACGTATAAACTCCAGTTGCATTTCAGTACCTACAAATTGTGTTAATTAGTTGACATGATTCTTGGAAATTTTGCGTGATTTTAAAAACATGTACTCACTTCTTGATCAAAGACCGTTTCTTTAGGACATCTAAAAGACTTGAGAAGATAACCAGCGTCCGTCTTAGCACATAAGTGGAACACCTGCAAATAAAAATTCCAAGATTTCCTTTTATAAATTGTTACACTGGTCATAAATTATCTTAATCTCATGTTTGTTTACGTGATGCTGAATGACACCAAAATTATGAAACTGTGACTAAACAGAGAGTGACATTTCTTCAGTATGCACAAAAAGATAGATAAGATTGTCAATTTGGGCACGTCTTCCGCCCCATAAACCCACACCACCCTTGACCGTGACTTTCATTTTAAATAATCTCTCCGATGCCCACGCGTAGTCTGTTAGTCAATTTTAGGCATTTTTCATCGACCCCATCATTTCATACTCTAATTTTAATAAGCAAAAAGATTAGATGTTATCAAGTCGGCGAGTGTATGTATACAAACAATGATCCGAATTTATTCACGCATTTCACTCCCGTGCATGCAACAAGATGGGATGTGCCAAAAGTGTGCAATTCTTAAGTGAGACAACACTAACACTTGTAATTAAAGAAACGAGACCAAATATGGATAAGTGATTTTTTTTAAATAACAGAGCCGCAGTTTTTACACTTTTGTAATAATCACACGCAAATCTCATATCGGCGAAAGATCATCTCATCATATAGACCTCGGCGATGCAATACTCTTCTTATTTAGTTAGTTAAATACGTTACATGTAATTGCACGTAATTACAGCTAGCCGACTGACTGACTGACTGATAAAAAACGTCCTTTTTTGAGACTGACATTTGATGAAATTTGAATGACGGGTTGGAAAATGATATTGTTTTGAATGACATGTTCACAACTGGTGGTGGTAAGTTTTAGGTCTGTGCATATGCAACCGAAGGCATAACAAAGTTAACGCAGTAAACAACAACGGCCTCATTACGTTTAATTCCTAATTGACATGCAAAACATTCTAGTCGACAAAATTGTTAATATTTTTTGTTATCTTCATAATGAAAACATTTTACCGGGAGGGATACACTTCTTATTGCTGAGAATTATTTCAAATTGATGACATTTTTTCTATGTATAAGATATCTTAATTGCAGAACTGATGATGATTATAGGACAAACAGAAAATTAAAAGTAAATGCATTTTCATTAAATTCCACTAATTACGCTGCATAATTAAATCGTCAACAAAATCAAGGACAATGACACTACCGGTGGTGACAGTTGTACTTGAAATGTCCGAAACAATTAAAGATAATGCTAAATATTCATTTGAAATACGTTTCATTTCATTGGTTTAACGGGAAATATCTGTATTTCTTCGAGGCCCTTATTCGTTACCAATATTCGGATAAAAAATTGGCCCTGCTGTCTCCAAGAACCTGCTTCTCGTCATCAATTAACAATGCAAACCTTATTTGCTATCCTAAAGAATGAAAAAAAAACTTGTTCAACTCTCGACAATAATGAACAGAATTAGAAGATGGGCATTTCCTTGAACATCAAAGTTTACTTAAAGGTCGACAGGTCCATGTCAAAGATCTGCAGCTTTAACTTTGACTCAATTAGTCAACCATCAGATTTAGATCAAGTTTCAAACAAGATGTGGACGTGGACAGAATTTTTGTTTTGACCGATTCGTCAGAAATACAAAGGTGGTAAAAACTGATTACTAGAAGTCGGTCGAGTTTTCTTTACGGTGCAAAAACCAACGCGGTAACTTATTTTAGGTATTGATATGTAACTGAACCGATTGTTATTTAATCCTGTTGGCTATTTTGTAAGTGACCAGACTACTTAATTCAGGCCTGATATGTATGTACATAATATAGGTAAAGCATGGAATGCAAAAAAAGTCAATACTTATACAGCTATGCTAACTATTGCACTATTTAGTTCGATGACAGGTGAAAAATAAGTATCAAAAAAAGTTAAGGTCATGCGACTTGTAAATATCACAGACTTCCGTGTCCATATCTTGGTATGTGTACGGCAATGATGACTTCAATGACCGACTCAACAGACAAGTTATCTCGTCATCATAAATAAACTATGTCGCACTTTGCTCATCATCTTGCCGATTTTTTTGGCTAGATTGCATCTTGGAATGCAACACTGACGCTTCTCAAACCAAAATATAAGAAAAAAATATGTTAAAATAATAACTTCTCAAATTCCTCTAATTTCTGGTAAAGAAAAAAACAGAAAAAAATATTTGCAGCTCGTGCGAAAACAAGGACTGTGAAAGATCAAAAAACCGCTTTATTTACTTGAAGAGGATGGTGATGATCACGGATTCAGCAAACCAGAACTAGATCAACTATGTAAAAGTACAAGTTTTATTCAACCCAGTTTATCCTGATAATTGTGACTTATCCAAGAAATCAAGAAATTCTTTTTTTCACAATCTAGAGCAGGATCTTAATTTCTCGTCACCATATTTTTTGTCCTGTTTAAATAATAACCACGTACATGTCTACAAACACGTCTCACTTTTAAATCCATGCCCCTTACTTTCCCCACTTTTAAATTCTTAAAAAAAGTAACAAATCGATAATGAAATGGCATTTTAATAGAAACATTAAATCAATCGTACCGGCAAATTGTCACAAATTCATGATTTCCACCATTTTTCTGAATGATTGTTTTTTTGTGGATGAATGAATCGAATTCATTTTTTTCTATTAGCAAAACGACTCCTGCCGATGCGAGCATGTTAGATAGCACAACAATGTAATTGCTACTCATTCCATTACTTGTCATGAAGTGAATCGTGAATATGCCGACCAAACAGAATTTAATATTTTTTTTATTGAAAGCACAGTGGGTGGGAGAGTTTTGGTCGGTCGAACAATTGACAATGCGCAATTTATCATTTCATTCGTGTTCCTACGTTTTATCACGTCATTTACATATATCCCCTGAATTTGCATATAGAGTAACACTCGTCGGCTTTGAAAGTTCACGGCTTTCTTTAAATTAAATGCATCCACCGTTTGACAAATGCTGCCGGCGTGGAGACAATTGTCGTGTCGTGACCTCGAACACGAGTTCGACGGGTTGTTTATCATATATGATATATCATATTCTTACTTATCATATTATGCATGTGCTTATCATATGCACTTTTGCTGATGAATGAAGATAAATCTAATTTTGCATAAAATTTACCTTGCACCCGAGATCTTTACTATCAGCGTAAAGACCAGGAAAGAAATTTTGCGATTCGCAAGAAAAGTCAGTGCTAAGGGCGGACCCTGGACCGGACCCCATCGTATCGAATCCTTGTGTCGCATTGGCAGGGAAAAATGATTTTGGAGCATTTCTCACATCGGTTAAACGACGTTTTCTGGGTTCCTGTGAAATGCAAGGAAGAAATCAAATCAATTAGAACTGCAATTTTTCAATTATTTAATTTTGCAATGTGTAAGAGTGCAAATGTCAAAATGATAAAATCGAGTCCACTTCCATCACCATCATCACGCCAGATACCTGAGATTCATCTCAATCTTTAAAACCAGTTTAATATATAGAGCAGTTAAAAATTGCGAGAAAAAACTACTTCAAGTTACGCCCGGATTACAAATGAGGTCCTTCCCTCGAGTTAAAAAATCTAATTCTGACTTGTGTAACAATTTACTTAACCTTTAGCAATCGACGTAAAGTTAAACTACTTTGTTGCCCATGTGCATGTGCGTCGGTAAAAAAAAGCAAGTAATTTGTACATAGATAAGTTTGTTGAAAATTAAATGCTATAATTTTATCCCTCCTCGTTCCACTAGAGTAAACGAGATTTTATTATTTTGGCCACGAATGAAAACGAGATATAATTGGTGTGGGTTTTACTTGACAGGGTTTAATAAATATTTTGCTGTAAATACACTCAACTGATTTTTTATCGATAAAAAATATATAATTTTTTTTACCTCTAATGGAGGAGCCGGCGACAAAATGGCTGACAAGTCGACAGGAATAGGTTTAAAATCTGAGGAAGATTCCTCCTGCTGCTTTTTCTGATTAAGGACAACATTTGGCTGTTGAATGCTCTGCGCCTTTCTGAGCGCGTAAGCTTTTAAGGCGAGGAGGGTAGGATCGTTATGCAATCCGGCACCCCCATCACCACCCGTCGTCCCACTGTTTTGTACTGTATTGAGGGATGCTGAAGGATCCCTGAGCATTTTATTGCTGAACGCCCCATTATTCGAGCCCCCCTGTGACAGAGTGACCGAAGGTCCTGACGGGGCCAGAAGTGATTTTATCGTGGGACCCACACTCAACCGCTCCATGCTTCCTCCTCCGGATCCCAAGCCTAATTGGGAGCTCAGCTTTTGTTCAATGTTGTTGAGTGCGATGAGTTTTTTAAGAGTGGCGATTTGACTCTGGGTATAATTTTTGGTTTGGGCGAGGCTATTGATAAGTCCGAAAGGGTTGGGGGACGAGGGTCCCGACTCGTTCTCAGTCTTCTTCCTGTTCGCTTTGGCCAGGATGGCTTTGGCCAATTGGGCTTGAAGTGATTTAATGTCTGTATTGGAATTCGTGAGTAATTCCATGCTCCCCCCACTATTGCCGACCATCGTGTCCAGACGGACCATTATAGGGATTTGTGTCGTCGTCGTCGTCGTGGTTGGCGGAGGTCTACTAATTTCGCCTGAAGTGAGTGAATTGAATAGATTTGTGATGGCGTCTGTACTGAGGGAGGTAATTGTGGGGGATTTTGGTGGTGGTGGTGGGGGGACAAATCTGTTGGGGACGGCGAAATCTCCATATCCTCCGAAACTGCTGAGCAGGTTGGATAACCCGGACGGGCTCATTCTTTGGTCTTCCTGAGGTTTATTGACATTAGCCGCGTTGGAAACTGCGGTGCCCATCATGTTCAAGAATGATCCTGCGAGTGGGGCCATGGTTGTGAGGATGGGGAAAAGCATGGGTCGAGGCGTGGTTGTAGTTGTGGTTGTTGTTCTAGCTAATTGCTGCTGGATTTGTTGTTCCTGCGCCTTTTTGGCTTTTATCCTATCCAAAATTTCTGAACCGAATTGTTCCTCTGCGACGGATTGGATCACGTCGTACTTGACATTGTTCAGTGTGGCGATGGCTTGGAGAACTTTGTCCTTCTCGGTCATGGGACGATCTTCTCGTCTCGGTGGTTGTTGTTGTTGTTGTGGTGGTGGTGGGGGGCCATAGGGTGAACCCCTTTGTCGAGGTTGTTGTTGTTGTGGAAGTTGTGGTGGTGGGGGTGGAGGCATTCTTCCCTGATAAGACTGCGACGAGACTGATGGTGGCAGCAATTTTGGTGGAGTGAGATTATCATCAAGGTCAACGTAAGTGACCTCTACGCCCTTCGTGGGACTTGGTGGGGGAGGTTGAAATCGGGTATTGTAAGGATTGACGTTGTTATTATTGTTTGAGGTTGGTCTTTGTCTGTCTTTCGGTTGATTAGATTGCTGTTGTTGTTTTGTATTGGAATTTGAGGGTGGACTACTTTGACCGTTTGGAGAAGATGATCTGAAGGGATTTAATCTGGAGAGAAAGCTTTGTCCGTTATTGGATTTTGGTGTGGGTGGTGGTGGAGGTTGGAATTTTTGCGTAGGAATTTTAGTGGGTGTGGGTTTTTGTGGTAAATATCCGGGTGGCATCTTTTTAAAGTTGTTGTTATTCTGCATCATGTATGGATTATTGGGAAGTGGAATATTATTGCTTTTGCTGGTAGTTTGGAAGTGCTGTTCAACTGCTTTTTTGGCAGTCTCAATTTGATACTTTTTCATGGGTGGATTTTTCTGAAATTGAGATTTTGGAGGAGTTTGGGGCTGAATTAATTGGAAGGGGAGTTGTTGATTTTGTGGTGGTTTTTGTGGCATCGGGAACATTTGAGGAAAAGGGGGCTCTTCATATGGGAACTTTTGCGGGTGTGGTTTTGGAGGTGTGAAATAATTGTTCTGTTGCTGAGCTCTAATCTGACTTTGGATTTGTTGGCTGGTGGGACGCACAAGTTTTATGGTTGGTGATTCCTGTTGATTATTTTCATTATTAAACATGCCAGGCATTTGCTGGTTACGATTTGGCATTACGTCTTGCTGATGATCTTGCTGAAATTGGTGGTTTTGCGGATTTTGTAGAAACTTTGGAAAATTTTCTTGTTGCTGGTTTTGTGGAAACTGATGATGATTTTCTTGTTGCTGGTTTGGAAAAAATTGGTGTCCTTGTTCTTGACGATTGTCCTTAAAATTGTTCTCAAAGTTTTGGAAATTTGACCCGTAAAAGTCATTATTTTGCATATTTTGCAAGTTCGGTGGTTGCGGTTGATTTTGAATGTTTAAAATCTGTATCGATTGAGGAAGCATGCTCCTCGCTTCGTCCTCATTCTGCTGCTTTTCCCATCGAAGGTTTCCAGAATTACTGAAATCGGGTGGTCTCAAGACCGGAATTGATGTCGGGAAGTCGTTCATTTTCTCATTATTTCCTCCAAACGACATCACTTCAGAGTTCAACATTGGATCAGGCGAGGAAGGGACAAAATTCGAAAGAATGTCTTCGCCCGGTGGTTCAGATGGTGGTGGTGGTGGTGGTGGGAGACGCTGTGGTCCTGACGCATACTGAGGAATTTCATCTGCAACAAAAAAATTACACTGTGATGAAGAAATGAATGAAAATTCATTTACAATTTGGTCGTAATAAGAAGATTGTGAAAAATAAAGTAGGGTTTGGTTTAACGGATTCTTTTAATTTGCGTTAACCAATTTGTTTATCACAAAAGATTGCCATCACAGAAGTGTTTAGCCACAAGCACCAAATAAGTACAGTCATATAACGAAGGAAGGTGCCATGATGCGATTTTTTCTGAAGTGCACATACAACAAATTATTAAAAGTATCACAAAACCATTAAAGTTATTGCATCCGTTCTCATAACTTTTGTATCATCTCGATAGATTACTCAAGAAATTAATCTAATTCGTTTAGGTTCAAGGTGTCCGAAAATTACGATCTTGCCAATAATAATGGCACGATCTCTTACGTGCAATTAGCTCAATTAAAGTAAATGCATCGTGGTGAGGATTTTGGCTTTCAATTAGCAAATTTTTGGCAACAGGGGTGGGTTCGGTCGTGGTCAGGGTTTCATTAAAATGGCAAATTCGTCTACTTAATTATTTCAGCCGCATTGAATAATATATACTTTTTTATAATTCTACAGGCTTATTGTGCTCAATTTGTGTCTTTTCACCTGTCTCTCCTTTTTATAAAACGAATCAAATAACTATTGAGCGATGTTCCGCTTGAATGGGAGCGTAATCTCGGTTTAATGATGTTTTTTTGTTTTTCTACGATTTTATTTTCATTGAAAATCTAATTCATCTCGTTTTAATTCAGCAAAAAAGAAAAACAGATTGATCGATTATTAAACTCTCTTTGTCGAAACCAAAAATTTAAATACTGCAATTTATCAACATTTAAAACGTACCCTTTCGGATGGATGGTTTTTAAATAAGGACACGTTGTAAAATACGCGATAATAATGCACTTTTGCTGAAATCTTCTTTTGGCAAACAAAAGTGCCCAATTTGATCCCCTCAAAAACTCACGTACTCGTATTATTCATGACATAAATTGAAAATCTGAGTGAATCTCAAGCAGAAGATTTGGGTCCAATTGGCCGCTGATGAGATGAGACGGAGGAAGAACACTAATGAATTTCAGTAGTTTGGTTAACAAGGGAAATCAGGTCATTAGTTTACTTTGGCAGGTCTATGCTCTTTCAGTCGGGAAAAGGTGAATGAATGATGATGATGATGATGATGATGATACGACTAAAAATCCATATAAACTAATTCGGTCTTCCTTTTTTTAAAACGTAGTGTTTTTAGCTGTCTTTTGTTATTAAGTTGTAACAGCAGCCCACGTAAATGCGTAAACCAAGCCGACACTGCATGTAATTAAGCTTTAAATAATTTCTTTGAAACTAGTACGACGACGGCAGTTGGTATTTATTTTTGTGGTGTGGTTTCGTCGTTTATGTAAAAGTGAAACAAAGTAAAAGCAGCTTTGAGTTTATTCATTATGTCAATTTGTCACAGTTTGTAGTAACAAAAAAACTGTGGGAATTGAACTGCTCCAAATTCCGTATGGTAATGAAGATAACAAAGTACAAGTATGGTTTGATGGACAAAAAAGCCCGAAAACTAAGATGTCATGTTGTGTCGTACTTAAATATGTATGTAAATACGTGTACCATCAGTAAAAGTATAACATAAACTGCACTTTTGCATGCAATTTACCAGATGTGCAATTACACGAATTTTGTTTGTCAGCGTCTTCACTTTTCATAATAAAATGTGGTAAAAATGTCAATAAACAAGACCATATTGTTTTCTTAAGGAGTGAAACAATGTCTTCAGGTGGAACAAAATAATGCTTATTGTGCGTACAAGCAGTCGCAAATTAAGTAATTAAATTCTGATTTTTTTGCCCGTGACAATAAAATATTTTTCAGTTTGACAAACTATTTAAGCCTCTACGACTCTGCATTATACTTGGAATTCAAGTACAACAAGTGCAAGTCAGCAGAAAAAGATCGAGCTTAAGAAAGGAGACGAGACGAAATTATCATTTTGTCACAAAAGGTATTCTACAAGTCGCACTTAGTTCACGAATTTCTCATTAGCATTTCTCCCCCCGTGCACCAAACCAACTTTATTTAATCCGCTAAAAGAAGTTGAAGTTGAAGTTGAAAAAAATAAAGAAATAATCCTCTACATTCAAGAAAATGAATGGATGAAATTGAAATTGGGCTTAAAAATATGAAAAGATCTTCGGTCTAGTCGGCATTTTTTGTACGCACTCAATCCTCATCTTCATAAAAGGAAAAGAGAAAAATGTCTCAAATTTTATATAGATCAGATTTGACACAGTTGAGACTTGAGAGTGCGTTAAGCATGCAAGATCATGATTTAAATAACGTACGTAGTAAGTACTTATGTGCGAATATTTTGGCAGGTTTGCAATACTATTTTGCATGAATATGTATGTAAGTATTGTTTTTAGTGCCCGAGCCTGCATAACAGTGCGGATAGCAATTCCATTTAATTGTTACTCTTAAACAAGAAGTGTGAGAAGGCTAAGTAATTAAAAGAGGATGAAAGTTGGTATTGAATTTCGCTTGATTTTTCCATCTATATATCAATTTCATCTCAACACAGTTACACTAATTTTAATCTGAGCGCAAAGTATCTTCACAAATTATTTCAGATTAAAAAAGCCAATCGAGCACGCGAGAAATTCCAATTAGTAACAGGCGCACCATCGATGTAACACTGCAGTTAATTAATTAATTAATTAATTACGTTACTTAATTACTTAACGATACCAAATCTTTAAATAAACGCTCTATTAAATTGGAAATGAAAATCAGATTAATAATTCAAATCTGTCGATTGTGTAGGTCAAGTTTTTGAAAAATTTTTATTTTCCAAATTGGTATCAGTTAAAAAATTTCGAAATCAAACAATTTGAATTTCTAACAAAAATATTGCGGCTTTGAAATAATACATATATACCTCCTTCTTATTTGATCTTTATTTCTTCAAGATACTAAAAATCCCCCAACACTAAATTCAGCGTCTAACCTACACCATTTTTTATAAAACCCTAAAAACTAACCGTAACACGGAAAAGCATTCAAAATTTAGCCGTACATACAAATTACTATGCTGAACTTGTGCAGTAAAAGCAACATGCTGCTGATTATAGCCTGTCCACCAACATTAATCTCACCTGTCATCATTTAACGTTAAATTATCAAATTGCGTATAAAATTGCACTTTTCTTCCTTCGCATTTTACTACTGCATAGGAAGGATTCTTTTAAAACTCCTTAAAAAGTGTGCAAGTGAAACTCACACGGAGATGAAGAAGCCGAGTCGCAGACAAATTTCGATTTCATTTCATTCTGGTTATATTTTATGGCATCTTTTTACTTTTCTAAAATTACCACATGGCCTTTTGTACGTAGACATAAATACCTGTCTGCCTGACTAACCTGACAACGATGAGATGAGATGAGCATTCTGTTTCTTATTTTCTTACTGGGTCTATATCTTTAATTGCACTACTACAAGTCAGAATTTGCACTGTGCAGAAGATCTCCTGCAAATTAGACGTGCTTGGTTGAATTACATATGTACATAGATTTAATAACTCTCTACTGGTGTACTTTCTATTTTTAACGTGCTACACAAATACGTACGTGCTGCATTAAATTTATTATCACATTACATTTGCAAGGTGATAAAGTGCAGAAATTTCCACAACTTTGGAATAAAAATTGTTCCAAAAATCGTGCAATTATCAGAATTCATGTTTTAAAAATCACTGTTTTTACTTTTTACCGTTCAAACAGTCAATTACCATCTGTCAGAAATTATGTATGAAAATACTGAAAATACTGGGCGGTGCGAGTGGGTGGATCACCTCATAAAGAAATTACTAGCCGGTCAAATTAGCAATTTTCTTCCTTTACCAAAGAAGCCGCATCATCATCGGAATGTTTCAATCATCTCTTGAATCTCTTGAAGAAATTCCACTTTCTTTGTTCCCGATGATAAATAAGAGACAAACTTCTGCGAATTGTTCTCACCAAAAGCGTTGGAGAGGTGCGTACGCATATTAATTTGCTTTAGGTTTGTGGGTGTACTATGGTGTTTGACTTGAATGAATGAATGGGTGCTAAATGCCGATGTCCATTAAGCCCATTCGACATGAATGTCTTTCTTTAGGCCAACGTTACCAAGCGCAATACCATTTATGACTTTATATCGTGCTCGCAATAATAATAAAATAACGCACCACGACAAAAAAAAAACTCCCGGCCGGCATCCAATCCACCACCCCTTTAATTCTTATTCCATAGGCAATAATAACTCCCTTACAAATTGTAATCAACTTTCATTGTTATCTTTTGTTGTGGAGAAGGCATCCTCGCATCTGCATATTTTTTGAGCATGCACACACACGTCCCGAGGAAAGGAAGTTTATGAACGTAAATAATTTTTTATCAGTGCTCAGTGGCCGCGGACAGAGGGACCATGTCCCCATAGTTGTTCGATGTCCGCATCATCTCCCCATCTTATATGAACCCGGCCCTCCCCCCATCCTACAATGTTAATGTCCCCACAGCTTCTGCGGCCACTGTCATTGTTGACACCTCCAATGCAAGTGCATACATAAGTAATCTACCTGCCTGCCCACCTACCTACTTGAGACCGTGGTCGTCTCATCTCCTGTCTGACGACTGACACTGACATTCATTTAACTTTAAGATTTACAATGACATTGCCACTGCCACACACAAAGTGTAATAACCAAGTGAGTGAGTAGTAAAAGTTGTAATGTTTTTTTTTCATCAGCTACTTAGGAAAATGTTCTGTTCATATAATAAATAAACCAAATTTATGTGCCCATCGTAAACAGAAGTTGGAAATGAAAATCAATTTCAAGAAAAGGTGGATTATTGTTCTCGGTCTAAATTTTTGTTCTTATCTAATTTTTTTCCTGTCCTGCATATAGTACAGATTTTTACCCTTTCTTTTTCCGCACAAGAGTCGCTCGCAGAACATAACAGGACACGTACATACAAACACGTCATCCGGTGATGAAAACAGGTTTTGTTTTCTGCCGAGATGCTGAGCCAAGATGCATGTGTGTGTGTGGATCTTCATATTATTGGGGGATGAATGGAATGAAAACACTGACCCAGAAATTATTAACATTTTAGTAACAAACAAAGGTAGTCGTCCAAGCAATCCTGCCGAGTAACAATGGACCAAAGGAGCATAATTATTGCTAAGTATCTGCTGCTGCAACTCAAAGGTTGAGAGACCAACAAACTCGACTCATCACAGGATTTACTTATCCTTAGTTTAAATATACATATGCACCTAACACGGTTAAGCATATAGTTTTATTCGAGTTGTTATTAGAGTGTAAACTGCATCATCTCTTGGTTTATGTACTCATGCACTTAGGTTAGGAGTGGCCGCGGAGGGGACATGTGGGGACATTAACATTGTAGGATGGGGGAGGGAGGGGTTTATATAAGATGGGGAGATGATGGGGACATCGAACAACCGTGGGGACATTGTCCCTCTGTCCGCACCCTTCCGCGGCCACTCGGAGTGAGTTTGCCTTATTTTCGCAGCAGGTAGACAAACCAAGCACCCTTTTTCCTTCTTGATGTGATCATCATCAATTTCAAATACGTACATGCGTCTGTCCGTCGACCAGTCAAATTTAAAATTTAAGAAGAAGAAGCATGCAATAGTGAACACGCCCTTCATTTGCGTATGTCTGTACAAGTGCATGAGCATAAGTGTATGGACGTGTTTTATTGTGCCTGCGCAGACATGAAACACTTCTGCATGAAATGAAATGTTAGCTCCGCTTCGTAAATTTAGTTACTTATTTTTTTGCATGCATATGCAAATATGCAGTTCTAAATTTAAACAATTATTTGCACTAACGTCAACTCGCGAAATCACTTTCACATTCAAAGTAAACTAAGAAAAATGTATTAAATTAAGAGATAAGTTGACCCGTGGTGCATGTGCCGTTGAAAATTAGTGACTCTGTTGATAATTCGTGTTATCATTGGCACAATTTTGTATCAAAATGCTTTTAGGAATGGGACTTAATTAATAAAAGTGATAAAAACTTACTTGGTCGGACAATATGTCGATGTTCCTCCGAACTTTCTCTATGCTGTAATTGATGACTTCCTTGACCTTGACTCCCGTCAAATCCCGTCATTTGATTAATATGTCGATTAAGATCGGACGAGGATAATATCGCATTCACATGATTATTATTATTCGGATTCGTGGTAGGATTCGAATTCAAAAATGTGAACGGATTTTGTGGAAAAACTGAATCAAAGTTGGAGAAAGGATTTCTAGAATCTTTCAAAAACGGGCTCGAACTGGGAACAAAGTTTCCATCAAATCCATTCTGTGCAACACTTTCACTATTTTTCACTTCACTGGCACCTCCACCAAATCCGATCGTGTGTCCCACGGTGAAAGAACTTTTTGCGTTGGAATCCTCTTCACGGTTGCCACCCACGATAATGTCGACGGTTTGTTGTTGCCTGTTCGGATTGAAGTTTATCATTTGTTCTGGCACGTACTGCTCCGTCGTTGTCGTCGTCGTGGTTGTGCTCGGCGTGGGCGTGGTGGTACTGGTTTCGGGTTGGTTATCACCCCGAATTTTTATCGAAACGTCGGGTCTCTTCTGCTTCCTCTTTTTCGTTCGGGCGTGTTTATTCCGAATATTTTTGATCACTTCGGGAATCTCTGTGGTTGAAGTGGACGTGGAACTGATGAAGTTAAAGTTGTTTAAGCCATCGTTAAAATTATCAAGTTCTAATTCTTTGACGGGAAGTTGCTCAAACTTCATTTCTCCGTCGTCCTCAAGTTGTTCTTGTAGATCGGAGTGAAAAGTGGGGGATGAGTCGAAGAAGGGTGGGGTGGGCGTCGTACTAGGTGCGGGTGGGCGATATTGCTGGTGCTTTCTTTGGGGTGGCTCCCACTTGGATTCTGGCGGAGGAATCATCGAGTTTGGCGTAGAGCCGGAGAAAAATGAGTGAAAGTTGCTTTCATGATCGTCAAACGTGGGGGGTGCTGGGGGCGGAAGGAGACTGGGGCCTTGCTGGTCGTGGTCTTCTTCTCGAAAGGAGTTTTTCGACCGTTGTTCCATTTCCAAGACACGTTTGAAATTGTCATTCGTCACAAAATCGGATGTCGGCCCGTAGCGGTCGACTTGTTGAATGGAACCCCAAAAGTTGGGAGCTTCCCAGTCCGTCGGGTGGTGGTCGGGTTCATCTCCGCGGAAAAGAGATTTCTTCAGATCGGGGGAGGGAGACGTGGGGCCGAACTGGTCAAAAACCATCATTGTGTTGGACTTCCTTGGGTAGATGGGAATCGGGCTTTTCGTGGGTGAAAGTGTGCTCGTGGAGAAAAATGAGGGTTGTTGTTGTTCCCAAGGAAGAACAACTTCCGAGGAAGGCGGAGGTCGTGGGTAGTTTGAAAACATGTTTCTCTGATTGTGGAACTCGGGTTCTTGCACGAATGGTGGTGCGTCGTAAAAGCCGGGATTGCTAAAGGCTGTGGGTCCGTAGTTGTTAGAATTTTGAGGATTGGATGAGCTCCTATTGAAATGGGTTGACTTGTAAAACTTGTCGTTATGCAGTTTAGTCCGCTCAATCGACTTGATACTTTCTCTCGAGTCAAATTTCACAAATTTTGACGAGAGTTCTGTCGAAGGGGAAAACTTTACCGTTTCCACTGTTGGTCCAGGTCCGTTTTCCAGCTCGTAGAAATTTCTGCTGGGGGAGGAAAAGTCGGGAGAAGGAATGTGCGAGAGAACGTTAAGACCGCCGGAGATGAACGGAGTGGGTGTGGTGGTGGGTTCATCGTCGCGTTGTCGGATAAACTTGTTGGGAATTCGACCCTTGTTCAATTCATGGTTGGGAGGAAAGCGAGGATCGTAGGGGGATTGTTCTACCGATTTTGGGTAGATATTTATGCTACTTTCGTCCTGATAATTTTTAGGAGGGGGTGGAATAGTAGCCTTTTCCTTCTTATCTAAAGCTTCATGATATCCGAACCTGGCCATTTCCACTCGAGGCGTTGTTGTCGTTGTAGTCGTGGTCGTGGTAGTCGTCGTCGTCGTTGTGGGTGTCGTGGTAGGTCTTCTACTTGGAGCTTTAGTCAAGGAAAGGGTAAGTGGAGAAGGTCCCGAAATCGGGAGTTCTTCTGCCCCCGTATTTTTACCGGAAGAAATGGCCTCTCGAATAAGATCGGCTTCAAGTTTGGTCGAATTATTGCGACGATGTCCTGGCTTCTTCCTCCTGCGACCCTTCTTCCTACGTCTCAGTTTCTTTACGGGAGTCTCAATTTCCCCGTCCTCGTTTTTCTCGTTATTAGTGTATGGCTGATCTAATAGCTCGTTTGTAGTCTCACCGTTCTTGTTGCTATTCTGATCTGGACCTTCTTCCGTGTTGTCAATACTTTGTCCGACATCCTCGTTGAGGTCGCCCTTCTTCTTCATCAGTCTGTACTTCTTTTTACGACGTCTCATTTTCCTGCGACGTGGAGGAGATTCACGCACGTCATCATCATCTTGATTTCCTTGTGCTGCTGCTACTCCTAAATTGTCATGTGCTTCTTCGTCTATTCGTTCATAATTTTCATTCGTGTGAAGAGCAGCGGTATCAAGTTTGTGGGAAAAGTCTCCTCCTTGGCGACGATGGAGATCTTCCTCCTCCTCCTCGAATGCATCCCTGTTCTGCGATGCCGGAAAACCAAAACTGTTTCCGCCTCGTTCCGTCGTGGTGAAATAAATATCGGGAAAAATATTGGGATCGTACACCGCCGTTCGCAACGCGTCACGGTCCAGATTTCCTAAGCCGGAGAGAAACATGGCTTCCTCGTCGTCCAGACCGGGAGCAAAATCAAGCGTTCGGTGGACTTGATTGTTACTGGATTGCGATTGAGGGGATGGAATTGGGGTTGGTGGAAGTGATTTCTGGAATTGTTGAGGTTGCCTCGATTTATCGACAAGTTTGAAAATTGAGCCATAGTTCTCCGTATTTCTAGAAAACATATTTTTATTACAAATAGTAGATTACAACAGTATTAAGATATTATTATATTTTCTGTTATTTATGCCGCATAGTAAACAAGGATTCCCACTCAAGTGCGTGTAGTACGTATATACAACGTTTATGTTAAAACCCGGCTCGCTGTCAATGTTAACTTCCTTATTCAACTCCACTCTCACTCAATACTTATTTCCAACCTCACTCAATAATAATAATATACCAGTTTCGTTTTTCTAGATTTTTGTACTAATTACATATATTTTAATGTATTAGTTTTGATGTAAAATTTATTAAATAATAAAACATAACTCGCCCACTATGGACGTTAATTTGGATGTCATTATTGACATTCCCCGTCATCGGCAAGAGATTGTGGTTCGTGACCACGTTCCACCATTTTGTCGAGTTTTAAAAACAATCAGACTGAACGAAGAAGGAAGCAGGATTTCCAATGACAAAGTATATGGTAAGTGTTGGTTACTTTCTTTAATGGTTCAATATATCTATATACATATACTTGACTGAAAAGAAATATATATGAATAGATTCTGAGGTTGTGACGACGTTATATAAAATTGCTCGTCCAGAGCTTCAACTTGATGAGGAGGAACCATTTATCCGCGACTTAGGACGAGTTTCTCCAGAGCCACCTGCAACTTCGACAGATTCTACACTTTCCCCAGCTGAGGAAGAAATTGTTGTCGACATGGTCAAACGAGCTGGTGACGATGGAATCGAGGTTGGTGATTCTGGTCGATTTTTGGTGTGGAAAGATGCAGCTCCAAGAGGTTTTGGGCAAAATGTTGCTCGTGTTTCAGAACAATTAAGTCTCAAAAAACCAAATTATGTGAGTGTCGGGGTGCGAGGCTGGAATTATCCCGCAGTTTGTACTCAAGCAGGTAACGGCAACAATAACAATTACGTAAATATATATGAATGAATTAGAGTACATAACAAAAATATTTTCAATTTCAGGTTGTGGTTCGGTTAATGGAACAAGAGTGAGTGAGCAAAATCCGACATGTTTGACTCACAAAGGTCCCAATACTGGATTCGCAGTCATCGAATATGGGACATTCGACAAAAATGGACAACTTACTAGAATGGATCATCGTATTCTCTCGTTCACATATGCTGATGGACAAATGGACGAACATTTGGATCTAGCCATCCAGAGAATCAACAGAGTAGATGGACAAGAAACAAGAAGATTGATCTTGGATACTCGAGAGGATGCTGAAAAAACACTCGCAGTTTGGCAGACAGCATTCTTGTTTCAAATTCTTCGACACCCAACTTTAAAATACAACTCCTCCACAATCTCATTAGCTATTGGATTGGAACGAGAAGTAAAAGAAGAATTGAGACGAGTTGGACTGGAACTACGTCTCACTATGATGTTGACCAACAGAAGTGAAAGTGAGAAGATTGAGTTCCCGTTTGGAAGACGAGCAGAGCTAGGTGAACAATTGTCAGAGTTAATAACTGCTACTGAAGGTGCTCTGTATGTTGCTGCTGATCCTAAAATCATGTACGGTGGCCAATCTATCCTTGGGAACAGAGCTCAATTGCACAATGCAAGCCAAGCATGTGACACTATTGGCAAATACAAAGCAGAATTTAACCCGAATGTCAAGATAATTCCACTCGCTTCAGTCCCCAAAGGTGTCAGATCTGCTAATTTGAAGAAAATGGAGTCGCATCTTCATGTTGCATTATATGTGGCTTATCTATTCCGTCTACGAAACCACATGGACAAAGAACTGAACCTCACTCATCCACATTCCTTGAACAAAGGGACAACAATTTCTCATTTTGATGCAAATTCACGAGAGTTGATTCAGAGATTCGTACTTAAAGAATTTGGAGCTTTTATTGAAATCCTACCTTGTCCTCATTTCCAATTCATTATTTAACTATGTAACTTAATGCGAACAAAAACTTTGTATCCTCTTTTAAAAGAAATTAAACATTTAAACATTTTGATCTAGTGATCTAATAGCGAAGTTCATGCTCAGTACTGGAAACACTTTTACTACACCCGAACCGTGATCGGCGTGAACAAATTTGACAAAACCCAACCCGCATTAGTTAAAATGTTACCTAAGCATTTGAAGCCCGTGCGGAATTTGGGATGGGTGTGGTCCTTGTAAATGTCGAATATCTTCTTGAGGCTGCTTGTTCTGATTGAATTGTCTAAATTGTGGGGGTGGAATTCCATTACTACTTGGCGACGGTGGAGGTAGCATCATTTGATGAGGTAGTGAGTTATATTGTTGATTTTGTGACTTTGGTATTTGTGGGTGTGGGATTTGGTCTTCGAAAAAACCAGTCTCTCCCATGTCGTCGTAATCATCGTCAGACGCGTGACCTCGTCGTCCCACATTTTTTAATCCGAGGGGCACTCCTTCTTGAGGAATTGGTTGGAATTGTCGAGGAAATGGGGCCTGCTGTTGAAATGATGTGGGGAATTGCGGATTTCGACTTGGTGGAGGAGGTCGTTGTTGCATAGATTGCTGTGTCGTCGGTGGTGGTGGTCCTCGCATCATGACAGGTCTCAACTGACTTTGTTGGGCAATGCGTGCATTCTGTGGAGGAGGGGGTCCTTGAAATTGTTGTCTTTGTTGAGGGGGTGGTGGTGGTGGTCGTCTTCTCGGGCTCATCCCCCTTCCTCCAGGAGGAGGATTTCCCATCCTTCGTTCCGCACCAGTGGGATATTTCTGATGATTAAAAGGCCATTTATACGCACTTGCCCTCTTTGTAATGCCACCACCTCCTGGTCGCATAGCCGGTGGGGTTGGAGAGGTTTGCATGATTGGGAGCCTTCTATTTTGAAACATTTGCTTTTGCTGGCGCCCTCCATTATTATTTTTCATTTGTTGTTGTTGCTGCTGAAGAACTTGGTGTTCCAATAATTGTTCGGTTTGAATTTGTTGTAAATATCTGAGTTGTTCTTGTCTTTTGAGTTCTTCCAAACTCAGGGGAACGCCATTACCTCCTCGTTGGGGAAGTGGCGTTGGGAGGCGTTCTGCTCCCACACCGACGCGTTGATACCCATTTGGGTACACTTGTAATTGACCGGCTTGTGAATATTGATTGTTATTCTGGCCGATGGGGTCGGTATTTGTAAGTGAGTCTTTGAATCCGTCCTCATCCCCTACAAATCGACGTATGAATTATGAAAGTTACCACCCCATAAAATATTGCCTAACGTTTCCGACAACTTAAAAATTGTAAATAAAATTTTGAAAATTATTTCCATACCTATTGTAAATCCTCCTCCCAAGTAACCCTTCAGTCCTCCTAAGCTTCGTATCCTGAAAAGTCCTGATTGTCGAAAACCACACGCAAGTCGGAAATTTCCACCTCCTTGCCAAACACAAACTCCACCCACGCCGGGTGGACTGCCCCACAAAGAGACAAGCATAATTAACACTACGGTGGATACTAGAGTCCATTTCTCCTTTCTTATTAAACTTACACCACCACCATCACTGTTCCTCCGGGAGGAGATACTACTAATAAATTGTGACTTTGAAACACTTGAGCTTCTTTCTGACATTGGATCGAAAAGATCCAGCCCTGGAATATCAGTACCACTACAATTTGTCGCTAACAAGCGATCCTGATCACTGCAAAACTTTTTATCCTCGCCGATTTTGACGGGATTTAAGACGTCATTATTATTCTCATCCTTCTCACTTCCACTTGATTGCAGATGACCAGCACCCTTCAAGGAAAGTCGCCTTCGTTGACACCAAGTGCCACCACCACCACTTTCACGTTCACACATTTTGACCCTGTTTTAAAGTCCGTCACCATGAACAAGATTGACCTTGACCTAGGCCCACACTCATTTTTCGTCTACAAGGGTCGGGGGTCCTTTAGGTAAAACTGAACTTGCACTTTTTCACTTTTACATTTCTGAGAAGGTTTTTTTCCTGAATATTTCGAGGGCGAGGTACACAAGTAGTGTGACGCTTGAAGAAAGCTTCATGCATCTGAAAGTGACTTGATGCGGATGTGTGAGGTGTGTAAGCAGGAATTGAGATGAAGATGCGAATGTGAGACTCGGCAGAGTCCTACTGACCGTTATCCCGTCGTCTACTACCTGTGGGATTGTAAACTCAATCCAAGACCAGTTTTTGGTGAGACGAAGATGATCTTCTCCTTGTTAAATAAATTGGCAGTATGTACATGCTTGCATACATACACTTCTTGTGCTCTTGTTGGGCTGGGTTAGAGAGAGAGATGTTCAAGGAAAGTACTGGTTTTACTATTATTGCAAATTTTTAAAGGAAAGAATGAACCCATCGCAGCTCAAGTTCATCATATTTATTATTTTATCTATGTATGTTCCGCTTTAAAAACTTTGCGATTGTTCATGCTGTTCTTGTGTTGAGTGAGAATTTGAACCCACCCACGCACAAAAAAATCATATTTATTAAATGGATCATGCTATCTTGAGGGGCAGAATATGTAAATTGTATTAATTGGTCCATACATACATACATATTTAGGGACATATATTTCGAATAAGTAATCGTTAACAAGAAATAATCTGTAACACGAAATTTTAATTACAAGTACTTTATGAAAACACAAAATGAAAACGAGGATATCATGCGGGCCAGGTCGAAATCGAAATTATTTACTAGATTTTAAATTTTTTCCCTTAAAATCCACGTCCCCATTTCCTAAATGCATACATAATCAATGAAAATGTTACATGTTTAGTCAGCGGGTCGTGGATATTAGAATAAGTGAACTTATGAAACCGGTTAATTCATTGGCAATTATTTAAATTTCATCGTCGGCAATTTGCCATTTACTTAACTCTGCCGGGTGTGTCGTTAATTGAAATCTATACGCATAAAAGTTTCATGTGGTAGACACATTTTTCAAAATAGAGCCGATTTTTTGGAAATAATAAATCTTCATCCATCTTTTTCGGTGATTTATGCTTTTCTTAATTCGCCATCCCTCACGTAATGATTTATTAATTACTACAACACAAATAATGCCACACAGAGACAATTGTGTGTGATTATGGAAAAACCGATGTAACACTTTACGAACAAAGCCAATTTAACCCCACACCACTCTTGAAGAATTACATAAAACTAGTTTTTCCCAACTTTACCATATTAAAATTGGCAAAAATTTTCTCATCCCTTCATGGGTTTACTTTATTCAAAGTGGTTCGGGCACTTTTTCACCGATGAATAATGCTCGGCCATCATACCTCAACTAAACCACCACAAATCTTTTTTATACGCGTAAGATTTCGATGAAATTTTTTAGCATGGTTAAGTTTTGGTTGTGTATAACGTAACGGATGATTTAATCGTATGTACATGTAAATTTCGTCTGCACTAATTTCCATAAAATTCTAATAAACATAACTGTGATTGTCGTCCCAATCCAGATCATTGCGTGCATTTGGGCACATTGGTCGATCCAATTAATCAAACGCATTAATCCGTATTCTAAAATTTACTCACACCATGTTTTAATTAGTTTATTTATTTACCAGTTCACGTATCCTCGTCACAAACTGATTCCATTCATCATAACTTGTGTAGAGGTAGATACGTAATACGTGCCTACGTACCTGTATTTTATGCAAGGAAGTAAGTGTCGAATTGAAAATTTGGGTGCAAAGTAGGCGAAAATGAATGAGCACTCGTCAACAGACCCATTTTCGGATCAGGTAAAACCGGCTTTGCGAAAAATTCTGTAACTCGTATTACCCAGTAAATATGTGTAATATTTTGGACTGCAAGTATGTAGTGGTTAGGATGTTGGTTTGTACATTTTATTTTATAAAGAAAGACAGGGTTGCGATCCAAAAGATTATTATTTATTCCGATCTTGTTCCAACTTCAGCCTACTCTACTTACTCAACATTTTTCATCATTTTGCATCATCCCACTTAATTTCTCCAACCAACTAACTATTTACCAGACATAATAATCTATTACATTCATTTTCCACTTTTCTTGAAGTAAAAGAGTTGGAAAAGTGCTAGATTTCTCGAGATGATTCATTATACAGGTGCCTTATTATTTTTGACAATGCAACAGACCAAAAGGTTACGTTACACGGTGTTTGCGTCTAAAAAGATATGACGTACCACTCCACATATGTAACGTTGTATACTAACGATGATTTCGGGTTGATAGTGAATTTTAATCTGTCGGATGAAACAAGGATAATGCAAAATAATGTAAAATCTTACTTTTCAGTTTACTTAAGCCAAGTAAGTTAGTGGAATAGTTGGGTTGGTGCAACTAAAAAGGCTGTTGTCTCTCTGCTGGTGGCTATTAATCGGGGTCAAGTCAAACGATTTTCAGGACAGGATTCAGTTTCTTCTGAAGGTGCATCATCTCTTTGATCCGACGCTTTCATTTCACATTTGCTCACTTAATTACTATGTAAAACAAGTACAACACGAAGGAAAATAACAGAATGACGTATTTTTTGTTAAATTGGTTAAGACAACATCAGGGTCACATTTTGTTTTGGTCATGTATTTGTACGCATTAAGAGAGAGATCTTATTCAAGTCGGAATCAAATGAAATGGAGATTTTTACATGTTGAGGTGATTTAAATCGAGGGGATAATTGTAATTCGAATGACATGGACATTTGTAGACTGTGGAACAGTTGGTGGAGTTGATGACAGGTGCGACACGTATGTAACAAGATACATAGTGTCATTCTTAATTGTTGTCGCTTTGACGTCATGATTACTTGACATTTAACTAAGTATCTTGGTTTGAATATTTCTGAAATTGTGCTTCCAAATAGTTATAATTACCATAAAATAGATTAATTAAAACTTTATTAATTCACAATAATATAATTTTGTTAGTCATATAATTACTACATATAATTTAATTAGTATATGTATATTTTCTGGAATGTAAATTATTAAATTTAATAAAAGCAATTAATTACACTTTAATTGTTAAGGTACCACAAGAGAGTTGGCAAGGAATTATACCACTCAGTTTGATTGTAATTTTCTCAGAAATTATAGTAGGTAGAAATTTGGTTCAAATACAAATTTTGTAAAAAAATTACTACTCTAAATTTTGGTAAATGTCCCCTTCTGCTGTTACTTATACTTACGTATTTATATCCAAAATAGTCGACCATGATGAATTTTTTTTAAAACGTCCTAGCGTCAAAACCATACGGAGCACAAACGTGGGACGACTCCCACATCGTGCGAAATAGTTTTACTTGGGGAGGATAATGGGTCTCATTTCCATATTGTCTTCCATACTTTTCGAAATAGCATTTCTATACTTGCCCCTCCATATTATTTTATGTTTCTGAGGTCAAAAATGGTTCACATCTCTTTACCAGACACAAATGAGCCCACAAACCGATTATACACCCTGCAGAAATATATAATGATTCCAAATAACAACCATTATGACCTTAAAGTCCATCCCCTCCATCTCGGGGAGCTCTTAAAAATGCCCCAATGCCCTTGTTGTTATGCGGAGCCGTACTTCATGTCTTGACTCATTTTCTCTAAAAAATCATGTTGCTAAGTCCAGAAAAAATTGAAATATTCAACCTCTTGTGGTACCTTAATTATACACCATTAAACAAAATATGTTGAACTTTTGGAAAAGAGAAATGGAGAAAATTTTCTGCTGGAGTGGAGACTGAGTTTTCTTCAGTTCGTTGACCCCGAAATCACAAAATCTCCACTCCGTCCCTTCATTTTCATCCTCAGCAGCACAGAATATCACGTCTTTATTCGTCTTTCTTCAATTAATTTCAGAAACTTTCGCTTTTCATTTCATTTTCATAAAATTTTTAGTGATATTACGTCGAAATGGATATGTGCCATTGCAACAACTGCAGTCACATGCCCTTCATCCCAGGCATCGATATACGCCGTTACTTCATCACCAACTGCGGTCATCTACTCTGCTCTTGTTGTGTAACTAATGGGACTGGTGGTGAGTTATCTTTTATTGACATTTCGTCGTCCATTTAATAATGTCGCGTTATTGTTAATATTAGTTACATACTTTTAATTAGTCAATAATATTAATTAATGCAATATATTTTTCAATGATACATTAATTAGGGCTCAACGAGCAATGTCCCGTGTGCAAAATGCTCTGCAAGATTGTCGAAGTCGATCAGAACGCAAACTCTGACATAAAGGCGTACTTTGTCGACGCATCGACCATGATTTGCGAAAGTGTGAAGAGATTCATGAAAATTTCAGCGTTTCAGAAAGCACAGGCTCGAGGGGTTCAAGGAATTTTGAAAAATATGGTAATATTTTGCATTTTTCAATTTGATTAACCAACTTAAGAAACTTACTGATATTTGTCTCTTTTAGTACGAGATGTGTAAGAAGCTCAGCATTGAAAATTCCGAAATTCCCAAGCTCAAGAATGAAAATAATTCTCTAAAAGCTAAAATTGCAGCAGCAGAATGTGAGATTTCTGATCTCAAGAAAAAAGTCGAGCTTCAAGAACTGTAAGTAATGATAACTCAAATTTGGTTATGTTTATTTAGTTTTAAATGTCTTTAAACAAATTATTTAGAGAAAATCAGCGTTGGATTGGTGCTGGAGTAAAAATAACATCAAATCAACCGACTGGTAATGAATTGTTATTCCCGATACTCAACACATCCCGACGAGAGGGTCAAGCCTTCTCACCCGCTTTTTCAACTGGACCCTTTGGAGACCGACAAAACTCACAAAAATTTTTCGACACTCCTGCCAGTGGTACTTCATCGAAATTCGAAGGAACACCATTCACAATTCGAACTCAAAGCGACCAATTCAATAGTCAAAGTAGTGGAGGTAGCAAATTTTTTGGATCAGGTGCTCGAGGGACGCCATCTCCGAACCATATTTACGGTCGCGTTGCATCCAGAAGTTCTTCACTCGATCGAACTGCAGTGTAAGTCAAGTTTTAACAATTGATGATTAAGTACTATTTTAATATGCAACAATTTTTGTTAATGATTTCCAGGCGGGATGCAATGCCAGCCCCATTGGCTCGTGTCACTACTCCTGGATTTTCTGCTGCTCCTGGGGCTGGACGCCCACGGAATGGTATCAATCCAGGCCCTGTGAACAGTTCGCCTCAAGACGTCTTGACATCTCGTCTTCGAGGTCTACGATGGTAAGCAGTCTCCTCATCCATCGGTACATTTTATATTTTTATTTCTTGTCTATGCAGTATTTACTGATGATAACTTATGTATTTAGCTCAATTTCCGGTGATGGTGATGGAAACCCTAACAAAACGGCGAAGTGATTTTTAATAGTAACTAACAAGACCTGCGACAATGATTTTTTTTCAAACGAGCCATGATTTATTCATGATTTTAATTTTATGTTTTTCTTTATGGGAAATTAACCATTCATTTAATTAATATTTTTACAATAACTCAATTTAACTGAGACAGAATCATAACATTCGTCATACAAGTAACGTTTTAATAAACAAATAGTTGACTTATGTGGCTAAATTTATGTTCGTGTATCTTACATATGGGATATGCAAGTCTTTACGTCAATACTAACAATAATGCAAAATAGTTTTATATGTTATTATCATGAGCAAAAATAATGAGCTAAACAAGCAATCTTCCTGGTTTAAACGAATCAAAATATTTACATTTTTTGCCACGAACGATAAATCATCCACGAGTGAAAGGTTACAGTTAAAAATTCCCCAGCTAAAATTTTAAGTCTAAGGTGTCGTGTTCTTGTCCCCGTGAGTGACAAAAGATAAGTAAAACGAAATATGTACATATTTAATTCAACATGCTCATGCAACCGTGTCATAAAGTGATAAAGTGTCAAATAATCTTGTCTTGACGTCTCACTTCTATTAAAAGCACATCTACTGGATGTATCTGCATGGTTAAGTATACGTTTTCGAAATTTTATGTAGCAGCAAGTCAGAAAGATACCTTTAGTGCTATGCAGAACTCTAGAAATAGTAACCTAATTATGCGATTAATTGACTAATTATAAATCCTTTGTTTTGATATTATACGTGACCACTTTTACAATTAGAATCAATAGGCTCATCATGCTATGCTAATTAATCATATTTTGTCGTAAAAATATTTTACAATTATTTACGGACCTTTTCCCGTCTAGTAATTTATTTTGATTCTCAAGTGACAAAATTTACGGATTGCAACTTTTGCTAAACACACACTGAAATTATGGAATAGGTAAAATTCCATAATAATTATAATTACGTAATATTTTAACGCCAAAATTGAGCATACATTGAATTATTTATTTATTATTCGTGAATTATGATTTTTCTAATTTTCAGTAAAATTTTTTATATTCAACTTTAAACTAAATATAATTTTATTTCGAATTATTACATTTGATCGGTTGGCCAAACTTATTTAAAGAAAGTATTAAAATACAAAGTACTGATAATCAACGTTCATTACGAATATTACGGAATATTGCTCAAGCAAACGATTCATGCAATATTCCTCTGTAATCTTCTTATTAAAGTTAACCCAAGACACACGCCGCTTGTAAATTATGATTAAGAAGAAGAAAAGAAGAAGAACTCTTTAATTTCGAGGTAAAAAAGATCTTCTCTCGACTTGTTAACTTATTTCAGTTCCATTCTAGTTACCATTTTAATAAGACAGCAGAAATGGTAGAGTAAAGTAACATTGTTATTCTTACATTTAAAATAATCGATACTGTACAGATTCTAATTTCGAGGCCTAAATAGATTAAATTTCGTTTTTACTATGTACTATTATTTTTACATTTCTGTTGTAACAGTGAGGATATAGAGCGCCCTGAAATTAAATTAACTTGCGTGATGATGACATCAGATAAGATAAGTCGTCGACATGCACATTTTTAGCTAATATTTTATTAGGCACGTAGAAATTCGTCTCTAAATTGTGCCTCAACATGAGTAGGGATTCATGAATAATAAAATATCCACTTTCTGCTAATAATAAATATAAATCCGATGAAGATGAAGAGCAATCATCATTTTTATCGCTTAATTTACTATTCCTTTCGAGGTGTGAAATCGAAATTAATGCATTTTTATCGTCACACGGATGTAAAATTGATTTCCACTCAAATAAACTATTCTAATCAGTTCTATGCTCCTCAAATTGATTTAATTTACTTTACAATCGCATAAAATCTAAACGAAAAGGATTGGTTTAAAATATTTCTAGAAGAAGTCACACAATATGGAAATTAAGTCCATTAAGTATTAAAATATTGGTTAAATGAATTTAGATCAGTCGATGATGGTCATTCGAAAGCAAAAAAAGAAGAAGCCGAAAGTAAATTATAGTAGATTTCGAGGCGAGAAAAATGTTGCACCCAGATTTTTCTCACTCTTAAGTTGATAATGGAAATATGCATATGAGACTCATCTTCTTCATATTTAATAGCACATTAGAATCTCAGTGAGACCAACTATTGGTTCCGTCCACATAAAAAAAACATGGCATGCAAATAAGTACAGACTTGTCTAGTGAGTAAATAAGTAGACCTCACGCCAAGAAAGAAATATAAAACTTTTGCTTTATCGAGATATGTATCATTGTGCAGCAACGATGACTGTTTACTCTCGGTTAATTTTCGAATTGAATACTAAATAATTATGGAGAAAGGAAAAAAAACTTTTAGGAATTTTCACACGTGTAAAAAAAATTCGAGTCGGATTAATCAAAACAACCTTGTACCCAACCCTTTAATAATTTAATCTCGTTTATATTTGAGGTTTGAACTTGGATCGATTCGAGTACATATTCGAAATGCGAACGTGGTCTGGTTTCAAACACGAAATTTGGATATTAAAAATCCGTATAATTATTGATATGATTGTCATTTTATTAGGTTGCGCTACTTCATGTAACTAACTACCATGTAAATAAACGGATGCATTTTCATTAGATGAGACGAAAATCGATCATTCATGATGCATTAATCTCGAATTTCTTTCAACACATGGTTGTGAGAAGTGGTCATTTGGTTGTGGCAGAAAAAAATATAAATCGTGTAGAAATACACGACACGATTTGTTAATAAAGTTTTCAATTTGGGATTTTCGAGCGATATTCATACGAAACTGGAGCAGTGGAGCAAAATTAGGTACATCCGAAAAAAATTCAACATTGTAATGCATGAGCATGACAGTAAGGACCATCTCGTAATTTGGGCAACAATGATAAGACAAAGCGAATGGCAAGTGTTTTTCGCGATGCGAATTGCCACCCACTACGCGATTTAGTTGCATGTGTATATATGTAGGTACTACTTTAGTCAATTAATTAGCAAATATGTGTGTGCGTTGACAATCCCAACGACAATGACTTTGTTTAGTTTCTTTTATTTTAAAAGATCGAACGACAATTTCGTCAACAAAATGACGTCGTGTTGAAGAAATGAGGCAATATCACTTGCAATCTGCACTGTTCAAGATGCATGGTTTAATCAAACCTTTGTTTATGAGATGATAAAGAGATGAGAAAAGATGATAAATCTGCATGATTTTAATTACAGAGTTTTAGTCAGTTTCTAAAAGTTGTCACTTTCAAAAGCTTTAAAATTCGTAAAATTCCTTATCAAATTAAGGGTTTTATTACGATGAATATCTTGATTTCAGGTAGTCTTCTGGTCTCATGCGTTCTAGTTCTTTTTCAAAATTGTGACTCCACAAGGGAACAATCTCGGGTAAATAATAATACTCATTAACCTCCAAGTATTTTTACTCAAACAATGATCCATAATTTTAAATATGTGCAAAATTTCAAATCGATTTGTGACGAAGAACGGGTAAAATTAGTATCATGAAACCATTTTATTGTGCAAATTACCATTACATTTAATCACCATTTCATAAAACTAGTAAATTCTTGCCAAATTAATTAGTTTCGCCGTGGCGCCGCGTATGCTGGAGCTTTGGGATCGTTCACAAAACTAACGCCGTCCGTGGCCCTTGGAACCTTTGGTGGTCATACAGACCAACCTCATGGAGGTTACCGTAAACAAACGGTGCAGGAGTCGTTGGGCTCGTATGGTCGCTATTTACCAAATCGACACGGCTATCAAGGCAAGCAAACTGTACAGGAAGCCCTGGGAGCATATGGAGGTCATTTGCCAAATCCGCACGGTGGATATCGAGGAAAGCAGACGGTACAAGAAGCACTCGGTTCATATGGAGGATTCGTACAGGGGGGTCACCGAGGTCCAAATGTTATTGGAAATGAATACAGCCCTTTCAACAAGGACTGAAATTTTTAAAACATATTTTGAGACTAATAAAATTTGATATTTGACTTTCTAATAAATATCTTTGGGCGAATTTGTGTACTTTTTTTTAGACCAATGTCATCATCATTACTACCTAAATTAAATCATGACATAGATCCAATCTCTATTTCTCATACACACATACACAATCTGAGAATTTATTTACTACACGTTCTAATGTGGCAATTGCAGCGGAACAATTGTCAAATTTCACAGTTCAGGGGTAACAATGATGAAGCAATTGTAAATTATGGCAATGCAATTCCTTCCTGCCCACACTATGGTGCATGACCTTTATCAGGCTGGTCGACTTGTGTCGTTCGTGGTACCAAGTTGCAAAGGTCAGGTGTCCATTGACAGATTTTGGTACATAACTACGTGCATGTATCTAAGATGTCATTCTATAAATAGGACCAGAAGCAGAATTTGCTAATTTATTTCGCTCTCTGCATTGAAAACTTATTCATTAACAGAACCAAGAATTACGTAAATGGCTGAACTGCTGAAAAAAGTGTTTGACTTGGATAACAACAAATTATCATTATGGTTATCTTGGTGGTGTGTTGCAGGAATTCTGACCTCTTGGCAAATTGAATTCGTAAACTCTAGAGTTAGTCGTCAAACCGAAATTATAATCTATATAAATGAAATATAATAATTTATAATCAGAAAAATTTTGTGAATATTCGTAGGGAATCTTCACCAGACAGATCACAGATCATAACAGATCACCTCAACAGCAATCTGATGAATCCTCAGAGTACAATTTTTCTCCAAATTTTGGACAATCATCAAATCAAAGGCGTATGTACATACACAAATGTTAAAATCACACCCACGTATTAATGCTTGTCACATTTCTATCACAGCTCGAGGTCACCAAGTTGCCCGACAATTGATGCTGCACAATCAAGAAATGTCAAGTGGGACTGGAATTCGAAATCTTCCCCTTTACAAGCAATCCTATCCCGGTCTTTATACGCAAAGTGATTTAAAAGAATTTGCATCATATGAACCTACGATGCCGGTAAGCCATGGATATGCCCATCATGGAAAGGAAGGTCACCTTTTTCTCTTACAACCCGACACCACTAACATTTATAGAAGTGTGGCTCATGGACTGTATCAGGGCAATCTCATTTAACAAATATTTCGTTCTGAATAAATTAATCAAACGCATTTATACGATTGCTTCCTACTTTTAGTGAATTTTCAATTAGGTACGAATTATTTATATTATTTACCTTGTTATGTGTAATAAAACTTGCGAACTTTCACTACTGATTTTGCTAACAATCAAGACCGATACTTATCTTTTAGTCCATAAAGGCATATGGGAACTTTTCATGATCAATTTTTCCTCAGACATGTTCATACGTTGTATTATGCTGATGCATTGGTTGTAAAAGTAAACTGTGTATTGTCCAATATAAAATGATATAATTTAGATATCCAATATCTTCACACTTCGTCTTCATCATAGCCACAAGATCTATGCGCATATTTTGTTTTTATGAAATGCACAGTGGGGGCAAACACGTCCGTCTTGCATCTTCGTCTTCGGAGTGCATTTATCTCCTTTTGTTGCACAGTCTTTTTCCTGAATTTCTATTGTCCGTCCATTGGCGCACCTCACAATACCTTCCGGGGCACACATGGGTGGTTGGAGGTCACGGCCACAGATAAAAATAACGGTCCCCGTTGTATTTAAATTTGCTGGGCACAGGCAACCCGGTTCCGAATCCTTTGATGATACTAGGCCAAGATATGATTCACTATTTAGCGTGTGCAATGCATCATTGACAAGTACCATTGCCATCAGAAGAATTAATTTAGCCTTCATTATTTTGAAGGGACGTAACGCTGAGGAGCTAGAACCAGACAAATTATTTATTTTTTGCATTTTGATTTTAAATTAAATTTTAGTTTGTTAAACTGAGAAAAAAAGGAATACAAGTTAAAAATCACTCTATTTTCATTAGAGCTTATAAAAATGAATATTTACCAGGAGTGTAGTCCCAGTTTTATGAAGTGAAAATGTACTTCAATACTTACTGCTTCGTCGGTGGTTCAGTTCAATTATGAGCTATTTTTCTAAACCATTTTATTTTCTTTTAATAAATATCCATGCATTTTCTCTCCTTTGTTTTAGGGTGTTTTGGGCGATCGTTATTGTGCTGTTAAGTGTCATTGTGTACGTCATTGTTCAAATGGGGATGACGAGAACAATGGGCCATCCGCTAGTAGTTAACCCTGAAACACAGGAAACGTACATCGGAAATGTTATATTTCCCAGGGTCACCGTTGCTCCTCCGGGGGGCTTCTCCCGGCGCCAAATCTACATAGCGTATAAGTAAGGATAATATTTTTTTTAGAGATTGTTTTAGGACATTTATATACTTCAACACCTCATAGAAATTATAGGGACGCACGCTATGGCGAGTCTCATTGGACGAATGATGAAACCGCAGGAGTACTTCAAATCATTGATCAAGTTTGCTCCCCCAATACGACTTTTGCTGGTTTGAGTAACGTCACACATTGGGACAATTGGAATTTTGAATTAGGAAACATTGCTGGCATCCTGAATGAAACAGTAATGGACAAGGGGTTACAAAGGAGTAAAAAAGTCGCCCCATTTATACGGAAGGTTAAGAAAATTAAAAGCAATTATTTTAGGGAAAATTGCGTTATATTTATTTATCTTATCACCAAAAATGCATTCTCTGTTGTATTTTGCTGCAGGGAATGGTAAACTGTTCGGAAGCTATTCACCGATGCTTCCTCGGCGGAGTGGAATTAGATTGCGGATAGGTATTTAAAGAGCATTTTTTGGAATGGGTAAGTTCTTGCGTCTTTAATGGAATTCCAACCGCAGCAACTAGAGGGTGAGATTATTAGCTAAATAAACTGGTATCATCATTTTCTGTATTACTTACAATGGAGGCGCAAACCATGTTCAGCCCAGATAATTTTTTGACCTTATTAGTTTGAAAGAGCAAGTCTTTACAAACAACATTTGGTTCGGCACTTGAGCAGATGCGCAAATTTCAGCACGTTATGGGCGCCGCAAGTTCGCAAAAACGCATGATTTTTCGGGCAATGCCCAGCGCGAGCTCAACATCGTGCGTTTTTGCGAACTTGCGGCGCCCATAACGTGCTGAAATTTGCGCATCTGCTCAAGTGCCGAACCAAATGTTGTTTGTAAAGACTTGTTCTTTCAAACTAGGGCGAAGGCATACCCCTGGTCAGGAAATTTTCGAAAATACTCAAAATTTAAAAAAATTAGTTTGCTATTGGATATGATAAAGCAACTATCTAAGATCACAAAAACGCTTAAATTATGAAAATCCGATCAAAAATGAATTTTTGGTGATTTTTTGAATGAACGAAAACAGGGTATTTTTCGTGTTTTTCGCACCTTTGAGTGGGTGTGGCGGGCGCAAATGGGGCCATTGAATGAAATCCTTCTTCACTTTTGCTAGACTCACCTAGGACTACAACATATCCAAAGGGCATCAAGATCGGTGATTCTGTCGGTGAAGGGTTGTCCTCCTTAGCAGAGTTAGAGCTAGAGCAAGTTGTTGCTAATTTTTTAAAAATATATCTGTACACTCCAGATTTTGACACTTTTTGAAGTAGAAGATCAAGTTTAATAAACCTTCATAAAAATTGGAACTCGTCGAAACTGGCCTAAAAATAACTCATCGCCATTCTATTAATCAACTTACTATAAATTTGTGGTTCAGAATTTCAAAATGAATTCCCAGTACGGGGAAATGTGCTGACTTTGACGATTTGGGTGATAAAAATGCAATTAAAATACAGTTTTTATACGTAATAATATTTACTTCATGGACCAATTCAGGTCAAATGCCACTAAACTTTAATATTACCAACCTGCTAGTCTCTAGATTTATGTACAAAAATAATTGTGATAATTGCGGTGGAAGCAGAAATTAGTTTTCGAGCTTACAAATATACTTCAGAAAATGCATTTCTGAATTTCTTATAGATTTAAATTACCCAAAAATTATGACATATTTATTATTATTCAATAGAAATCAAATCATGTCATTATTCAGACTAATTACTGTAGGAATATATTTAATAAGCGAAGTATTTCTACTTGCATTTCACGAGATAATTCGCCGATCTTTTTTATAACGAATTTTCCCCTTAATGATAATAGTATCAGAATATTGTGATTAAGCTGTTATGCTTATCTTCTCTCATGTATAATTAAAATGTGTAGGATTTATGATAGCTTTTTAAGCATTTATGATGAACAATTGCGTAATATACATTCTAGTAAATTATTGAACACAAGGTCTCTCTTTTAGAATTTACTCATTTGTTTAATTTATACACTAATTTCAAACAATGCACTACTTTCACGACAAATTTAACACATCATTGCTTTCAAAAGTCAAGCATACTTATGTACATACACACACATTTACATGTGTACATACGTAGATGAGGATCACACCACGTGTGTAGATAATCCCTGGTAATCCCATTCTCATTTATGTACATTGTACAATAATAACTTTACTCTAATTAAGAGAATCTCCCCACTCTGACAGAAAGAAGAAAAAGGAATGCATGTATTTACGTATGTATACCAGTGACGAATTCGAATTGAATTAAACTCATTTGGATTAACTTGATTAAAACGCGATACCGTTGAATTATGCTGTTTTTTTACATAAAAGACGTGAATCCATGTTTAAGTAGATTGACGAAAAAAGATATAAAAGCTTTGCCAACCCGTGTTGCATAATCTAGATGATCTTATAACTCTCATTGCACAAGTTTGTGTTGAAAACGTTTGAAATTTCGACATGTTGAATTTAACCAAAAATCCGTTTTTCCTCCTGCTTGGAACTTTCATGCTGGTCGAACTCGTCGTTTCGGGAGTAAGTTTACCAAAAATTTTGCATTTCATTTCTCTTATCGATCAATTTACTTATTCAATTTTTTTCTAATTTTAGGAGGAAGACACGCCTCGAGTGAAACGTGGGGCTGCCGTGTACATCACTTTTCCCTCTGGGGGCCCGGCCCCTCACGTGGAAAAGAATCCACAGGATTTTATCAACGCGGTGGGAGCGAATAATCCGTACTCCGCGTCTGCCGGGTATGGGGGTGGATTATTAGCGCAATATCAGCAACACGGGCCTTCCGCGGGTGGGGGCGGGCACGGGGGAAGTGGGGGCGGTGGATCTGGTTACGGTCGAAGGAAAAGAAGCACCGATTTCCAAAATCGAAATAATTTCAATTTTGAGTATAATCCTTACCACAGTTTCGAGTAAGTGAAAATTAATGAAAAAGGAAAGCGAAATTGGAAAGCTATTGGTATAATTTCGGAAAATTTATTTATATTTATTTCCAAATTACTAATTTTCTTCTTGTTTGTAATTTAATTGGATATTTTCTAAAATCATAATTAATTTATGTACATGTAAATTCTGGGCCTGGGATCTCATAGTTTAAAAATATTGATGTAATTTAAACCAATAGTTGTGTAATATATTATTTATTTAATGGTATCGGGTCTTATCATTAGTAATTTATACTTATTTAACTGAAAACTGATTGTATTTCGAAATCACTTTTTCAATAAAGTAAATATTTATGCATAAAATATAATAGCAAAATGTTTTGCAAGATTAATGCTTCATATTAATAACAATATTTGAAAACTCTGTTATATTACTTGCTCCAATTTTTGTTTCTTATAATTCCAATTAATTTCAGTCCCCCAAGCTGGAATTCGCCTCAAAATTTAGAAGATTCTTATTCTTATATACCTCCCAGCACGACGAATGATGACGACGAAACTTCACCGTTTGCTTTAAATGTGCCAAATCCATTCAGCGTTAGTGGACTTTTGGAGGCTGCGACGAACAATAATAAAGGTCTGGCCGCCGTTTTCCGAGCCTACACGGCCAGAACGCCGTACTACGGGCTGAACGGAAGTGTCGACAACGAGGAGCCCAGCAATACGACTTATAATTCTGATTCTTGAAATTTTTCAGTGAAATAAAGAAATAAACAAGTTTTATATATTTTTCTGCATTTTTATTTTTCCGTCAAAGAGAAATTAAATTAATTGCATTTTATACATCAATTGCGCAACTTCCTCGGATAAAGAATGGCAAAAAACCGGAAGCGTCGGTCTCGTTTTCTTTTTCCGACTCCGCATGCCTGGAGTGTTTGACGCTGCGTTTTATTTAACCACTCACCACGACTTTGTGATTGCATAATATGTAAATTGCTCTATATTTGATTATTTAATTAAATCCCCACTGCGTCATCTCATCTCCCCATGAAGATATCCTCACCGTGATACCAATTTTAATTGACATGGGACAAACCATCTGAAATAAAAATGCACAAGATTGTCACTCGCTCGTCACGTCGTGATTTAGTGTTTCGCTATAAAAGAACATGTAGATTATAAATCGTCCGCAGTCTGGGTTTCAATGCAAGATTGAATTTGTTTGTACCGAAAACCATTAATTTTCAAAATGACAATTTATTATGCAATTTTGGCCACGGTTCTTCTAGCCGGAGGAGAATGGGCTAATGCTCAAGAAGGGGAATCTCATATTCGGGTAAGTTCAGCTTCAGTTAATAAGTTTTAATTATTTTAATGGTTGTTTCCGATTTTATCAGGTCCGTCGAGGAAACTTTGGGGAGCGTTACTCGGGAGGAATTGGGCCTGGAAGTGGTCAGTCTGCTAAATAGCTAAAATTTTTCATCAGTTTCATCAATTTTTCAGTAAATTAATTCTTAAAATTCTTAAAATTATAATTAACTTGTAGCTCATGGGGTCGGATATGGTGGAACAACTTCGCTCGGAGGTCACACTGGAGGCGGAGGTGGTGGACCCCCATTTGACCACATCACTTTGAAAGCGGTTTCTGGTGCAAATGACCAATTCATCGCGTCTTACCAGGTAACTTTTTTGGACACATTTCATTAAAATGTTTTATACATAAAACTTGTAAAAATCCCCAGGCAAACCAAAATGCGGGGGCAAGTTCTGCCGGGGCCTTGGATAACTTACAGCAACAGGGACAACATACGGCAGCATATGCTGGTATAATTGCATTAAAATTTGATTTGTACCCGGGGTGAGGTCATAGATCCTTGCCAAGACTATTTGATAAAATTTTTGACCTTTGACCTCAACAGGACGCGACGCTAATCAGGTCGGTAGTTGGTACAACGCCATCGCTACTGGACCAGTTCCCGCCGGATACAAGGGAGAAAATAGAAGACGTCGTCGTTAAACAATAATATGCATGCAATTCCAGTCCAACTTATAATTGATAAACTCATAAAACTGCCCAAATTTTCCGTCTAATGTTAAAAAGGCGTGGTTGCTCCTCCTTCATGGCAAGGATAATTACTTAATTCGTCCAAATTAAGAGACACATTTGACTAAATTTAACCAACATACAGCGTTTTCTGACTGTTGTTCCACTGAAATAAACATTTACGAAAACCAATTTCACTTTCATTCACAGCTTCTTGTGTATTATTTAAGCGAGTCCATTCATCTTAATTACACGACTGCGCCCCATGAGACGCAACCTTCGCTTCTTTAGGTACAAAATCTCTTGCACAATTTGATCTACTGCTATTTCGTGGGGACAAAAGTATTAAATAACAGATCAGTTTAAATTGTTTGTCTTCTTTTGTTTGGAAAAAGAGAGAAATTTGGAAAACCTCGAGCTCTGGGGTTTGTTCTCTCATTGTGGCCTTTGGCATATGCATCATTCTAAAGATAAGTTTAAGTCAGTCCCTACACAGAAATATCGATGACTCGATGTCATGTCGCAATCAGGACTTTTGGCCCATTGTAAATGTTTCAATGAAACAAATGATCCATTGGATATATAAATTAGCTTTGGTGTTGTCTGCATTTTTGAATCCTTGTAATTTTAAGTAAAATGTAGTCAAATCATACATACATAGTTTTTTTGAAGGTGAAGTAATTGCTTTCAACGGGGGAAAACACATGAAAATTACGACACTTACATTCCTGTCGTGTAACAGTTAAGTCAGCGTGTGTCGCGTGTGGCGAAGGATTGAAAAATTTTATTTAACGAGTCGAGTTATATAAGTCGTTTCGAAATCGGGGTGTATAGTTTCAAAATATGAGAGTCACTACCACCCTTGGGGTTCTTGTCGTGTGTAAGTTGCCACATATGCAGGTCGGTGTGTCAAGTTGGGTTTAATTTGGGTACACATATTTTTCTAGGTGCATTTTTTGTAAGTGCTATTTCTGCGGAGAGAAGTTATGATTCTGAAATTCCTAGAAGTCAGATTTCGAAACGGGTCCGATTTATTTTGGGATTAAGCAGGGTAAGGAAGGATAAGTGTAGACTTGAATCAGATAAGTGACTTGGGATTAATTTATTTCAGCCGAAACGAGGATTTGGACATGGGGGAAGTTATGGGGGAGGGCATGGAGGAGGAGGTCACAGTGGTGGTGGGTATGGCCATAGTGGAGGTCATGGTAGTGGCTATGGTCATGGTGGAGGTCATAGTGGAGGTGGTGGTGGGTATGGTCATGGTGGAGGTCACAGTGGCGGGGGATATGGTCACGGCACTCCCCATGGTGGACTTGGTTACGGTATTGTAGCAATTCCAGTGTCACACGGTCATGGTGGTGGGGGCGGACGTCATGGAAGTTCTTATGGGGGAGGATATGGATATGGGGGTGGGGCGGCAGCAATTGCGGAGCAAGCGGCTAATCAGGTTACCTAACAAAATAAATTTACCTGTGTAATTTGGTGTCTTATTAAATGTTGAAATTGCTAATGATAGGCCAAAGCCGCTCTTGCCGCACAGGGCGCAGCGGCTTATCAAGCGAGGTGACTAAAATTGTAAAATTTTATTGCACAAGAATTTGTAGTTAATTTATTAACATGTCGAATTTAGCCATAAGGCTCGGGCAATTTTAGCAAATCAAGCATCCCAAGCAGCACAACAAGTGAGTTTAAAAAATTTTACAAATTAACTCCAATGAATCTCATTAATTAATTCTGAAATTATTTATGCAGGCCCAAGCCGTCGTCTCTGCTAAACAACACCAAGTTGAGCATATTACCCAGGTGCTTTAAAAAGTGTAACGTCATCGGAAAAGATAATTCTTCAAGGGTGTAAAAAATGGGTAATTACCTTTGAGATATTTTTCATAGGCTGCAAATGCTGCGCAAGCTGCTGCGTATGCAGAATCAACACAGGTACATCATTTTTTTTTAATTTAAACTCCCAATTAAATTACGATAATTAATTAATATTTCGAATTCAATTATACAGTTGGCAAAGGCGAATCGTGCCGTTGCTGCGGCTGAACATGCGAAACAGCGAGCCCAACAAGCTGCCCATTATCATGGCGGATATCATGCTCAAGACCAACTTTACGCGGCTCAGCATGCACTTCAAGTAGGGTTTTGTAAACATAATCAGTTTTTTTTTTAAAACTTGACTTTGACCTTCAAAATTTTTAGGAAGCCCGAAACGTGCAAGCCTGGCAGGCGGAACAAGCCTACCACGCTCAACAGAATGCGTGGGCCTTAGCTCAAAAACAAAGTTCGGCCCTTCACGATTTAGCAGCGGGTCAAGAAGCAGCAAATAAGGCGGCATGGGCGGCGAATTCGGCGCAGTCTGCGGTGGGCGGATATGGGCATGGTGGTGGTGGTTATTCGGGGGGTGGGGGAGGAGGGGGTCATGGTGGCAGTGGTTATGGGAAGTAAAAGATGGTTAAGGCATGAATAAAATACTAACCTATTTATTGATATGCAAATATGTATACATAAGCAAATGGGTAAATAGATACTAGCAATAATAAAGATTTATTTTAGCATGTGTCCACAAATGTGGTCAAGTCATGGTCAAATGCGGCTTAAGTTTTAATATGAGTGACCCCGGGGTCAAATTGATGAGGTTTTCATGTTTTGCAAAAATCAATATGCATAAATTTTAGAATTTCCTATACATTATTTTGCAAGGCGTATGTATGATCCACGTGTATACATAATGCTGTATATACAGGTGTGCATTTATACTATTTATAACCATCAATCATGCCATGGACATTACATATATCGATTGGTACATAAGTTACAAGTAGAAAACGTATATAATAAGTATGTACGCTCAATAAGTCATTATCAAACCGTGAGCAAACATGAATTGGCACATTTGCTAACAGTCTTTATCCACTCCGTTAAATCAAATACGTACATATGTACTTTATTACGTATCACACCCTCCAATTTCTGGATAAGGTCATGTAATGAATTAAAGTGCGCCATCATTGTTTGTTATCTTATCCCGCACATCCTGCTTGTCACAGAAAATAGACGTAGATAGTTGTCTGTCGTTACTCATTATTGTGCAAATAATACATATGCTTATTTAGTCTATCAGGGTTAACCACGTTGACTACTACTTTTCAAAATACACAAATTCCTTCAAAAAATGGAGAAACTATTCCAATTTACTTTGGCCTTGATTATCCTGTGCATTCTCCCATTCAGCAGTGGTACGTTGTTCTAAAGCCTCATTAAAGTGTACATAATTTGCACCATTGTAAACTAATTTAATTAAAATCTTTTCCAGGGTTAGAATGTTTCCAGTGCGCTTCCGGTTTTCCCAACGTTGGCGGATTTCCACTCCCAATTTCGTCCAAATGTGAAAAGAAAGTTCCCGATGAGTATAAAAAGACTTGCGAAACAACGAATATTTTGGGTCCTTACACCAAAAATGGAAACGTGACCATCGCCCAAGACGAGGAACTGACCTGTGCAAAAGGAAGTGGAAAGTTGGGGGACACGACCTACGTTGTGAGAGGATGCCTCCCCAAAGTTCTCATTTCCGCCGTGGATTCGACCCTGCTTGGCTCCTGTAACTCTAACAATTTGAAACAATGGGCAGAAAAATTTAACCTGACGATCGACCTGAATCCGGACGAGGCAGCAAAAGTTAGTGTTGACCTTTGTTTCTGTGATGGGAACGGGTGCAATTCTGCACTGGTGGGAAGCAGACCTTCGAATTGGTTATACATTTTTGCTTTAATTAGTGCAGTTTTATTAGCATTTAATGTTAAGGTTTGAGGATGTGTCCAATTTAAATTAATGAATTATTGAGCTGTGATTAATAAAATAGCGAAAAAAATAATTATAATGTTATTGCCTCTTTTTTTGTGGACCGTGTTAGAATTTAAAAAAATAGAAATCGAAAGTAGGCCTAGGACTTTGGCTCATGTGTGAAATGTCATCATCATCTATTTTTGATCGGGGTTTCCTCATGCATGCATGCATGCACTTTAACCTTAGTGAGACGACGACGGGATTACTAGAGTCGAAAAGTTGGCGAATTTCGCTGAAAGTCTGATTGTTCTTTTGCACTGTGGGTGAGGAACAAGTGAAATAAAATACAGCGAGGAAGACAAAAGAAGTTGTTAATCTTCAACGGATCCCTGTCTAATTTTAATCCCAAATGTACGAGGACATGCTCAAGAAAAAAATCGTAATTATACCCAGATCACAGTCCGCGTGTATGTATAAGAAAATGTGTAGAGTCGTTGATCAGCATCAGGGACGATTTGCATGTATGTATTAGATCGTTGTTTTGCCAAGTAAAGTCAAAAGTGCCAACAATTTTGGCATCTAGACAAAAAGGACCAATTGCAAAAAGTGGTGGATACAATACATTTCATGTTGTTGCGAAATCTTTAAGTATATGCAAATGGCTTTGCACACATGTAAAATCCTGTTCCGTTCTATTTTTTTGGTATAAACACACACGGGCTTTATCTTGGTCGGAATTAAAGTATGCAATACAACCCTATTTAAATATCCTAATAATATAAATGCCGAGTCTTAAAATGTAATTGCTACATATGTAGAGATACAGCTCTTGTAAATGTCATCGGGTCGTGCATGTGGAAAATGAACTTTGTTCATTTTTATACGGCTTGACGAAATCATTCCGAATCTGCAATTCCTTGGATGTGGTCATTTACATACATACTTGGCTATCGTAATTAATTAAGAAAAGCGATATAATTTTAAGTTTAACGTAGTGCATTTATTAAAATTTGTTAATTTGTGTAGTATAAGTTAAGTATCTACAAGTGATTTCAGAAAAAAATTGCATAGGAAAAAACGTACCCAAATCTTAACCAGTCAAAATGCCAGCCATTGGTGAAAGTCCGTTTTTCCTCACATTATATGCAACCAAATCCACGCTTTTAATTGATAAGGATGGATCTTCTGAATTAGGCGAAAGTCAAGAAGATGAAAAAGATGACGTTTCTTCACCTCCATCTGAAGATTTTTCATCCGTTTCTGCAGATAAGGTTATTCGAGATGGAGAAGATGACGGTATGTTAAATTAATAAGTATTTTCCGTAATAATTACTGAGGAATTGCAGTTTAAATGAAACCATATCATTGAATTTTATAGGTGATGATTTCAATTTCCGGGTGCCAAAGTATTTCCAAGCACTTTTGACGCTCTTTGTATGCTTTGCTCTGCTGCTATGCACACTCACCATAATCAGGCAGACGCGTCGATTGTAAGTATACCCCATTGCTTTAGAAGACAAAAGCATCCGTCATTTATCTATTTTTGTATTCCAATTCTTGACAAAATAAATTTCGTCTAAAGTCGTCGAAATTTCACAAGTTAAACAAATACTTACAAAATTCCAATTCTTGACAAAATAAATTTCGTCTAAAGTCGTCGAAATTTTATAAGTAAAAAAATATGAAAAAAATTATGAAAATCTATGTGGGTTGAAATTTTTTAAATTTATTTTTGTGATCGATAAGAGTTATGGAACACATAACGTGCGGCGTCATAAAAATGAAAAAAAGATAACAACCAATTTTTCTAGAAGTCTTTGCGATAATTTTTTCGTATTTTTCTACGCATGTCTTGATATTGAACTGCAGATAGAGTTCGAAATATTGACAAATAAAGCAATTTGATCCTCACTTTTCAACTAAAATTTCCGTGCAATCAAATCAATAAATACCCCTCTTAATAAAATGTGGATGATTGATTTATACACATTTAGATGTCAGAAAAGTGCCTGTACCAAGAAGGACCCCATAATCCGGGTGGAGTCGGACCAAGACAGAGGAGTTCGACCTCTTAATGGACGCCAAAATGAAAACGGGGCTGACCCCAACAGGGTCAAAGACGTCGAAAATGGAACTGGTGGTGGTGGTGAAGCGGCTTCAGCTCCCACACGTACGAACGGTGGGGGCAAGAATTTTGACCATTATCATTACTCTCCGGCTGCTCCTGTCACCGAAACGAAGTCAGCACCACCCACGCCCTCCAATAAAACTGACCACGAAAACGACAAGGACTTGCTCAAGTTGAAAAGGGTTCGTTTCGTGAGACGAGTTTCTGGTCCATTTGCAGATGAAGCGTTGGGTAAGGCAATCTTTAATGTATAAAAATTGCATTCTTCATGGCAATCTGATTTCAACTATGTACATACAGATTTCGTTGGAGAGACGTACAAAAAGAAGGTTAAAGAAGTAGTACAACCCGAAAATCTTGGCAAAGTGCAAGGACACATTAGAACACAGCAATCTGTTCGCAAACTAGGCAAAGCTTCAGCACAACCAGAAATACCACAACCGTCAAAGTAAAAGAAAGTGAAATCAAATTAGGTACCTGAATTGAGATTGTGTACGCAGTTAATTATGAAATTTACTTAAAAAGTGAATAAATTTTATATTATGAGGAAAGTCTTTTCTAGTTAGAATTTATTTATTTATTTACTTATCAAATTATCAAGATGTTTGAAAACAGATAAAACAAACGATTTAATATACAAAATACATAATAAGTTATTTGGAACAAGTCCAATAATTTTTAAGACGAATCTAATAACAATAAAGTCCATCAACTACGTAAAAGTAATATGAAGTAAAAGTTGACCATGAAATATCTTTTCTAATCGGACTCGGAATCATTTCTCCGATCTCGGCCACCGCGGACATTGATGGAAAATTTGTATTCTTGATCACATCCCATGTATGCATCACTCATGTAGTACAGCGTGTAATGATGCTCTCCTGGAATTATTACAACAAAAATAATATTAAAATAAGTAAAATACAATATATTGTAGAATGCTCTTAATTGTTTTGCATATGGAATAATTTTACCTGGACTTGGTGCGATAAAGTCGAGCTTAACTTTCGCCTTTTGTTGAAGAGTCAGTCGTTTAATGGAAAGTAAAGAGTTACTCTTCGGATCTCCAATCACCACCCACCAACCTTCTTCTCGTTTCTGCAAAAATATTATAAAAAGGTCAGGTATTGTTGTTGTACTTCAATTATGGCATACTTATTATGGTAAAATCTTACATGAGGGAAAAATGGTGCAATGACTGGACCCGTGACTTCATCCTCACGCTCCAACTGAACCATGACATTAACACTGGATCCCGTTTTAACCTTGTCCTTGTTATCAATCTCGTAAGTCAATTCAATGTTGGGGTAGCGATTGCAGAAGCGGGCAACGTCACTCATCTGGGTTGCAGACAATCCGTGAAGAACTTTATTTCTGTCTTCATCCTCCAGCTCCATGAGGTCGAAAATGGTTTCCACTTTCTAAACAGAACGATAAGCAGAATTAAATTATTTCAAGCCAAGTAGTAACATTGTCATAAATAATACATAATGTTTATCCTTATGTACCTTTTCTGTACATTTCTTGATGGTGTCTGCAGTAAAGTGCGGAATTTGCTTCAAGTAAGAGTCCTTTGCCCACATTGCCTGCGTTACCATTTGAGCAAACTCCATAGATGCAACGGCAGGTGAGAGCCACCCATTAGAACTGAGAACATCAACGCACGCTTGAATGAGTCGAACAGCCTGGAATAAAAATTCAGAATAAAAATTTAAAAACATTTGAAAACATACAACGCATCTCGTATTTTCACTTTTGCCTTACCTTGCTCAAAACCAATTCTGTATCTTGTTGAAGTTCAGCACTCAACTGAATTCGGCAAAGATGAGCTTGAAGCAAAATATTTGCTTTGACATTGGGATCCGTAAACTTGATCTGAGCACTGGAAGATGATGGCTTGTTTGGTAGTTTAGTTGCCAAAGCTTGCAACACGTTGTCTTCGTGATGACGAATTGCCAGCGTGGAGTACTCGTAGGATGAACTCACAATGTCCAAAAGTCCTCTCAGTTTAGTTTTAGCAGTCAAGGACATGCTGAACAATTCAATAGTCGTGTAATTGATGTAGTAATATGCAGCAATCATTCCCAAATTGAGTGGGCTAATGTCCATGTCCTCTTCGATTGAGATACATTTAGATTGCTCCAAATCGTTCAATGTATTTTCGACAACTTCTGACAAATGATCTGACAAGTGACGATGAGTTACTCCTTGCAAGTTGTAATAGTTAGGATTTTGCGTCATTCTATAATAATTTGTACAATCAAATTAATTACGTACTCATCATTTAACTAATAATAATACTAATAAAAAATAATGCTTACCTGCGATATAGGAACGTCCAAGTCAAGTAGTCAACGGCATCCTGTTTATTTTCAATTGTCTTTGTCACAATTTCTGCATTGAAGTGATCGTGGAGACAATGGTCCAAATGACTTTCCACGGGGAGAGGGTCATGTAAGAATTTCTTGAAAAACTCCTTCTTCGAAGTTTGACACATGAGGACGCATTTGGAATCCTCATCTTCCAAGGGACGACATGCCACGCCAACCATTCGAAGGACGTCCGTTACAACGTAATCTTCATAGGCATGAATCTTGCCGTTGTAATTTTGAGTGTCCTGATAAGCAAAGAAAAAAGTCAAACAAAATAGTAAAAAATGTATGTCCATTCGTTACTGATGTTTTTACTCACCATAATAATGACGAGATGTGAGTGAAAGTTAATGTTCCAACACATTGTTCGAGTGGCAACCACGACCTAGTCAGAAAGGATTATAATTGTTAGTCTTATTTTAGAATCATTATTATCAGAGTAAAAATATATTTTAAAATTTCACCTGAATAGCTCCTGATTGAAACAATGTCGTAATAATGTGACGATCCTGTACGGAAGTTCCTTCATGCAAATAGGCGACTCCTTGTGCTAAAGTTCCCTTCAACGTGTCGTCTTGGACTTTTGCAAATACTCCCTGCAATTCGGATTCACTCAGAAGCAAAAATCTTCCCTGCTTTTCGTCCATCTCGGCATAACTGATGATGTCAATGGCTGTCAGTTTGGCTTGTTTTCTTGAAGGGACAAAGACGACTGCTGGCTTGTCAGTAGAGAGTCGCGTTATCGCGTTGTAAACGGGTTTTGACATTGCTGCTAATCGGGACCCATTGTGTGAAATGTTGTATCCCTGAATATGCAACTCCAGAGGGAGTGGTCGCACGGAGGGGTGGAAATTAAACGTATGAGTTGGTGCACAACCCAACCACTGAGAAATATCTCGAGCATTGCTCAACGAAGTGGATAAGGATACCATTCGAATGGGTCGCTCAGTTTGAGAGGCAATGTATCGCATACGGGAACAAATAATTTCCACGATTGGACCTTCTTCTCCACCCAAAAGTTGGAGATCGTCAATTATGAAGAGGTTCACGTTCTGAACATTTTTCCTTTGTTTCCATCGTCGTGACAAGACGTCCCATTTCTCTGGAGTACTGATGACGACGTTTCCCTTTGCTAGCAACTTCAAATCAGTTCCAGTCTCGCCAGTGAGTAGAATTACTTTTTTGCCCAGCTTTGAAAATTTTTCACTCCATTCGTTATACATGATCTCGGCAAGTTCCTAGAAAAAATATTTTAAAATTTTCATATAGTAATTTGCATAATAATAAATCAAATTCGTAAAATGTGATTATTATGTCTACCTCTTTTGGGCTGATGTAGACGCAATGATCTTCACCAGATTTTCCACTTGCAGAAAACATTCTCATAATTGCGAATTCTGCAATCAGTGTTTTTCCTGAGCCAGGTGGAGCTCCAATAAACACATTTTCATCCGAGTTGTACACTGCATTGAAAACTTGGGTCTGAATCGGGTTGAATTGGTTCATTTCCTTGTACAACAGTTCAAAAGTGGAATTTCTCAAAGCGGAAATGGGAAGTGGTTGCAAATCCAAGAGTTCCGTTGGTGGGGGATTCTTTTCTGGGAGAATCAAATGACGGAAAGAAACGGGCAAAAGTGTTTCGGATCCAATCCATCGATCGCTTACGACTCGGATAAAGTATTGTGGAGGGAGTGGTTCAAAAATGGGCACGTAGAATTTGACAATATGTTCATCGGCTCGAAACTTTTGTTTGAGTAAAAAGTATTCATGATGTAAAACTACTTCAGAGTCGACATCTTCAACCACGATCCAAAATGCGACGGAACCGCCGTGCAATTTTTCGTCCCATTCAAAGTCAGGAGTAATTGCGAGTTCAACTTTTAACGTTGATCGAGTAATTGGTTGAATTGTGCAGGAAAGGTCTACTTTGGGAAGGTGGTGAATAAACTTGTGAATTGTTTTCCCCAATTTAGGAATCCTGATTAATTCTCCAAGTTCGAGTGGATTCAAGTCGAAAAGCCGGTCAAACGAGATGGATTTCTTCTCTATTTTCTTGACTACTTCTTCCGGGATTTTCTTAAATTGTCGCAACGGGCACATTGATTGCCACCTAAATGAAAATTAAATTAAAAGTCAGGTCAGGTCAGTTGAAGTTTAATAAAAAGCACAGCGTGAGGACAAAAAGGAGGTAAACTTACATGCGACGGTCAACCATTTTTGCCAGTGCTAACGTCTTATCTGATAACTGCGCCCAACCTAGAAACAAAAGTTGTAAAAAGTCGAAATTACATTTCAGGTGTTATATTACTAAATAGGATAATTAATCGAGACCCATGATAACAAAAAAAATTCTAACCTCTAGAAAGTACAATTTCATAAATGGCTCGAACCAGACGTCCAGCAGATTGTGTGACTATAATTAAGAAAAAAACGTAAGTTTGATTTCAATAAAACAGAGAATCGACTTGTTTGTAGCATTGATGTGCTATAATCATTACCGTAAACCATGTCAGCCATCAGGGCAAATCCTTCCAACTTCAATTGAGAAATGTAAGCCTGCAGAAGAATGGATACTTTTGCGGATGCTTCTTCCACATTTTCCTTGATTGGGATTGGAACTCTTTCCATTAGTTTTTGCAGTTCAAGTTTCTCCTCTTCTCGGACAGTCAAGTTTCTAAATTCACCAGACAATGAAAATACGCGAAGTAGCTCAATCTCGCTAAGATGAGGTTTCAATAGTTGGTTGTAGGTTTGCATCTGGAAATTTATAAATGCATACAATTACTTTACTATAAACTAATCCATAAAATTAACTTTTATACAAATTATTGCTAACCGTATCACAAGTGATGTAATAATGTGATGCAATTCGTCCAAGTTCAGTGGGAACGAATGACCCACTTGTTCTATCGTATCGAATTAGACTACATTTGTCAAGTTTAACGGCAGCCGTGTGAATTATGTTTGCCCGATGGTTGGTCAACAATTTATCATCATCGTCAACTTGGTAAGTTTGGGGAGCTTTCATACTTCGAACATAATAATACGTATAGCTTAACCACTCCACCGCGTCCTTCACCGTTTGAATGGATCTAGAACATATCAAACATTACATATCTTAGATAATATTTACGATTTACATACTTATAGATTATGTATGTATTACGTACCCATTCACAATTTCTGCATTCAACAAGTCGGGTAGTTTTGGGATGAGTTGTGATTCAATTGGAAGTTGTTGATTCAACAGTGACAAATAGTATCGAAGTTCAGAGTGATTCGTGATGAGAATCCCTTCTCCTTTTGTATCATATTGTGGACGACCAGCTCGACCCAACATTTGAAGAACATCTAACGCTCCAAGTTCCACCCATCGACCCTTTTCAGGATTGTATACCTAGAAAAAATAAAAGAAAATATACATTAATTATGTAGCGCTGTTACCTAACAAGTATCAACTAATTTTAATTATCTAATTTATATTTACCTGTGTCCCCTTAATGATGACGGTATGTGCAGGTAAATTAACACCCCACGCCAAGGTGGCAGTGGACACCAGAACTTGAATATGCCTGTCCGCAAACAAGTCCTCGACCAAGGTACGGTCCACTCTGGTCATACCAGCGTGATGAATTGCAAATCCGTAGGGAAGCAGATCCTTCAACTCTGAATTCTTAACTTCTTCGGCTTCTTTTCTGAGCACTTCCATGGACGCACTCCCCTCTCGCAGAAATTGGCCAAGTGTGTCCTTCTCTAAACACATGTCCCTTAGAGTTCTGGCCGTCTTCCCAGTTTCTTTACGAGAATGGACGAATATGAGGACTTGATTTTTTCCTGCGTGTTCCATCACTTTTTCGTAAACTATTTCATTTGTGAGTTGGTATCGCTTGAGCGCCTTCTTCTCGCTAACTCCAATATACTGTTGCTCCAAAGGGACGGGACGGAAACTGTTGTCAAAGTAGAAGAGTCCAGTCGATAAGTCCACCTTGAGAAAGTAGGCCACATCTTTGTAATTGGGAAGTGTAGCAGACAATCCGACAATGCGAATATCTCCTTCTTGAGAAACCTGTAAGGCAATAATCAATGAAATAACACAACAAAATTAATCAGTAAATGGGCAATTATAAAAAAATTATAAAAAATCTCGCTTACGGATCTCATGGCTCTTGCAACAACCGTTTCTAAAACAGGTCCTCGTTCATCTTGGATCAAAATATCATTATATTAATATTAATATTCATCTCGATAATAATGAATCAAATATATTTTTTCTTACCATGAAGTAAATGAACTTCATCAATAATAATCAAACGAACGACGGAGGTAATACTTCGATTTTCTGCAAGTGTTACAAATAATACATTTGATTAGGATGTTCTTATTCAGACGTGGTTCCATCAAGTATATATATAGAGCACACCACATTTGATTTATTTTTATTTACCTTTTCGTGTGATGACATCCCACTTCTCGGGAGTGCAAACGATAATTTGCGTAGCGTTGAGTTGATCTCTGCTAAGCTGCGTGTCTCCCGTCAGTTCAGAAACGACCAGTTTGTAGGATGATAAACGCTAGATTACATAAATAGAGTTATTATTTTAAGTAAAATGTGGCAATTAATTAATTACTCGAATTTAATTTACCTTCGTAAAACTTCCAACCATTTCCTGTACTAAAGATCTCATTGGAGCAATGTAGACGATTTTGAATTCGTCAACGTTAATGGTTCCATCCGCATTTACGTGTTTTCCAATTTCTCGCATCATTGTGAGTAATGCTACATTAGTTTTACCAGCTCCAGTGGGGGCACAAATCAAAAGATTCTGATCACTTTCAAGAGCCGCCTTATGAATACGAGACTGAATCCTATTCAAACTTTTAAATCCTTCGAACGCTGGTTGAACGTAGTGTGGTAGTCGATCTATTCCAATCAGAGATTCCTCTGCACCGAAAGTTTTAGGCTTCAAAGCTGGAACATGAACTTCTTCATATCCTGTAGAATAACAAAACATTAAAATTGATTATTTATAATGAATAAAACAAAATGTAAGATGATTTTATGCATTTTCGTATTTCATACGAACCCTTTCTCTGTTTCCGGAAAGAACCGTCAGGAAGTTGACATTTGTCGTTTGACATAAAATGCGAGCCATCCTTGAACATTTCAGCCATCAATTCTAGATCTAACATTTTACGAGATCCGGGGACCTAAGAAATTGCAATATTTATTAGTAACCAATTAATTATATTCTATAATAAAATTTAATTTCTACCTGTCCAGAAATATTTGAACCAGGAATAGCTCCAGCTTTTGCAGAGTCTCTTGTTGACATTGTCGAGTTGCCAGACGGATCTTCAATAGATTCTCCAGTTTCAATCTGGCTCAAAATTTTAGTTAAATCTGCATCCTGACGCATTTTATCCTTGATGTACAATTTTTCCTTCTCCGTTTGTGCAGTGGCCAACAGAGTACAGTATAAAACTAGAAAATATAACGCTAGAATATATAATAGCCTCATAATCATCATAATACACAACAAAATTTGACTACTCTTACTCATAAATCTGTGCTTCTTCAGAATCTTGATAAACTCAAAGCAATCAACTCCAAGTAAGAGGACGAGTCGATTTTCGAAATCTCTGTCGTCCTGAGCAGTCTGTAGAATTTCGACAACATCCTTTGCCCTGGCTTGAGAAGTGATCGAGTCCTTGTAATATTTGGATAATTTCCTCTGAATCCAATAAGCATCAATGTCCAGCGGATGTAATCGTTTATCCTTCTTTCCTGAAGTTGCCTTTGTCTCATATTCAACGAGCTGCACAAAAATATATAGTTTAATCAGTTAATTATTTTGTCATTTTTATCGCTTTTAATTTAACTACAAAATTAAATCGCAACCATAATATTGCTTACACGTTGCGCCTGAATAGCTGACGTGTCTCCAGCTTCCTCTCCTTCTTGGTCATCAACCTCGTCTTCGTTAATCTCTCCATAAACATCCTCATCGTCTTCATCCTCCGACTGATCATCAAACTGCACGTTGATTCCATGCATGTCATCCAAATTCTCTTCACCAGTGGTCGACTTTGTAGTGAAATCTGTAATTTTTTTGCCAAGGTTGACTAAAAGGGCGAATCTTTCATCAGAAACTGGACCAAGCAGAGTTTCCGTCTCCTTCTTGCGATCTTTATCCATTTTCCTATCATTCTTCAGCACAGATAGAATTTCATCTGCAGCTCCGCACAATAGATCTCTTGGCTGAAATTATATAATGCAATTAGAGTTGATTACAATTAAATTCCTAAGCGAAATCTACAATTGATTATTTTTACCTGGTCACCGATAGCATTTTGTATAAAGCTCAACAAAACTTCATAAGTTTGCTTCGTCTCTTGGGTTTTTGGTCTGTACAGAATGGCTCCACCCCCAAAATCTCCAGCAATATATTCGTCATCCCAGACGGAGCCACTCCCCTTCAACTTATGTACAGAGGTCGTCGCCTCGTCACGCTTGATACGCTTCGCCTTCCGCTCCTCCGTTTTGGCTGGTTTCGTCCGCTGAGATCGATCCCCCATCCGGGTGCCAAGGAGCTTCCCGGAAAGGGACATAACTTCTCCGGTGGCGTCATCCCTCTTGACTTTCTCAATAAGACGGACATCAGCTTGTAACACCAAATTGGAGTTCTGAAAAAAGAACATAATTCATTCATACAAAATGAGCGTGGATTTCTTCATTTAAATTCTAAATTTTAGAACAATTAGACAACTTTCTTACCGCTTTGTACTCGTACTGGAGTTTACGTGCGTCTTCATCAGCCATGGCGAAGTGTTTGTGCCGTCAAATTCACGTTTCTATCAAAAGAGCACTTTACACAAACTTACACTTTTGAAATCTCACAAATCAAATTAAATCCAAGATTATCATGGATTATGCATTGAACTTCCTAACAAAGTGTCTTTACTACAAATATCAAAACAAATAACAAAACAGCCGTCTATACAATTTGAAATTTGGAAATTGTTTTCAAAATTATATAGCTTTAAAAAAATGCTTTATTTATTTCCCGTCTATTATTTCGCCGGGACGCATTCGCACAACGAAAATGATTTTAAATTTCCCCCTGAAAGGCAATGGGGTATGGTGAGACTGGACAGAAAATTTGTAACACGTCAACCCAGGGTGTCTCCCATTGATTAAATTCTGAGAGTTTATCTGGCCACAAAATCAGATTGACTGAGCCCCAAAAAAATGACTGAATTTTACAATCACGAAATGCAACGGGACTGAAGAAAACACTGCATTTGCATTTGGCCAGCGCAGCGCAAAAAATGTAGACCCAATTAAAATGTCAATTAAATGTCAATATTAAATATAAAGTGTCGTAGGCTATAAATAAATGGCACGAAATAAAAAGTGGTCTTTGTGTGATTATTGCGGTGGTGGTGGAGGCGAATTGGTTTAATTAAGTAATAAATATTGAGCTGCTGATTTGATTTAATCCAATTAATTAGCATATAAAATAACGTAATAAAGTTTGATGTGGGAGGATACTGGGCAAAAAAAATTGTGGGACTTAATTGCTGACGAAGGACGACGTAATTTTATTTAGTGATTATAAAATAAATTGAACAGTGTGAGAAATGACGACGTGAATTGAGGGTCGGATCGGAGGACAGTGTAAAGTTAGTTGGTTTTAAAGGTTTTAATTTAACGATATTTTAAATTTTACTGAGAAACATGGAAAAGTTTTTAACTACAAAAGTACTAAGATTAAATCAGTAGGAATCCAAGTTTAACTAAATCTCATTCATGACATTAAATTATTTAATTAATGTAAATCATCTGCTACAAATTAACTGGAATCTCATGTCACATGTGTTACTATCACATGTAGAGATATTAAACATTTAATCCACCAGAATTACAAGCTCAAACTTCATTTTCGTGGAATACTATTTTATACTTCACCATGATTAGAATAAGCACATGTAAGTCGACTTTTATATGTAACTAACTACTGTAGTAATTAACTGTTAAATTGAACCTTTTCTTACTTAGTGAGAACATTGACTGGAAGAATGAACCTTAGGAATAGAAGAACGAAGGAGAAGTACTGTTTATTCGTCATCCTGATGAGTTTCTTCATGATCTGTGTCGGGATGGTGTACTTCCTCCCTGACTTAAGGGCGAAGACGACGACAGGGGTACATGACGCATATCAGAAAATACCCGAATTATTTTTAGCCCCTCATCTACCGCCACCTCCGCATGGGGCTGAACTTCGCCTTAATGGTAATTAAAAGGATATTAGTATTAGTATTAGTATTTTAAGCTCTCAATAACCTTGACCTTGTGAATCCAGCAATACTCTAAACCTTTGTAGTTAATTTCATAGGGCTCGAAGGATATCCAGGGTCTGGCAGCCCTCAACACGTCGTTCCCAGGCCAATGCTTCCCCCAAGAGGGAGAGATGAAGATCGAGAAAAGTTATACGCTAAAATTCGCCAAGATTTGGAACAAGAAGATCAACGAGTTTTAGCAAAGCCAAGAATATTTGATGGCCCTTCAACTTCCACCACGACAACTACGAAAATTCCACAAGTCGACGGTCGAGGTCATCTCCAAAGGATGTCTCCCAGCAGTGTGAGCGGAAGTCATCACATTTCTAGTCCAAGAAACGTCCACCCACACCCTGCACTCCACACGGTGGAACATGCTTTCCCTGCTGGGAATTCTTACTTTCATCGGTCTAATTTTACTAAACCCGTCGTTTTTGGTGGAGAAGATCCTAATGGGGCTGTCAGGTCGAAACGGAACGTGATCCGACAGGTAGGTCGCTAATTAATTAAATATAATTCTTAAATTATTATGAATCACGATTTCGCTTCGCTCATGCATAAAATTGGAGCGCGTTTTCTCTTATCATTTATATTTAGCAAATAAATATGTTCCTTTCTCACCAGAAAGCGATTATTTTAATTGTTGGTTTCTGTACCTATGCGGTAGGCAACACGGTATCTTTTTCTTTGTATCAGATTCGATGCATGTACGGCCTCTCACTTGCACCCCTAGACATCTTCCATCCTTTGATCCCCGTATTACAACAATTTGAAAATAAAGAAATACATGCAGATGTGCTAAATACATATGTGTTAAATTTTCTTTGACAATTTACACAATTTTTCAACTACTTCCATATAAGATTGTACGCTTAAAAGCTTAAAATATAACACTTCAATTCCGTCATTAAACGAGTGGGGTGGAAGATGTATAGGGGTGTAAGTGACCGTGTGTGTCTCTCCGCAATTCAGATCAAAATCTGACTCCTGTTTTGTTTTATTTTTGTTTTCACATCATCCTGAACAAGACGATAGTGTATGTTTTTACATGTTGTTGTGTTCATGTTCATGTAAAGATCAGGATCAGATAAAGGTAGTGGCAGACATTAATATCTTCCTTCCTGTTTTATAGTTCAGGTTCATGGCGTAGTTTTTATTTTGATATAAATAATGGACATGTACATGTGCTAGGACGATTAATTTTAATAGTTTCTCACTTGCGTAGTGTGAGAGCTTAATAAACAGTAGCCCAACCAATCTTATCTGTAGCAGTAAATTTTCCATAAGTTAATGTAATTTTCCATCTTGTGCAATTTTTCCTTGTCAACTGAATCCCATGGGTGGGAATACTGATAGATTACCAAGTTCATTGGATGAGTACCTCAAAAGTACTAAAGTAATGCAGTGACCAGTAGTTGCTTTGCTTTTGCATCTCTATTTTTCCATTAGAAAAATAAATAATCAAGAAATTCACACGCTGATGTGAAATTCAGAGTCGGGCAGAATATTCTGAATATAATATGACCAGACTGTTACTTGTTCCTTGAGATTTTGATTCCCTTGGTTGGTACATGACCCATATTAGCATTCTTTTTCTCACGCCAATTTCCGTGACGGTTTTTTTCAGTTTAGTGTGATATTGCAATCGGAGATGTGGAACACTACCTACTTCCACTAGCAAGCAATTAGTCTTGCGTTGTTGTATTTGTCGGTTCATTTGCATAACAATTGTTTGCAGAAAAAGTAGGTATGAAAAAATAGGTAGGCTATTCCTTGGTCATGGAACCGGTTAAGAACTAAAGAAGACCCACTGCTGGGAGCTCTTCAGAATCTATGAATTCACGAAAATCAGTCTATTCAAACTCAAATCAAGTAAATTCACGATTTCTGTGTATCCCCATTTTTTGTACGGGCTCATCATCGACTTTAAAAAATTAAAACCTGTAATTTTACCCGTTCATATTTTTACTTTTCTCGGGATTATTTTAAACAAAATGTTTCCTGCAAAAAATTTGAGCACCTGTCAGCACTTTTAAAAAGGTTGCAGAATAATGATAATTAACGATTCCCGTAATATTTTAGAACATTTACTCACACTCTCTTTAAAAGGGATTAAACTATTTGGTTGTTTCTTTCTTTTCGTTGGAGGTGAACTATTAAATGGGTTTCGATTCAGAGTTGTGAGCACGCCACGCTACGCAGTCATAATTTTCATCTTTTAATAGGACCACTCACTCTGAGAGATGAGATATAAAATTAACTGTAAACTAGTGCAAGTTGTGTATCATGGTTATTCACACTAGATCATATATTACTTAAAATTTCGGCAATGTATCGAGATAATAATGCGTAAAGTTGGTATTATTAAGTAACTACTGCTATGCCGCTACTTCAATAATGACCCCACCAAGAGCTAGCGAGCATGATGCTGGGTATAATTTTAATACTTGCTGTTATCATTACCAACTAACAGGCGAGTAATAAACCAACTTTAGCCGTATTATTTATAATATTGGTTGGTGAAACTTTGGGCTTATCTCGTTCAGCGAAGTGAGAACCCCATCATCATCATGACAAAATATCGTTACAATTATTGCAATTTACCAAAGCAACTAAACCCAAACCCAACAACAAGAACCAACCACCCAGCCAACATTTTTATTAACCAATACTGGGTAGACAACGAGACCAGTTAGCTAATAACGAACGCCAGACCGCATAATACGGAATGGATTGTTAACAGAATGACATAAAACCCTTCGTACTGAGAATTCAGTTTGTGATTTGTGTGTGGTTGGCGTAGTCGCGTTTAATAAGTTGTCTCTCTCTCCATCCATTCAAGTTTAGCAATTGTACACAAAGTTTTATGGGAGGCTGAGTTGGATAGATTTGGAGTTTTAAAGTAGTATTTAGTTTCACGTGGCGTGGCGTTGTGTTTGCGATTGTGAGAATCTTTTAAAAGAAAACACCTTATACGTACGAGTGAATGAATGCCAGGTGCATTTTGTCACTGTGAATCATCACATATCAGAGACAGATAAACAAACAATTAATCCTATTGTGACTTGTGGAAACTTTTTTTGTCTAATTGGGAGGGATGAGTAAGAGAGAGATCGTCGAGTAGAAGAATTCGTCCGCCCGTGACATGATCTTGCTCTTAATTTAATCCAACAAGAAGAATTCGAATTTGCATGGTTTCATTTCGAATCCTGTTCCGTGTTCGTAGCAGTGTTTTTCCATTAGTCTCTAGTTGTGAATAAGTGCGGGTGGACACGTTTCAGCCAGATATTTTACATATTGTCCGTAAAATTCCAAATCAAATAAGGCAAAATGAGGCGGCGGAGCTTCTATTTTATAGCAGTGCTCATGTTCTGCTTTGGCGTCCTTCTACCCGGTTTCGTATTATTCGGCTGGACAAGAAACGCTCGCGACGTGACGGGAATGCTTGGTGATGGATCCGGCTTTGTGAACCCGATCGGTGAAGCCCAACTTTTGACCGGGGACAGAAATCTGAATGGCAGTGGGGGCCAAGATTTATCTGGAGAGCATTTTAATAAATATCAACATAAAGTAGCTGCCCCAATGGAAAGTGTCATAATTTTTGGGGAGACAGAATCAGGAAGGGCGTCCAGCTCGGATGGAAATAATGCTACAGACCGGCGAGACTTTATCCGAAAGGTTTGCTCCCGATGTTTGATTGATTTGTAATTGATTACGATTAGGGACGTGGCAGAAGATGGTTCGTGTACATAAGTGCTAAATGTGTATGTATCACAACAATGCAATTATTTAATGTATGCATTTAAAACTTGGGTCCCGTGCGTGAGACTTGCTCTCATTTTAAGCAGCACTTTTCTGGTTAAATTGTCGAGTAGAGAGTAATCTTTAATTAAGTGGTTGGCACGATTAGATAACCAAGTGATTCGGATAAGCTGATACAATTCTTATATTTTTGCAAAATTATGCCATGGTCGCATTGTGGTACTGCTCGTATGTACATTGCATGTAGAATTTTAACCCTTTGGGCATTAATTAAGTTTATAGAGGATGCTGACTTTTTTATCAGTGTTAATTGATCGATGATTTATTGTTGCTAGTCATATTTTGACCTTATGTCTTCGGAGGAACTGGATATGAAAGAAATAATTATTGCAGTTATCTTATGAATTTGTGCTACTTATATTATGCTGTTTTATGGTCTTCTTGGTTTTATTGCAAAATTGGTGTAGGTGTAGTTATCATATCACATACGTAATGACCTGCTTACCTCTTCACCTTGTTGTGTTGTTTTGTGCAAAAAGTTGAGGAAAGATGCAAAAGTAAGAGACTTGGTAAAAGCAGTTAATGTCCGACGTGATGCGGCGGTATGGTATTCGGTCGGAATATTAGTTTTTTGTCTGTGTGAGAGCAAAACCAAGGTTGATGATTTTCGTTTGTTAAGTTGCTAATGATTTGATACGTCTTGCGTTGAGACTGGCATGTCCTAGAGACCAGAAATGAAATTACATGTTCCGCTATGTCTTGCCCAAGGGTTTGGTGTGTGCAATTTATGCAGAATTCGTGAACATTTTGCAGTGTGAAAATAAATTGACAATGTGATAAGGCAAATTCATTATAACTAACTTCCTGCCTTTCTGGGTGGGTAGTAATGAACGTAATGTGTGACGACGGTTTTATGTATAATTTTAACATTTTTCAATCATAATTTCATCACGAGTAATATTTTTTTATGTTGGGTACTCTGCTGAACTAATGTGTGTAATGTGCTAAAAAAGTTATTCTGCAGTTTAACATATGCCTGATGTATTAATCACCAATTAAATATGATTCTGGTTTCTTTTTTTCCAAATAGATGATGAAAGATTCGTGGGATAACTATGTGACCCATGCCTGGGGTGAAAATGAGTTAAGACCACTAACTCACAAGGGTAAGCGATACATTTGTTTTCGGATATACTTAAAAAATAATGAGAAGTGCATCGAATATGCTTAACTTTATTTGGTCTTTCTTGTTATAGGACATTCTGCAAGCATATTTGGTCCAAGCAAAATTGGAGCTACAATTGTTGATGCTTTGGACACATTGTACATCATGGGGCTGCACGAGGAATATCAAGTTGCCAGGGACTGGGTGGCAAAAGACCTCAACTTTGACACTGTGGTATGTCTAAATTAATATCTCAAGCAAAAATATTTTAATTGCTTAATTTTTGGTAATTCTAGAGAGCCGAAGTTTCCGTGTTCGAGACCAACATTCGTTTTGTGGGAGGACTTTTAACAATGTTTGCTCTGACTGGAGATGTCATGTATAAAGACAAAGCATATCACTTAGCAAAGAAGTTGTTGCCGGCTTTCGAAACTCCAACTGGAATTCCCATGGCGTTGATTAGTTTGGGCTCTGGGGCCAGTAAAAACTACGGATGGGCTTCTTCTGGTTCGAGCATCTTATCCGAGTTTGGAACTTTGCACTTGGAATTTCTTTATTTGTCTGATATCACTGGAGATCCCATTTTTAAGGAGAAGGTTTTCAAAATCAGAGAAACGATGAAGCAAATCGAGAAGCCTAAAGGACTCTATTTCAACTATGTACATCCTCGTGTAAGTATTTAAATTTGCTTTCATTTTCTTTCTGTGATGTTTTTGTTGTTCTTTGTCTTAAAAATTTTTTTATAATTTTTACTGTTCATTCCAGATGGCAAAATTCACGCAGAATCACGTATCAATGGGTGCTTTAGGTGACAGTTTTTATGAGTATTTACTAAAAGCATACGTCCAAGCTGGGGATATAGAAGCACGCGAAATGTATGACGCCGCGATGGAGGGTAAGTGTTTCAAGTTTTTAGATTTATTCTTATCTATTTATGATTTAAGTAGTTTGATTAATTTTGTGTCTGACTTAATTAGCCTTTGAGAAAAATGGGCTGATTCGCTACTCTAAAGGTGGACTGTTGTATATCGCTGAAATGCGATACGATAGAATAGAAAGCAAAATGGATCACTTGGCTTGTTTTGCTGGTGAGATAATCATTACTCAATTATGTAAATATATTTTATACAAATATTTCAAACTTTGTGTCATCAACTAATATATAAAAAATAGGTGGTCTGTTTGCCCTTGGAGCTCACACCGACCCCAATCTCGTTGGACCTGAAAAGAACTCGGCCAGGGCCAACAGACATATGAAAATAGCTGAGGGTATCACAAACACTTGCCATGAAAGCTACATCAGAACCCAGACTCGTTTGGGTCCAGAGTCCTTTAGATTTTCCGACGCCATTGAGGCCAGAGCTCAAAGACCTAACGAAAAATATTATATTCTTCGTCCTGAAGTAATTGAATCATATTTCATCATGTGGAGGTAAGAGATACTTATTGAATTTCATGTTTTTTTGGTTCTAACTAAATGTTTGTCACGTATTCACATATGCACTCTGATTATTTCGCAGACTTACTGGAGATCAGAAATACCGGGACTGGGGATGGGACAGGTATGCACCGTCCTCATAATTTTATTCAGTTTTCCTTCACGTACAAAAAACCTTAAGATTAAACAAATAGTTTAATCTTTCTTAAATTGGTCCAGCATTGGCTCAATTCCCCAAAATAACTTAACAAAGTCACAGATCTCTCCCCAGGAAGTAGAATCAACAAGACTTATAGAAACACACTTGTTTGTTGAATAGCCTAGATCAGAATTAGGTCGAATGGGATTACGCAACCCTAACAAGTATGCAACATAACCTGCAATAATCATTTTAGCCTCAATCGTCTTTGTCTTCTTCTTCTTATCATCATCATCACATTTGGCGAGCAGGTAGCAGGTCAAGGTGGGAGCTTTTAGTGGGGGTGGATAGATACCTTCTGTTCTATCTAACTCTCTATCTCTCTGCCGTAGTCCATCTATCTCCAATTCCCTGTCTTTCTGGCGCTTATCCGTGATTCGTTTGTACTCATTAGCACCATCAGTTTTGTTTCCTCTAAGACGGTCCTTGAAATCGGGGGTATCACTCCACCCAAAGTACCACATGTTCCGACTCATGATGGCATATAAAAACGACTTCTCTTTGCCCGGTTTTTGTAATGCTGCTGCTGCTGTTGCGGTAGTGATGAAGGTGGTGGTGGTGGGAGTGGTTGTGAAGGTGCTGGTGAGGAAGTACTCTCCTGGAAACGGATACTTGACCTCTACCCTCTCCTCCGGTGTCAAGTGGCGACGAATTTTGAGCTCCATCCCCAACTCCTTCAGTCGAGCATCAATCTCACCCTTCATACCGTAACACAAAGGGATGAGATCATCCAAATTAATGATGGGTTGAGTTCCGGGGGCGAGTTTCATGAACATTCCGATTGTCTAAAAATGCATAATAATAATGTTAAAGTGACAACTCTTTACCCAATAATGCAGATTTTCGGATCTATTTCACTCACAGACTCTAATGACAACTTTTTGAGACCGTCTCTCTCGTTGGCAAAGTGTGTCATGGAAATTGGCTTTGGAATGGGACGAGTTTTTAAATCTTTCGTGGCACAATAATTTAACCAAACCGAGTTACTAGTACATACACGACCAAGGTAAAATTCCGCCGCATTATCCTTCTGTTCGTCGGACACATTTAATTTAACGGAGAGTGCAAATTTCATGTGAAGTTGGACCAACACGTCTCTCCAATTATAGTCGGTTACTTTCATCACGGTGTAAACTGGCTCAGGTTGATGAGTAGTACATTTCGGAAGGACATCAGATGCGAGTGTTTGCTCGTACTGGTAGCATTCTATACAATAATATTGACACATTATTTCAATGCATTTCACAAACAATAATTTATTCACATGAAATATACTCACTGGGTTCGGTACAAAACCTGAAAGCTTGATATACGCTTACTCCGTTCGCAACTTTTGGTTTCTCTACACACAAATGAATAAACCCGGTGGTGGGGGCTTTCTGAATGATGAGACTCCGTCCAGGCTTATCATTGATAGGGACACGACCACCTTTCTTAAAAATCTCGGTAAAAAGAAGTTCCCTTTGCTCATCAGACAGTCCCACGTCTTCTTGCGTCAAGATAAGTTCTGGGGACGCCTCGTGTACGTTCAGACCGGCAGAGGAGGTAGACTCGACACCAGCCAACTCCAGTATTTTCCGTTTAACGAGATCTACCCCTTCACCTATATAGCATCATGTTTATTATAATTTAGTAATCAACCAATAATAATAATGTTCACTCACCTTTTATTATTTTTCCGACTCGACCATCCGATGAAACCGGATATTTGATTTGAAACTCGTCAGCCAAATCCCCCTCTTTAATATTAATTCCCCTCCCATCTCTCAATCGTCTCTCTTCCTTTACCTCCATATCCTCCCCTTGAGCAACGTACGACCACTGCACGGGCTGAAAATCATGGTCGTTTCGAGCAGAACTTGTGGCGGTTTCGGTCTTTCTCTTCTCCTTATCTTTCGTCCCAGCCGGATTCAGTTGACCAAGGGGAGCGAGAGGATGTTTCGCTTTCTCCACGGTTAATAGTTTGTCAGGGGTGGGTAGAAGTGGCGCAGGGGTAGGCTTCACTTTCTGGGCACTACAATACACAATAAAAATATTCATTTAAATAATAAATTATTATTGGGAGGAGGAGGAAAAAAACTCACGTCTTTTGTTCAGCAGTAGGATTAGAAGCTCCAGCAACGTTTTTCTTCTTAACCACACGTGGTCTTTTCCTCTGACTTAATTGGAAGTCGTCGTCGTCTGACCTTGACCCGCCCCCCTCCATTATCAATTACAAAAAGTGAAAGTAAACAGAGCAAAAAATAAGGTTGTTGGTTGTTTTGGTGGGCCGGTGAGTAGAGTGAAAGGAGGATGAGTTCTATAGTGAATTCCCACTGATGACTGGGGGATTGTAACACACGTCCCAACCTTTTCTGTTTTTGAATATCTCAAACTTTCCAATAACCTAAATTGAAAAATGCAAATGATTTGTTCCAGTGCACAAGCTATTGAGCAACATTGTAAAGCTGGACCTGGAGGTGGTTACTCAGGTTTGAGGAATGTTTATAGTAAAGACCCGCAACAAGACGATGTTCAGGTAATTCAATGTCAATATTAAATGATATATTAAATACAAGCAAACTAATTTGTGTTCATGTATTTTATAATGTTTAGCAATCATTTTTCTTGGCTGAGACGCTTAAGGTATGTGAAACTGTAGCAAATATTGAGTCGTCGACACCTAAACTAACTGAATCGTCTTGTTGTTTGCAGTACCTGTACCTTCTCTTCAGTTCCAACGACCTAATTGATTTGGATTACTGGGTATTCAACACGGAAGCTCACCCTCTTCCCGTCAAAGGACTGAATCCATACTATCGTCCAAGTCCGAATGCTTCTTCGTAATACAAGTAGTTATTAGAAGATACTGACAAGAAGTAGACAGTAGAATATCGTTTGTATGAAAAGACACAGCAATGTCCATTATAGTCAAGGCAATTCGAATGCAAAATCTGGGCATCATATTGAGTGTGTCCACCCAGGTAAGAATGATTACAATAAGTAATTCTCTAACGTTGTTGTGTCAGTCTTCAGAAAACTCAACGTTTGCTCCAAGTCATTACAAGGCCAAATTAATTAATGTAATTAATTCGTTAAAAATGTAAAATTCCTTTGTTTAATTTATTTACTTCGGTTGTTATATCTCACGTTATATTTTTGTTGAGTTTTATGCTAAGGTTATATAATGATGATACAATATCAATATTCAACATTTTATACACATTCTCAGAAATTTGTACACAAACTTCTCGTCGAATCCGCTTGAATCCGTGCATAATAATGTTATCGTTTAATATAGTCGAATCTCGAGTTGGAGATCTAAATATTCCAACTATGATTTTGTGCACTTGTAAAAAGTAAATCTATGTACACTTAATTATGATACCAAGAACAGAACTACTATGTAATATAATATTAATTAGACTCCGCAGTGCTATAATAACTACTGTTGCAGTGCAACATGTCATTCAGTAGTAGAATGGCGTTGGTGATGCTAACTTTTAAGGCATGTTTAAGAATAATAATTAAGTAAATAGGTTACTACACTGGTGGGCTGCTTCCTTTCATATCTGATTTTGTTAAATTAATTTTCGTTCCTGAATAATTTTTTTAACATTCAACATTACTACTTCATTGCGTCTGCCTGACACTGTGATAAATTATAGACTTGTAAATTATCCACAATTATCGAACCATAAATACAGCTGAAGGTCATTGTCCTTTTACAATGTTCACATTACCAGTGACTAACGCATCTATAAATACGTAGCAATTAGTAAAACCAATTATTATGCTCCAAAATCAATCTTAAAATGCCTATGTATGTACGTGGTGTCCATTTATTAAGTCCCATCGTGATAATATGAAACCGACCTGCTGCAGCAATCCAGTAAAAAATAAAAATTATTCTCTAATATTTCATTGTTATTAAGTAGGTACATACCGTTGCCAAATTAAAGATGAAATAAAACGTGGAATGACATACACACAGTACACAATATTTTTTATGATCAAGTTTGTTTTTATTGGTGTCAGAAATAATAACAAATATGTATGTAGAAAAATAAATACATCTAATGTTTCTCTAAATATTCTCCATTCTCAAGAAGTGTAATACGGTGGTCTAAACGTTAACTTTCCCTTCGGCTCCTTGAACATGTCCGCAATCGGATTTAGTGGAGGTGGCACGATGCAAGTGTTAAAGTCACTCGTCGCCACAAATCCATCCTTGCAAACGCACATGCTGACCGTTTCAAACTCCACGGGGACACCCCCACTGGCCTGGAACTTAATTCCCCCCTTCGTCTTGGGCGGTGGGGCTACGGGAACTTGGAGTTGGTCACATTCCGCATTCTCATGACATTTCAGATTGAATGGGAACCGAGCCATGGCGTTGCGACCTTGCTCCGTGGTTACGTCCACGTACTGACACGGCTTCCCGACTCGTCGACGACACTCTTGGGCGACAGGGTCGTAAGAGTAGCGTTGTTTGAAGGTGCACTCACAAGCCTGCCCGGACCCACTGGACACACAGACTAGACCCTTCCCAGCATTGCACTCTTCTCTCGGGTAGTCCCCACTGCCCCCACCGTGCGTTGGAATTTCGCATTTATCCCCCCACTCCAGGAATTGTAGGGCAAGAGAAGAACTTGGAATGAGGCAGCAAAAACCGACAAAAATGTAACTTCGAAACATACTGATTTAGTAAATTTTTTGAAATGCCACAAAAATATTTGTGCGAATTTCGACTAGTGATTGATGTGCATTGACGCTGACTGAGAAAACGAAAGTTTTAGTGGAGGAGAGGAACCCAACTTCCTGTGAATGCGAGGATATTGAGAAGAATGTGTCACTGCTAGATCTGTAGAAAACCAATAAAAGGAAGTGCAGCTAAATGTTTATGTTTTCATGATGCTGTACAAAAACAAGCGTGGCGTGGTGTGAAATGTAGGAAATAATGGTAACAACACTAACTACCAAATATTTTGCTTATGTAATTGATTCAAATCGAAAGTCAAAACCAACCTCCGCCTACTAATTTCATGCAAATCTAATTAATTATTTGTTGAATAACCGGTTTGAAATTATTTGTTATTTTGACGTTTATTATATCATTATTCATATTACACAATGTTTTTACCCCTCCTAACCGTCAACCGGTTTATATTTTTATAAGAGTATATAAATAAACATGCATTATCCTGAATTTTGTTTTTCGTACAATTTTACCAAATCTTCGGCCGCGGTGACATGTTCGGGCTGGACGGTAAAATATGGTCCATGTCCGGGAATAATGGTTTTTGCCATTTTCAGAATTTTTAGTCGATTCTTTGCTTGTATTTCTGGCTGAGAGCTGTTGGGCGTCCATACATCAGGGTTTAGAAGGTCTTTCGCAGATTCGAACAAATCTCCAGCAATTGCTAACGTATTTTCGAAATTATTGTTGTCTCCAGTGGTTTGATCACCGGAATCTCGCAAAGTCACAATGAGAGAAACGTCTTCATTCGTGTGTCCAGGGGTCGGAATGATTTTGAGGAATGGGTCAATAATTAAGGGCTCATCTATAAAATTGCATTTATGATATGAAATTTGCATAGTTTACCATAATAATTAGTTAGACATCACATATATGTACCTAATTCAAATGGGTGTGCGTAATAAACATCCTTATTTGAAACACAATATCCAACAATATGTTGTTTCGCGGAGAGAAATAAATTATTATTTCCGTTGTGGTCGGAATGTCCATGAGTGGAAACGACATGGGTGACGGTGTCCTTGTCGATATTCAATTCTGCCAGCTCTGTATTGTAAATTTTATTTTTAATCAGCCAATTTATTAAATTCTGACCTTAAATAAATGTGAAATCTCAAATTATTACTTTCCAGTATGAAGGGACCGTCCCACGGTGTCAATGTGTCCACAATGACGACGCTTTCCGCCGTCTGCACCAGAGTACACGAAGCGTTTGCCCGCATCCAACCGTCCCCATCGATATATGCGTAGCCCTCCTTGATTATCGTGATTGTAGCGTTTTCTGATACAATTTTTTCCATTTTTTAAATAAATTGAACGATTTTGACGACAAATTGTGTATGAAGTGCTTAAAACGTGTTTAAAATGTGCAATCTGGTTTGGGCGTTTCGAGACCTACGCCCATTCTATCAAGTAATTTTGGTATCGTACAAAAAATATAGGAATACGAGGACGCAAAAAATTAAATCATTTATAAATTATTTATTCGCATAGATTTATTTTTACAATGATTTTTATCCCATTGTTGCTGTTGAAGAACAAGCAACATAACAAACGGCAGACGCCGCACATGAGGACAAAGTACCACTGACATAATTTCCGGCAATGGTCGGCGTGAAGTTGGCAAGGCCGGTGACCAGAAGTCCAAAACATGACCCCATGCAAATCGAGTAGCCCACGACGCTGCCACCCTTTGCTTCTGGAATTACCAGTGCGGATACCAAAAGCAGTACGAGGAGACCCTTTATGGTATTATTAGTTCCCATTTCTAAATTTCTGGAAGAAAAAAATGTACATAATTAGTAATCACGTAAAGAAATAAATGAGAGTAATAAGTATTTAATCTATGTTCGCGAGTTGATCATCAGTTATCTAGCATGCATAATATGCATATACATAAGGTTCATTTGTACGTATGCAAATCTTCATGAGCATTTCTACGTCATCCTATTCGTTTGAATTACTTCAAACTCACCATTTTGTGGAAGACAATAAGACCAATCGGTAGCAAAACGAAGTTGGGATTAGAATAATTGGTTAAAAAGAAAGACCTGAAAACGCTTTACAAAGAAATACAAATTTGAGTCAAATTTACAAATACGCTTTAATATCAAGATAGTTGTAGTAGAAAAATATAATTTGGTAAGTTTCACAAGCCCCACATTTTCTGTATGTCTCATTTTTATTTCAAATTTTCTTATATTTTCCCCACTTTCTGCAGGTATAAAATATTTACGATGGCGCTTGGTCACACCTTCTTCATCCTACTGACTGTCGTTATCTTTGGCACGTATGCCGGACCACTTGCCTATTCGGCGTGTATGGGTGCCTGTTTTACGGCGCTAACTGCCTGCACCGCGGCGTCAGGGGGTGTGGCCCTTCCAGCTTGTATATCTGCTGCTACGGCGTGTTACAACGCCTGTATTGGATTTTTAGCCGCCCCCACGCTATAGGATTACATTTACACTTTTCCCTGGTCACTACTTGAAAAAATTATATAATGCAGCTCAACAGCAGGAGGTTAATTTTAAGTTTCTTATTAAAATAACGTTTAATAAAACCTATCAGTACAGCTTTGCTTAGCCCGAACCAGGTTTAGTAAACCCATGTTTCTCAGTAGTTTTCTATAAAATTATGTGCTACTATTTTACACTAACTTGCATCAATCTTTCGTACTACTAGTCTCCAAATTCTAAAAATATTTACTATCCATTGCCCTTGACTACTTCCCAGTGGGGGTCGCCTCTACAGCCCATATGGTTTATTTGTGTTCATACTTAACGTCATATTATTTCATGAGAAAGCAGTAAGGATCTCTGGTCCAAATTTCAGCTTTCTATGTTAATTTCTAAAAATCGGTATGGGTCACCCCATAGGGTCGCTCTAGATAAAAATTTTACCAATTTCATGTCATATTCTTCCATTAGGACCCATAAGCAACCTCTCCACCAAATTTCAGCTTTCTATGTTAATTTCTAAAAATCGGTATGGGTCACCCCATAGGGTCGCTCTAGATAAAAATTTTACCAATTTCATGTCATATTCTTCCATTAGGACCCATAAGCAACCTCTCCACCAAATTTCAGCTTGATATGACGATTTTGAAAAGTCAGTATGGGTCACCCTCTAGGGTCCCTCAAGATGAAAATTTTTCCAACTTTAACTCATTTTTATCTATTAGGAGTCATTAGTAACCTCTGTGCCAAATTTCAGCTTTCTACGACAATTTTGAAATTTTGGTGCATAATACCCCACCCACTCCGATGACCCCCACCGGTCCAAAACTTTTCTGATTGAACCCATCTTCGAACTCGGTCGTTGCATTGCCCAGATACATGTCTGTACCAAATTTGGTCCAAATCGGTCAACTCGTTCGAGAGTTATCGAAAGACAGACGGACGGACAGACGGACGGACATGACGATTACATAAGCCCTGGTTCGGGCTAAAAATAATTACTTTCTTGTGATTTAGTGAACCGAATAATTATATTCTAAATTTCTATCTTGTTCATGTTGGTTAATCTGTAATTTTAAAAAATGCTAGAGTGTCTGGATAAATAAATAAAAATAACTTTTTAAAAGTATTAATATTTAAAAATTTATTTTCAACACTATTTAAAAAATGACAAACAAGCATTCAAAGCAATTAAAGAGACAATCGCAGCACCCATTTTCCACCGTACGTTTTTCACCTCGTTGTCCACTCCCGTAATGGAAGTCATGCAAACCTGCATTTGAGTTTGACACGATCCTAACACTATTATTATTTTGACCTTGTGATGGCATCATCACGGAGCCATCTTCACTGCAATTGACCACCAATTCTGTATCTTTCTTGAGAAGTGGCGTGTTCACGGAGACGTCTTCGTGGAAATCTTGAACCCTCAAGTCATTGGTTTGAGGAGGAGGTATGCAGTTTTGCGTTACTGGTTGCGACGCAATAATGACTGGGGGCTTATTCTCCTTTCTGGATTTTGCACTATCCGGTGAAGAAGATGAGGACTGTTGGAGTTCAAAATTTTCTGGCGTGGCGAGATGTTTGTTAGCTCCAGCATTTTTCTTGATGGGTCGAGGAGATGACGATGCAGACGACGGCGAAACTCCTCCCGCTGGTGCAAGTGTTGTTGACCGAATCGATAAAATCTTAGTTTTAGATTGAACTTGATGATTTACGACGTACGTTCCCCTTTTGGGGGGTGAGTATCGAAGGGAACTGTAAGTGGAGGGTTTCTTCCCAACGGGGGGTGTAGAACCTGGAGGCGTTGGGGTTGACGAGGATGACGTAGCTGGCGTCAAGGTGGGAGACCGATCTGGTGGAAGTACCATTTCGAATTTCTGTAAAAATTTGGGTTCAATTTTAGCTTTACTTTAAAATTTCTGTACTCAAATAAAATCTTTGTATTTACCTTTTTAAACCGTATTTTTCATTTCCAGCAAAAATTCACTCACGTAGTAGTAAAAAAAGAATATATAAAAATTGCGACTCCTACATGTCACGCTTTCTGGAGGAGTTGACTTCAGCGAAAAAATATGGAATTATTACTGTCCCAAGATCTACGAAGGAGTGAGACTGGGACGACGCTTAATTTCAACATCAACTTTAACTGATGGCTCAATAGATGCTAATTGAAATTGTAAACTTTTGACGGAACAAAAAATCTGCAGCTTTATATTCACTGTTTATTGCAAACATATTCAATTTATGTGTACGGTCGAGACCCATGCATGCGAGGAGTTCAACGAGTTTGTCGTTCGTGGTTCTCACTTCTTTCTATAATGAAATGCAGTATTATACGCATTTTACTCTCCTAACTGGCTCACTTCCGGTTGAGCAGTGAAGTAAAAATACTAAACCTGCAAACATAATGGCAGGATCCATTTCGTTTCATTACATGGACTCGTTTTTCTCCAGGAGAAAAAAACGCATTCCACGAACGTGTCGGTGTGGGAATGATGTTTTTTTTACAAAATTCGTGGAGTCATCTTACAAACCAAGCGCATATGAAGTGTGTATTTGTACCAAATACGTGAGGATGTTTAAAATTTATAAGGCAAACTTCTTGTACCCCGAGGAACGTATGTATGTATGTAAATTGTAAAGTAAGGCAGGCACTAATGGCCCGAGTTAAAGACTTAATGAGTTAAATTGAGTTTAAATTGTGAGAATGTGTCATTTCACTCACTCCATTAAAGATTCGAATAGCGTTTTACACTTTACTTTACACCCTTCTCGACCCGACTCGATTCCATTGTTTCCATTCTTTCAGAAAGAAAATGTATGTATTTCCATGAAAAATTTGCATAGGCACGAAAGTGAGTTTTAATTTGAATTGAATGGGCTCTAAGTGTCTATTGTTGTCTGATTTTGTGTATGTATTTATGAGAGAGAATTCCCATTAGTCGTGCTAAATGTGATGTACAAAGTATGTATTTTGTCATCATCGTTAAGTGTTCATTTAAAATCTAAAAATACTCAATTTTGATCCAGTTATTTACTGTCCAGACAAAACATTTACTTAAATGGAAATTTTTGCTTTGGTCGAAGACGACCATGATCTAGAAAGACGACATTTTTAAATTGATTAAACCTTCAGGTTCAGTTCGCGTAATACTGCGTATGTAAATTAAACTAACTAATTTATAACTATTTGACATCTTTAAAATTAAATTAAAGTGGTGTAACTCCAATTTATTTCAATTATTGTATCCGTGTTGACAGAAGAGGATGAATTAGATACCGGAAAATGATGCGTATGTATTTATTAAAATAACGCGTCTGCTACAAGTTGTTGTTGTTTGTTGGTACAATTTTTAATACATTTATTTACAATGACAGATTATTTATCGACACACAGTAAACTAGTAAGTATTTGATTCTTGATAATAAAGCTTCAAATAATTATTTTAGTAAATGTAATGTCAATTCTACGTATGTAACTCTGATTCTGGTACTCAGGTCCGTTCACAACAATATTAGCATATATACTTATCTTAATAATTGCTTATCTTAGATATTGTTCAGATTATTGTATTCTGTATACTAATAATTATGTATCTGTGATGTAGGTATATTCTGTGTTTGGTTGATTGCTGCATTTGCAAAAAAACGCTTGAAACGCTTTTGGCATGGAATATTATAGAAATTACATAGAATTAATTATTTATCTAGAACAAAACAAAATATCTAGAATAACGATAAATTTTCCATCCAATCTTCCTCTTATAAATCACTTTACATTCCAACATTGAGTATATTTGAATATTTCAATTCTGTGTATTATGCTTCAGAATATTTGACTTTTTCAGCCTAAATCACATTATTATTGTCGATGTACAATAATTATTGCTAAACTAAACTAAACTAACGAACACTTTTAGCAGATCACTAACTTTTCGGACATTGTTTGTATGTAAAGGTACTACCGATAATATTAATCTATTTAAATATACTGAATTATGCTGCCTGCCACCCTACATAAATGCTGACTGTATACATTTATTATTATGATTGTTCCACAGTCTATAAGATTGATTGTTCCAAAGATTCCTTTCCGAAAATCCAACCCAACAAATTCAAACAAGTAATATTGGAGTGAAATTAAGACCAGAGTAAAAGTACGATAACCCAGAAAACTAAATATATATTTTTTACATTCTTTGATCCCATTCACCGGCTTATTAGGAAGGTAGTAATAATCTTAAATATTATGGGTGGAAAACTTAATAATTTTTAACAATTTCAGGAAACATTCTAATATTTCTCACAGTTTACTTAAAGGAAATAATTTAGCTGCTAAGTGTATATTTACAGATACCAAATGAGATGGAGATATAGATCTACGGTTAGCACTTTTCTATTAGATTCCCTTCCTAAAAATATAGATATTCCTTTTCGTTGATTATTATGAGACTGTTCATTTCTTTACAAACGCACAGACCTTAACCTTCGATACAGAGTGCAAAACATGCAAAGAAGGCACAACAATAGTCAAGAAATCCTAAATCACTGTCCGGATGTCGAGGATTATACTTGACCAGATACTCCATCCTCCTTTTGGCCTGTTCCTGCTCAGGGTCAGCTTCAGCTTCGGCCTCTTTCAACATGTCCATGATTTTCTTATACTCTCCAGAATGTGGCTGGTCAGGGGACACGAGGCGACGCTCGTCTTCATCGTCCGGATTTCGGAGGGGGCAACACTCGTCGACGATGTCTTCCTCCTCGGGCGCTCGGGGTTCGCGATTATGTTCGGAACTTATCTTGTCCAAGTCCTGTATGTGCAATAATCGAGTAAGAATTTGCATATATTACATAAAAAATCAAATTTTTTTTTCAAAATTTGACCCACTTCGTCCACAGTTTTAGGCCCGCTGTGACTATTATGCCGACTTCCGGAACTGGTGGGAGATGACGTGGCTGGCGTGTGATTCATGACGACCACTTCCGCCTTGTCGTTGGAATATTCCTCCTCAGAGATTAATCTGTTGAGTTCAGAGGGTTCGGAATCTGGCTCATTGTCACCTTCTCCGTGAGTCTGAAAGTTAACAAGCTACAAATAAAGTCCATATTCTCTTATTAGATTAAGGGTGGAAATTTACGATATAATTTCTTAGAATTTTTGTATAATTCTCATTCTCACCGTAACTGCGGCCGGAGATTCTACCACGGTTTCGGTGGATTTCTTCTTTCTCGGCATTTTTACCCGGATTCAATTCGCTTTACACAAGAACTGAAAACGCACTTTGTTTGCCTTGCACACAGAAGATTCTCAACTTAACTTTTTTAGTAAAAAAAATTCCGAGATTTGTGTGCACTCTTTTTCCACCCAGACAATTTATTTGATCAATGTTTAGTTATATTTGGGAGTGAATGAGGTCATCAATAATTCATCCAATCCAGCAGTCTCACTTCAATATTGAATCTCTTAAACAAATTCTTACACAGATTTGATTTATGTGTTGGATTGGAGACAACTTGGAACACGAGGACTGTAAAATATATATTATTTCTGCTGCAACTGACTGTGATGAATTAAAGATCCTTGAAGAGTCAGCAGATCATCCAAAGAAGAAGAAAATTATTATACAACTCACTCCCTCCCTATGCACAAGATTTATGCTATAAATTTGTGTAGTCTGTCCAAATAACGAAATATTGATATAAAGTCTTCAACTTTATCCTGACAATTTTACGGATAACGTAAAAATAATGGATATCTCTATTTATTGAAGATGACGAAATATTATGAGTGACAGAAGTGACACACCAATATCTCAACTTAAATCATCACTTATTTAATGCTTTCACATTTTAAAACTTATATTAAATGCATGCACTCGTTGCATATGTATGTGGTGAATTGTAATATATGTCCCACAATTTAATTTTATTAGAGATGCAGATATACGATTGGGGACTTTTTTATTCACCTCGTGGTAAATTATCACCTTCACTCGCTGCTACACTCCTATTAATTTACCTGGCCAGACTCGAACTGCAATCTCATTAATAATATATTTATGTAGAAGGAAACACTTTTCATTCAGCGAAGTATTTTTTATGGCCAGCAATGCAATGCAATTTATGTATTTATCTTTATTTTAGTGGTTTTACTCTCCCGAAAATGTGTACAACTGGTACAAAAATGAGATTAGTGGGTTGTATGTGGATTGGATTTTGATGAGCAGTGTGTATGTATATGTACGTTCCATAAAAAGGAAGAATATTATTGGCACTATTTTTTGTCTATCTTTTTAAGTATCTATTTCTCTTTTGTGTGTTCTCATACCCTAACTTTTATTACAGCTTTTTTAAATCTACTATTTGATGATGACGATGCGATGTCTGTGGAGTTGAAGTCATCTCTCTCCGTGAGCCACACCACATAAGCAAAGCAAAAGCAAGGATATTTCTGGATCTATTATCCATTCCAACATATTTTACTTTACACATTCAACAACCCTTTATACGTACGTTTCCCATGTGTTTAAGTAACGTCTATCTGGCTTCTTTTCATCATTAGCTTACCAGCAAGCCTTGCATTACACAAACTTACCTTTACACATAGTTTGGTGCATGCAGTTATTGCATTGCAGTCACTTTAGATAGTTGGACGGAGGAGATGTAGAATAGAAGCGTCAGCTATTTAACTCCGTATACGCGTTTTAAGACCTTATGGGCTCGGCTGCTGTAATATACGAAATAGTTGCATGGATGGAAGTGATGGAATCTTCTCATTTTAGGGATGAGTTACAGGGATTTGCAGCATAAGCAAAGCAAACCAACCACCTACTGATGGTTTGGCTTGGTGTGGTTCAAATATTTGATGCGTCCTTTGTTAGCATGGGCTGATTTGTAAGAAGTTCGATTTTGGAGAGCATGCTGATCTCGGAGTTGAAAGATTGATCTGAGAATAAATTGATCTCATAAATACGGTTTGGTTGAGTTACTATTAGATCGCGACAAGATTGCTGGATGATTCTTTCTATATGCAAAAACAGGTTGCATGGTTATAATAGCTGAAGGTAGCAAAATTCGCTTACACGAGCAGAATCATGATGGCAAGTTAGTTTTGAAGCTATAAAATAAGCCAGTTCTGCTGATTTTCATAACTGGGAGGTTGCTTTTGCTTCTCCTGGTCTCTTCTTCTCCTGTTTAATGGTATGGTTGTTGGCAAATAAGTATGGTTGAGGACGGGGGTTGGCTGAATTGAATTTTACATCCCTGCTGAATAAAATACAGTGCAATTTTTTGCCTTGATGCAGACCTGGGATAACTAGGGGCGTAGTACCCGACACGAGTGGGATTAAGGATTATAGTGGATTAAGTTAATAATTGCTACTAACATTATGCCAATAACCATATATTAAGTTGTTAAGTAGTTTGTAGTAATGAGTTGTCTCAAATAAATGGCCCCTAGACTGCGGTCTAATCCTGGATAATGGCGATGGATGGATGAGATTTATATTTGCATGTACCTGAGCAAATGGATTTTCAGATGTACTTGGATTTGGAATTATTCCACTTATGTATTCATGTTTTATGATGTTGGATTGGTAAAATATTTGGTATGCTAGTGTTACATACTCAAAGACAAGGAGCTTGGAAAGTGCAAAGTATGTATGTATAAGCCTATTTAGGTAGTCATTAAGACATTAAACAGAACATTTTCCTCGTCATCTTTGCAATACGTTAAAATCATGTTAAGAGTAAAATATGTGCATGCATTTTGTTCACATCCTTGGTCAATAAGAGAGAAAATCTTACTAATTAATATAGAAGTATGTACATGCTCAACGTTTATCCGTGTCCCATTAAGTCTGGGACACATAAGTAAACTCGAGGTAAAGAATTTACAGTGACAAAATTGACAATTGCATTTTATGATGTGCCAGACAGCAAATTTGCATAAGCTCAGCATACATACAACAAAGGTTGACGATAAGATAAGGATTGCAATTAAAATAAATAGTTGGGACCTAATGAGCATACCCCGGACAAATATTTTTTTATCCTACCCTACTCGTGTTGAGCTCAACATGAGTAGGGTAGGATAAAAAAATATTTGTCCGGGGTATGCTAATGAGTTGCATCCGTTTCTGAGTAAATCTATTTACTTATTTAGGGATTATGAAATATTTCCGATTTCTTGCCTCATTACGGAAAATGATCATTACAGAATCGATACTTCGTAGTTTTACATGATGTGATTCTTCTATGAAATTCGATCCGGAATGACTTTTACTTTATTATTTCTAAATCAGTGGTTCTCGTTCTCGCGTTGGTTCATGGTTCATTAATTTTAAGCGAAGAGGTTACAACGACTCGGTACATTTTTTCAAGACAAAATTTCACACATCGTTTTTCATCTACGAGGAGAGGACGACGCTGTATCACATCACATGATTGCATAATTCAATTGTATGCAAGAAGAACCTCACAACCAGTGGCCGCGGAACCCGTGGGGACATCTGGGGACATTAACATTGTAGGATAGGGGAGGGAGGGGTTTATATAAGATGGACAGATGATGCGGACATCGAACAACCGTGGGGACATTGTCCCTCAGTCCCCACGCGTCCCGACGCCACTGCTCGCAACAGGATAAATTATGTACAAAAGGTACAAAAATCTCCGTATATAAAAACCAAACTCGTTGATGTTTGTTTGATGCTTGATGCGATAAAGGTATCAAGTGTCCAGTCCAGTCTGCTAAAATCTTTACTTAATAGGAAAACAATGTACGCGAGAAGAAATTCATTCACATTTGTGTCAAGAGATGAGACATATATTTACATATTGTTTTTGTTAGTGACTAGAGTACAGAATTAAGACCAGTTTGTATTCAAAGATAATTTAACAATGTCATTCAACATTATCCAAACAAGGGACGAATGAATTATGCGATGCAGAATGTGACAATTTGTTTGCTGCCAAATTATTGTGGGCGACACTCCCTTAAATTATTTGCCTACTTTGATTAAAGTGAAAAATCTAACGTAATAAATAAATCTGGTTTGATAACCTTGATTAAAATCTGCACTATTTTAATGTATTTTTATTTTCTGGAGGGGGAGGAGGTGGAGCTCCTTTATTTTGAGGGTTCTCAGTTTTTCCTCCACTTTTAGGCTCAGGGGGACCTTTGATGTTTTTGGGTGTTTCTTTTTTCGTATGGGTGGCGGCATCCACAATTTTCTCCATAAAAGTATGATGGGCATGTTTCTTTTTCTGAAATTTGTAAAAACAGACGGGGAACATTGTCAGGTTTGTAGCCAATTTTGAATGTCAATTTCCCTATTATTCAGAAACCTCATAGAAATTGTGACTCACATGATGCCCAGCGTGACCCTTAAGTCCTGTGATTAGTCCAGAATAGTATCCCGCAAGAACGGGAACCTTTCCAACTTTCCGTGATGCTTCAGAATTATTCGCCGTATTATCATAATTAGTCGTGTTAACATCACGAAATGCATTTGAAGCACCAAGTTGTGGATTGATAATGACGTCACGAACTTTATCCATTTTTTCGTCATCTAGGAAATCCTCCTCGTCCCAGTCGAACACTCCAGTGTCCGCTATACGTTCATATTCTCTGCACATATTTAGTTACAATTTACTCCTAATTAATCAATTAACTAATTTATATTTCCTAACACGTAATGCCGCATGGGATCAAAGCCGGAATAATCTTCGCCACGAATGGTGAATTCGTTCCCTAGATGCCACATGGGGACGCCGCCTTCCAAATCCCACGCGACTCGATCCCGATATTCCGGAGTGACCGAGTCATGCAGTAATTTCCGTTGACGCCATTCCGTCAAGTTTTCCTTTTTTGCGGGCCTCTTGTGGTACTTGAACTTTCTGTCGATAAGTTTTCCAGAGGGAGGAATGTGTCGTCGGAGAGGGTGACGAAAGTCGGGCGTTCTTGGTCGATACGTCCACATGTCCCACGCTTCCATCGTGTAATATCGCACCACGAAGAGAAAGTAGACATGAATTATGAGATTGGTGCCGAGAAAATATCCGTAGCGTTGCCATTTCTGAAAAATAATTGAATTTAGCTAATTGTTCAGAATAATTAATTTCGTGTTAATTTTTATAACCATGATGTCTTCTGTTCTGCTGGTAATGGATAAAATTCGGTACAGCAATGGTACCCAAAATCCTGTGACTACGAGACGGCACGTGATCCAGAGGGTTCCAGCGATAAAATTGATAAGCCCGCCACACTGAATTTTTGGGTTATCGGTAATTATTACATAATTCAGCATTAATTCGTTTGTGACTTACCTTGCATATATTGGTCGCCCCGAGAAATAATGCTGTCCCCATTTGCAAAAAGAGGCATCCGTAATGCACCGTGAATCGGAGACCGGGCAGGTCCATCCATGAAAATTTGTCACCAGCCACAGTCTCCACTGCTTTTAGCGTAATTTCGTTTGCTTCTTTAAGGTCATACTGGATTCCGACTTGGTCCGGTAAAAATATTGAGAATAATCCAAAGCACTGTAGGATGCATGTATATATTTGGTTAATTTGTGGCATAAGTTATGTCATGATAAGTGCATATCAGTATGTATTATGTGAAAGTAGTACAAATGAGAAAATGCATATCCAAAGTGTTCCACATCTCAGGGAGCAACAGCAACACGGGTTCCTGACTCGGAATAACTGATCTTTCTTCCAAATATTGCACATTTCGGTAATTATTCGGTTTTTCGGTTTCGGTTTTTATTTCGGTCTTCACGGTCAAGCTACAGATACGAAATGCTAAATGCGGACCCCACAGTCTATCGGAGTAATCTATCAAAATGCTATTTCGTTGCTACGCTATCAAATTTTTGAGCATTTTGCAAGATCTCAAGTCAATTTCTATTTTCATCCAATTCAAATTTTATAAACCACTCCGACTTCCACTTGTTTCACTAAATTGCAACCTCCTGAAAGCTAAAAATGGTGATTGTGACCGTTCAAGACGCCGCATGGCAAGAAATCGTGAGCGTCGGAGGAGCCAGCGCCATTTCGGTGACAATCACAGAAATCCTGCGACTTTCGGGGATCGCTTCTCCAAAAGTCATGATGGCCGTGAACCTTGTCATCATGATTCTAAACATGTATTGGCAGTACGTGGACAATGGGGGATTGGAACAGTGGACCGTCCCGCGACAATTGGTAAATAAATTGACGAATTAATCACACAAAAAATAAGTCAGAGTTGTAACTACTCATTGATTTTCTCTGAATAGAGTCGCCTCGGCGTCAACGCCACCGTGTTCTTTGTCGGGTTAGGATTGTACGGCTTATTTCTTGGATACTACGGAATCACCAATGAAGCCGAGATGTCCAAACATTTGCACATCGTGGCCTCCGACGCCTCTGCCATCAACGGTTTTCTCGCCTTTTTAGCTTCCTCCACGGTTTACGCCGTCAATCGAGCCGTCTTCAACTTTATCCTGCTTTTGGTTGCAATCGGCAAGAAATTTTTCGAATGATAAGTACAAAAGTAGTGTCCTTCTTGTAGGCATGTAATCTTAGTAAAGCTCGCCATTTATTCGTACATAAATAATATTACAAATATGTCACTGCAATAAAATCACAATAAACTCGTAAATATCTACTAACCCAGAAAACATTCTGCCAAAGAGTACAAAAAACAAGCACAAATCGAAGAAAATATTGAACATGGTTGATTAATATTGTTACTGTTTGACTGAATATGTTTGAAATTTGGATCCTTTTCGAAATCCAGAACTTCCACGCTCCAAAAATCCTTGTATGAATTTTTGGCATCTTCATCCCCCCAAGAAGGCGAATAATTATTGCTCTTTGTTAAACCCCAGTTGCCATTAATGTCCCAAGAGAGGTCTTCCCCACCACACCCACTGCTGCTCACAGATTTGGCGGACGGATCTCCGGTGAACATTGCGTGATTGTAGAAAAACGAGTTTCGAAATATTGGAGTGGTCACGCGAGGTGGCAAATTTTGCAGAATTATTGGTTCCAAAGTTATCGGACTTCTTGGCGGAGATGATGAGGAGGGATCATCATACCGCAGTTCCAACAGGCTGGCCAGTGACTCCGACGAGGTTGACAGGGACGGTTCCGACATTTTGTGACCTAAAAAGTAAATTGTTAAGGACAATTAGTTGTAACTTATCATTTAAATTTATGACCATACATTAGTCTATTAATCCGAAATATTCCAGAAGTTCCCGAAATATTCTACAATATTCCCGAAATATTCTACAATATTCCCGAAATATTTCCCAATTTTCCCGAAATATTCCCCAATTTTCCCGAAAGTTTCCCCAAAATTTCCGAAATATTTTACACCTTTCCACCACTAACCAACGTCCTTTCACCACTATATTAGATATTATGTAGAACTATGCACACCGCAGAACCAAAATATTTGTATCCTGAGAATTACTGCGTATAGCCTACGTTTTTCTGAGAAAGAACAAAAGAACAACTTCAAGGAAGCTACGCTACCCGACCGACAGGCAGACTGGCATTTATTTAGTAATAAAATAAAAGTAAAGCAGCGCTGTTACTTCAATTATGTAATCACTCTTTTACCAATCGGTCCGCATTTTAAATCACAAACACCACGTAATAGACACATTTCATTTAAGTGTCCCATTCAACTTTGTTGTTTTTGATGTAATTTTTCTCAGAGAAAAATCGTATGCACAGACGTAAAGGTTTCATATGAGACTGGTCTCTCGAGAGGTGGTGGGTGATGTTGTTTTATTTTCTGTCTGCAAAATATATTTTGAATGGAATTATCATTCATGATGATGTGACGAGTATGGCAACCTTCACCTTATCCGAAAAAAAGTAACAACATTTTCATGAAACCATTTAAATTAAGCCATTGTGTTGTCTCCTCAGTCTCATTTTAGGACTTTGTATTTTATCGCAGTTTGTCACGCACGGTGTGGTTTTGTCTTGCTGGTCGGTTCGCCTTACTGATTAAGGTGTTAATGAGTAAGCATTTATATTTAGACCATGTTTAACGCTGGAGACCAATTAAAATCCTGAATAGTTATGATGGTACGAAAACAATAGGTGACTACAGGGTTGGGTAACAGCAGTCACGATCTAAAAAAACTTCCTGTTATAAAAATCTAGAAAGAAGGTGGACATGATTTCGCATTCGAATTACATGCATGCATATGTACGTTGTTGTAGCAGAAAGTCTTCATATTATTATCGGGTGGACCCCTTTATGGGAAGGTCTTGTCTGTCCGTCCGTCTATATCCACGATAATGTTACAAATATGCGAATGATAATTTCGACATGCGGATTTCATTCTAATTTTCAGGGAGGAGTTAGGTTAGAAGATGGTCGTTGTAGGTCACAAGGTCACGGCGATGGGTAAACGGCCAAAAATGTTGAATTTTAAAAATTCGACATTTCGACATTCGACAAACTAAAAAATCAATTTTTAGCCCGAAACAGGGCTTATGTAATTAGTTTCAAGCGTTTTAAACGTTAGTTAACGAAAGACGACGTAAGGCACGTATATATCCCACTTGGTTCACCCTATTGCTACATTTCTTTTGCAACGCTTTATTTAATATCCCAATTATTGCAAACATCTTTTAAAAAATACAAACCAGTTTTTTTTTACAAATTACTCTCAATCTAAAATAATGATCCATAAACCACACGAAATTACTACAATTCTTAAACTGCTACAATTTCCTTCGTCTTTTATTATGCGAAACGCTAATAATTTTATTCCGACAGACAATCATGAAGTGAATATTGCTGCATGTACATACATACTTTCTACTAGTAGTATATACATACATACATTTGGGTACAATCTCATTATAAATTGATTCTTGTGGAATTAAAAAACAAGGGACAGGATTTTTTGAACGTAGTAGTAAAATAAAATAATTTTGATTCACACTTGGTTATCGGGGTGGTTGCGTGGCATGTTGGGGATTGACTCTTCCTGTGAATCATCCTCTTTGGGCAGGACAATGCCAATATTCCCAGAATTGTTCCCACAATTACAATTCGTGCAAGATTTAGGAGAAACGGCTTTATTCCCATTATTTTCGGGATCAGAATTCACCCCAGCTTCGGATGTGGGCATGTTGGTGGGGTTATCCTCCTCGATAAGAACATTGACTTTGTCCTGTTCTTTGTCCTTGTTCTCGATCATTGCACCACTGCAGTCATCTTTGGTATCACGTGAATCTTGCTGAATAACAACTTTGTTCATGTTCACGTCATCAAGTTTTCTCTCATTTTCATGCACGACACTCTTCCTTTTGCACCTTTTACACATATCGTCAACATTAATTTCTGCCCGTGGTTCGACCGGAATCGGGTCTGGTTGGTCGGATCCGCCCGGATTGTCGACTTCCACCACGACGATGTCGCCCATTATGTCGTCGTCGTCCACAATGTCGTTTTCTAATTGATAATTATTCTCTTCTTTTTGTATAATGATGAAAGTAAGTGTTTTCACGTAGTGGAGCATGGTGAAGGCGACGGAAAAGCAGAAAGTGATGACCAGTGGGTTTTGAGCGGTCAGAGGAGCATTAATTTTTCCAATGGAGAAAGGTCGATAGTAGAAAAAGAGAATGAGGATGATCTGAAGTTGCCCGAGGATGGATTTTGCTCGGGCATTATTCTACACAAATTAAATATAATGATGATTTAATTAAGGTGTTAACTTTAAATATGATGTGGTGATCAGTGGCCGCGGAAGCTGTGGGGACATCTGGGGACATTAACATTGCAGGATAGGGGAGGGAGGGGTTTATATAACATGGGCAGATGATGGGGACATCGAATAACCGTGGGGACATTGTCCCCTGTCCCCTCAAGCTTCCGCGGCCACTGGTGGTTGGCATAAACAGATACGCACCTCATACAAGTAAAACGGCCCCATCGACCTCGCAATTGGCCACGGTCGTCTCGTCTCCATTACGGCGAACACAATTCCACACAAAACTCCGACAACGTTCAACTGCACAAAGGTCAAGGCTCCAGTAGACTCGTAGATACTGACGGAAAACGCCACAATTATGAGAGGGATTGAGTACAGAATATTCATCACGATGTGGACTCCCTGTAAAATTGTGCAATTTAAAGTCAACCTAAAACCACCGTATGTTGAGACTTTCACCGAAAAACTTTCTCACCAAGAATCCAAGCCTGACAATCCAATGGATACACGATGCTTGATTAGTAATTCGTCTAACTTGGTGGATCGTGTCCAAATGAATTAGTTTCATGGTGCAGTACACAATGTAGGATAAGGACAACAAAAAAAGGACGGTGTGCCATTGTTCAGCTTCGGTGGACCCTCCCGTCCCAATTAATATTTCTCCATTTCCTCCTCCCCTGCCAACGACGAGAATGTCCGATGATCTGTTCCTGTTCGGATTTGGAAAATGTTTTCTGCCATCTGGTCGAACTAGGGAAATGTGTGCCTCTTCAAATTGAAAGTACAACTGGGCAAAGGCGATCATGTAAATGGTGCTGTAAACGAGCATGGTGACCTAAAGAGGAGAAAACAGTTTAATGTTCCGCCATGATAAGCGAGATCTTATCGACTCTCTTACCGACGTCAGGAGGGTGGGATACAACCGATAATACGACGCGAACGCTGTCCCCACACATTCTTTTTGACAAAAGATGTGAAATTCTGCAAATATGCTGATCAGGTACATGCAAATGAAGGTTTCGCACGCACTGGGTAGTGCTCCTCCCATCAAATATTCGTAAAAGTTGCTCGCCACTACGGACAGGCCGATGGCGAAAGCAACGAATGCGAAGAATGATAAAAGTTGGTACATCTGCGATGACAGAATAATTTTCAGTAGTTCCAAAATTGTTAATGAAAGGTATTTATGTGCATATTTATTTACCAGAACGGCGAGTAGAGCAAGACATGCTTTCAATTTATTGTTGCAGGTATCCATTATTCAGTTAATTAATAGTCTAGAAGATGTCCAGGATAATTTCGTCAATGATTTCAAGGATGATGTCAATGATTTTCCAGACATCCATATTCTAAGTGGTCATACAAGCAGATATCTCCCTCTAATCAAGGCAAATATAATTTTGAGAATTCTTTTACGTTTCGAAAATCCGGAAGTGGTATCTAATAGTAACCATGAAAATTTAGATGACCATATTTGCATGAGCCTATAGAGTAGGTCATCGGGGTTCAGCATATTCGGAATAGTCGTAGGAGCCTCAGCATATTGGTCATATTAACAGCTTCAGTAACCTCTTTAATTACGCCAGTTCTTAAAAATTATCAAATTTGGTGCAACATGCAGGGTCTAAAACTATGCATACATACATAACAAACACTTCTTTGTCAAACGGTCGCATCACTTTGTTTCATGCACGCGATCTAAATATGTACATATGCATACATATGTTTGTCTTGTTTAAACAAGGGTTTTCATAAAATTTTATTTAGCAAAAAGAAGTTCCCCCCAGGTAAAACGAAAGGCTTTTGTATAATCAAAAGTGTTCATCGTTTTCATTGTCCAAAAAAAAAATTCCAGTTCCAGCACTTCCATCCGGCATATAGTAATATATTTTCATCATACTTTCTTTTTCTGCACAATCTGCATGCATACATAAAACACATTATGATATTTAACTATGTATGTATTTGAGAGAAACTTTCCAGGGCATTAATTAATTCTTAATTGTAATAAAAGTCCTACCGACCGATGCAAATAAATATGAATCCTGTTCAGATTTCAAGTCGACATTTGATAATCTGTCCAAATTACAATTTTACGAAATTCTAAATATTTTTACGAATCAAATATTGCGTGAGGGAAATTAGTAGTATGTTTTTGCATAGGAGGTGCAAGCTTATTTTAACCCCATCACGATCATCATATTCATGATTCCATGATATCTACATATCGTGTATTGAGGAAGAAACGCTTGACACTTTCATTTGCCATCCGAAACTTGTACAAACAAATATGCACAAGCTAATTTCGCACTCAAACGCTAAAGACACCACCAAAAATTGAATAATTAATCCATTTCTTGTTTGGTGCATACCCTCCTTATTTTCCATTCGGCAAAACAAACATCAATCCGGACAAATGTAAATGTATATGGTCAAAATTGCACAATATTTTTTACTTGTACTACTTGATCATGCCCTTGTTTATTACCGGGTTGGAAGAGGGTAGAATTATGTGCACATATGCATATCAACTTTATCCTCGTCGTGGCATGATTTTGATGTACAATTCAATATACATACATATCCGAATCCATGTTCGAAATTGACACAATGTTGTACATTTTGTGTTACGTAGGTTTGTGCATTTATACTGCTGAGGTCAGTTGTAGGGCACCATCCTCGATTGCAATACAACTTCACTTCCTTGCTTAAACATTTTAGTTTCAATCACTTTTAAATTAACTAATCTGCACTCATCAAATCAAAAGCCCTCTTACATAAATAGCGATCATTAAAATTCATATTTTGTAAAATACAACACTGAAAAACGTGACAATCCCTGCATGAAAATGTAACATTAGCCAACTTTCTCCAATCTGAAAGCATACAAGGCAAATTTTTTCCAAACGACATTCACTTTAAACTACGACATAAAATTCCCGAGCCCTAATTTGAGCAAATTTTGCCCTCTTGGCGTTACAAAATGCCGAAGAGAGAGGTCACCCACAACCCACCATCGTTATTGGCCTTGTTGCCAATATTAGCAATTGCTGTCTCGTCCATCATCATAGCATGCACCTTAATCTTCATCGTGGTCCTCTGTTACCGCAACTGGAGCAAAATCAAGGCAGGATGGGCGTGGTTCTCAGGCCT